ATCTCATCCACCTGAACCTAATTACAACCCCTTTCTTGTTCCACGAAGGATTCATCAAACCACACCTGATTACCCTCGTAAACTTTGCATCAACCCTAAATCTTCAAATTTGTGCTAAGCTATTAAGATTTTGAAGCTGCATCAAGCCTCCAGGGAAAAGTAGAAGGTGAAGACAAAGATAAAGTGATATAAAATAACAGGGAAAAAGTGTTAGTAGGAGACCAACGCAATTTTTCCAAGAAATCATCACCAGGAAGAATGTATGCACATGAGATGCATGTATATATGTATAAATTTATACATTTATATATAAAGAAACCAAAATTGAACAATGGCAGCTTATTAAAACATATAATATGAAAAGAGGTGACCACCTTCCACTGGGGAGTAGACTCGCCTGTGAGAATGGCTTCATTGACAATCGCACTTCCAGCTAATAAAAGCATGTCTGCTGGCACAGCCCTATCTTCACCATTCGGACCAGAAGATCGCCCAATAGAAACAACATCCCCAGGCAAAAGATCAGTTCCAGCAAGCTTTATCCACCTAAAAGTTATAGCAGTCATGTATAAGGTATAAACAGCTTAAAAATTCAAACAAATAAATAATTTCCTTGTAGACAACGTACTTCCCACACCGATGCACCATGAGGGTCTGGTTATCCACTCTGACACGTCTTAGCTCAGTAAGAGTCTTTAACTGACTTTTAGCCATTGTTGACTCAAACATAAACAGCATAAAAAGCGTGAACAAACTATAATACCAATATTCATCCAAACACCAGAGGCCCACACAGAACACCTACATACAGGGAGCACAAAAGAATGCGGTGAAGGAAAGTGAGTACGGAAGAAAAGGAAATCTCACATTGGACAGAGAGAGAGTGAGAAAGGAGCTAAAACCTGGAAGACAAAGAAGGGCTCCATGCAATTTTCTTTCATTAATTTCTGGAATGTAGGTTGTGGATATTCAAATCTGCACAACCAAGAAACGTGTACAACAAGGAGCAGTTAAAAAATGATAATTTAACTGGATCATCCTCAGTGTACAGGATGTAACCAATTTAATAGGGAGTCTATAAAATAATAGATGTTAATTAGCCACAAGACTTTGCAATCAAGGATACCAAGAAAGAATAAAACCAGTAGCTATCAGGTGTATCATATACATAAGCTAGCTAACAACCAAAAAGAGGAGCAGGAAACAAGAATAGTTACAGAAGTACTGTGTGAAATACCGCCGATACAAACTGGATAATAAAAGGTAGCTTCATGTTCCAAATCACCAAGAGATAGTTAATACATGCAGAATATACAATACACATTAACGATCAAACAAGGCATGCAGAATTGCACCTAAGGATACTTACAATGCAAAGCATATGCAAAATCCATGAAGAACTAAACAACCAGAGGACAAGTGATACACAAGAAATAATAAATTGCCAAACAGCAAACAACCAGTTACCTTATAAGTAATATCATCAACACATCTTCCTTATATGACTCACAAGGGTTGCCAGAATCTCATAAGTTTTTTATATTAACAAAAGAATATTCTGAAGACTGGTGTAAAGTGACCAGGCAGAAGCAAAGCAACAATATATTCATCTAGGAAAGAAGCAAAATCAACTAAATGGAGGGCAGTCCAGCATTAAAAATTTATTGATATTCATTGGCACAGCTTAAAGAAAACAAGATGGTAAATCAGTCTTAAATTTAAAATAAGAAAATGTAATCCAGCTTCCATAGGAACCAAACCTATACTTTAATTGCTAAAAGATGAATCAAGAAACATTTTATAAAAAAAAAAAGATAATTCAACAAATACATCTTTAAGAATGAAAAAGGGAAAAGGCAACTAACACATTCCGTCCCCATTTTTCAGTAGCAGCAATAACTTTAGGTTCCGACCCATGGCCAGTACTTTTTAAATAGTAACCAAATGTTTCCTTGGTAGGGTAAGGCAGCTTGCAAAAGTTATCCTTCTCTTTTGAAAAGATGTAACGTTGCTTTCTGAAATCAAAGTAAATCTCTTCGATATCCACTGAGGATGAAGAACCTCCAAGCTGAAAAAGTCACCAGATAAATCAGGGGAAGTTCCCAATGTGGGGAAAAAGGCACATCATTTTGCAAAATTTGGTCATTCTAGTAATTGATACTTCTTAATAACCAGGAACTGTAGTATAATATTATCCATTGAATCTCAAGTAAGGTTGAAGTATTCCAACTGTATTATGGACTTACAAGCTTACGGAAATGGAGTGATACGATTTCTTTAGAACCGGAAAACTTTGCTGGTGTTATTTTGCATGCGTCTGCCTCGTGAATGTCATTTACCTTAAAAACAAAAGGAACACTGATTACAACAACAAATCATCATAAAAACTTAATGGATTGCCAATGTATGGTCCAATTCATGTATTTGCATACTAATTAGGATTATATTACAAAGGGATTGTATCTTTCTAGACTCTAGCTTATTCAGACCAAGAATATGCTTTGTTGCCAGAATCTCTGTTATTACCCATCAAAGAAGTTGATGAGTGAGACTATGTGCCAATATACGGTCCTCATTGTCATGACAAATCCTCCCTCAGAATACAGCACCACTATATACAATATATACACAAAGCACAACCTCCACTTTGCATGGAGCAACTTTATCGTTGTACCAAAGTACACACGCATATACATACATAAATGCAGATGCATATATCAAACGAATACATATACACATACCTTGGTATAATGTACAAAGCATTTGAAATCCACGGACCAAACGGTGAAAAGCCAAACGAGAATATGAAGAGCTACAAGGGCACCGAAAACAATAGCGGAGTCGACAATGTCAATGCTAGGAACAATTGTAGTAAGCCACAGAGCATAGAGGACACAGAAAGGCCAGACATCGAAGCGCCACCCCAAGCTCTTCTTCCTCAACAAATCAACTTTATCCACCACCTTCCCTCCCACATGGAACCTCGACATCTCTATCAACCACATTACAGATTCAAAAATCAAACCCACTTCAGCAAAATCAAAAATCAAAACAAAATAATCGAACAAATTATGTAAATTATCTCCAAATCAATATCAAATCTTTCTGAAAACAAATCACGACATTTTTTTCTCTTTACCTGAATCTCCTCGTTTCAATTTCAACGGAGATCGCAAGCCTAACGCCTCTGTGCAAGCCCTAATTTGAAACTATCCAGGACGATGATGAGTACGGTACATATTAAGTTCAGGGTGGACCGGGATACAAACTCTGCAAGCCCTAATTACTTCCGTTCGTCGTCTTAAACCCCCTTTGTTAGCCAACCGAGTTCAATTCTCCTGTATGCCCATTTTCTCTTTGCCCTCCTGTACCCTCCATATTCTCTTGACAGCTGTCCACTCACTTTATTTTTTTTACCGAATACCTGTCCTCTCACTTAACCATCAATATAACGCTGTTAGCTTTTAATACAATATTTATGCAAAAAAAGTAAAACAAATAAAATTCGAAGAGAGAGAAAGGAGGCTTGGGGCGGTGAGGAGCAGAGATGTTGCCGCTGAGGTGGGCTGCAGAAAAGATGGAGGAACCAAGCTTTTGTGTATTTTTTTATAATTGTTTTAGTAAAATTAATAACCTTAACCGCGTCTGGCAAAAAAAAATAATGACCTTAACAGAGTTAGTGTTCCGTTAAATATTAAAGTACTAGATTCTTACTTTTAGTGCTAATAATAAATATTTTTTCATTTTAAAGTACTAGATTCTTACTTGTAGTGCTAATAAAGAGAGTAGAAATATTACCCCCAAAGAAAAAAGACAGAGAATAAAAATAGATTTTTTTACTCATAATAATCTCTAAACTTATACCCGAATTTCATTTTGATCCTCCAACTCTTCCATATGTGTCAATTGTCATTTCTTAATAATTTCAGTAACTTCGAATAACATGAATAGCACATGAAGTTCCAAGCTCTTTGGCTATCTCATTTTCTTAAACAAGCTTGGCATAATTTTGGAAAACATCCCGCATTGCTTGGACTATTGTTTGTAAAATTAGGGGTTATATTCAATTAAGATTTTTAAAAAGTTTAAAAGTACAATTGTATTTAATTACAATTTTATAGAAGTCTATAAATATCACAACTCACTCTCTTAGTCTTAGCTATGGAGGGAGAGTGGCTTGGCAGAACCCTAAACATGGCATGATGAACCAAAGTTCCCATCCACGTGAGAGGCACACATCTAAAAAGTAACATAAGTTGGAGACATTTTACAGAAATTCACGATTGTTCTTGAATTGCTCAAAATTAGAAACTACATAGACAAAATTGATCAAATTGAAGCAACAATGACCAAAGTGATAAAAGTAACAAACTATTGAGACCAAAAGTAACTTTTTGCCTTTACATTTCCTTGTCCAAAAGCAACATAAAAGTTAAAAAATTGGTGGGAAAAAAAAAAGAATTTGACTGAGGAAAAAGAACACACTACTACAAAGTAGATAGGAGGTGAATAATTATTAGGGAGTTTCACTAAAACACCCAAAATGGGGGCTGAAATTATAAAAAAACCCAACACCCAAAACACTTTATAAACACACCCAAAACCCATCATTACACACACTCAAAACCCATCATTACACACACTCAAAACCCATTTATAAACACACCCAAAAAATATACAATTGTTGATTTTTGGGTTCATTTTGGGTGTGTTTCTATGTTTAAATAGTGCTTGAGTTTTTTTATAAATACATGTCTAGGATTGGGTTTATTTATAAATTTGTATAATTATTATTAACGCGGCCAAAATAAAAGGATTATAGCAAGGTGACAAATTCTCATGCACTCTAGTTGACACATTGCTTGTGGTCCCATCCTCAAAAACCTGTCAAGCGTTTCTAACATGACATGTGTGTGTGTGTGTATTTAAATTACTTTGCTGGCCTCTCTTATTGCTTCTTTCTGCCTCTTTCTGACGAAGACCATTGAATTAAATTTGAAATGGCCTTGGTTTTGGCTATGGCTTTGGCCATGGTTTTGGCTGTGGCTCAGGAGGTCGAGGGGCAGCTTATGGTAGGTTTCTATGGTGAAACATGCCCCCAAGCCGAGCCCATTATCCGCAACGTCGTTAGAGAAGCTATTCTCTCCGATACCAACATGGCACCAGTCTTGCTCAGGCTCCATTTTCACGACTGCTTCGTTGAGGTCCTCTTCTCTCTTTCTCTCTTATTATTGTTTTTTATACACGTCATAATAAAAAAGAAGGAATCAAACCTAGAATCTCGGGTTTAGGAGTAATCTTTGAGCTACAAGCTCCTTGCCTCTCTCATCTCTAACCCTTAACTTCTTTACACACTAATAAACAGCTGATTAGTTAGTTAATTAATAGATTAATAATATTGTTAATTATTATTTGAATTATTTATATAATTAGCATTTGTAAAGCAGGGTTGTGATGGGTCAATTCTGATTGAGAACGGCCCAAGCGGTGAGAGGCATGCATTTGGTCACCAAGGCGTTGGGGGATTTGAAGTGATAGAGAAAGCCAAGGCAGAGTTGGAGGCTGCATGCCAAGGCGTGGTTTCTTGTGCAGATATTGTGGCCTTGGCAGCTAGAGATGCTATAGCCATGGTGGGTTATAATTTACTACTTAATTAATTAATAAAATTAATTAAAATATTAATAATTCAATAATACTATTTGGACCACATTTATTGACCACCTTACCGTTATATGTAGGCCGGTGGACCGGCGTACGAGGTGCCTACCGGCCGAAGAGATGGGGTGGTTTCAAATATGTCTTTGGCAGATGACATGCCAGATGTTAGTAATTCAATCCAACAGCTCAAGGTTAAGTTCATGCGCAAGGGCCTTACAGAAAAGGACCTTGTCCTCCTCTCTGGTACTCTCTCTCTCTCTCTCTCTCTCTCTCTCTCTCTCTCTCTCATGCAAGCGGGGGTGATGGTAAGGTTTGGTGAAAAACCAAGTTTATGTGACTAATGTTTCATGCATGATCAATTCAAGTAATATTCCTGCTCTCAATTAATTAATTAACTAGCCCCTTGGCAATTGATTTTTTTTTAAATTTTAATTTAATTTTAGAATTATAAAACATAAAAATAGGACTCATTATCCGATTTTATTTTGAATTTTAATTTTTTTAATATGAATATTATAGATAATGGGTACCTATTATATACATATGTATATATATAAATGTACATACATATAAACCTTTTCTTTAACAAGGAAAATTAAAACAATCCTCTACATATTAATTGTATGAGAAACAAAATGAGGAAAATTGCAAAATCAAATAATATAAAATTATTGACAATCATGTCATAAGATTAGCTAAAACTATCTGCTACATATACTTCAGAAACTCGATGTGGTAAATGGCGAATGTCCTGAATAATGGATTTAATGCTCCACATAACTTGAATTTCTTTGTTACATATAAACTTGATCAAGGAGAGAAAAATTTCATGAAAAGAAAAAAAAATTGAAGTGCGAGAAGGTTGGTTTTCGTTTTGTTGGAAATATAACATTCATTTTATTGATATATTTTTTTTCAGCTGCTCATACAATAGGGACAACGGCATGCTTCTTTTTGACCAAAAGGCTCTACAACTTCTTTCCGGGAGGGGGATCGGATCCAGCAATCAACCCCACTCTCCTCCTCGAACTAAAACAAAAGTGCCCTCAAAACGGCGACGTAAATGTGCGGTTACCCACTGACCAAGGAAGCGGGCAGGCATTTGACCTTCATATTCTGCAAAATATCAGAAATGGGTTCGCCGTGTTAGAATCCGATGCCAAGCTCAACGAGGACGCAGTGACCAGGGGTATAATGGACAATTACTTTGGTTTCTTCAGTAATCTCCCATTTGGACCTTCTTTTGAGGCAGATTTTGTTGAAGCAATTCTAAAGATGGGCCAGATTGGTGTAAAGACAGGTTTCCAGGGTGCGCCCAGGAGAGTTTGTGCTAGCTTTTAGTACAAAGGATGGATGACAATACATAGGAGGCTTTATACGATGTTATGCATAATGCATTGATTGGTGGATGGTGAATGGTGAATGGTGTAGATAGGTTCATGTTGTATATTCCTAGACCTCTAGGCTCTATTCACTATTTTTTTTTAATCCTTCTCTTCTTTTGACGTTGTTGCCAATAATAGGGTTAGCTGATATCTTACACTAATAAATACTTATTATTATATAAGCATTGATTGTTAGAGGTGTCAAATGGACATGGCTGACTCAAGCACAACATGAGTCCCGCCCGATTAAGGCTCGGCACGACCTGGTTGTATCTTTGATGCGGTAATTCGGCCCGTTTGAAGCCTATTTATTAAAGGGAGCTTTAGTTTAAGCTCACTATATAATTTACTAATATGGAAAATAAGAATCTAATTCTTCATATTCCACTAGAAGCCAATCACTTAAATATACAATCCTGATTTACTATAATGCATTGGAAACACATCAAAATTACAAAAAATTTGGGTATCTGCGATTTGATTGCTTTATGTATTAAACACCTAGCATTGAGGTCCACCTAGTTTTGAAGTCATGTAGTTGCTCTTACCGTGCATGTTCCTGTTTTTTTTTCGTATTCTACCTGATGTATCAGTTTTGTACAATAACTGGCTTCTAGGTCGATTATATTATATGTTTTTTTTTCTTTTGTTTTTTGGTTTATAATTAGCCCGTTAATATGATATCATTTTGCTATGTGATTGCCAACCTCATATGGTTGGGTTTTTGGTGCTACATAACATAGTGATACATGGTGGTTGCTTTGAAAAAAAAATGTAACGGCTAGTTTACGCTAATTAAATGTAATTAAAAAATTAAAAAGTAAAAAGTATTGTTGTCCATGTGTCAATAAAAGAGAGGCTATAGAGTTATTATGGTGGGTCATCTTATTGAAATGAATTTCATTTCAGAGTTCATTTTATTGACCCCTAAAATGAATTGAACTTTATCACTGCAAGTCAAAAGTTCAATTTATTAAAATAAAATTGAAATAACCCTCACCATTGCAGATGCTCTTAGTGTAGAGGAATTGAGTTTTATTTTTGAGTTTCAATTGATAACGTGACAAGCCAAGCAAAATAAAACAAAAACCGGTGCAAACTCAAAACATAGGGAATGATAATTTACATTCCTTCTGATACCTCTCATTCTAATAATTTTCAGCTATTAGTCCATTGGATAAGAATAAAAAAAAATTGATTTTATTTATAAAAAATAATAAAAGTTAAACCCATAAATACAACAACAAAAAATAGAAAATCACCAACATTTTGTGGATAAAAAAATGTTGAATTTCATAGCATAAAATTGCTCGAATGCCTTTTGAATCTAATTTTCAAATTACGCAATCTCACGGTGGCCTTTGGCTGCACCTTAATTAATTGTCTATCTTTCTTAATTTAAGATTCTAGTTAACTAGTGCATTAAAATAACCCCTCATTATAGCATTCCGCATTAACTGGTGCTATATTGCCAAAGCATATATTTAGCCTACATTTTAATTTCGACGACTCTGTATTGTAATGTAACACAGATGAGAAAATTCCCCACTTGCTGCCCAGTCCAGTCCCCCCCCCTCCTGCCCCATCTACAGAGGCCCAACCCACTCATCTTTCTCTTTCTGTCTGTGTTTAGAGATTTTAAGTTGCAATCTGGTTTTATTTTATCCATTAAAAGATGGCAACCCGTTTGAAAATTAAAAATAAAAATTTGGTGAATTTTTCTCTTGGTTGGTTGATGTGTTAATTTTAGGGTTTTATATTTGTCTTTGTAATTTCAGAAAAACTAAAGTAAAACATGAATCAGGGATCTGGATTACAACATCATCTAGCATACCGGTCACTTGTGCGAAGCACATAGACAATTCTCTGTGCCCACGTCCGACGCAATACAAGGAGCTTGAAGCTTTCCATCTTGAAACCATTTGGCACGATGCTGAAGAAGCTCACTCAAGAAATCATCAAGCTTTTCAATGGTGATGTTGGGCATTACAATCACATGAGCGATATTTCCTTGGCAAGCAAGCTGCCACTTGCGAACAAACTCCTCCTCTTGCGGCCGCTCAAACACAACCGTGCTACTCAGCTCATTCAACATTGCACCAATCCCGGCCTCGCGTAGGCGGTCTTTTAAGTAATGTGCATTCTTAAGGCATTTCTGAACTTCTTTCTGGAACCCTCCGTATCCTTTTCGATTCAAGGTGTACCAAAGGAAAATAGGAGCATGCCCATTTCGGCTGCCCATGATTGTTGCATCCCTTGAAGCAAGATACTCCACATTGCTTGAGAGGCAATTAATGTGCTTCAGTCTTGTTATTTGCACACCACATGGCATTGGGCATCCAACAAACTTGTGGCCTGAAACACTCACACTTCCTATGGGTTTCTTGAAAGTAACTTTTGGTGCCTGTCATCCCCAAAATCAATGAGATTGTGGGGTTTTGGAAATGTAAAAGTTATATAGAAAGGCCACTTAATTAATCAATGTTAGAATCTAGCAAACCTTCATGTGTATTCTTGAAAACACAACCTTAATAAAAGACAAGGAAACTGTTCTTAGCACTTCAAAAAAGTCATCATGCGCTCTTGTATTATAAAAACATAAGAGAGAAATTGCAATTCAAGTAGTGCAGGATGACTTATTTGATGGGCACAGTTGCACTTGAAATGAGCAGTATGCGTGCCCCATGTATGAAAATATTTGTATCCTCTTTAGTTTAACTACATTTTTTTTAGGACAAGCATTGAATACATACTCGTTTGACAAAAGGCATCATGAGACCAAACAGAGCCCCATCACAATGGATATGGAACCGGTCGTGTGTGAAACCTGCTTCTTCAAGTTTCTGTATAACCAGATCAAGATCATCAACAGCTCCTTTAACAGTTGTTCCTGCAACAACATAGTATGTGAGCCATAAATCAAATGAGAGAGAGAGAGAGAGAGAGAGAGAGAGAGAGAGAGAGCTACCAATGTTAACATTTAGGATGGCTGGCTTGTCCTTGTGACAAAGAAGTTTCGCTTTGAAGTCATCACAATCTATCTCACCAGAGACAAGAGTGTTCACCTTTACACATTCCATCCTATACATCCTTGCTGCCTTAAACACAGAATAATGTGAGTCTTTTGAAGCATATAGAATCCCATCTGGAAACACTTCCCTCCTGCCAAAATAAATAAATGATAATCAACACACCTATTTTCTATTTTCAAGTTCATAAAATTCCATTGTTTCAGTCTCGGAAAAGAAATTAAAAAAGAAGAAAGGAACTGAGAATCTTTGATACTAACCCAACCAAAATTCCATGAAGGTTCCCTTCTGTACCACAATTTGTAATGTAGCCCCAGTATTCGTTCTTCTCCAATTCCCACAGGCGCGCAAACCAGTCCAGAACACCCACTTCAAACTGTCTGGAATGAACACCGTAGTTGCTCTCGATAAACGGATCCCCAAGGTTGTTGATGGAGAAGTGCTGAAGCTGTCCCAGTGCACCATAATCGAAGTCCAAGTTATAGGGGTAGCCTATTCCAGATTTTCATGTGCCAACATATGACAGTCAGAATTTATAAGCAATATACTAATTTTTGAACGGCCACTTTTAGAATAATAAGCTAAAGCTGCAGTAGAAAAACTTCCATAACCCAATGTTCTATTCTATGTATGCGCGGTATTAACGTACTAACTAGAAAATGTACAAAGGTTGCAAATACCAAGATGATGCTTGGTCCTTTCAATCAAAGACTTTCTGTAGCGAGCCAAGACGCTGGCCATATAAGCTTCCCTGTCTCCAGTGGAATCATCGTCGTCATTGGGCTCACTCACTTCATGGCATGTGGTGTGCACGTTCCTTCCGAGCGAAATCTCCCTCTTCTTCTCCACCTCACCATCAACCGTCGTTGTTACGAAATCCTCCCGCAACGCTTGGATCTTCTCGGTCTCAACACTTCCAACCATTGCTATTTATGTCATGTAATTTTATTGAAAGAAGCTTTCTTTTATTTTGTCACGCTAAAGCAGGGAATCAAAGAATGGATGCATAGAAAACAAGCAGCATTACAGTGAACAAAGTGCAGAACAAATCCAAGGCATTGTAAACTTTGTTTTTACAAGAAATGAAACAAGTTGGATCTGAAAGAAGAGAACCCTTTGCAGACTTGGGGAGAGGCGATCGAGGCGCTCAAAAATGGGACAAAGTCAAGGTTAGAGGTAGTGGCCCAAAGTGTCAGACTTTTTTTCAGGAGGTTTAGGCCGTGGAGCGCGCGCAATCAAGCTTAGTTAATAAATCTAACGGCTCTATATTTGGTGCGGTTTTAGACTTGGACGATTTGTTATTGGAGAAATCCACATGAAGAATACATTTTGATTTGTTGCAATTTACCAAACAGGTTTATTACATAATAACCCCCAAATTTTGGTGGTCATTTCAAATTGGTATCCGATATTTGAAGACTTTAAAAACTCAAGAAAAACCTATAAAGTCCTTAGTCAATCTATTAAATGAATTCACTATCATTTAAAATAATTAAAAATCAAATCAAGACTCCCCTTCTATTCCCTTCCTCGCACATCCCCCTCCTCCATAAAAAACCTCATACTGGCCTGCCCACCCTTTCCACCACCACCTCCCTCTTTCCCATCCCATGCATTGTATTTCAGTGATACATGGTTTACATCTCGGGTTTGTGGCTCGTGATTTACAAGGGGAATCGGGGTTTTGGGGGCTGGGGAGTTGGTTGAGTTGAGTACTAAAACATAGATTGTTCGAATCACTGAAATACAACACATGGCGTTCGTAGTTATGGCAAATATTCAGATTGGTGTGGACTACAAGATAGTGGGATAACGGACAATCTTTCAAAATAAGATGAATAGATTTCAAACTAGTTCCATTAGATCATCCTTAAAATAATACAATATTTGTAGATTACGCTGAAAAACCTAGTTTAGCATGAATATATAATAGGTTTTGGCAAACCATATTATGCTAAAAATAAGGACATCTTTAACACATAAGGACTATATTGTGTAAATATAGAACACAAGAATGAGCTCTCTCAATCTTGCAACACACATTTTTCTATGTTTGGCAACCCAATATTGGCTAGTTTCTTGGAGACACCTAACTTCATCCCAACAGTAACCAAGGTCTCTAGTGATCTGGCACTATTTGCTAGGAGGTCCTCATCTATCTCAATAGCATCCTGCATAACAACCCACACAATAAGCCAACAGTTAAACTCAGAAATACCCTATGCATGCCACCATAAATCTGAAAGTGCAAATTTTTAACGACATTTACCACGTAAAGTTTAGATTAAGAAAGCTTCTATTGCACCCTTAAAAATACCCACCTCACCCACATACTCCACGCACCCACCATGAAAATTTTAAAAAGGCAATAAATTTTGTAAATTTCTCACAATTCAAGGACATGTTACAAATTTGTCAAATTCCTTACAATTCCATCAAAATACCCCTCAACGTCAATGACACATACTTACTCTGTCACGGAATTGGAAGGAAATATGAACGTGGCCTTGAATTGTGAGGAATATCAAACTACAAAGACCAAAATTCACTTTCTGCCTTTAAAAATCTTTAAAGTTCTCACAGGTCCTCACATAGTCCCAAAACAATATCCTCACCATCTGTTTTGGTGGCCCCATGTCCCACTTAACGTCACAACTCATAAAACTAAACAACCTAAACCTAACTGAAACTGGATGAACCGAACTGTGTCAAAAACAAAAGCTAGACGTGTCAATTCTCAGAACATAGGAGACTTGTTTCCTTACAACATATACCAAAAAGAAGCCAAAAAGAGAAGAATAGTAATGTGACGATGTTTATTCAACCCCTATTCAATCAAATACAAACCTTTTCAAAGACGCAGATTACAGTGCTTCCACCAAATGAGAAATAGCCAAACTGTAATAAATGAACACAATGTCAAGACAGTATACATCAACCCATTATCTGCGGTAAATACATAAAATATAAAACCAAAGAAAACTCATCAAATAAAGAATATTAACCTCTTCTCCTTTCTTAACATGGTCACCCTCCTTCTTTGAAAAGGTAATGCTGCCAACCATAGTTGCACCAATGGCAACAAAAGCCACCTGCAGAGAAAAATATGAACAAAAGAATTAGGCTACCACTATCGGCACTCCAATAAGTAAGTACAGAAAAGTTATAAAACATTCACTTTGAAGTGCAAGAAATAAAAGAGGAGTGCTAATAGTATTATGTCACTAATACCCAAGAATGATACATCTCTTCTTAATTAGGAAAGAAAAACGTGCTGACTCTATCCAACAAAATGATGGCACTATTCTAACAGGAAATAAATATGAGAGCTCAACCCAGTTTACTATTGAAATTTGCCATTCAAGTAAAGGGCGTGAATGCTTTTACTTTTCTTGCATTATAATAGCATAGCAACTGCAGGTATTTTCTGTAGCAGATTTACCCAAGACAGATATTTTCAGTCGAAAGCTAGGTTGAGAATGTCAATGTCAGTGGAAATTATGGTAGTGAGATTTTATGAAAAATATTGGTATTGGTGGAAAAAGACGACGGAAATTTGCTTAATAACATGAAAATTTTGAATGAAACTTTACAAAATGCTAACCAATCAATAATCCATCATCTAACCATCTGAACTTCGTAAAAATGGTATTCTAATGATAAACATATAAGGTGATAAGCATATGACATTGAAAGTTAATTATAAATGTGCAAAAACATTTTTGGTTCATTAAATTTTATCTTTGAGAACATGTACATACTAATTTAAATTTAACTGGCCTTCCTTAAATAACATTAGTATACATTTACCATAATGAGCTTTGACACCAACTACAAGTATACAACCTTAATTACAACAGGGAACGCCTGTAAATCTAAATCAAATTAATTGAGTTCGTAATTTACAGCCCATACTTCAATTTGGTTATAAGCTGACACTTTAATTTCAGTTAAAATTTTGATTGAGTAGCTCAAATTTCATGAAGGGCAACACTTTGAGGGACCACATTTTGATTAAGCCATATATACAGCCCAAACCCAAGCCACAATTTATAAGCACAGTTTTTACTGAGAGTAGTTTGAAATTCTCTCTTTGGATCTATATGTCTACAATTGCAGACTCCAGCTGGTTCACATGAAAGTGGGCGCCTTTGCAGCCTCTCTTTCTTGTTTTCCTATTTTGGTAAACAACTACTTTTTTATCACATGGGGTGCAGTGCACACACCCCAAGCAGGCAGACCACAGCCTACATAATTAAGCAGCTGGAATATTTTCACAGATAAAATATGTTCCACCAAATTTAGGTGGAAACATCGGAATTTTTGGATTTCCACCCAAACTCTTCTTGGGCAACAGAATGCGATGAAATGCTAAAACACCGAAGTATAAACTGATTTTTTGAAGTTTCGGTCAGTTTTTTCATCTCAATGTAATGCACCAGTTTAAGTAGTTTCTAATAAGAAAATGGAGTGAGCATGTATCACTACTAATATCCAAGAAATGGGGTTGACTTTTGCCTTTTTGTAAATAGAAATGATATTGATATTTTGAAAAAAAATAAATGATTGCACTAACAAACCTTTCCAAATTCAGCAGTTGATAGAATTGATACTACTCGCTTATTCTCAGTGAAAACATTACAATACTTGCTATTCACAGCTATGGGGTTAACCTGAAGAAAGAAAAAGGAAAAAGATCAAGAAAAAGAACAAAGGAAATCTGTAGAGAAGCCAGAAAATAGATGATAAGCAAAAAATAAAGGACTTCCATGTCACATCTATAATCACATACCGTATATAAACATCCAGGTATATGTACAAACTGTTGAATAGTTCCAGAAACAGGAAAATGGAAACGATGATAATCCTGAAACCATAGTAGATGATTAATATCAAAATAAAAATCAGAGTATGCATGGTTCAACTTCATGGTATGAGTTAATAAAAGTACATATTGCAATAAATACCTGCGGTGCCAAACGAAATATTACCAATGTTCCATTGATGAAAGCATTGGAACATTGATCTTTCCCCAAAAGCCCTTGAATTGAAAATTTTCGACCCTAGAAATACAAACAAAAACCAAGAAAATAAAATCAGAACAAAAAACAACAATAAAAACACGAACAAGATTAAAAACCATATGTGGATTACAGACATCCAATCCAAATATAAAAGAAAAATGACCCAACTGATCTATTAGTTTAATACAATTTGAACCTTCATCCTTTTAACTATTTGTTCTTTGCAATAAGTCGTACAAAACAGAATAACTAAAATTGGGTACACGGGTGTGGAGATAAACTGCCAGTTCAGGAATGGGAGACATGTCCCGCTTGAAGCTTGCAAGACAATATGCCCCTCACTAACCAGAAGGCGCCACATCATAAGCTCAGGATGGAACTACCATGCAGAGCAGAACTAACCGGATGGGGTGTGCAACAGGTGAATGAGTCACAGAACTACCACGTCAGTACGGTTCTAGTAAACAGCTCGGCAGTAGCATTTCAGCACTTAAGAATACATCATATCTAATATCAGTTCAACTAAACTGGTGCTTTCATGATTGAGTTGAATATTTGGGTTCTTTAGCCAACTTAACACTTGAAAGGAAAACTTCTCCAAAAACTTAAATACTCAAACACTCCGCTCCGTGGTACAAAACACAAGGACCAATTCAAACAACCAGACTGAACAAAATCAGGATCCCGTGTCGGCGTGATTTTCTTGTATAGTTGACATTTAGAATTAATTAGGTTGATTATATGTAACTAGTTAGGCTAACTGGGAAAATTTAGCATAATCTGCTTATTCCCTTTGGGGACATAGAGCTTCTATCCAACTGACACTTGACCAATAACTGGTTAAACAAAGAGCTTCTCTTCAACATCAAATTGAAACCATGTTTGGGTCACAGAACACTGGGGGTAAAAAATGTGAAACTTCCCATAAAATCGAAACCATTGTTTGGGTCACAGAGTTTCCCAAGATGAACAGTGAGGGTACAGTCCCCAATAATCTGAGACGTGGGGTAGAGACCTTGGGGACAAGGGCAATGATTGTAGAATTAAGCACTTTGAGAGCCTGCTTGAACAGATCAATAACATTGATCGTATCATCATCAAGAATATGCCAGACTTTTTGGAAGAATAATCCAACAAAACCGTCCAGGCCTTACTAGGATTCAGGTCAAAACCATACCACCCTGATCTCCTTAGCTGTCATATTATAGGGAGCTAGCTTTCTCCTCAGAGATGGGAGTCTGGATTATGCTTCTAAGGCAGGAATGGCTAGAGGCAAGCAAAGTCCTGAAGCAGCAGACAACATTGATGTCATTCTTACTCATTTCCACAGTACTATCCCATCTCTTTGATTTCTACTAGCTTGTTTCTATTCCCATCTTAGCCATAGACTTACAAAATATATACATATATTACTGTCTTGAGCCTTCTTTTTTTTTTTTTTTTTTTTTTTTTTTTTTTTTTTTTTTTTCTCTTTGATTTTTTAATAATGGATCACTTTAATAATCTCATGATTGAGATTTACACTAGTTATTTACTGATTTTCATTATAAACTTCTAAAATTCCTTTCTCACTGTCAGGAAATGTGATTTCCTCCTATCAACCCTTACATTCCAAGGTGGTTAAGATTGAGTGCATACTTCTCTACCAGTCAGAAAATTTTCAGGTCTAAGAGGTAAATTCGACCAGCCAAGTCACTATTTTAGAAGAATTCAAAGTACTAACAGCAAGAGTACAGGAACAGTCATTCTTCTAAATAATTTGGAGGTGAAGTGGCAGAACAGAGGATAAAGGATTAATATGCTAAGGGTTTATTGCATTGATACATTTATACACAAGCACCTTCTAAACTTTTGTCTATGAGAAGGTAGTCATGAAGGGTCGAACTGAAAAAGTGTTATTTCAATGCATAACATTTAAGAGCCCAGAGTGATTAGGTATTCTCTTCAAGAAAACGTCATATTTATCATTTAACTTTCATCTTTCTTACTTCAAATTAGTCAAATATGCTGCAATTCTGTTATCTGAACTAAGAAGAGACAAGCACGAAAAATCTTTAGAAACGTGTGAATTCTTGTACAAGAACTCAAGTGCAAACAGTAAAAATACCTTAATCCAAAATCTCAGACTTTCATCAACAGATTTGAATGCCATAAGACGGCTATCTGCAGCAGATATGGCAACATCATCACGTTCCATGTAGGCAATGGGTCTTGCTCCAGGCTTTAACTCTCTCACAAAAAATTCATTAAACGTCTACATCCACAAATTTAGAAATTAGAAATGTTTATCATCTTCATAATGTAAAAGACATTGTTACACGTCAAAAATTCCAGCAAAAGCAAGAAATCAATAGTAAAATAAGCTTGTCCTAGGCATAAAATAATCAGCTAAAAGAATGTATGAAACTTGAAAACACGGTTAATAAATTAAATCATAAGATGAAATATTAAGAAATGTAAAATGTGTACAATTTTTTCCCTTTGTTTTTTTGTATGGATAACAAACAAGGATTTTATTGATGAAAAAGGAAAAACGATACAAGTAGGAAAAACAGGATGCCCATTTAATCCTATTAATACCCTCAAGCTTAAAGACAACTACATTTAATTCAAAGCTCCGCCCAATTTAGAAAAATTACACGAAAAGGAATGCTTCTGAAATGTTTTGACAAGCATCTGCAGAATTTAACCCTTAGGCTATAAATTTAAAGCACGAACACCCCCTCAAAACATTGGTTCAAACATATTAAATCAAAGTGATGGAAGCATTGATAAGCCACACAAGCAGAAATGTTTTCAATATGTAGATAAAATAAAACAAGCAGCCTGCCTTAAAATGTTCCAAAGGGTGCTTGACTTCAGCCAAATTGATTTGATCCTACAACAACCAAGTTAAACTTAATCAAATGGATGTAATTTCAGCTTAGCATAAATGTACACTACATTATTCAAACTCGAGCATTACAATAAAAACAGTTCAAAACAGTGAATAAAGTTTACATACACATAACAATTTGATAAGAAACACACTTTCATTAAAAAGACAAGAAGAAAGAAAGAGGAAGACCAAAGAAAGTGGACAAGATGGCCACTACAAAGAAAGAAAAAAATAAAAAAGCATACATACAAATGCTAGCTAAGGCTAACACAGTACAACACCTAACACACAACAGCTTCCCAGCATAACTAAATGTGAGTGAAAGATAAACCCTAAATTCTGTAGAAACAGGAGCCCGAAGTACGGACAAGAAACGAACTTTATTCAATAACTGCTCTGTCCCAGTGTCAACAAAGTCTTCAAAATCCTTTTATTTCCCTCCGGCCAAACTCCCCAGATCACAGCCATACCCATGCAACGCAACATAACTTTGGCCTTCTTCCCCTTGCCAGAAAATTTATGCTTCTCACAAAGAAAAGAAAAACAGTCCCTCAAAATTAGCTAGCTTACTTCCATCTCCCCAAACATCCTCAACTGAAGTCAAAAAAACCCACAGGACAATGTAAGAAAACATGATCCAGAGATTTATGTTCCCTGAAGGGTCAGGTAATTACATATTTGTTGTCCAGGGAACATAAGATATGGAGCATGCTCCTCCATCTTATAAAAAAGCTTAGTTTTGGGCTTCCAAAAATGAAAATGTTCTAGGCACTGCATCACACACAAACATCCCAGCCTTTTCCAAGTATTTATTGTAGGATAAATGTATCAGCGTATCAATTTCAATGTGTATGTTCACCCTCAATAACAACACATCCCTGCCTTTGTCTGTATACATGGCCACCCTTCATAACACACCATCAAACTACCACCCTTCATAACACACCATCAAACCATCTGTACACTTTTAATTATGACACTTTCATTTCTGACAATAATTATGTGAATCATGACACTGCATCATTTCAAGAAAGTTCAGAACAGCATAATCATAATGTTATTCTAAGGAAAGAGTCCTGCCTTAAAAAACTCGACAAATTTTGGTATATCTTTAGCAGATTCCACTGAGTTCATTTTCTTCCCCTGCTTTTCAGAGAGGCTCTGCAAGATATCCTTTGCCCCTGTGTTGAAATAGTGAACCACGGTAAAGAAATCAAGATTATGCAACGATCATAAACAAAGAACTCATAAAAACTAAAACCTGCTACTAGTTAGCAAACGAACTGCAGAAATTATTAATTATTATTATTATTCTTCTTCTTGTTATTTTGGATAGGCAATTGACAGTCAGTTCAAAATGAAGGCATCTACTCTTGAAGTAAATTTAGTGTTGGTAGATTTACTATTAACGTTAGGAGCCTAACAAGTTACAACCAACCTGTCCACATGGACAAAGACCCTGAGCAAACTGAAACTAGAGTTGTTAATATTGGATTGCTGAACTTATATTAAACACATCTACAAAGCAAATTTATTGGAGGATGAGGAAGGCAATATTACTGACAGAGAAGATGGAAGGTGATTGAGATCAATGGTTGTCTTAGTAGGTTGTTAGTGTAAGCTAGATGGCTTAACATGAGTTCATGGTTTTCTGGTGGAAAGGAAGCCTACGCGGGTTTCTCATTTACTGCTTTTCACTTTGGAGGAAGAGGAGAGATTGCTTGCTTTTCATTGATTCTGAAAAAGGAAGACCCATGCTTTCTCATCACAAATTTATCTTCTCAATGAAAAAGTTATGCTGAGAGCATGGACCGCTGCCCATTCGCTTCTAAAATGTGTTTATTACACTACCACAAGTGTTAGGTTAGGAATAATGGGTGCTTGGCCCATAGATTCCTACCTTTTGTGGATGGAGGTTTTTCTGGGGGTTGGTAAGGTAGTCCATTCTTTGGAAATGTGCAGTCTTGGTGATAATTTAAATTGACTGGATGAAAAAGAAAAACAGAACACTTGAGGAACATATTCCTGGCGTCTTTACAAGGTTCATAATCTAAGCATTTTAAAGGCACCCAGAGAGGAAGTGGAATCTCTATGGGAGAGGAAATATTTTTGGCATCTTGACAGGGCTGATAGTATAAGTGTTTTAAGGGCACCATTTAGTCTAATTCATCTTGATTAGACACGAGGTAAAAACTAACTTTTCCTGTTCATGTATTAAGCTTTGAACACCTCATCCGTCTTTTCTCATATCTTTTCCTTTACGTTTTGTAAAATTAACGTTCTACAAAAATAATAACACAGAACTGAAAATGAAAGGAAGGTATAGAAGGGCATCAGCATGACATTTTTTATGGGTGATCTAATTCTGATAGATGATATCGAAAAATAAGAAACAACATTGCATCAACAATTTATTGAGTAATACAAGATAGCAATTGAAAGAAAGAGGAAGGTGCTTATAATGTAATCTCTGCAACTTCTTTAGATAAACATCTATTCATAAATGCAACTTAATACCTGTATCCAGGAGGCCAAGCCCTAGTTTTGATTGGTAAATGGCTCTCATTGACAACACAATCTTTTCATCTATTAGTTCTTCCACCAGTCTCTTTGTCCTCCGATCAAATACCTAAATCAATAAACTGTTAATGGAAAAATAAAGTAGACCAGAATTATAGCTTGGAAACAAAGAAGATTGAACCACAACTGCTTCAATGAGATGCTCAGGAAGAAAAAAGAAAAAAATTAATAGGTTACATAGATACTATGATGCATACCAGTTAAGCTAGCCAGTACTATGATCAATTTGTTATTATATCATGAAAAACCCATATAGGGAAATTAAAAGCCTTCTATAGCTACATATAATATTCTGGGCCTCTCCACCCATAGCCAATTGGTTTTGGGTTGGACTTTCAAACAGGCTAAGTTGTCAACACAGGAAGTGATCCATATAACTTAGACTTCATAAATGATATCAAGGACATCTAACATGTCCGCATAACACCTTACCACTAGAGGTCCCATTCTTGTGGTACGTTATGATCTCACTAAAAAATTTCATTATAATACAAACAAGACTCAAGTACATTACACTCATGCAAATAAGTTTTTACATATCTGCGTCTCTTGTAACTGGTACATCATTTTAAACTTTCAATTCATCATTATGACTTAAAACATTGTTTACAAACATACAGCATCAGGGGCAGAGCAGAAACTACATGAAAGAGAAAATGGGAACAGTATTGCAGCTAAAACACTTCATGCCTATTACAGAAAGGGTCCCATTTCAAATGAGAAAAACCCATAAAAAAAATTTCTGCCACTAATCTTAGCTGATTTAAAAAGAAAAAGCTAAACCAAGAAAGTATACCACAATATGGTTAGCACTCGATCCAGAATTTAAACCAACGTCATAAGATGAAACATGGGCCCATTCACTGAGTTTAAACATCCACCTACATATAAAATTTGATGTTACTATTCCAATCATACCATAGATTGATAGTAATAACCACGGAACTGAAATGAACCGCAACAACAAGAATTGTCAGCAATAAGAAGCCTGATGATATAACACAATTCTTACCCATAAGAAGCTTGTTTATCAGTCAAAAATCCTCCAGTCATGACCTGTTTTCCAGTTCCTTCATCGAAACATAGGGTCAAATGTATCATGTAGTTCAGCTTATCAGAAACTTCAAGAGTCTCACCACAAACAGGACAGCAATTCATTAGTGGTTCCCTGAAAAACAAAATAGTTCTGCTCATCTTTCCAAGAATGGGACCTAAAGGAAAATACATTCTACATTCAAACATGTTGCAATTATATCAAACTGAAAATCATGGTACAATCCAAAGAAATGAAATGAAAAATCCAAGCTCAGGTCTGACATTAGAAAAAACAGTCATGAAATGGTATGAATCTGAATTGTGCGAACTATAACACTTCTTCCAATGTATATACTGGTGGGTTGAACTAATTTAATATAAAATTTCAGTAAATTTTCTCACTGGCCTAATACGAATGTGCTGGTCAATGGTCTCAAGTTGTACTACATGAGAAACATTTTGTAACAAAATCAAATAAAACATTTTGCAAATATCTATAAATACGATCTATAACACAAAACGAACATATCTATAAAAAAACAATAAATTCACATTTCTTACATAATAAGAATTTGCAACTGTATAGGCAAAGTTGTTTTCTTTCTTCTTTTTCTTTTTTTTGGGGGTCTGATTATAGATATGGAGATCAAAATAGCAATATATACAGTGGTAAGTTCAAACTTTTTGGTCTAATATCTACATGTATAATTACTTTTCTTGTTGAATGGCAAGAAGGGCAGCCAACTCATCCATGCTAACAACACCATCCCCGTTCTTGTCAGCAGCTTTAAACATCTCCTCTTTCTATTAAGGAAGGAAGATATATTTCTGAGACAATGGAACCAAAAGGAAAACACAAAACACAAACACGCCAACAACAAAAATAGATCACAAAGGACTTCTGAAATTGGAGGAAGCCAACTCTATGGATTCCAATCCACAAACCCAAGCCAAATGTAATGTGGGTTTTGTGATTAATTGCTTATTTTGTGTGTATTGAGAATTTGAGATCAAATTTTTAAGAACACACCAACAGCCGCTTAGACTATAGGGGTTAGGCTCAGATGAGCCAAGACCTGTGAGAAAAAAATTGAAAATGTGTATTAAGTGTGGTTATATACTGGGTTGACGATGAACCCATGTGAATTAAAATAGGTTCATTAAGTTCAAACCTTGTTGGCTGCCGCTTGATTCCCAAAAGCATTAATTAAGTCAGAAAATTCAGAGAAGGAAAGCTTTCCATCTTCATTATAATCCTGTGTATATTACAAAGCCTCAGAATTGGGACATACTACTATAGATAAGAATTGGGACAACATTGAAGAACATTTCTTTCCATATATGTAGGACATACCACTATAGATAAGATGCGCCTTGCAAAACTCTTTTCTGTTTCAATTGGATCCTGTCAATTTTTCCAATGAAGTGTTATTACTCCTAAATATAGACTTTGTTACCGAAGAAAATGAGGTTTATACATGGCATACCTCAACAGAGCATGAAACAGAAATTTTTCCGACAATTTTGTCTGATGTCGATGGATCTAACAGGTCCAATAACTCAGAATTGGAGTTGGAATCTGAATCCTGCAACAGCAACAATTTATCCTCAGAAGAGAGAGTGATAACAAGAATCAGTAAGAAGATGAACATTAAAATCTGAAAACATAAGAATCAGTCAGTAAGCCAACTAATTCCATACTCAAAATGCGCTTAATCATAAATATTGAATGCTGCCAGCAGAAGGAAAAAAAAACGCTGCAGAGTAAAACAAACTCAAAACTTATAAACAAAAGAAATTTGGGAAAGGGTTCATACTCAATTTAATGTTTCTCAGAAGTTCACCATGCAATTTCAGCATCTCCTTTTTAATCATTTTTATGGTATTTACCTCACTGCAGAAACTTTTTCTCTTGGCATGCTTGGAATGTAAAAATAAAAAAATCCCAAGATACTAGGAGGTAGAATATTGGCCCCACGGGCCATGATTCATATCAATGGAAAATTGTAGTTAGAACAATTAAATTCTAGACATTTCCAAGGAAAGGCATATATGTTGGTATGGAAAGCAAAATGAAAATATTATATGGCAGGGATGCAAAATCAAGGTGGCACTCAAACACAGCAGAAACCCCAAACTACAATACATAGAAGGGGCCTGATAGGCACTCAAACATCTAACCAAACCACAGCAGAGTAATAACTTGGCACCTACATTATAACAGCCACAACCATTTACCCAGCACGGCTCTATCCTTTTTTTACGAGAGCTCTATTCCTCTTATTGAGTTACCAATGGCTTCCAATGACCTTTATTTGGCACTCACTCACCACCCCCACCTCAGATTACAAGTCAACTATCTTGTTCACAATTCCAAGTACATTTTTTATTTGATGCGAAAAATTTGGCTTCAAAATTATTATTTACACATGAATTCACTGAAACTTTGACAACTTCTACGATTCTTTCGCAAATTATGTCTCTTTTTTATTCTCAAAAAGTAAATAATAAGATAAAAGTGATTCCTCTCATTGAGCTACCGATGGCTACCCCTCCCTCCACTATTGGTCTCTGAACAATATCCCAAATAATTGGCTGATCCTATCTTCCTTCATCACATCCTTCCCGCACAAAATCCCGTATCAACTTCTTAGTCCTCCTTGCAACCCTATTAGGCAATCTGAAAGATTGGAAGGATGCTACTCAGCAATATGCCCCCAAGGGAAGGCAAAGTAATTCGAAGGGCAATTCACTCCCTCACTTGCCACTCCTTGTTAAACAGACTCCCAAAGCCTATAATCCACCAGAAGTAGAAGAGAAAAGAACATTAATTAGCTTTCCAATTAGAATAATGTCAGATAAAGATATGTTCCTAAAATCAGGATATACAGAAACCCAAAGTGCTGCCCAAAACTTGACCATCTCCCACACCTCCTCCACTTCCATCCCCTAACATCTTCAAAGATCCACCGATTCCAAAATGGTCAGATAATAGCCATCACCACCATACACCCCATATTTATTTAGCCTTTTTTCCACCGCCCAAAAGTCTATAACCCACATTGATGACAACTAGTACACTCTTGGCCATATTAATCTTCCGGTCTTGGACTAACACAAAAGATTGACAATCTGAACCAAATTGACGATTTCCCTGCCTCACTTGTCAAGAAAAAAATAGTATCATCCTCACTTGTAGTTTTCAACATTATTCATATTATTTCCATTAACCAGTCACTAAAATTTGAAATGACAGTATGTTTAATTTTCCAATCCAAATTGAAGCAGTTCCTAAGCCTTTGGGCAAGCAATTAGTATATGGTGTATAGATTTAAATAAACTGTTGCAAAGGTGACAAGATGCATTCTCCCAGGAATGAATATGGAGTCTGTATACATTTGTACCAAGCTTCTTCTGAGTTACAAAAATACATAAGTTTCCAAAATCAACTCCATTGATTTTAATACCACAAAGCATAATTGTTGTAACACACACACACACATTAATAAATAAATAAAAAGAAAGAAAAACAGTACATCATTACTGGAGCTTGTGGAAAAGTGCAATTAGAGAGAGTACCATGTAGTGGCACAATTTAAGAAGTTAAACATGTCAACAAGAGAGAGAGAGAGAGAGGAGAGAGAGAGAGAGAGAGAATTCAACAAAGAAGGTTGCTCACCCTGGTTAGAAATTCAAGCAGATCAATTTCAGAATATCCTATCAGATTGTTTCTGGACATTTTATTCGTCTGCATTGTATGATAAATTGAATAAGTGAAAATATAAAAATTATACCTGAAGAACACTTATACATTTGCAATTTGAATATACAACAGAACCGGGAAAGAAAACTTTGACATAGAGAAATCTCTTAAATAAAGAGCATACAAGACTGTCAGATATAATAAAATTAGTGTATACAAATTAAATTAGAAAAAAAAAGGGGTGTAGACTAACACAAACATGAAAAAAACAAACATTATAAAAGGAAATAGAAGATAAAAAGGCCATTACATTCTGCAGGAAATAATTCATGGAACACCAGATATAAACATGATTACCATATGGTCATCACTAAATTCATGTAATCGTTGTATGCATTCAGTTATTCATGTATATGTATAAACTTATGATTCATTGCCAGCATTAATTTTGATTGCTTCATAAAAAAAATCTACAGTTGTAGCTTTTGATTATATATATAAACATCATGTAAGTGACTGCCATTAATACTATAATTCAAATATATACATACATATGTGGAAGAAAAAAATCTAAGAGAAGTGAAAATGAAGTATGTATCTATTTAACTCTGAGACCCAGAATATAATGGTAGAGACATGCAACGGGTATCTGAAGTGTATGCTGCGTATCCAGTTTACAGTTTCAGAAATTTGGAAAGTTATCCTAAATTATGGTACTATATGGAACATTGCCCATGTGTATTTGGGAAGTTCCTAGAACATGATTAGCATATTTCTCCAACGTGTCAATGTGTGAGACTGCACTTTGCATACTAGCGGCTTTCTACATAAGAAACTTTGAATTTCCATTTCCTATATCTCATACAATACAAAAAATCAATACGAATCTATGAGTGAAAAAGCATTCCAAATTCTATAAATCTATGCCATGCCAGCCACCACAGCCATCCCTAAATAAGGAGACCTACATATCCGTCCTTGTCACATGGAAGAACATACCTCTTTCAGGACACTACTAAATGGGGAGATTGTAAGTAAACTGAAAGCAAAGCATACCTCATAAATGGATATCCTTGCAACATGAGGCCCATTTTTTCCAAAAGAAGCTTCTTCTCCTGAAAGTCAAAGGGAAAAGTTTCGAAGGGTTATTTTCAGCTCAGTTGCTTGCTCGTACTAAGAAGCAAATGTGAGAGAGAGAGAGAGGAGAGAGAGAGAGAGAGAGAGAGAGTTGAGTTTTTCCACAATTTCAAAGACTGTAATGAAGGTTCCAGTACTTTATCAGATTACCAAGATTACCAAAGTGATCCAAAAAGCATACCTAATACTAACAAGTGTGTCAGCCCTAGCATAAAAGAAATGCACTCAGCAAATTAATCTCAACTTCCCCACAGCATCTCTGATGTGTGTGACAGATTATGTATATTTTGTACATCACAGAGATATGGAGATCTAAAACCAAAAAGAGAAAATACAGGGAGATATACTGAGTTCTTTCACAGATGGCACTAAGTGAGATATATTAAGGTTTTGAAAAAAGGCCAAGCACTCATATGTTGCCATAATAAGATACAATATAGGGTTTCGGGTACTTACAGAGTTCCAAACAGGCTTGTCAGTTCTGCAACACCAGTAAAAACAAATTAATACAAATAAGCTGGTGTGTTCTGTAAAAAATATATATATACAAAAAATGCAATATTATCTCATAGGGCAGACTTTGTGTAGCCTACAGAGAAATGAATGTCTGACAAGCCAACTAAGGTGGAATTTTTTATGCTACGTATCAATCAGTAAAATTTCTGATCTACTGAGACAATGTGTAACAAAAATTTAAAACTCCTTATAATAAAAAATAAATAGACATGCACATTTCTGTTCTAACAACATTGCTAATTAAATTTTTATGAAGTTATGCAATAATAGGAAATCCATGTCATAAATTGAAAAATCGTCTTAAAAGGATGAACATTGAAAATTTGAAAATAACAATTTCTACAGTTGTGTGACCCTTCAAACAATTCACTTGGCCTTTTAAGCCCTTTCTTTTGCGGCACTTTAATTTTTTTGTGAGAATAAACAATTACATACAAAGTTACTAAGGGGGCATTTGGTTCCCGTTTCCTAAAAACAACTGTTCATTTTATGAGATACAAAAGAAACGGGAAACAAGTTTCTTTTTTGTGCTGGCCTGAAGATGAAAAACAAATTTGGTGTAGTGTTTTTAAAATTTTATTATTAAAAAAACAATTTCAAGATACGGTATACAAAAAGCAGATGCATTTTATATTGGTAAGCAGTTAAAGACAATATCTCGTATTTTAGAAGAATAGAAACAAAATGATAATTAAAAACATAGGATTCTGAATCGGAGAGGTCATTCCTCCTCTCCATATAGAATTTCATTGCAAACAGCATTTTCATATCTATGGGCATACAAGATTTCGGTGGGATTTTACTGCAAAGCTGCAAACATTGTGACTGCATCAGACAAGGAATGTTGTGAACTAGAGGACAACTTCCTTAACCCTGGGAGTTCACATGACTATTGATGATGAGGATGTTAATCTCAATTTTCAGTGATCCTTAAGATCAGAGTTTAAAGGAAAAGGACAATGGATGATCACTGCTTAAAGAGATGGGGCAAAACGAAAACTTACCTGTAAGTTTGTAATGAGACACGACTCAAAACGTAAAAAAGAGGAAAAGGGTTGCAGAAACAAGTAATTTCAGGCACTTGTAGTTCTTTCTATTTTGGTGTTTCTATCTATCTATGTGCTCATTATACTATTTAGTTATTTTAAGAAAACAAATAAATTAATGAATGAATGAATGCACAGGGTAGTTGGCATTCAAAGATAAAGATTCGAAAAGGAGAAAAAGAAGCTTCTCAACAAGGAGAACAAAGAGACAAAGAGGCATTACTGATCGGAGATATTCGTACGGAAGGTCTGTTCTCCAAAAGATACACAGGCAAGCCACTTGTCCTTGAACTTCATTTCAGCCTACCACAAACACAGGAAAACCCCAAAAAAAAAATTTCTCTATTTATTTCACTCACTCCAAACACTGCAATGCTAATTCAATAAAACAAAAAACAAAGAACAAGAAACTTACTCGAACGAGAGTGAGCAAAGCGATTCCGGCGAAATTTTCAGCATTCAGGAGTTTGCCATGAGACGGGGAATTTGAGCGACTGCGACGTCGTCGATGAAGGTGAAGTCGCTGCTTCAGCCGAGCGCGACGTGATCCTTTCGACTGTGACTCTGCAGCGCCATTCTCTTCTTTCGAGCTTCCATGCCCCATTGCCTCTCTCTCTCTACCTACGGGGACTGTGATTCTCGCTCTAAACTGTTCTGCTTTTTGATTGGTAATGTTTCCCTGCAATTGGGGACTCGGGAGTATATTCTTCTCTTGTATCTTCTTTTATAGAAATGACCAATACAGAAAGAAGGCAATTATTTCTGGAATTTGAAGAATAAAGAAAAGTCAACTTTTACGACAACTCCAAAAAGAAAAATATAATTACCTTTTGGATGATGGACTTGTCAGATCGCACTATTAGTGTACCATACAAAAAGCTTATTTTATGCGGTGACCATGGTGGAAAGCTTTTCTTGTAACAACTGGGATGGACATTGTCGGGTTTGGTTGGCTTTATGCCAAAATTAGACCGAATCAAATAGAGTAATTGATGTGGTTCGGTTTTGATTTGGGTTTAGGGTCGGGCTGTGTCCTAAAGCCTTTCGATTCAGTACAGGTTCAATATTACTTGTATGAATAAAATAATTGAAATAACTCGAGTTCAATGGACTAAATTTTTATTGGGACATTTTGGAAAAAGCAAAAGGAGAGAGAAAAATTTTAAAAGAAGCAAAAATGAACAAAAATGCCCTTATTTATTTTTAGATTTCCTAAGGAATCTAATACATTTGTATGTCTTTGATTTGAAAGTTGAGCGGTTTTTTTGTCTTTTTTAAAAAAACTTTGGTTTTTTCCAAAAGCGAAAATTTTTTTATGTCTAAAACCTAAAAAACCTATTTTTATTTTAGCCCCAAACGCTAAAATAATCTGATAAAATTATATATTTACAGAGTACCATATAACCGCACGGCTATACTATTTAAATATATTAATATTTTAAAAGTATCGCCGAGCAGCTATAATCAAATATTTTAAAAGTATAGCCGCCAGACTATACTTTTCAAATATATATATATATATTTCTTTCTTTATATATTTAAGTGTGATTGAGTAGTAATTGTGAGTTGGATCTCTTTCCCTCTTCCACATATATTTCTCAGACTCTAACCCTAGAACAAACTAGGGAGGAGAGTTATGTTTATTCGGGGGGGGGTTGAAAAGAGTAAATACCGGCAAGACTTTTTTTACATGGAAAATTAGATTCAAAAGGCATTCAAGCAATTTTATGCTATGAAATTTAACATTATTTGATCCATAAAATGTTGATGAATCTCTATTTTTTATTGTTGTATTTATGAATTTAACCCGTATTATTTATTATAAATAATATCAATTTTTTATTCTTATTCAATGGGCTAATAGCTAGAAATAATTAGAATGGTATATATCGGAAAAAATTTAATTATCATTCCCCAATGTAACTTGTATAAATAAAATAATTGAACAAATAACTCTAGCTCAAGCTAAAATCATCTGAAAAAATTGTATATTTAATTGTATATTTAAAGAGTACAGTCCTGATCTCTTAGACTACAGGAGTCCAAGAGATTTGTGGTCACTCACCGTTGGATGTAAATTCAACGGTTCACTCACTCTTGCACTCATTTTAAAAAACTTTTTAAACCATTATATTAATATCCAACGATAGGTGACCACAATCTCTTGGACTCCTGTGGTCCAAGAGATCAGGACTGTTAATAGTACAGTCTTGATCTCTTGGACTACAGGAGTCCAAGAGATTTGTGATCACTCATCGTTGAATGTAAATTCAACGGTTCACTCACTCTTGCACTCATTTTAAAAAACTTTTTTGAACCATTAGATTAATATCCAATGGTGGATGACCACAATCTCTTGGACTCCTGTGGTCCAAGAGATTGGGATTGTTTAATAGTATAGTCACGCGACTATATTTTTTTAAAATATATTTGATTATTATACTTTTAAAATATATATTACAACTCACTAACCTCATTTATTTGGGTACTGCCAGGGGTTTTAAGTTGTAATGTTTTTTCAGCATAGAATAATAAATAGACCACCAATAAAACTACCAAATGCAAGCTCTATCGATCAAAACCAACAAAGAGGATATTTTCATTTTTATTGATCACAACTTATGTGTCCCCATGTTCTGAAAACTGCGTCATACATCCATTCCTAGTTCAGGGAACAAAATAAACTCTTCTGAAACATTTAATCCATTCAAAAACGTAAAGACATGCTATGTCAGTTTAGGGCAAACGTAATCTCCACATCACTTCAGTTTTGGGAAAAGCTTTGGTGCAACCTGCATTGCAGAATGGTGGTTTTAGTTTAGGATTTTAGCAGAGCGTACAAGACATAAATGGGTCTCAAGACAATCGAAAAGTACTACTTACACATTTGTCAACACAAGACCAGTAGTCGAAATATTGCCCAGTACAATGCTTGTGCCCGCTTTCATCACCTTGGATTCTCTTAACACATGCCTGTAACAAAGTATGAAGCCATTTTTACACACCATTTGCAAACTAATTCAAATGCTGCGTAACACAAACTTTGATTCGGTGTAGGTCACTATTTTGGGAAAGATTTTACAATTTACAGCCAAAGAATGCTACATGTTCAACTCAGGCAAGTTCAGAGAGTACAAATAAGTATTAGAGTCGAGAGTTCAGTTAATATTCTAAATCTTCATGATCTCTTATTAATCAATTCCCTATTATTTAGGGTGAAATACATCTGCTTTTCATTCCCATTTCCTCATTTTCTCAATTTCAAAAGTCAGGCCCATCTTCTGGGAGACCCATGTACTTAAAGAATAGTTCACCTTTTCTGTTTCATTTTTCATTTTATACAGAACAGTTTTATCTTTAAACTGCCAATGTTATGAAGTTCAAATTTTCAAAATGTTGCAAATTACCTGATACTCGAGTAGTGGTTTGACACACTTTGGCTTGCAAGACTCTTCGAGGTACTTCTTTTGATCAACTGGTTCCTCGTCCGCCCTAAACATATATTAACAACCTATGAGAAAAGAAAAACAAACGTGCATACACACACATACAAAAGACAAAGAGCCCAACATCGACGATATCATAGGCTTTACACACAGGCGTTGAAGAATACATTATTGTAATATCGCTAGAGCAAGAAACTGAACTACCAGTGCCAACTATTAATGTAAAGATCCAGTGCTGTGAACATTCAGAACTCATCATTTTGTTAGGGAGAGAACAGAGTTTCCAGTTAATTCTACCTGATCATGAATTGTTGTGATTTACCTAGGTACTAAGTGAGAAATTAATCTTAGAATATGTATCACCCATTACTGTATTGCCCACATTCTAACCTTTTGAATATGTATTCCATGATTGTTGTGAAACATTGATTCCTCAATATCAAATTCCATTTTGTTTCAATTGAACAAATAAAAAAGTATGCTGTTTCTATTCTTATCATCCCTTAAAAGTTCTCCTATGTGTTATTCTCTTTAATAATGTCTAATTGTAAAAACAGTTCCTGTTTCTTATTTTCTACATCACCATTTATGAATTATCTTCCAAAAACATGATCCTTATGAACATCTTTCCCATTATTGATCTATCATCATCGAAATCTTGGGCATAGACAAAATCAAGCATTTTCTGCACCCGAACACTCTACAAATCTATCATCATTTAAGTGTTGTGGTCCAATTTTGCAATCAGGGTATTGATGTATATAAGGTTTAGGGACACTGATATTCAGATGTAAGATTAAGTGTGATTTTCCAAAGTTTACCAAGTTTACATTGAAATTTTAAGATATTTAGTTGAGCAAAAGTCAGATATTCTCTGGTTTACTTTGTAAGTGTGATTTTGCCTTTCAAAATTCAGATGTACGATATTAAAGCTTTTTTAATAAGTGTGACTTTTATTTCCTTGTTGATAAGTAACATTAAACACCCTTTCATTAATAAAAAGAACAATACAACACAGGGACAAGTTGTCAATTCTAATATTTTCATTTCGAAAATGGTTGTGGTGGATTCACCAATCTATCTGCAAGAGGATCACATGAAACTACTCAACTATGACGTGAAGCAAAATAAGCTAAGTTCAATATTACTTAACACATACAACTGATTATTATATACATACATATGGTACAAGTGCTGGTCAACAAATACTGAACATGATCCTTTAATTGGTTAAAGTCAGTGAGCTAACAACTTCATGTGATTATGGAAAAATATCATCATATATTACATTATGATCTAATTAATGAAATTTCAACCCACAAAGTTTAATCTGAGAAGCAACTATAACAATGAAATCATGACACACAAAAACAAAAAAACAAAAAAAAGAAGACATTCTTGCTTTATTTCCAGGACCACACGAGAAAGTAAGCACACCAACCCAATTTTCAGTTAAGAATGTAACTAAAAAGATGAAACCATTTAAAGAGCCCTCTGCTTTTAAGGGGGGGAATTTATATAGGCAGAAAAACATGAAATGTCAAGTAGTATCATGTTGCTAATCCTAAATGTCAAGTACTACCTTTTGTTTCACTAATCAGCACCCACTAACAAAACAAAACATTACTTGAAAAATATTTTTTCTGACCAAGAGCTCAATACAAGACCTACTTCAAAGCTAACTTGATTCAGAACTTTTTTGACTAACAAACCAAAAGCTCAACGGGATATACAGAGTGGTAATCTATATGTCCATCCTACAAACTTACCGTATAGTACAAAAGATTCACCTCTCTATTGTATCGAGACGATAAATCTTGGTCTGTTTCTAAAAGAATGCTTATCATACTACCTTTTGCCTATCTAACATTTTTTTTTTCTTTTTCACAAAGGGATATTTTAAACTACAGTAGTGTACGGGGAGGGGGATTGATGCCTTAGCCAACCGACCTGACCCACATCTGCAGCCTATCTAACATTTCTTTTTAACTCCATTGAGTTTTTTTTTCTTCTTTTATTATATTGTATACTAGTCCAATCACCTAGCAATATGAATAAGCAAATATGGCTTGTGGAGGCGCTATCTCCTAACAAGCACTTATTGAAAACCATGAAAAGGGAAATCATTTAATTGTTCAATCCTATTTTACATGCTATCCCAACATTTGGTAGCTAAAGAGGTAATAAGGTGAGAGCAATCATTTGGTGCATTTAGTAAAAGAAGAACAAAGTGAACATTTAACGAATGGTTGCACATCTTGGAATACTATTACAAAAGGTTGACCTCTCACCACATAAGTTAGAAGATTGGCAAATGCATTCTTCAGGCAAAGATGAAAATGGTCATGGAAAAAAAAGAGATGCGTTCACGAAATGTAAAGAAAACATAACTTACTCTAGTACACATAAATGTTAATATCATCGACAGACGAATTTCAAGCCATAAATAACCCCAATTTAAATAAAATATACACTTACATAGCAAATAAACAAAGAGGAAGTTGAGAAGTCACAAAACTGCGCACAGAGGAGCCTTCAAGTCACCTGACTGCATCACGTAACCAAAAAGAAGTTTCTCAAAATACCCAGATCGAAAAAATGCATAATGTGATTATTTAAATTACTAAACAAAAAACCAGAAAATCTATCACCAGGCAGATAAAACTGAATGCAAAAAGAAAAATGGTAACAGGCACTACTCATAATTACAAGCATTAGATCTGCCAAGAAACAAATTAGCTCAACCCAGTTAACCATCTACCTTCTTTAATTCATACGCAGATTTAAAGAGAAAGATGTTGAATAATCTGAAACAAAAACCATAATAATCAACTACCCATAATTTTTTGTTGGCCTAAAATAATTTCAGATAGGCTCATTCCACATGAACAAATACAGGTCCTGCTCTTTTCTAAAAATAAAAAATAAGAAGGATTAAAGAGTAAAACAGATCTGATAAATAATAAAAATTCGAAAATATGGTAAATATGTTGGTTCGAAAAATTAATTTAGATGCGTAGAGAAGAACATGGGGTTTACCTCTCAGTCTAGAAGAAGTCTGCGGGAGTTCAAATGAAGAACCGGAGCTAAATTCAGCTATATACTCTTTTGTCTATTGCTTCGGCGTAACGCTGCGTTTTTATGCCCAAGGCTTTGGCAAAGATGGGCTGACCCTTAGCCGGCCCAGGCTGCTATCAATGCCAAGTCCAATAACACAACCTAGATATGAGATCGATTCTACCGTATATATGACCCTTAGGTGAGGTTCTATTTCTTAACTGTTGAATCAAGCTAACCAATTTGATTTAACGGTTACGAGATAGAGCCTCACCTAAGGGCAATATATAAGGCCCTCACTAGAACTAAATTATTTTTGAAGAACGAACATAATTATCATATATTTTTTAATCAATAAGGAAGGGAAGAATTGAAAGTTCTTAGAAGCCTCTCAATCATTAACTATTGAATGCATATTGTTGTCCCACATTTATTAAATACATTATTGATCAAATCATACGTCAGGATAAAACCTAAGTAAGTCTCATTTTGGTGAGAAATATAGATATATATATATATATATGTAAAACATGCATGTAGCTTTTGTGTTTCCGCTCAATATATACGTCATTTTTGGAATAAACATCCAGGGAAGCTCATGTATTGGATAGCGTGGATTGGAATTCTCAAAACTACTCATAACATATTTTGTTAGAGTACAACATATAAGCGAAACCCACTTGAATTTGTTCATAACATTACTCCAGTAATCAAACTGTACAATTGGGATAAAGCTAATTCATAATAAGGGAGCACTTAGCTCTCTCTCTCTCTCTCTCTCTCTCTCAATAAAATCTTTCAGACAACTGCATTATCTATATCTATATCTATATCAACTTTTCAACAAAAATTTAATGCATTATTTTTTCGTTTAGAAAACTAGTGGTAGATAAGGTGATTACAATAAATAACCGCATAATATCATTGACCTCTAATTAGGTTTAACTCATAATATCGAAAACTCTCTCCCTCTATCTCTCTAAAACAAAAACCCCCATTGACTGCAACAATAGGGGGGGAGGTGGCTTCCGGCCCTCCTCCCCTCCCCCCTCATCATTTCCTATCTTCCCCCTATACCCTTTCTTATGCTGCTCTCCTCTCTCTCTCTCTCTCATCCCCCTCTGATTCTCCTTAGCTTCCTTTAGTTCTACCCTTCTCTCTTTTATACTTCTCCCTCCTCATTCTCGTGACCTACTAGGCTATGTACCGACTGTTGTGTTTTGGATCTGGACAGATTCGTTGTTCGTTGGTCATAAGTGGTGATCTTTGCAGGTTGTAGTTGTTGTGGTGAATCTACTTCAGATCTGGGCTGCTGTGGTGAATTTACTTCAGATCTGGGTGGATCTATGTGATGGTGGTGTTAGAGTCTTTTGGTTTTCTGTTTTGTGTTTAAAATAAGGGTTGCAACTCTCCGGAGGTTGCCTTGGGTCCTCACTTTGGGTGAGGTTATAATAACTGGCAACAATTAATGTCTTTTGTTGCGAGAGGTTGTTGGTGCTCCCCTTTGGGAGAGGTTCATGATCTACCCATACGTGTTGGTCTAGTGCCAGTCCCGATTATCTCTTGGCGTGTTGGCTTTATACTAGGATTATGTCCTTGGATGCTGTTTTGGGTGATGTCTTGGGGTGGTACCATAGCAGACAATTTCAATGTATCCTAGTGTAATCTGTATGAGTCCTGTAGTGGGTTTGTGTATGGGTTATGTTTGTAGGGCCTTTGGGCTTTTGTACTCTATTTTATCAATGAATTTCCATCTTTTGACCAAAAAACAAAAGGTGATTACAATAAATTTGTAATCTTTATACACACTATGGCCCTGTTCGGGATTTTTTTTTTTCCACTAAAAATCTGCTTAACTTTAAAATTAAGCAGTTTAAGGTGTTTGGTAAAAATAAAATATCCCGATTATTTTAAAAGTAGTGGCCTTTTAACAGCAGCTTTTAAAAGCAGACTCTGCGGTTACTTTTCAAAGCTGCTTTCAAAAAAAGCATAGATGAACATTTAATGAATTTTTTTAATTCCCAAAATGTCATCATTCATTTTTTAAAATGACACCACCTCCACTTCCACTTCCACATCCAACTCCACCACTTGCACTATCACATTCACTACCTCAACAACCACCGCCACCGCCACCACCACCACCACCACAACCACCACCACCACCATCACCACCTCCTCCAAAACCTCCACATCCACCACCACCACCATGCTATCACTACCACCAGCTCCACAACCGCCATCCCCACCACCACAATTACCACAACCACCAACTCTGCCTTCATTTCCACCACCAACTCCACTCCATCACTACCACTACCACCACATGATTAGTGTATAACACTTTTAATATCATGTCTATTTTAGTTATTATGCACAGTTACAACAATTTTATTTTACAATTTACCAAACGGTTTTAACATTGCATTTTGTACTAACAACATTTTAAAAATAGTGTTTACCAAACATGTAGCTGCTTTACTTTACAACTAATTATTTTTAAAGCACAGCAGAATCAACTTTTTTTAAAAGTGACAGCAATCCCAAACTAAGCCTGTATGTATCTATTTTGAGTTATTTACACTAACACCTCCAGAAATTGTATGTTTTTTCATAAAACTCCTTGAGGTTTTTGAAATTACAAAAACACTCCTTGAGATTTTAAATTGTTTTCACAAAACTCATTTTCATTCAAAGATTGATTATTTTATAATATAAAAAATCTTCAAATAACAAAGTTGGCCTTTGAGATTAGATTGCATATATTTCATTGAGGTTAATTTTGTCATTTGCATAAGGTTTTTTATTTTTATTTTTTTATTATATAAATGAAATCATAAATTTTTGTACAAACAATCAATGAAAAGGGATTTTGTGAAATCAAACTGAAACAAGACTTGTGTTTTTCTTCTTCTTTTTTCTTTTTCTTTTTTAATTGGACATTGTGCTCTTCTCTTCCCTCTCTTTTCATGCCTCTTTCCCGTAAGCTTCCTTGCATTTTCCTGACCGTGACTTTGGGTAGTTCAATAATATATTCATCTGCTGCTCAAGGCCAAACCACTGCCCCGTAAAAAACTATCAATTTGTAGTTGGTCTTATCTGAACCAATATCAATTAATGGATGCCAGGAATGCTGCCTCCTCTTCATCCTCACCGTCCTCCTCCTCAAGTACTCGGAAGTACCAAGTGTTTTTGAGCTTTAGAGGTGAAGACACACGCAAGGGCTTCACAGGCCACCTCCACGCCGCATTATCTGATGCCGGAATCAGCGCCTTTCTTGACGACAACGAGCTAGAAAGAGCTGAATTTATAAAAGACCAACTGGAGCAGGCAATCCACGGGTCCATGATCTCAATTTTATTTATTTATTGGTCAATGCTTCCAGCCTATATGTGATAAGCCCTGGTAGGAGGGGCACGGGTTGTAATCTTATTATTATGGGTTAAATATCTTTTTTATTAATGGATTTTATATGAAAATTCAACTTCATCACTCATAACAAAATTTAGTCAAATTGATCATTGTGTTTCTCAAAGTATACAATTTATAGATATTCCATTATCTTCCGTTACGTGTAGTTAGAGAAAGAAGACTCGAAGTGCTTTTTGAAAAAATAAAAATAAAAGATACATTTAACGAAAGATAACAAATGTCTATAAACCGTAAACTTGGGAAATACAATAACTAATTTGACTAAATTTTTTCTCAATGACTAAATTGAATTTTCTTGTAAAACTCAATGCCTAAAAAAATATTTAACCCTAAAAAATGGGACACTCCAACTCCAAATGACTATTATTATAAATAAGCAACCTCACAAAGTGGTTTAATAAAATAAATGGGCCGCGCCAACTCCAATTACTATTATTATCTGATCAGTTGTCCTCGTCATGATACATGCGGTGTGTTATGCAATATTTTATTGCATTTTAAAACCCATAAACCAATATACACAACTAGAGAAAAAAATAAAATTTTCAACCATCGTCTCTTTGGGGTGTCAGTGACTTTCCATCCCTCTCCTCCTCCTATTCCCTCCATTCTTTACCCTCCCAGACCTTCCCTTCCCCTCTCAACTTCTGCGAACGGACGCAGCGAGGAACTACCGAGTAGGGAAAGGTGCATCTGTTTTTATTTTTATATTTCTGCTACAAGGATGACTTGCAAACCTTTGCAAAGGATAGAAATAAATTTTTTTTTTTTCTTTTCTGATGTGCCTGAAATTCGTGTTAGCTGATATTGGAAACTATTTTTTGTTTTTGTTTTTTCTGAAAACATTAGAAACTTTACCTTGGACTAATTATGTGCTACATCAATTCTAAGTTGATAAACACGTGATCAACCATTTTTAGATTCTTGGTTTAACCATTAATATCACTAGTTTTAAAAAAAAAAAAAAAAAAAAAAAAAAAAAAAAAGAAGAAGCGAAAGAAAATCATCAACTGGACACTGGATTTTGGGAGAGAGAGGAGCAAATGGGTCTTGGATTTGAGATAGCTTATTGCTATTGCCATTGGGATTGGGTTTGTTCTTGTTCTTGTTCTTCTTTGGGTTCAATTAGACGGCCGTTATGGGCAAACGAAAAAAGTATTACAAAAGTAAATATTGTAAATTAATAAGTTATGGATTCAATTTAATCTTGTAGTTTGTTGCACCTGGAATGATTCGTAGTTCTGCTTCTGTGTTTAATTGGAATGAGGTGTTCAAGGACCTTGACTTGACTATAGGCATTTCTTTCAATAATGTATTCATCTCTGCTGCAGCACACCGACCCCTGCCAAGCAAAATTAACTACGAAACAACTCCTTCAGCTCAAGCGTTCACCGTACAAGCGTTCTCTGTAGCACCAATTAATGGGTGACAGGACATCCATTGAAGCCCCCTCCTCAAGAACTTGGAAGTACCAAGTGTTTTTGAGCTTTAGAGGTGAAGACACACGCAAGGGCTTCACAGGCCACCTCCACGCCGCATTATCTGATGCCGGAATCCGCGCCTTTCTTGACGACAACGAGCTAGAAAGAGCGGAATTTATAAAAAACCAACTGGAGCAGGCAATCCACGGGTCCATGATCTCGATAATTGTCTTCTCAAAGCGGTATGCCGATTCCAGTTGGTGTCTTGATGAGCTGGTGAAGATCATGGAGTGTAGAGAGAGATTGGGGCAAAAGGTTATTCCATTGTTCTATAATGTTGATCCTTCAGATGTCCGGAAACAGACTGGTAGTTTTGCACAAGCATTTGAGAAACATGAAGCGGGCATCTGTGAAGGTAAACATGAGAAAGAAAAGGTACAGCGGTGGAGAAATGCTCTCACTCAAGCTGCAAATTTGTCTGGGGAAGATCTTAAAAATGCTGACAATGGGTAATTACTAATTTCTTGTTCCTTGGATTATCATCTCCTTACTTGACAACCATATGTTTTCTGCCCTTTTTTTTTTCCAACTATGTTTTCTTTTTGACTTTGAACTAAGCATTCTTTCTTACTTGATAATGTAAGATCCATTTAACATTTGATGTTAAATCCCAATCTTAATTGTTAATTATATCTTAATTCTAAATTATTAAGTTAGGGATTCAATTTAACCTTGTAGTTTGTTCCACATCAAATGATTCGTAGTTCTGCTTCTTTGTTTAATTGCCAGGCATGAAGCAAAGTTTATCAACAAAATTCTTGGGGTGGTTAATAAGCAGTTGTACAACAAATACCGATTAGACATCAAACACCCTGTTGGAATTACTTCTCGGGTGAAGGTTTTGAGTAATTACTTAGATATTGAAAATTCAGGTTCTAAGGATGTTGTTCGCATGATCGGTATTTGGGGGATGGGCGGCATTGGGAAAACAACGCTTGCCAAAGCCATTTATAACGAATTTGAAGGTAGCTTTGAAGGTAGGAGTTTCCTTGAAAACGTGAGGGAAGTAATTGCAAACCAACCAATGGGTCTGGTTCGTTTGCAAAGACAACTTCTAAATGATATCTTGAAAAGCAAGGGCCCCAAAAAGGTTGACTCTGTTCCTAAAGGGATCGAGATGATAAGAAAAAGACTTCCCTGTAAAAGAGCACTTGTCATAATTGACGATGCAGATGATCTACACCAACTAGAAGCAATTGCTGGAGCGCGTGATTGGTTTGGCCCTGGAAGTAGAATTGTTATAACAACAAGAAATAAACATTTGCTAGAGCAAGTTGGAGTGGATAGCACATGTATCGCTGAAAAAATGGATGAGGAAGAAGCTCTAGAGTTCTTTAGTTGGCATGCCTTCAAAAGAGGTTATCCTAATCAAGAATACCTTGACCTCTCAAAACGTGTAATTCGTTACTGTCAAGGCTTGCCACTAGCACTTCGAGTTGTTGGGTCTTTTCTGATTAGAAGATCCATAGCGGGGTGGGAAAGCCATTTGGAGAAATTGCAAAGAAGTCCTGATGGAGATATTCAAAAAATACTCAGAATAAGTTATGACGGGCTACCTGACCATACAACGAGAAAGATATTCCTTGATATATCTTGTTTCTTTATTGGAATGGACAAGGACTATGTTACACAAATATTAGATGGATGTGGCTTTTATGCAACGATAGGAATCAGTGTCCTCATCGAACGGTGCCTTGTAACTGTTAGTGAGCAAAACAAGCTGATGATACATGATTTGCTTCGAGACATGGGAAGAGAGATCGTTTGTAAAAATGCAGATGGTCACCCTGAAAATTTTAGTAGATTGTGGAAACGTGAAGACGTAACAGATGTATTGAGCGATGAATCTGTAAGTACTTTCCCACTTAAGTTTTAGAATGCATCATGCAAGAGAAACATGTGTATCCCGTGTCTATAATAAATTAAAATGTCCTTTTCCATTTTTTGTTTTGTTTAGTACAAGTGATAGTCTAAACCAAAGTAAAAGAGGGGGTTCTCACACATACACACTACCAAGATGTCATATGAATTTGAACCTGAGACCTTAGTCTGCAAGTTTAGACCATTTTTGACTTTGCTAGATTCCGTTTCCATTTCTTATACTATATCCACTAAGATCAAAGCTCAATTAGGCATAACCAACAAAAAATATGTGCTTTGATTGCAAACACAAACTATAGGGCGTAACATGGTCCAATACTATTAATTATACCTTTTGGTTAATACATACACGGATTTTCATGTTTGTAAATCATTTTTCTAACTCGGTATCTTTTGTTAACAGGGAACTAAAAAAATTGAAGGAGTTGCTCTAGATTCGGATCTAGATTTGACTAGATTCAGTGCACAAGCATTTACCAACATGAAAAAACTGAGGTTACTCCACCTCAGCAAAGTAGAGCTCACTGGAGAGTTCAAAGATTTTCCCAAAAATTTAATGTGGTTGAGGTGGCATTATTTTCCTTTAGAGTCCATGCCAGATGACTTTCCTATGCAACCAAAACTAGTTGGTTTAGACCTGCGGCATAGCAAACTCAAAATAGTTTGGAAGGATTGCAAGGTATAATAATCTCAACCTGGTTGTTGTTGGTTCTTTCCTTCTGGTTCTATACATATATTATACTTCACCTTCTCTTCATTTTGGTTTAATTTCTGTATCAGAGACCTTCCTTTTGGATTTTAATTTCCATTCTAATTTTGTTTTTGTGTAACAGTTGCATCAGAATTTGAAAATCCTTAATCTCAGTGGTTCCCTTCGGCTAACAAAATCACCAGACTTTTCAAAACTCCCAAATCTCGAGGAATTGATATTGCAACACTGTGTGAGTTTGTCTGAGGTTCACTCATCCATCGGGGATCTTGGAAGACTTGTTTTGGTAAATCTTCAAGGCTGCGAAACGCTAAGGGATCTCCCACTGAATTTCTATAAATCCAAGTCTATCGAAACTCTTATACTGAATGGCTGTTGGAGTTTTAAAAATTTGGCTGAGGGCTTAGGGGACATGGTATCATTGACAACTCTGAAAGCGGATTACACAGCCATCAGACAAATTCCATCTTCCATATTAAAATTGGAGAAACTGAAAGTTTTATCTTTATGCGATGTGAAAGGGTCGCCATCAACAAATCTTTTGCCTCCTTCATTGCAAAGTTTAAGCTCTTTAAGAAAATTAGATCTTGCAAACTGGAGTTTAACTGATGATGCAGTACCCAAGGATCTCGGTAGCCTAATTTCCTTAGAAAATTTAGATCTTGCAGGAAATGATTTTTGCAGCCTACCAAGCCTCAGTCGTCTTTCAAAGCTTCATGATTTGTCTTTGAATAAGTGCAAAACTCTTCGTGCAATCCCAGATTTACCAACAAATTTGAAAGTCTTACGAGCAGATGGCTGCGTTGAATTGGAAAAAATGCCAGATTTTTCAGAAATGTCAAATATAAGAGAATTGTATCTAAGAGATTCGTGCAAACTCACTGAGATTCCAGGCTTGGATAAGTCATTAAACTCCATGACAAGGATTCATATGGAAAACTGCACTAAACTCACTGCCGATTTTAGGAAGAACATCCTACAGGTCAATCCTTCTCTCTCTCTCTCTCTCTCTCTCTCTCTCTCTCTCACACACACACACACGCATACATGAAAACTGCACTAAACTCACTGCCGATTTTAGGAAGAACATCCTACAGGTCAATCCTTCTCTCTCTCTCTCTCTCTCTCTCTCTCTCTCCTCTCTCTCTCACACACACACACACACACGCATACATCTTTCTCTTTCTATCACATGCAATAAGAATGTATTTCTTATAGAAATTTGGTTCTACATGGTATAGGGCTGGACTTCTTGCGGATATGGTGGCATTGTTATCAGTGGAAATGATATTCCTGATTGGTTCGACTATGTCCATGACGATGATTTTGTGTATTTCACTGTGCCTCCAAGTGGTGATCGTATTTTGAAAGGGTTAACTTTGTCCTTCGTTTGCTCTTCCGAATTATACGGTTGTCGTATTAGCATTAAAAACATAACCAAGGGTACTAAGCTTGACCCCTGCATCATACCCCATTGTCGAACTACGAATTATCTTTGGCAGGGACAGTTATCAAATGACGAGCTCAAATTGCAAGATGGTGATAAAGTCTTGATTGAAATAATAGTGGTGGAAGATGAATCGGTGAAGAAAACAGGTGTAAGTCTGGTATGGGACAAATTTATGAACGAAAATATGATTGATTACCATGTGTATGAACGACGCCCATTTCAAAATCTGGGCGAAAAAAATGACTTCATTCATCTCATATGTGAAGATCACATAACAGAATCACCAGACTTTTCAAAATGGCCAGATCTCGAGAGGATGATAGTGAAAGGTTTTATAAGGTTCACTCATCCATCGGGGATAGACTTTTTGTTTGGGTAAATCTTGAAGGCTGCATCGATCTAGAGGATCTCCCACTGAATTTCTATAAATCCAAGTCTATTGAAACTCTTATACTGAATGGTTGTTCAAGTTTTCATAACTTGGCTGATGGCTTAGGGGACATGGTATCATTGACAATTTTGGAAGCAGATAAGACAGCCATCAGCCAAATTCCATCTTCCATAGTAAAATTGAAGAAGTTGAGAATTTTATCTCTATCTGGTGAGAATTTTGAAATTCCATCTTTTACCCCTTTCTTTACATGGCTTAAACTCTTTAATAGAGTTATTATGTCTTGCAGGCTGCTGCTTGTCAACTGAGGATGCAATCCCTAAGGATCTATGTAGCCTAATTTCCTTAGAACATCTGCTTCTTGGAGACAATAACTTTTGTAGCCTACCAAGTCTCGCTGGTCTTTCAAAGCTCAAAGTCTTGTCTTTAAATGCATGCAGAGAACTTCGTGCAATCCCAGATTTACCAACCAATTTGTATGTTCTGAAAGCAAATGACTGCCCAAAATTGGAAACAATTCCTGATTTTTCAAAAATGTGGAATATGAGAGAATTGTATCTCTGTGATTCGGTCAAACTCACATTAAACTCCATGACAAGGATTCATATGGAAGGCTGCACCAATCTAACTGCCGATTTTAGGAACAGCATCCTACAGCTCTCTCTCTCTCACTCTCACACACACATACAAACACCGAGGCACAGCTGCAGATGCGGCCCATATATATAATGATATATGCATGCATGTATAAGAATGTATTGCTTCTGGTATGCAGAGATGGACTTGCGGATTTGGTGGAATTTATTTGAATGGAATTTATGGTATTCCTGAGTGGTTCAAATTCGTCAATGATGTGGACAATTTCGTCTTCTTTAAAGTTCCTCAAAGAATCATGGGTCGTGATTTAAAAGGGTTGACTATTTGCTTCGTTTACACAAGAAGGTCTTATGGTGATTATCCGGGATTTGAAGATTCTCAAGGTCTTATTGGCATTATCGTTAGAAATTTTACCAAACAAACTGCTTTGCGCACTTGGATAGCATTTGACTCGGTAGAAACTTGCAGTAAACCTGAAGACGATTATCTTTGGCAGGGACAATTGTCAAACGATGTGCTCTGTTTGCAAGGCGGGGACCGAGTCTGCATTCTTGTAAGGCCTGATGATGTTGATTTTGTGAGAGTGAAGAAGACAAGGTTTCATCTAGAATGGGACAAAGTCATGAAGGAAATATGGATAATCCGGATCCTCATTTGTATGATTTGGAAACAAATCGAGACTTTTGAGGGGAGTTGATGACTTCATTTCAAGAAATTGTACCATACTGAGCAAGCCATCAATGTTGATGGAGGAAGAAGAAGCCATGATGAAGCAGAGAGAAATTGCAATCTTCATTTCTGTATTTCTTAATCTTTTAAGCTACAACACTATTACACTTTACACAGTTGTCTAACTAATTCACGTACGCTACTAAGAACTCACGTACCTTGCACACCTAACTCACCCCTGAATTAGACCAACACTCCAATGCCGGTTAAGACAACAGCACTTGCAAAAACTCTAGTGTGGAGAGACGTCCATCCCGTTTTCTGGGTTGTGGTTTGGTAAGATGACCCAAATCTATTACAATGTTACAAATTTTAGTAGGAAATCTACTTCAATGATTTGGTGATGAGATGACTCAAATGAGAGAGCCACGCAGAGACCACCACCTGTCCCAAAGCCCCACATGTCACATTCTGGTGCACTCTTCACTTCTGTAGGTAGTAGACACGTGTCAGCATAAGCAGCAACATATACTTCACACCTCCTTCGCACATGAAACATCACAAACCACTCGAACCTGGGATGACCAAACTGCCTCGGAACCTGGGATTCCGAGCCTCTACTTTTAGAGTCTGCATTTCCTTGCATTACACTCAACCTCGGAATCCTCCATATATGATGACGAGGCAATGAAAATATTGAAAGCCATGCTTTACTCTGCAGATTCCACAGAAGGGAAAAATCTACTCTGTAAACGAAGGAAACGCTCAAACCTGGGATGACCAAACTGCCAAGTATGTTCTGGTTATTTTCCTATTGAGAATTTTACATTGCAAGTAAGTGAAATAATCAAATAAAAAAACAGTACTATAATTGATACTTTTATCTTGCAGATATGTGGGAAAATGCAAGTTCCCAAAAGATGGTTCATCTCCAAAGTCTCTTAGATACATTGGAAGGTATAATTCAGTAATGAATGTTTTGTTTGCACACCATTTTCTCTCTGTTCCTGCCTTTTGCTCCGGTACTGCAATGCATCTATTATCTACTTTTACCCTACTAATTGGGGCAATAAACTTACCTGCAATAGGGGCGTATACCTCTGTGTCTCTCATCATCACGTGAGGAGAGACATATACAGGCGTGTCACTATTGGTACTTTAAAGCCTAACATAAATTCTTATAAAGCTATGAAATTCGCTTGAAGTCAATTTTGGTACATACAAGTTGTTCCTGTGAAACAAAAATATATATATTAAAAAAGAAAAAAGAAAAAAGAAATCCCTCAGTCTCTTTTGATGACTATTTGGAATTGTTCCCAATTTTTCATTTGGTGCAGCTTCTAAAAGCTTTGCCCTGGACGACCCTGGCTTAGTGATGAACCTCCTCTCTCCTCATTCTTTGGTTTTTCTTGTTTTGACGCACGGGAACCTCCAGATGACCCTTGACGATGGTTTTCTCTCATTTCTTCAATCTGCGGATGCCATATAAACTGTCAGAAAAATAATTTTGACTAATTAATACTAATTTTTTTGACAAACTAATAATAATACCAAAAAAAAACAATGTGTTTTAAATTTTCAGTTTTTTTTTTATTTTTTTTATTTATACAAGCGATATATTAAGAGAGAGGGGATCGAATCTGAGACCACTAGGCTAGACCCCGTTCCATAGAATTTAAAAAATATCAATAACAATGATAGTGATGAATAATAATGCCATTCATATTCGAGTCTCTCTTTAAAAGCAAAACATTATGTGGCAACCTGGCTACGTATAAATATAGTAATTTGTAAACCGTAAAAACAAAAATAGGAATAATAATCTAAGGATTTATTTGAAACGTGAGATTTCCAATTAGGAATTTATAAGGATTCATTATGTTCATTGCATCATGAAATTTTAAAAAAAAAAAAAAAAAAAAAAAAAAAAAAAAAAAAAAAAATCTATGGGGAGATAAGTTGCCAATTAGATTAAGAAATTCTCACCACCTCAATGGGTTACAATTGTTAATTTGAATTTTTTATGGGGAGATAATTTTAATTCTAAGTGTTAATGTTTAGAAAAAAAATATAAAATAATTAAAATACTAGAAAACGCCATTGGTTAATGAAACATTAAGAATAGAAATAATTAATTATATAAAGATAATATGGTAAATTCATACTTTTTCATATTAAAAAAAATTAAAATTAAAAGAAAAATAAGATAATGAATCCTATTTTTATGGAATTCAACTACTTATTATCTTTTTTAATTCTAAAATAAATTTAATTTTTTTTAAAAAAAAAAACCCTCTCACAGGCATGGAAACGCGTGCAGAGAGGTTAATAAAAAATAAAGAGGTAAGGCAGAAATAAATAGAAAATATTTTTCTTTAACTGAACCTTGAATATAAACCGAATAAAATAATAAACAAGTAGCAATTTCACAGCAAAATTAAGTAAACTGTAAAAGAAGAAGAACTCAATGTGAAAAATAAAACCATCGAAAGTATTACTAGAAATAATATTACGTACCGATTTGATCAAGGCCTGGATAGCCCGATCAGGTCCTACAACCACAGCATCGTCCTCCACTTTTGTCGTCGGAGGAACGCCGACATGTTGTTGCTTTGGTGCAGAAGGACCACCTTTGATTGCATCTTTTGCATCACTGCAACCACAATCTCCCAAACTGTTCCCCATTTTTAATTTCAAATTTAATCTATTTGCAATTGGAAGAGCAAATTAATTTGAAATTAATAACACCAACAAGAAGAGGGAAAAAAAATAAAGGAATAATGAGCATATATATAGAGAGATTTACAAATCTATCACTCTCTTCTTCCTAAGACCACAAAATTTGGGATTACATTAGTAGAAGTTTTAATTTCGGGCCGGGCGGGCGGGGTGGTCTTTTTTTTTCCTTTTTTTTTTTTTTTTTTTTTTTTTTTTTATCTGGGTAAATTATTATATGAAATTTAAAATATGATTATAATGTTTTTGGTAAGATTTGGCACTGGATTAAGCAATACCAAAAAACTGGGTTTCCTTTTCTTTCTTTTTTCTTTCCCTTTTTTTTTGGTTATGAAAAAATTATTGGGGCTATATAGCCGTTGTTCTTTTGCTTTCCTCTCTAATTGAACGATTACCTAGTTGTTCAGGTAATACATAAACTAATATTTAGTTCATGATTTTTTTATTTTTATTTTTATTTTTGGTTTAACCAAAACCTAGTGACTCTATGGATAGGAAATTAGGGTATCAAGGCCATCAGACCATTGTGAATGATGAAACAATTATATTTTGGAAACGTAAACAGGCAAATTTGTGAATATAGAAAGAGATGAAGTAGCAGAAGGGGAGGAGGAGTCATTATAACCGCAGTCTAAGCTGAAAGTCTTCTCAACACGCTGCACAACTCAATGTGAGATTCTAGGCATTGTAGTTTTAGCTATTGACCTTAAAGGAAACAAAGTGAAATCTCCTGATTACTTTTCCGTCATTACCAAAAGTGGGAAATGAATTTTTCATTCCTTTTCATTGGGAAATGACATGGGAAATAATTTCCCTTTAAATCCATTCCGTGAACCAAACGGGGCCTAAGATTATGCACACGCATATTTGTATTGGAAAAAAAAAAAAGAATTAGATAAAACTCAAGAAACGCAATGACTTGTTCAAACTCAGCAGCAAAAGATTGAGCATAAGAGTCAAGTTATGCAATGTGGAGAAGAGAAGCTAAAACCTACATATGTGGAGCTAAAAAATTGACAAAATGTACCCACATAATAACGCAGTTATATCCAATTATAACATCCCAAATTTTAAACAAACAATGGAAAAAACAATGCTCTCAGAAATTACATGGGTACCGAATTTTGCAACAATGTCCAAAATCCCACGTGCAACATGATATGAATATACACAACCACATCTCAAAGTCAATAATAGAAAACAAAAGTCGAGGAAAAAAAAAAACAAATTGATGTCCAAAATTAGATTCAACTTAGATAGAAGAAGTGTGGAGTTTTCAGCAGGACTAAGGGTTGTGTTCCTTTGGAAAGAGGGATATTCGGTCACAAGGTCATCCTGCAGAAGAAGGATGGAATAAGTAATCGTCAAACTTCGGGTATTGATGTGGTATTTGCTAAAGGCTCTTCAACACTTAAGTCAGTAAGTGTGGGTTACACAGTAATTTTGACAGAGTAACAGTAAAGGTGAAAAGTAGTTACCTTTCTACCTGGACACTATTCCCCTTTTATAGAGAAATTAAGGTGAGTATTTACACAAAGTTTTGATGTAGGACTTTGTGCAAATCAATGTGCTGGTAACACATGTCCAAAGCTTAGGTTATGTAGTTGAGAGCTTCAGCAATCGCCTTCGGCAAACTATTGACATATTAGAGGGAGATGTCTTCAATAGCTGAGGTCATGTTGACGTTATAATGTTTGGGGATTTTCCAGAAGTATCTTACCTTCGGCAGGCTGTGGGTCTGCTTATGGGTCAATCCCTCAGAACTGAATGTGCTCAGTAGATTATATTACAAGCACAACCTAATAAAGGAAATTTGTACATTGTTTGAACCACGTTTGTTGGCAAAAAATCATTTATGGCTTGAAAGTTAGTCCTCAAACCGCGTGTTGAGACCAATAGTTTGGATGTGATTGTCTTGTAGAATTTACAATAATAAATTAATAATCATCCAAAACAATGATAATTTCCAGCCAAATTCAAAGAAAACCAATTATTATCGTCCAAATAACACCAAATATGGGATGCAATCGATGAGAATGGATATAAGATCCTATGATTCTCTTCTATTCATCATAACGTATGTATGCTCTTTTCTTAACTCTCATTCACCGAAATTCCAAATAGTCCTTGATTCTTCTTCCTCACCGCATTCTCAACCAAATCTAGAAGAACCATAAATATCCAAAACACAAAGTGATCATGAGAGATGGGATCATCATCTTATAATTTGTAAACACAAACATTAACTTGCTTTGAATGAAGGAAAAGATTTAAATTTAGATTAAGAGGTGGTGGCGCTACTACGAGATAGGGCAGGCGATGTGGTCTTATGTGGCTATTAGTGGAGATACACCACGTGTACGCTTGTTTTGTTCAACCATGTGGTTACTGTGCTTTCATATTTGTATGGCCTTCGTGACTGATGGTTTTTGTGCTTGATTACAATTATATTCTAAAAAAGAAATTTCTTTATTTCAAATGATTCCACTTGATTCAAATGACAAGGTTACATAGCTAGGTATTCACATGGTTTAATTCTAAAACATGAATCCCAAATACATATTGATCATTAATGTGTAAACGTGTGAACAAGCATGACCTTCGGAAACTTGACTGTACATGTCCATGAATTAAGAAAATTAATGAACCTTCAATTGAATTTGGTTTATTCATCAAACAAGTTTCACGTAAATTTGGTATTTACAGTCATTCTTTCTTTCCTTCCTTTTTTTTTTTTTTTTTTTTTTTTTTTTTTCTACCTTTTTTTTGTTGATAATGCAAACTAATAACGAAAGAAAATCTCAATTAGTCATACTGGGATTTAGGAAAATCGAGGGTCTAAATCGAAAACGCATTAAACATCTGAGGATATTGTGAAATATACTAAAATGATTCACCAAGAAAAACCATATTTAAACCAGCAAATACAACCAAAACAAAGAAAGGAGACTCATTCTTCCCCAACCAATCTAATAGCTTTCTCTTCAAATCATTTGGAAACACACAAAATTTTTATAAAGTCTTGTAGTAGAAATTACAGGCCCACAGTGACTCCCTTAGCAGGTCTTCATATTTGCTCCTTCTTTTCCTCTTTTGTCTCCTTCTCTTCTGGTTTTGTCTCCTTTTCTTCTGGTTTTGTCACTTTCTCTTCTGGTTTTATCACTTTCTCTTCTGGTTTTGTCTCCTTTTCTTCTGGTTTTGTCACTTTCTCTTCTGGTTTAATCTCCTTCACTTCTGGTTTGGTCTCCTCCACTTCTGGTTTGGTCTCCTTCACTTCTGGTTTCTTCTCCTCAATATCAGATTTCTTGTCTTCTTGGGTAACTGCAACTGGTGCTGCTTCAGATGCCTTCTCCTGCTCAACCACTACTTCCTCTTTCTTTTCAGTCGTCTTTGCCTTTTCTTCGGCTTCCTCTAGCTTTGCCGCAACTTGAGCTGTCTTTTCTTCTTCCTGTATTTATAGTGTGAGAAATACATCAATATTTATAAGCACATGCATAAACAGGTGTGTGAACATGTAATTTGCAGATAAAAAATCTAGGCCAAAACATAAGAAATCATGCAAAATGCATATACAAGTTAATGCATGGACACTAGCCTATATAATCAATTAAGAGGAGAAGAGAGATAATATATATCTATACCTCCTTGAGCAAGGCCCCAAGAGAGGGTTGCTTGTTATGATCAGCATCGTTGTTTTGCTGAGCATCTCCATCATGATCAGCCTTGTTTTCTTCCTGAAGCAGCTCGCGGTTCACCTCGTTGCCCTGGACCGACTCCTCCGTCTTGGGCTCGGGTGCTGGGACTCCAGCAGCATCATCACCCTTGGTCTTGGGTTCACTAGCGCAATTACCCATGTTAATTTCTTTGATCTCAAAAAAGGTCTTCTTTCCCTCTCTACGTTTTAGTGAGAGAAAGGTTGAAGAAGACCGGAAATATTTTTAGAGTAGTTGTGAGAGAGAGAACATCATGTATCATGTTTTATAGGTAGGGTGTGGTTTAGTGCATCTAAAGCCAGCCATTCTTCCAGTGGTGCAGAACATTTTTAGGAAGGCCAACGGTGGTTATCATTTCAATTCTATCATATTTAGCCTGCAACATCAAACTTGGCCCTTATAACAGCTGGATGATTACCAATGACATGCTGTTAATGTATTCATCAATCATTTACTTTGAGTTTCTTCAAGAAGAAAGAAAGAAAATATAATTTTCTTTAAGTATTTAGGATTTTCTATACACGTCCCAATATTTCGGGGAAAAAAAGAAAGGAAATGAAAAAAAAGAAAGAAAGATATCTCCAACCAAAACAAAAGAGAGGGACTGTGAGAGAGAGAGAGAGAGAGAGAGAGAGAGATTCCACTTCTCACTAGTTTGGCAACGGAAATTCTCTACATATCTACATACCCTAACCATTTGCTCCTATATATGCATACCTTTTTTTTTCTTTTCTTCAGGTCTTGTAACCTTCATATGTAACATTTATAATTTGGTGATCATTTTTGCTCTTAGTGGTCCTAATAGATATTATTAAATCAAAATTATCATTAATTATCATTAATTCGTGATCCTATAATTCTCATATGTATATGAATTCATAATTTTTAAGTATCTCATTGTCTTTGGGTACTTATGCCTCTCCATGGGTGTTATTTATGAACATGGCTTAAATTTTCAATGAAGTCTACTTCTGGGAAGTTGAGTATAGACCTTATAGATCTACCATACTTTATTATAAAATTTTCAATAATATGAAAAAATTCACGTATTATACATGTATTTTTCACATTGTATTAAATACAAATTAATATATATTACTATTTTAAATAAATAATATTAAAATATTATATAGTGGCAGAAAACTCCATTGTATTTTAAAAAAAATTTACTGCATACGTATTTTATTTGTACATTTCGCATTTTGTATTTTACTAACTATGTTACTTGTTCCCGTGAATGTCCTTATTTGTTCAAAAATATATCGAATGTTTCTAAAGTATTTTAAATGTTGGAAGATAGTTGCACGTAATTCATTTAAAAGGTTAAATTTGTGAATTAACTAGAAATATATGTATTATATTTATAAACTTAAACGGGATGGAAAAAATGTCCAATATTTGAAAGTGAAGGCTCTTAGCATGAGTTTATAAGAAGTTGGGTTACTCCCCGCATTGTCAATTGGGGTTTTGGGGTGGAATCTCAACTTCTTTTATAGTATCATAGTGGGTTTGCCCACATTTGACACTCAATGACCGTGCACGTACTCCATGTCACCCAATATATGTACTTACATATTATGCTTAGTCCAATAACCACACGTGCTCCACATCATCCTATATATGTGAGAATGATGATTCTAATAGTGCTCTTTCTTGAGAACCAAAAAGGAAAAGGCCCTCCCTAGGGTGACAGACCTTGAGATATGGTTTATCAAAGTTAAACCTCTTCTTTCCTTCATTAAAGTGTAGTGGTAGAGTCATGGAACAATCAACACATAGTATATGATGAAAAGTTTAGTTTTAAGCTAAATCTTCCTTAAATAGCTTATGTTGCATATATTAAAGGTTAATATAGGTCATGGCGTAATGAAATTTTCAAAAATATGGCAAATTTCCTTCATAAATGACCTGCACAACTTGGAGAACAAGTCACCAAAGAGGTACTAGTGTAGTACCAGCCAACCCTCTTTGATGCCTAAGTCAAAGTGGAGGAAATGGTGTTTTGAGAGAACAAATGGATAAAGGTTATATGAGTAGAGAAGTTATTACATTTATTTGAATGTAGGTGGTGAAATTGGTACTTAGGTGAAGTGGGGGTAAATTAAATGCCAATATAACGGACTCAACAATATCCATACACTTTTAACTTAACCATAGACAAATATGACTAGTCAACTACTAGTCATAAAAACTAGCAACAAACACACACACACAAAGAACAATGATCAATACCTGCAAACCTATAAGATTACTAGTGACAACCTAGGCACTCAGAATGATATGTCAATCTAGGCATCCACTGTGCTAGCAACAACTAAGGTGGTAAGTGTGTGAATACATTATAGCCATATGAACAACAAATATCAGATGATGACTAGTCAATCGTGAACAACAAAACCAGATAACCTACCACTGGGGAAAACTGGGGGTCATCATCCGACCAGACAATCCACTAAATAAAGAAGATTCTTATAGAGAATACACTAGCAAGCTCAAGAAATCATAGATCTATTTAGGAAACAAGCTATGCCTCCTTTGTGCAATCTTCTTCTCCAACTTGGTTCAGCTAGTAGCTAGTCCGTCATGTAAGTGGCAACTAGTCCATCAACTCCTTCACTCCATGGCACAGAAGACTCAGCTCCAGATTGAACAAACATAATGAGATATAGATTCTGAGATGAAATGGTCAATTCTTTCAAGAAACCATACTCTTGAAGAAATCAACTAAGAATCTGATCTATACTAAAGACGATGACTAGTCATAATAAACCCATATGCAGACAAAAGAAGATGACTAGTCATAACTGAACCCATATGCAGATTATAAAAAACATAGCAAATTTTTAAAAATCATTTTCAAAATCTTACAATGAAAAACCTTAGAAAATAAGTTTTACTCTCAAAATTTCTCAATGTGTGAAGTAGATTTCGAAAATAAAAGCATATTTCAAAAGCTATTTGAAAACTCAAACCATACCCAGCTACAAATGCAGAGAAGAAGAAGAATACCACACACACACACTCTCTCTCTCTCTCTCTCTCTCAAAGATGCAGACCTCATTCTCATAGAGAAGATATAGAGAAAAATCAAAGCTCTCAAAACCTTTCTTTGTGAAAATGGTAGAGGCAAAAAAATGCCTCTCAAAATCAAACCCATACCTATTCTCTCACTAGAGCTCTCTCTCTCTCTCTAAAAACCATATCAGAAATTTTAAATGAGAGAGATGGTGAGTCCAGACCAGCCCCAACCTTTTTGGTAGGTCAAAAGGACACTTGACATCCAATGATTAGACTGACAATAAGCAAAATCATGTGCCTTGGTTAAAAATCCCTTGCTAAAAATATTGGCCTATATGACTAGTCATCTCGACAAAGTATATGGATGCAAATGATGATTTTCCTATTGATGCCCATTATAAATGAATGCACAAATTATCTTGGTTTTGTAGCCTCATAAGCTCTTCAATGTACTTCAACTTTGTAGCAAATAACCAATGCCTAATTTCTAAAGATGAGTTAAGAGGAATTACATGAAAGTGTACATTTGGCAAGGAAAGCTAATTCTAAGAATCCTGAACTTAACAGGTGGAGGGTATTTATAGGAGAAGAATGGGGAGTAGATCTCCTTAATTCCATGCTTAGAACATGTCTGGCTTGTCAACAAGCTCATTTAAAAGAATTCTATATTATTCGTACTATACTAATTTTTCTTCAACAACGCTTAGTTTGTTAACGATGTATAACAAGAAAAACAGGGTTTTGGAACATAATATGATGGTATAGAAGATGGCCAAGCCCGCCCAAATATGGTGAAAATAAAATAAAATACACGGCTGCATCTAACGAAGTAAACTAATTACTAGGGTTGGAGATAATTACTAAAAACTCAACTAAACTGTTGGAACTGGACCAGTTTTGTCGGGTTGGTCCAGTTTTTATATTAAAAAATAGTGAACTGGTTTTAATATTAATATTGATTTTAATTTCTTTGAATCAGCTAAAAAGGGACCGAACCGGCCTCTTTTGTTATATATATATATATATATATATTGGGTATTGATTTTCCCACTCTTTTTTTATTCACTTACTCTCCATTTTTTTAAAATTGTATGTTCTCATCCTTCTTTTGTTCACTTACACTTCCCTTTATCTTATAGTAAAAAATATTAAAAAATAAAAAAGAGTGTAGGTAAATAAAAGGGGAGTGAGAAAATCACCGCCCTATATTTTTTAAACACCTTTTCCATACTGGCCAACTTTCAAGCTCATGATGGGCCTAACTCTTCTTTCTTCCATCTTCTTCTCTTTTCTTTGCTCGCCGCCTCCTACTTCCCTTTCATCTCCCTCTGCTAGCGAAGTCATCGTCTTCTCAGCCAAAACCGCAATAATTTCTCGGCGAGCCAATTATAGTCGGTGTTTCATCTCGTTGGCGCGATGACGGTCTCTGAAAAAGCTACACGAACTTCATTTGGTTCAGTGGTTGGCTACTTTCCCAAGGAACGGTTATCGAACCGTGTCCAGCCTCACTAATAACGCAAGAACAAAGCTCAGGATTCTTCATCAGACATAGAGAGGGTTTAGCGTTTCGGTTATTTTCTAAAAGACCCCATTCATATAATATTTTTCGAAGTTCGGAGATATGGATCTCAGCTAGGTGAGTTGACTCGGTTCCACATATAACCCATCTTCATCAATTTATTGCTTGCTATATTAGATGCTGCAATTAGAGTTACGATTAACACGCTTTTTGATGATTTTCAATTTTCTGTACTATACTTGTATGTATATATGTTTTTCCTTTGACTAGGGGTTTTGTTCACCTCAACTCAAAACTCATGAGTACGGTTGGATGGCCATTATTATGGGTGATGAGAGTGAACAAAACCCAAACGAGTTTATGGGCACTATACTCCTTTTCTCTTTGACACTTTTTATCCCATTGAATTTTTCTTGGCAAAGTTTTAACGATACAACATTAAGCATTTTCAACATGTTATCGATAATGGAGACAAAAGTTACATTTTTTACCTAACGTTTTAACGAAGCGAGCTATTATTAATGTGCAACTATCTAAACGAGAAAAATTTGTATATCATAGAGATAACAATATTTTGGTACATCAACTAATCACGTTTTTATTTTGTGCAAAAGTTACTGTCGTCATGATTCTTGTTCACGATTTATTATAAAGTTAGAACTTTTATTGGTCACTTTTGTTTCATATGGGTTCTCTATGTCGGGTCCTGCCCATCTTGCCAAATTGACCCAGAAGACGGCCAAGCCCACCCAAATATGGTGAAAATACAACAAAAATAAAAGGCTGCATCTATCTAACGAAGTAACGTAATATCGCAAGAACAGAGCACAGAAATTCTTCTTCAGAGAGAGAGGTAGGGGGAGATCTGTTATCTTCGGTTATGTTCATCCCCATAAGACACAAGCTATAGCTGAATTTTCCCGAAGACCCCCATTTACATAATATTTCTGAAGTTCAAAGATATGGATCTCAGCCAGGTGAGTTGACTCGGTTCCACATCTAACCCCCCTTCAATTTATTGCTTGCTATATCAAATGCTGCAGTTAGAGTTACGATTAACACGCTCTTTGATGATTTTCGATTTTCGATTTTCTGTATTATACTTGTATGTATATATGTTTTTCATTTGCGTTTTATGTATTGTGGGTTAAATGGTGCGATTACGAAGGTTTTGGGGTATTACCAGATCTGGCTTATGGGTTTTGGTTGTTGAGAGGTTTTAAGCTTGCCCATTTGTTTGGTTCCTGAGAAAATAATGGGAAAGAGTTGGAAAGTTAACTAACATTTCAATTGGAAATTTGCCATGCTATATATTATTGACGGAAAGACGAAAGGGAGAATTGTTGGAATTTGCTAGACAATGTATATGGTCATCTGTACCTTTTGTTTTTGCAATTTTGCAGATGAAGTATTTCCATTATTACGGTTTTGGCTGAATGGTAGATCTGGGATTTCAGATTCTCTTTAGGTGGATGTTGCTGTTGAAATTTTCTGAGCTTAGTCATTTGTTTGGTTGAGGAGAAAATTGTGAAAACTAAGAGGAAATTATTTAATGATCCATTAAATTGAGCCAGAATTATTATAATCTATATTCTTGTGATTATTTATTTTTACCTAAAGATCAATATGGCACTTAAGAGGTCTGGTGTTGTGCAGGTGTTTAGTTCTACTCTGCTGATATAGGATTGGAATTAAATCCAATTCTTGAATATGAAAGGTTTTATAGAAGAGGATCAACAAATAGGAGAAATTTTATGTTGTTTAGTCACCAGAAGAAAGAGTTCAACTGATTTCTAAATTCTTCATTTTTAGAGGAAAATATGTCATAAGAGCATTGTATTTTTTTATCATGGCTGCTTTATTTTCCTTGAGAAGGACAAAACATCATGGTATGCATAATATGGAAGTTTCTTATCATTAAAACAAAAATATGAATGTTCAGTAGGATGCATGGTACCTTTTGCTTTTTTTGCCATTAAACATGAACTTCAGGTTTTATTATGCTGTAGTTGTTTAGTAATTTAGTATAGTAAGTCAGGAGTTCTTTTGAACAGATTCATGTGTCTAAATGAGTTATGATGCTTATTTGGTAGCAATTTGAATTGCACTTTTCCATGTAATTAATTCCATTCTCCTTCATTCTCAACAGACGAAGAAGCCACACGCGCCACCAAAGCGCTTTGTGAGGAGCCAAATCCCGGACTCAATCCTCCACGACGCGGCTCTTAACGCCGCAGTAGCGCTGCTTCCCTCCAACTACAACTTCGAAGTCCACAAGTGCGTCTGGCGCGTCCGTTCCACCCATGCCTCGCGCGTGGCCCTCCAACTCCCCGAGGGCCTCCTCATGTATTCTCTGGTGCTCTCTGACATCCTCTCTACCTTCGGTGGTGCCTCCCAGTGCTTTGTTCTTGGTGACGCGACCTACGGAGCATGCTGCATAGACGACCTAGCCGCCAAAGCCCTTGATGCTGACCTCCTCATACACTTTGGCCACAGCTGCCTTGTCCCCCTCCACGTCACCACAATCCCCTGCCTCTATGTCTTCGTTGAAATATCCATTGACGTCTCCCGATTAATCGAGACTGTCCATCTCAGCATCCAAAACCCTCACTCAAAAACCCTTGTCCTCGCCGGGACCATCCAATTCGCCTCTGCAATCCGAGCCGCCAAACCCGAGCTCGAAGCCCGTGGTTTCAAGGTCCTCAACCCACAGTCAAAACCGTTGTCCGCCGGTGAGGTTTTGGGCTGTACAGCCCCCAAAATCGCACACAATATACGCAGAAACAGGAACCAGGAGGAGGAGGATAAGGAGAGCATCGTGGTTTTTGTGGCTGACGGGCGGTTTCATTTGGAAGCGATTATGATAGCGAATCCAGAGCTTAAGGCGTTTCGGTACGACCCGTATTTGGGGAAGCTGTTTCTGGAGGAATATGATCAAAAGGGAATGAGGGAGTCGAGGAAGAGCGCAATTTTGAAGGCAAAGGAGGCCTCAAATTGGGGTGTGGTGTTGGGGACTTTAGGAAGGCAAGGCAATCCCAGGATTCTACAGAGGCTGGAGAAGAAGATGAGGGAGAAAGGGTTTGCTTATACAGTGGTTTTGATGTCGGAGATTAGTCCTCCGAGAATTGCTCTGTTTGAGGATTCAGTGGATGCTTGGATTCAGATTGCTTGTCCCCGCTTGTCCATTGATTGGGGAGATGCGTTTAAGAAGCCGCTGTTGAATCCGTTTGAGGCTGACATTGCTCTTGGTTTGATTCCTGGTTGGTGGGACAAGACTAAAAAGAATGATGTGGGTTGCTGTGGTTGTGCTAATGGAAATGGGGCTGCGGCTGGGGAGGAAGAAGCTGTTGTTGGGGATTATCCCATGGACTACTATGCTTTGGATGGTGGGGAGTGGAATTCATCTTATGTCAACAAGCCTTCCCGCCCTCTTAGGAGGGATTGTGCATCGGCTACTGCTGCTAACATTGAATAGCTGGTGAGTTTTGCTTTTTGTATAATTTTATTTGTACTAGAGAAGTTTTTCTTGTTTTCAATCTCCATTGTTTGGTTCCCTGAATAAAAGAAAAAAAATTACACATCTTAATTTGAAGTACTACTATGTGCAGTTGGTTTGATGTTCTTGCGGCTGGAGTGTTATGAAGCTGGTTTGATGTTCTTGCGGCTGGAGGAAACTCCTAGGGTCGAGGCAATAGGATTGCAGCCCCAGGATGAGGTTTTCAAACATTCTAAGTGATTGAATGGATTTTTATGAAAGAAAAAGAAATAGGGTTTTGTGGCCTAATGATGTCTTACAGCCTGATCTCCAATCAAAGGCCAAAATAGCCTATTATTATATTATGATGTATAATATATAACATGCATGTTAAAGGCCACATGGCTTGGAGAGGTGCGGCAAGCCAAGAAAGAAAAGGGGGAGAGTTGGCCTATTACTATATTATAACATATAATATGCATGTTAGGGGCCACATGGCCTGGAGATGTGTGGCAACTCAATCAATTAGTTTAGTGGGGCTTTCTTTCTGGCTCTATGTCAACTTCATTTTGGGTTAAATAGGGTGGGCATCAAACCGACTGATCTGACCAAACCAGCTGAATCAAACCATATTTGTTGGTTTGGTTTTGACCAAAGAAAGAGAACATAAACAGATTGCTGTAGAATCTTTGGCCTCACCGATCTCGTTTGCTGTAGAACCTTGAAAGGTCATACAGGAAAGGTATGATACTCACAAATATACGTAATACATATACATCATATGCTTTCTGTGTGGTGTGTGGAGTGTTCTAGTTGTAAAAATGAGCTTCTTTTGAAAGCGCATTAGATGGGTTAATGGCATTGTTGGGCATTGGTAGTTTGAAGTCTGCTATTAGGAATAAAAAGCTTTTTAAATAAAATAAAATAAAATTGAGTATGTGAAAATTGTAGTTGAAGATTAGATAACCAATTTGGATTCTATTTTGCTTGGTATCTGCTTGTTTCATGCTTGGTATTGGAAATATCATGATCGCTGAATAAATAGGCTTATAAATCTGTTGTTTTTCTGTTTGCTTCCTATATGTTTCTTAGAATGTAATCTGCTGATATTGACTTGTGGCAAAGATCAGACCATTCAATTCTTGTATCATGAAATCTGGTTTCATTACATCCACCTTTGGTGTGCAGAATGAGGAGAATAATCAAAGCAGCAGAGATAACAGGCTGCTTATTGCTAGTATCGTTATTATATTATTATTCTTTTATATTTCTGACAAGTTGGGTTTGTATTGACTGTTTAATAGGATGTTTGATGGAATGTTGATGTTTTGAAAGTATATAGCAGGGTATGTTTGATTTGCAGACAGTATGTAGCGGATATGGTTGCGGCTTCATGGTGATTGAATGCTATTTTGATGCTTATGCTTATGTTGAATGCTATGTTGATACTTGTGAGCAGTTTGTGTGATTGGATTTTTGATGTTTTGAATGTATGTGGCTCTGGCAAGTTAACAAGTGAAAAAATGGATTTGCATAGGTACAAACTGCCCGAACTAAACCGACTATTAATTGTTTGATTTGGTTTGGGTTCCATTGTTGTTTTAGGCAAAACCGAATCAAATCAACCCATGGTAATCGGTTCAGTTGTGATTTGAGGGCAAAATCGAACCAAATTGGACTGTGCCCACCCATATTAAGTACTATTTATTAACTCTGAAATGTTTTGCACAGCTCGCAGCTCTCGCGTCCCACCCCTTCTTTTTCATCTTCTAGAAACTCAGAACTCTGAAAATTTGTGACTAATAGGAAACTCAATTCAGAAGCTCAAGCTTTGGTGGCCATGGCTATGTGTAATCGTCATAAACTCCACACCTCACACCTTGATGACCGTGAATATAAAGATTGCTATGGTTACATCACACAAGCCTTTGACTAGGGGTTTTGTTCACCTCAACTCAGAACTCATGCGTACGGTTGGATGGCCATGCTTATGGGTACTCAATTGATGAGAGTGACCAAAACCCGCGAGTTTATGCGCAACATACTCCTTTTCCCTTTTAACACTCTTTATCCCATTGAATTTTTCTTGGCAAAGTTGTGAAGAGACAACATTAAGCATTTTCAACGTGTTATGAATGATGGAGACAAAAGTAGAGGTGTCAAACGGGACGGGCCAGCTCAGCACGGCACGAGCCTAGCTTATTTAAATGAGGCACGAGCACGAATATTAATGAGCCGTGCTCGGCACGACATGAAAAATTGGGCCAGGCCGGGATCAAAAAATGAGGTCCAATGGACCGGGTCGGCCCATGGCCCGAGCACACTTCAAGCACGGCACAAGCCCAAGCACGGCCCACTTAACATATTTTTTCTTTCTAAAAAGTCAAAATGCAATAATTTGACATCTAATGTCATTGTTTATACAGTCCCCTTCTATTGAGGGATCCCTTAAATAATTTTATTTGAGGGACGCCCTTTAGGGTATCCTACAATCGTTTTTTTAATGATCCAAACCATCTACTTTTTAGGTATTCATTCATAGATCATACTTACAAAAAATTAGACAAATCGGACACCTTTTCGACATGCAATTGTGTCCTACAAAATCAATGAACACGGTGCTTCAAGAAAGTACTAAATTTTCAATAACTCAATTGAATAGTCAAATGATATCGGATTTAAGTGATTTTTTGTAGAGATGATCTTTGAATGAGTATCTACAAAATAGACGATTTGGATTAGTGAAATACAATCCGGAGTAGGCCCTACAAGGGGTGTCCCTCAAATAAGCTTATTTGAGGGATCCCTCAATGGAAGCTCTCTGTTGTTTATATATATATATATATATATATTTTTAATAAATATATATTTGATGTCTTTCATTTTATGGAAATTACTTGGGTCCTTAATTAATTAAACATATCAACTACAAACTAATTAAATAACATTGGACTTGATATCTAATCAATACATATGATGTACACGCTTCTCTTATAATCAAAGCAATACATTTTTTCACATATAAAATAATAAGTTGTTTAAAGATGAAAAGTTAAAGTGGACTTTGTGGAGTTGGACACTTTTTGCCCTTCGCCATTTCATATTGTTTGGATGTTTGATTGATTAATGTTTTCAAATAGTTCATCATTTCTTGTATCTAATTATATTTTTAACGTTTATAATTTGAATTATCTAGTGGAAAAAAAAATCAAGTGAAAAAAAATTCAAATTAAATGGATTGGTTCTTGGGCCCGAGTATGGCACGAGCACGAGCACGGGCACGGCACGAGCTCGGCCCGGCCCGTTTCAATATGGACATGGGCTTTGGGCCGGGATCAATGATTTTACTAAATGGGCCGGCACGGCACGGCTCAATAAATTAAATGGTCCGACCCGGCCCTGCCCAACACGAAAACGTTAAAAGCATGAGTTTAAATGCGATGTGCCGGCCCGGCACAGCCCGTTTGACACCTCTAGACAAAAGTTACACTTTTTACCAAACATTTTAAAGAGGCAAGTTATTATTGATGTACAACTATCTAAGCGAGAAGAACTTGTATATCATAGAGATAACAATATTTTACCACATCAACCAATCACGTTTTATCATGTGCAAAAATTATCATGCATATTATTGTCGTCATGATTCTTGTTCACGATTTTTATTATAAAGTTACAACTTTTATTGGTCACTTTTGTTTAATATGGGTTCTCTATGTCGGGTCCTGCCCATCTTGCCAAATTGACCCAGAAGACGGCCAAGCCCACCCAATATTGGTGAAAATATAACAAAAATAGAAGCCTGCATCTATCTAACGAATTAACGTAATATCGCAAGAACAGAGCACAGAAATTCTTCTTCAGACAGGGAGAGAGAGAGAGAGGGAGATCTGTTATCTTCGGGGTTATGTTCATCCCATAAGGCACAAGCTATAGCTGAATTTTCCCAAAGACCCCCATTTAAATAATATTTCCGAAGTTCAAAGATATGGATCTCAGCCAGGTGAGTTGACTCGGTTCCACATCCACCCCCCTTCAATTTATTGCTTGCTATATCAGATGCTGGAATTAGAGATAGAATTAACACACTCTTTGATGCTTTTTGTTTTGCTCTGCTATACTTGTATGTTTATATGTTTTTCATTTGCATTTGATGTATGGGGGGTTAAATATTGGGATTACGAGGGTTATTGTGTTAATGCCGGATCTGGATTATGGGTTTTGGTTATTGAGAGGTTTTGAGCTTGCCCATTTGTTTGGTTGGTGAGAAAATAATGGCAAAGGAGGGCTGGAAGTTAACTAACATTTCATTTGGAAATTTGCCATGCTATGTATTGTTGACAGAAGGACGAAAGGGAGAATTCTTGTAATTTAATATACGATTTGCACTTTTTGTTTTTGCATTTTTCGTAGATTAAGTATTTCCATTGTTACAGTTTTGGCTGAATGGTAGATCTGGGATTTCAGATTCTCTTTAGGTGGATGTTGTTGAAATGTTTTGAGCTTAGTCATTTGTTTAGTTGAGGAGAAATTTGTCCAAACTAAGAGGAAATTATCTAATCGACAATTAAAGGGAGTTTCACTAAAACACCCAAAATGGGGGCTAAAATTATAAAAAAACCCAACACCCAAAACACTTTATAAACACACCCAAAACCCATCATTACACACTCAAAACCCATTTATAAACACACCCAAAAAATATACAATTGTTGATTTTGGGGTTGATTTTGGGTGTGTTTCTATGTTTAAATAGTGTTTGGGTTTTTTTATAAATACATGTCTAGGATTGGGTTTATTTATAAATTTGTAAATGTTATGCTGTTTAGTCATCGGAAGAAAGAGTTCAACTGACTTCTAAATTCTTCGTTTCCAAAGGGGGAAAATATGTCATAAGAGCATTGTATTTCTTATCATGGTTTACATTATTTTCCTTGAGAAGGACAAAACGTCATGGTATATATAATATGGAAGTTTCTTGTCAGGGAGAAAACAATATGAATGTTCAGTATGATGCATGTAACCTTTCCCGCTTTTCTTTTTTCCTTTGAACATGAACTTCGGGGCTTGTTATGCTATAGTTGTTTACTAATTTAGTATAGTAAGCCGGGGTGCTTTTGAAAAAACTCATGTCATGTAATTAATTCTATTCTACTCTCATGTGCAGCCACAAGGGGAAAACTATGCTAATCCAAAGACATGCTTCTTCCATGTTCTTTTCAAGGTCTAGCATCTAAACTTTTGTTGCGTAGCAATTCTCATAAAAAGAAATTGTTATTTACAAATGTTGTGCCTCCTTCACTGTATAACATTATGTTCCTTTTCTTCCACAGGCTGGGGCGTTGGCTTTTTACATACTTTCTACCCTCTTCTTTGATAACTTTGTCATCATTTTTGTTGTGACTGTTCTTCTTGCTGCTCTTGATTTCTGGGTAGTTAAGAATGTGAGTGGACGCATTTTAGTTGGTTTGAGGTGGTGGAATGAAATAAATGATCTTGGTGAGAGCGTGTGGAAATTTGAGTGCCTTGACCAAGAGGTTAGTATTATCAGTAACCAAATTTCTGTTATCAGCTTCTCTTCCCTTTTTTACTATGCTCAATTGCTTTAAAGTTATTCTACTACTGGCTCTGCTATCATTTGGCTGTCATCCATGCTGATCCTGCCTTGTTTGGCTTTAGTCATTGGCTCGGATGAACAAAAAAGATTCATGGCTCTTCTGGTGGACACTTTACCTCACGGTAAGAAAATAGGCTTCAATATAAACCGTGGTGAGACACCAATTTTCGATTGTTCCATATTTCATAAAGATTGAGAAGATATATCAGGTGGTCTGTACTGATAATTGATCAATTAAATACGATAGGATGTAGATATTACAAGTGTTGTGTAACTGAAATGCTTTATAAGCATCTGGATGGATCCACTTGGGAGTTGATGATGATATGGATAATATTCATAACTGAAAAAGTACTTTAGAGTTTGTGTTGCGAGGTCCCTTTCTGGTTTCATGTACCTGTAACCTGGAAGATCTGGATGCATGCATACGTGTGTACACATATAGTTGTATTTTTTAGCTGTTTTAAATTCACAAGTTGCTGTTTTTCATTTTTGGGCAGGCTGTTGCATGGATTGTGCTTGGAATATTTTCTCTAATAAAGTTTCAGGCAGATTATCTCCTCGTTGTAGGAGTTTGTTTGACCCTCAGCATTGCAAATATTGTTGGCTTTACCAAATGCCGCAAAGGTACGGAAGCACCAATTTGACTTTGTCATTGTGCATATACAGAAATTCTGTGTGCATGAAACCTGTTCTTTGTTAATGGGCGGATTTTGTATTTATATTGTCGATAATGTGTATGGATAACATGTCCGTACATTTTGTGGTTGATATGTTATCCACAGTGATATCGACACCTTATCAATGCCATATCTACAGTCAGTCCTTCGATAAAGAACATGTGTCCTGTCCAGAGAAGAACTATATATATAAAACATGTTTTTGTGTGTCGTGTGTCATTAAAAGGTTGTCTACATAAACTCAGGCATCTCTAGGCCTTCTCACTTTGCATTATGTCAAACTATTTTAATGAGCATTCATTTTGAAATGTGTAGTGTACACCCATTTTGGATAGATAACAAGAAAAACAATTCTAGTGCATCAAGTCCAGGTTATGCTAGATGCAAATCTTGCAGCCTCATAAAGTGAAGCAAATCCACAAAGAGAATCTATTAAATGATGATACTCGATCACACCAACAAATTTTAGAACCACAAAACCCAAACATAGAAATCAACAATGAAGCAAACCTGCAAAGAGAATCTATAAGAGAGAAGCATCAAAATGTTTTGATTTCCATGCACAAACATATATACAGGGGATAGAAAGTTAATATATAAAAAATAAAGTATGAATGTAAGACTTTTTTATTTATTGTGCATTAGCTACTAAACTCTTCTCTTTATAAGGACTAATTCCTGCAGGTAACATGCATGTTACGCATACAACTGTGAGAAACATTACAAACATCCTTGCCATTACATATACTAATTTTGTTTCCATGTTCGTGATTAAAAACACTTTCGATGTTCCTTCCAGATGCAAAAAAGCAGATCCAACAATTTGCCTCCCAGACCATTGCCTCCCGGTTCTCATCAACGATTCAATCAGCATTCAGTGTTGTGTGAGTCACGCAAGCAGGAAGATGGAAATAATTTTTGTGGAATGAACTTGTGTAAGAGGCATGTACATGATCACCGTATTGACCGGCGTTAGCCTGGCTTCTTATTGAGCTTCTGTAGGGATACGAAGGTTGCAGATACAAAGTTTTTGTATGGAATGTTTAATATCTCTATTGGCATGTATGATAAATACAGGAATATTCAGATTTGGACTATTAACTTCGGCTTTTTTGCCCTCTTTTTTAAAATCATAATTTGTATTTTATAGGCACATTATTAATGAAAGAGCCCCATGCACCAGAAGATGCGAAAGCAGTGTTTTCTTTAAGGTACCAAATGCACTGGAACATTGGCTGCCTCCGGTGCCTTTTCCTCAGTTAAACCAAAATACAGTGTTGGTGGCACCTGAATGTTTCAAGAATCAGACCCTAATGAAAAACATAAGGACAGGTCGATTGGTTGGTTAGTCTTGTGTTGGATAAGCAATAGAACAGAGGCATGCCATGGTTGGCAGTGTCCTCTCTCTTTTAGAGAAAACTTGTCTACACCGAGGATGTTATGGTGGTGGTATTTCAAGTCAAACACTTAATGTCATGCACTTTAATTTTGTCATATAATAATGCGTGATTAGCTTGATATGCCATCACAGTGACAGTTAAAAATGTGACATTTGTATTCGAAGTATAGATGAGAAGCCTCTTTTTTTACCTTAGAACAACACCCTTTACTCTTATTTTACTACCATTAGCAATCATAACTTCAAAGATAGAACTAGTGTCAAGGGGCACAATCCTTAACTCATTGGTAGGTCTGGTAATGGATGTGTTGTGTCAGGATTATATACGTGTCAAGAATGCTCAACCCAAATTCAACCCATTTAATAAACGTGTAGTGTCAAGTTGACCCACTAATTTCTCGTGTGGGTTTCGAGTCGTGTATCGGGTTGACCTGCTAAGTAGTAGCAACTAGTAACTAGTGAGGTAAAAATGTAAACAAAAAAAAAATTGAGGAAGAAATGACTATTCAAAGAATTTTTCCATGATCACAATAATGTGAGCATTGGTTATGATGCGCAAAGAAACATGTATAAATATAAATATCAAATGATATATACATGTGAAATTCTACTTCTTTGAAAAACATCTTGTAGAGACATTATAAATATAAAATGTTGTAGTATATAATCACAAAGTTATCATCAACATGATGGATAAGGCACTAGAAGAGGAATGGAAGTGGCAAGAGTTTGAATCCCCTTTTGTGTGTGTGCTGAGGTCACCATTTCCATTCATTTTTAGCTCATTGGCGGGTATCACACAGGTTGACAAGACACATTTAATAAATGGGTTATATAGGTATTTTAACAATTGGTAGATTGACTTGAAAACCACCCATTTATTAAACGGGTTGACCCAAAAAGACCCAAATTTTTATCGTGCATGTTGAACCAGCTAATTTCATGTGCGGGTTTCGAGTCGTATCAGAAATTGCCATCCTTTTTAGGGAATAGTATCAATAAATATATTTATTTATATTATAACATGTGTACAAAATGTATTATGTGTTGAAGAATATAAATCTCACATCGGAAACTTGACTATATAAAATACAATATATAATGAATGGTTCCACTTTTAATATGACCAAGACCTTTTGTAATAAAACCACACACCTACTTGGCTTTGTAGGTGGTTAAGTTGAGGACAACATCGATGTTGTTAGTAGTAGACCGCAGGCCCATCTCTCTGAATTTAACACTAAATTGGACTTTCTATCATACACATACAATTGTAGGGTTTAAAAAGAATTACCTCAAATGTCTTGTGTAACCATGTATTTATTGGCTCCTTGTGTGCTAGGGTAGGGTTTTGGGAGAATATTTCTTATTTGGTTAGAATTATTTTTATCTAAAAAGATGATAGAAATTACTCCAAGAGATTTGGTGGAAATTGGGTCCTTGATTTAGGGAGATATTCCTATATTAAATTAAAGATAATTTTCCTAATTAAATAGAATTTAATTAGGGTAATTAATTGACCTAAAGAATGTTCTTTTTTCACATGTCATCTCCTTATTGGCTTGCGAAATATGTATTCGCGCGTACAAAATTACATCACTGCAATATTACCCACTACAAAATTACGTCAATGCAATAAAATTAAACACAATTACGTATTGACTTGAGCACAAGAAGTGTATATGGTTATCACCATCCACGAATCAAACTTCATATCTTCTCCAACTAAGTGTAAAAAAATAAAGCAAGACCATTGACTATTTAATGAAGGAAGTTGAAGTTTTACTCCAAAATCAATTGGCAATGGGGAGAGTAACTTAACTCCTCATAAACTAAGACTAGATTCCGTAACTTTTCAAAGTGAGACAAACACTCTCAACATTTAACTTCATGCATCACCTCTTTGAAGGGACGAAAACAAAACTGCAAGATTACAGAATAGTGGACTCCGATGAAGTAGATCTAATTTAAAAGATTCACGATTGGGAAAAGATTAAGTTTCCTTTCTTGTTAGAAGATTTGATAGTCTTTACCTCAAGTTGTCTCATGAATATTTAATTGTTTGTTTTGATGGACGACTAATGGACTTCGATTTACAGCTATTAATGACAAAAATCATTGCCGATGATCTTCTATTGATGAAAAAAGAAAGATACTTGAGCAATTGAATCAAAGCAAGATTTAAATAAACAAAAGGAGGAAAGTTGATTTTCATCAACGTTGCCAATTCAATCAAAATTTTCCGAGAAATCTGAGATGAAACTTCGATTAAAAAATAAACCTAATTAAACCTCAACCTTAAAAACTAAATAAAACCCTAAACCTAGCATTTACTACAAGTCTCTCCAAAATTATAATCCCGAAACCTATGAGTGTTGGTCTTCATTTACTTTCTTGTTCTCGAAAAACCAAGCTTAAGGATTTGCATAAATGGGGGCTTGTGTGAGCTCTGTGTCCAAACGTACAAAGGGCAAGACTAGAAAATCTTCGAAAGCACCATCGCCGCCGGAGCAGCAATCAACAGATAAAACGGTTGATATTCCAGAAGTTGATGAACACAGCAGCAATGGATTGGAGAAAGGAAATGGTGTAGAAAATGGAGGCGCTAAGGAGCAGGATGTTATGAGTGAAAATGGCTCTCTGCCCCAGTCTCAAATCTCTTTGCTTGATGAGACGGTATGATTTAATACTTCTTTAAGCTCACACGAGCAATCTCACCCTTTTCTCAAATGGTTTTATTTTCTTAACTTTTAACATCAATTTCATTGCTTCATTAATTTTTTTTTGGGTTTTTTTTTGTTTTAAATTAAAAAAATTTATAAATAGAAGCGCTATTGTACTTTAATATAATCTAAACAACGGAGAGGGGAATTCGAACTCGGATGCGGAGAGGGGAATTCGAACTCGGGTGCAGAGTGGGGAGCACATCCACTCTAACAAACTTAGCTAAAACCCATATCTACTTTTGGTTATTGGTTCACTGATTTATGTATCATTTTTTTTACACTTACCGAGATATTTGAAGCACGTTTTATTGTTTCTCATTAGTCTTTTTTTGAATTTTTTTTGGGCTCATCCTATGCAAAAGCATAGTTTTGACCAAGATATAGCATCTTTGTCTATTTTGCACCAAAACTATTTAACCTTTGCATTAAATGTGTCTCAATCCAATTTGTTAATACCTTCTTTTTCTTAAGTTAAAAAGTTCTGATTGATGTATGGATGACACGTGCAACTTGTTTTTGTATTAATTCATGTGTTTCATATTTAGATTCCTTGGATTAGTATATGTATGACTCATAAATCAAACATTTATATTGACTTGAACATGTTATATATACATTTTGCAATGTTTTCATTGAGGTATCTCATTTTTAAATGTTAATGGAACTTGACCGTGCCACTACTAAAAAAAAGTTAATAGGTACATGTATATGCATCTGTAATGGAACTCGACTGTGCTTTTGGTGTCCAACATATACAAACGTAATTTGTGAACACCAATATTCATGCATGTGTCGTTATATTCATTGGTGTATTTTTCTCTTTTTGTAGCTAATTATCAACATGTTTAATTATATCAACATGTATATTGGATTGTTTGTTATATAATGTGTGAATTAATTGGCAGGATGATTATCAATTTTCATCAGAGGACATCCCCACATATCGTCCCCCAAAGGCATTGGATACCATATCCGAAGAATCTGAAAAGTCTGATGTAGCTAGTGGACTTCAAAGAGCATTGTCGATGAAGGAGTATGAGTCAGTTAACGGTGGAGACAAGAATATTATGCTTCAGGAAGATCAAGGGGTTGAGAAGTCCTAAAAAGTAACATTTCGACTACGGTTAGGCGAAATAAATGAAAATAATTTTATGAATTCAATAGGTAGTGGCAGCATTTTATGAGGCAATTTTTTTAATTACGTAAATCTAAAGAAAATAATTACCACCTATACTACTCCCTGTTTGAAAGTGCTATATTCATAAGCGCTTTTATAAAAGTAGATTGAAATTCTTATCTTTTTATTGTTGAGAAATTCTGGAATTGCATTCATAACTCAGTCAAAAAAGTCATTAGTCACAAAGGGCCAATACAAACTAGTTACAAAGGGCCCATACAAACTAACCACAAAGGCTTATTACAATAACGAAGTGATCTAATGTCAAAATTAAGACAATTTGGGGCTCCTCTACTAATGATCATGCATGATCGCGAAGAAACTCTGGCATAAACATCCCAACTAAGAGTGCACACTCAAAACAACTAAAAATAGATAAGACTTGAAAAAATCAACCCATAACATGTTGAAATTCTTATGTTTGGACATATAGTTTGAATTTTCGTCCTGGCCGGTCTAAAATAAATGGCTTAACATGATTAGAGAAGGGAAGTCTTGGAACCTAGTGTTGGACCAAAAGGCCATTAGCGCAATTTTAATTAATGTGCTTAGAGAATCCTGAGGAGATTTACATGTGATGGTTTTCAAACGAGGATTGAGAAATCAATGTCAGCCGAAGGAGTGAGATTTGCCTGAGGAGATTTGATCAAATCCCGAATTAAAGTATATCTTCTTCGAATTTGACCTCAAACATTCGAGGCCAAACAAGGAAGGTTTTCAAGTTGGTGGCATTTGTAAGCTGGTAAAAGCATTTTCATCCATTTTTCATGGCAAAAATAAGGGAAGACAAAGGTTGTTACTATTCATATGAATAGTGCCTGCCTACCAATTTTTTTGTTGGTCTTCTAACCATTGTCATGGTAACCCAAGGGCAACCACTATTCACATAAGATATGAAGAGGGAATTTATATAGAGTTTTGGTGAGGGAAGTGAAAAATAATGGCTAGGTATTTATTTAAAAAAATATTGAAAAAATTGTTTGTTTTCTTTACATTTTTTGCCATTTAAATTAGTTGCTGATGTCACAATGACGTCAGTATTAAGTCAGCTTGCCCAGAGTGCACCCCAAGCAAATTTTGCCTTTGGATTTGCCCAGGCAAGTGGAGCCTAGCTCTTGCCTTGGCAAGAATGCTAGAAACACATTTGGAGGCCTGAGGGCCTCTTGCCCGGGTTGGGGCCTCCCGGTGGAAATACTCTAAGAGCTCTATATATACTCCCGTTGAAGAATAGAAGTTATTCTTATATGACGTACTAGGTTAACTCAAAAATACTTTAACCCCCCCTTCTCGATTAAATGGAGGAAATAACTAGGAATTTAGTTAAATGCCAGGAATTGAAAATGAGAAATTGATACTACATTGTTTGGCAACTTAAGTAAGAAACTTATTAAATGACGTGTGGAAAAAAATCGTGGAAATTGGGGATTGAGATTTTCGAGTTTAATTTTTGCTAAAAGATGCATCATTTAACAATTTCTATTATGCAAAAATTCATTTTTCCATGTAATTTATGTCATTTACAAAATTCAACATATATAAATCCAAATATTGAAATTATTAATTGTGAGAAATTTAAACACTAAAATTATTAAGTTTCAGAAATCCGAACACTGAATTATTAATTGTCATTAAAGAATTCTATGTAATTTTCAATTAATTCATCCAAACAGTAGGTAATTTTATTTTTTTTTTGGGGTCAAAAAATACTTTAAAGTTTGTGTGCTAAATATTGCCATAACCATAGTGCGTTAGCTATATTAGCACTACCAAACATGCTCGTCAATAAAGGTGAATTAGGTAAATAAGGGGAAAAAGTGGCCGAGGCTAACCAAAAACAAATGTAAAGTACATTTTGTAGCCCATAAGTCCAAGCCCAGCCCCATTTGTTATAATAAAAAACCATTTCCACCCAATTTGGGTAGCCTACTTTCATCCTAATGCCACTATTACCATGGGAGCTTCTACAATGAGGAGTTAAAGTGATGAGGTTATTTGAGGAGACTGATCCGACCGTCAAAACATTTAAAATATTTAAGTCCCATGATTTCTTTACATTTTTTGATGGTGAGATTTGACCTCCTCAAATAATCTCCTCACTTTAAGCCCTCATTGTAGCCTTTCCGCTGTTACCATAGTTGTCTTTTAAGTAGGTTTTGGAAATTTACAGTTGTATGAAATATTTCTGGGATAAACCAGTCGTATTTCCAGTAAACCCAACCTATTAACACTCAGAAACACGTGCAATTTTAGTATTTAAACTTTTTTGGAGATACGTTTGTAAGGTCTACTACATATTGTATTTCAATGATTTAAATCACATTTTCTAGGTATTCCCTTAAAGATCATCTATAAAAAAAAAATTCACTTGAATACGACTATATTAACAACTCGATTAAAGCTTGTTATTTGGGGGTTTTTTTTGAAGTAATGTGTTTGTCTATTTTGTTAGTCAAAACTAGATATTTTAATGGTTTTCAATTTGTCTTCTTTTTTTTTGCAAAGATGATCTATAAATGGAAAGTTGAAAATAGACGTTCGGATCTTTAAAATAAAATTTGTAGTTGACTCTCCAAAGTTGTTTCTCGAATAAAGTTATTTGAGGGAATGACTTAATAGAAAGGGGATTGTATGCGCATAATATAATTAGTCTAATTAATTAAGGGTTATTATAAAGTTGTAATATATCTACTGCCTTTCTTGGCTATAATCCGAGTGCTTTTGTCTATTTAATTAGGTATGCGCACTTGGTTCTCGTGAAGAGCACGGTTCTAGCTAGCTACCGCCATGTCCATGCATTGCGTGATGCATCATACCAACAACAACGCACTAATATTTGCTCTCCATCTCCAACGTCCACTTTTAAGGAAAAATTACTTCAACAAAACAAATTTTAACACTGCTTCCATTCCATAGTGCCATGCATAGCAAAAAGATAAAAAGGTGTTGATGTACGTATTGGACTAATGATGTTACTTATATTCAAAGTTGATTTTAACAACCATTAGTGCCTTTGGATATCATTCACAGATGAAGAAAAATGTGGAAAAGACATTGGGAATGGTCGTGTGGAAATAATTCGAGTTAACTAGAGTCTCCATCTAAATTAAAGTATCATTGATCTAAATTAAAAAGAGAAAAGAAGACATATTAAAGCTCCTAAAGGCACATCTGCAAATGTTTGATGTCTCCATCACAACTCTGAATAAGATGGGATAAGAATATTAAAGGTCATGTTAATTATGTGGTTGTTCATGAACTTATGTTTGTGGACCATTATTATAAGCAAAGGAGAGTAATATTGTTTATTCTCCTACTAGTCAATCTAGGAGAGGTGAAATTCAAAAATACGAAAGTTCATAAAAGGAGAAATTATAGAATATTATGGTATGACTACGTGATACATCTTGTATACGTGTTATAATATGGGTGAACAATGAGGTTTATTTTCCCCCCTTTTAGGGAATAGTATCCATAAATATCAACTTATATTATAACACGTGTACAACCATACTACCGTATTATTTTATAATCACTAAAAACTATAAATAAATATAAATAAATAAAAAATTTATTTAAAAAAAGGCTGAAACATGACTTCTTATATGTTGATGTCAAATAAAAATTGTTAAATTTCGATTTGATGGCAACTTGACATTTCTTAAATTTTTTAAGTCTATTCAAAATATCAAATATCAAATTATTTTACTACACATATATCTATCTCTTTTATTTATTTAAATGAGGCCCATATCATCAATACAGTTTTTTTTTTTCCCAAAAGAATGATCAATTAGATGTCAATTTCGATATCAAGCTTGTTCCCTTCAAATTCATATAGTATTTGAATATTCAGTTGAAACATTCTCCCTTAATTCATACCATTTCATGTTCACATGACAATTTGGTAATTCTTAAGAGACTATTTAAGAGTAATTTTAGATTTTGTTTTTGTTGTTGGTATTTTGCTTCTAATTAGGATTCCTTGTGGTTCTAGGGTTTGAGGTTAGTATTAATATAACACCACATGTTTATGATAGCATGTTCAGTCTTAATCGTTAAATTACTGGGTTGATTTCGACTTCATAAACGATTGTGTCAGGCCTAATTAGTGACTAGTCCTTATTGGAGTATAACATGAAGGAAGTTAATCAGTTAGGAAGAAATTATTATGTTACTAACCACTCAATTGGGCCCACACCACAATGTCATTACATGATCATGACTGTTCATTTTTTAGGTCCTTATTCAAGGTTCACCTTTACAAAAAGATAACCAAACTAGAAAAAATTAAGTCATTTATGAGCATCCATAATGGACTCTCTAAACCACCTCCTTAGATAAAATTTAGGGAGAAAGTGAGAAAACTCACCTTCAACCATGCTCTCTATCCAACTCCTAAAATATGGAGACCTCTAGGAGCTCCTAAATCTGAGGAGAGAGAAATGACTCCTAGTGGCTCCCTATAATTGAATGCTTCTTTACTTTAATGTTATTTTAAGTATTTATTTAATGCTACATATTTTTTATTATTATTTTATATGAAGAGGGAGAATTTATGCTAAACTAAAAAAATAAATAAATCATTTACGATTCCATAAACTAGGGAGTATGGTTGGAGTTGAAATTTTATAAGGAGCTCCTAAAATAGTTTTCTAGTGTTTTTAGCTAAATTTTAACTAAAAAATAAGGAGCATGATTGTGGATGCTCTATATGTGATAAAATAAATATACAAACATGATTTTTTTATTTATTTATAAACAATGAAAATATTGACGATGATAATAAAATAAAACGATTTTTAATTCGGCTAAGTTCTTACAAAGATGTTCCTTAAATGATGACCTAAAAAACTAAAGACTCTAATCATGAGATGATATCGTGGATTGGGCCTAAGTGAGTGGTAGCTTTGTATTAACTTACTAACTACTTGTTTGGACTTCACAATATAATTTTATAATATGAATTGTTCAATTTTTATGTACTTATTAACTAAATAGTGAAGTGGGCCACAACACTGTTAATGTCGTGTTAACTTATTAACTAGATAGTTGAGTGGGCCACAACACTATTAGTGTCGTATTAACTTATTAACTAGTTAGTGGAGTGAGCCACAACACTGTTAGTATCGTTTTAACTTATTAACTAGTTAGTGGAGTGGTCCACAACACTGTTAGTGTCGTGTTAACTTATTAACTAGTTAGCACTATATATATAAACATACTAAAAGTTACATAAATGATATATGAAAATTGATAGAAGTTACATTTGGTGAAAGCAAAGTAGGCGAGTACAAACAAAGTTTAATTACAAATATTAATATTTAAGTTTATTATTAAATTTACCTTATGTAAAAAGGTTGTAATTTGCATTTTAAACATTGTGGTTGACAAATGATTAGATAATAGCGTAAATACACATGAGCACATTGTTGTTTTGTTGCGCTAGAATTATATTTTTTATTTTTTTATTTTTTTTGACAAACGATACGATATTTACTAAATAATTTTTACAACATGTCAACATACTCACAACACAGTTACACCACTGCAATGAGACTAGTGAATATATATATCATTCCATCTTTTGCTTTAGTTTCCCTTTAGTGGCTCAAATTTTTTTGTTAGTTTTTTTGGTCGGTAGTTTCTCAGAAAGTTATATGTGTAGTGAACTAGGCTTGGGTTATTCTAGATGCAAAGTTGGCTACAACTTCTTTCTGTATGAAGGCTAGGATTATTCCAGAGGGTTAATTTGCTGCACAAACTCTTTCTGTATGTAGCCGTTTCCTTTCGGCCTCAGATTTTGTAGTTAGCTAGTTGAATATATAGGCCTCCATGTGGTACGTAGGTGGTGACGTGGGGAGCTCCCACAGAAGCCAGAGCCACAGAGCTTTAAAACCTCCAATACAGTCAGCCCAATTCACTCCTCAATTTCTCTCTTTTATCACTCAAACCACTCTCTCTCTCTCTCTCTCTCCAGTGTGTTTGGTGATGGGGGTTCTTGAGATTTGTGATGCTTCGCATGAAATGAAGCCAGTGTTGTTAATGGTGGCGGTTCAGTTTTCATTTGCTGGGGTTAATGTTTTCTACAAACTGGCGACTAATGATGGAATGAGCTCAAGGATTCTTGTTGCATATCGCTTCATTTTTGGAACCGCCTTCCTCCTTCCTCTTGCTCTTATCTTTGAAAGGTGAATATTAATATTGCATTTCTCTCTTTTTTGATAGGAATCAATTAAAAGTTCTTTCCATCTTTTGCGTTTTTCAGAACGAAAAAATATTCAATAATGTCATATTTGCTAGAGCTTTCCCTAATTGCATCATGCATTCTCTGTTGATGACGTGGTTTCAGTAATATCTTTCAGAACATTCAATAAGTTCATCATATACACACGAGAAGTTTCCTTTACAAAAACACTCTGGGAAAATAAGAACGAAAAGAAAAGAAAAAAAAAGAAAAAAAAAGGAAAGCAAAGCAAAGAAAAGAAAGGGAAAAGGAAATCATATCCTAAGTGCTACCTTTTGACATTTTGCCACATTGACCACTTATATGTTTCAAACCAGTTGGTGTTCAATTTGTTTTATTTACATGCAGGAAAAGCAGGCCAAAGCTCACATGGATAGTGCTCTTGCAAGGATTTTTGTCTGGCTTATTTGGGTAAGCAACTCATCCCTGCGCAATTGTGTTTCTTCAATCTTTACCAAAATCATTTTGTTATGGCTCATAATTATATGAAGAAACTTTTTACTTTTATTTTTATAGAAATAGTATAAATATATATATATATATATATGACATCTGGATGAGAGAATAACTTATATACGGAAATTCTCCTCTATGGATGTCCAGACGTTATTATTGTGTGGACGCCATGTATTTTCTACTACCCATCTTTGCTTTCCTCCATTTTTACAATGACATTCCTACAATAATAATGTGTGGACAATCATATGAGAGAATAACTGTGTACATATATATTTTTTATTTGTATTGTGCATATAGAGATATATTAGTGCTTACAGTTAGTAGTCCACTAGAAATAGAAGCCAACTGTGGCCATTGCAATCTCTAAAGTACGCATGTCCACAACTTTTTACGTGACTCTTGTTATCTTCTACGCTTTCAAAAGGCAACATGTTCAGTTGTTGACCCAAACAAAAAAAGATATAGCTAAAAAGATTCAATATTAATGCAGGGGATCATTGTCACAAAATTTGTACATTCAAAGCTTAGCCTTGACATCTGCAACATTTGCTTCTGCCATAGCCCAACTCATCCCAGTCTTAACTTTCGTCTTCGCCATCACCTGCAGGTAAATTTATGTTGGGTTTGGTTTCATTAAGGATTTTATATTAATAAATTTTTTATACAAATAATATTAAAGGAAGTGGAAATCAAACTTAAGATTTCCGGTACAGAAGTAAAATGTTATTTTAACTCTCTGCATAAATTGATGAATTGTGATTGGTTTGCTTTGGTTATATAGGTTGGAGAGATTGAATTTAAGAAGTATAGCAGGGAAGGCAAAGGTGTTGGGAACATTAATGGGAATTGGTGGAGCGATGGTTCTGACATTTTACAAAGGTGTGGAGATCAACATCTGGTCTACACATGTTGACCTTTTGCATAGTAGTCAGCAGCAAAACAACCACTTGGCAGCATCAGCTCATGCAGACTCTGGTAATCGACTATTGGGCTGCCTACTGTCCTTGGGGAGCTGTTTTGGCTTCGCTTTATGGCTCATTATTCAGGTGACACATTCACATACAAATTTAGGGGTATATTAATAAGCGCTTTTATTAGAAGACCGTTGAAATTTTTGTTAAAAATTCAAGAGCTTTCTAGAAAAGTATTTAGAAGTACAGAGATCGTTTTCATGACTCATAAGCACTTTTAAATTATTGTGTCAAACTCAATTAGAAGTACTTTTGATTGTTAAAAAACACTTTTATCCCTTACAAACACATTCCTAAACATGCCCTAGAGACAAAAAAGAAAAATCCCCTTTTCATTCCTCCCTATCCGGCCATGACACTGCCAAAGCTCTGTGCCCATGAAATTCTTGTTAGTAATATATATTTTGATCACATTAGACTAATACAGATTTAGTTGCTTTCTGTTTGTGCAAAAGACTAAAATGGTGGCGACGTACCCTTGCTACTATTCAAGCTCTGCTTTAATGTCAGCAATGGGGTCAATCCAGGCCGTTGGATTTGCCCTCATCAAGGAGAGGGACTGGAGCCAGTGGAAATTAGGTTGGAATATTAGGCTTCTCACAGTGGCATACGCGGTATTACCATCCTAACCTTCTTCTACTATTCGTTGTTCTTAAATTTCCATCACCCTCATCCAGAAATATTGTGATTTGATCTTATATATAGTCAATTAATAATAATTGAATATGGCTATGCTCATGACTTTTTTTTAATTTAGGGAGTTGTGGCCACTGGGCTAAGTGTGACATGTATTGCTTTGTGCATACGCATGAGAGGCCCCTTGTTTGTATCTGTTTTCAACCCTCTTATGTTGGTGCTCGTTGCCATTGTTGGGTCGTTGGTATTGGACGAGAAGCTGCACCTTGGAAGGTACCATATATACCACTTTTTTATAGAACTGATTGATCAATCTCTCAACTAGGGCCGACCTTGAAATTCTGAAAATTTACCATGAATTGATGTCGTAAAACAATAAAAGTACGGAACGAGAAATATATATATATATATATATATATATATATATACACACGTTTGTGTGGCTTTGCTTGCATTTGAATTTTATTAATTATTAATTATTTGTTTAATTCGCAAATAACAGTGTGTTAGGAGCAGTACTGATAGTGTGCGGCTTATATGCTGTGCTGTGGGGTAAGGGCAAAGAAATAAACAAGAGTCAATCAGTGGCGCCGTCTGCAAGCTTTCATCATCAAGATTCTGGATCAATTGATATTGTTATAATGCCTAATGGCATGAGCAGCAACAATGAGGGCCTAACAAATAATAATCCTCCAAATACTGTAGAAGAAAGGAGGATTTGAAGAAAACCCCAGCTACGTACAATAATGTGATAACAAAAATGTTAATTATTGTAATGTTTTTCTAGGTATCCCAATTCCAATTACCCAAATATTTGGGAGTTTTCCGTGTATAAGATATTGTATATAGATCCATCCCCTTCAAGTAAATTTTTGGGGAGGTTAGAAATATACGTATGTTAAATATTTGTATACAAATGATATTGGAAGAGAAAGATTCCAACATAAAACCTCTTGCATAACTCCACTTGTAACACGTGTTGGTATTGTCCATGTTTAATTCAATGGAATGAAGATCGCTATCACCACCTGAGTCGTTTTCATCATCACACTCTTCTCTATATGCAGCAACTTCCATTCCACTGCCTTCTTTCTTTGAGCTCTAAAATTATCCGAAATTTATTTTTGTTTAAATAAGCCTCAAGTTCTTTGATCCTTTTCAAATCTAGCGTTGTGTGATATAGTGCATTAGGATGTACCAGGTGTATTTTTGATAGTTAAATAGGGTGTACTTAGTTAATTTTATATTTTGAATTAAATATTAGAGTATATTCAGTTAATTTTAGAGTTTGTTTAATAATACCCTAAATTAATCTCGGTCCTCTTACCCTCTCCTTTTTCAGTTGTTGTCGAAAGGGCTTGGATATCCGTTCTTCGATTTCTCAGGTCTTCAATGTCAAGGGCTTGGATCGATTCGTAACACCCGTTCACATGTTCTACAATCCCATAATAATCTAGAATATCATTTATATGATTGATTTAACATGAGTTCATTGCACGACACACTAAAGATAATTAATTATTTCAGTTGTAAGCCTCTCAGATTCTATTTCTATTTGAAATTTTGTTTAGGGAGTTCTTAACTCAGGACTTGCTGTGACCCTAATTGCATGGGTTGTAAAGAAGGGAGGGCCACTGTTGGTTGCAGTTTTTCAGCCTCTCTTGCTTGTGATGGTTGCACTTGCAGGGTCTTTGTATCTGCAAATGTCAGCATGCAGGGAGGACTGATGATTGTGAGTGGATTATACGCGGTATTGTGGGGTAAGAGTAAGGAATTGCTGAAGATGACTCAATTAGAATCGCAAACAAGTCTCAAATATGAATCCAATTCTCAACCAGTCCTAGTTGTTACATCTATTGGGGGAGATGTGAATTCTGAGAAGGAAATGGTTGAGAGCAGAAAGGAGGACGTGAAGCCTTAGTCAAGTCTATAGGATGAAGAATATATGTATTGTACGCAGGTCTAAAGCTTGGCCATGTCTTATAATCTTTTTGGCAATTTGACAAAAGGAAATGAATATTACACCAACGTCTCTGGATGGTAAAGTCTTTTCACTCTCTCCCCAAACAAAGAAATATATAACATAGAACTCAACCACACTGTGCCTCCAATTTAAAATATGTTACAGGGTCTTTGAATTTGAGACCGTTTTCTACCCCTTCATGTATCATGTATGTTATCAACTTCAGATAAACAACAGCTGAACAGTCATTACTTAAATAATAATAAAACTCAACAGTCTTCCACTTCCCATGAAACTGTTGGCATCAGACTTTTAAACTCATTAAAAGTCATTAAAAGTTAGAATTGGATACATCCCCCTAAAGCTTTAGAAGGAGTAGGAGGATGTACCATTAATTAAAAGTTGAAAATATATTTGACAATTTAATTTTATACGGTGGATATACCATTAATCTCTTATTTTGGTGATTATATCCGAAAATATCTCTAATTTTGGGAACAACAATTCATAATTACAAATTAAATCTTGAGAATCTCTCCAAAAAATAATTTAAATCTTGAGAAAAGATCTTGCTCGGTTCAAATTCAGAATAAAATCCCATTTAACTTAGGACCAATGTACTAAGTACCCGTAGATTTACACGGTTCGCAATATATATATATATATATGTGTGTGTGTGTGTACGTATGTGTGTGTGTTCAAATATCTGCAGCCGATTTGGACAAATGTACTAAGTACCCGTAGATTTCCAACTGCTCTCTTTCTCTCTCTCTCTCAGAAAACAATATTGCATATTTTTAATTGATACAAAGGAATAGGATGGTGTGCGTGCGCATCTGTAATGCGCTGTATGGGCTGAAACCAGTGTTGGTAATGTTTGTGAGTCATCTTCTAAGTACAGGATTGAATATAATTTTCAAACTGATAGCAAACGATGGGATGAGTTTAAAAGTCTTCAGTGCCTACCGTGTCCTCTTTGCCTCTGCCGTTATGATACCTCTTGCTCTTGTATTTGAAAGGTTAATTCTGGCCTCTACCATTTGCTTTCCTTTTTTCCTTCTTCTTTTTTTTTAATTTTTTAATTTTTTTTTTAATTTTCTCTAAATCTAGTTCTACCCGGCATTTAAAAGAGTTTTTGCAATATGCCTAGCGACTGACGTTTCCCTATATCGGCCGTGTTCTGCATTTTTTTCAAGGCTAGATGTAGTCTGTTTGACGGCGGTGCTGCATTTTCAGAGTCTTTTTCATAATTTTTCTTTATCTATCTATGTGCAGGAACAAAAGACCAAAAATGACATGGACTGTGCTAGTTCAAATTTTTCTCTGTGCGTTATTTGGGTAAGTTTAATTCGTTCCTATTAATTACAGTATATATTTTGGGAAATGTTAGCATGCCAGGCTGTTTTAACAATATGGTGCCCTATTATTGCAGGATGACACTGGCTCAAAATTTATACCTGGAGAGTATGGTATTCATACCAACAACATTTACTGTGGCGATAGTGAATCTGATTCCTGTCTTCACCTTCATACTGGCCGTATGCTTTCGACAGGAGAAGCTGGGGCTAAGAAGCCTCCAAGGGATCGCGAAACTTGCCGGAACATTGGTAGGGATTGGAGGGGCAATGCTCTTCGTATTCTACAAAGGCATCACTATAAACGTCTGGCATCATACTGGCCTCTTGGCCATGCCCCAAAGCAGCACTTCATCTTCAAACCCTCATCACTCTAATGGTTATGCCTTGGGCACTGCGTTAGCTCTGCTAAGCTGTTTGTCCTCTTCAGCCTGGCTCATAATTCAGGTTTGTATCTTAGATGACGGACCTTTTGTGTTCACTATAATAATCAAATGGTTAAATGGTTTCTAATTTGACCTGTTTATACCGAGTTCATTCGTTCATTCGTTCATTCGACCTGACCGATATATAATAGAAAAAGTTGTACATTTTATCACCTCTCGGTTAGCTGACACTAAGAAGGAAAGCTTATAGAGAGTAGAATCACCCTATGAGCTTAGATTGAAGGTTTTAACTCTTGGGATTTGAATGGACATCGATTTAAGATTTCATAAGAAATCTGATTCTTTCTATAAATGCATATTATCTACATGTATTTTCTTAATTAACTTAGTCAAATTAATTACTTGCTTATAAATGCAGGGCAAATTGAGTAAGACCTACCCATGCCCCCTGTCAAACACAGCTTTGATGTCCGTCATGGGAACAGTTCAATGTGTGGTTTATGCCCTTAGCACAGAGAGGGATTGGAGCCAATGGAAGTTGGGATGGAATATTAGACTTCTTGGAGTTTTTTATGCTGTACGTATAATAAATTTAAAAAAATCATTTTTTAATTTAATTACAAATCGTTGTTTTTGCTGCATTCCCATGAGGTTTGAAAATCATGCTACAGTGCAAAGCTTTTATAAAGAATTAAGTTTATTACATTTCAATACAACAGCATTTATTTACGTTTGATTCTGACATAGGAATTTTAATACTTTTTTTTTTTAACTCTCTCTGCAAGTTGTTCATGCAGCTGATTGCCATCATTTGAATGTTTAATTTGTTGTGTGATGTAGGGAATATTGGGTTCTGGAGTTGTAGTGTTCTTGACGACATGGTGTGTAAACATGCGAGGGCCATTGTTTGTAGCAAGTTTTAGTCCTGTCCTGCTTGTACTCGTTGCCATATTTTGCTCTCTGTTGCTGGGAGAGAAGTTGTATCTGGGAAGGTGCATTTTCTGTTCTTTTGACTTTATTTTATTCAACTAATAGCATATTTACTTATCATGTTGAGTATTAGAATTATTCCAATTTATGTTTCTTCGATGTGTTTATTAACACATGGAATTGACCCTACCTTTACTAACAGCTAATTTTAATCAGTAAAATGTTGTGCATTTGTTTTGTGAATTACAGCTTTCTAGGAGGATTTCTAATCATATGTGGGTTGTACCTGGTGATTTGGGGTAAGAGCATTGAAATGAGGAAGATGACTCAAGTAGAACCAATGGAAACCCCCCGACCTTCAGAGGCTCAAACCATCGAAATTGTTTCAACAACTCCTATGCCCATTCACAGTTCGACCTCACGAGGTTAAAAACTACATCAAACACAAGCTACACATGGATACATTTGCCAGTCGCCTCTGCTTGGTAATTTTTGGACTAGCTAGAAGGGTTCGTTTGCTTGGCATTCTGAGAGATACATGTGCAGTTATTTGGACTTGGATATAGAGACTTTAACCCAAAGTTGTAAAAAATAAAAGAGATGGAATAATCGTTCTGTTATTAATATGCTGCTGTACATAATACTATCTTTTATAAACTAGGTTTACAATCTCCAATTCTAGCGTAACTCCTAACTAATGCTACAATCTGAGTTTGACCCATAAACATTAGGTCTAATATTGGAAAGATAATTACAATATTTACAATCCTTCAATTACATGATTTGATTTCCAACAAAAGTAAGTTAACAAATGAAATAGAAAGAGGGAAAATAGGGTAGGTATGGAGATAGAAGTGTAGTCCTTCAAAACATGTAATGAAAACCTAAAAAGAATATGTGAATTTTCTTTTTTGTTAGGAGATTGTTGTAATTATATGTGTTTTTTTTTGTGAGAGCAATCTGAATTGCTAGTAATCTTTTCGCTATTGCCAAATCAACCTTATATTTGATTTTCTAACTTTCTTTCAACTGTCACGTTTAAAATATTTTATGTGATGTTTTGAATATTGGGATCTCTAGGGGTGTCTTTGTAGAGACAATGTTCAAAGGGGTCAAAAAATTTATGATTCCATCATACATATGATTGAGTTATGGAAACTTATGGATATGTCTTTCTACATCTGTAATGATTTCTTTCTTATTAAATAAATCTCTTTCTAGTTGCTTCGGAAGACTTAAGGTCCCATTTGATTCATGAAACGGATTTGAAGGGAAATCACTTCCCAAAAGATGGGAAATAGAATATTAATTTCCTATGTTTGTTTTAAGTAGGAATGAAAAACAAAGTTCGTATAATTTCTTAATTGTACCCTTATTAAATCAAATAAAAAAAAGAACGCATTCAATGATATATTGTAATTTTAAATTGTTAATGGGGACAAAATGAACATGAAAATTGTGCATTTTCTCAAACTTTTCCATGAGGAGAGAAAACAAAACTCAAGTTGGGAGAATGACTTCACTTTCCCTCTACTTTCTCATGTGTTAAGCAACCATTTCCCATGCTTGTACTTATCAAACATGAGAAAACAACTGATTTCCCATTCCCATTAATCAAACAGGGCCTAAATTAAATGCATAAAAACATAATAAAAAATAACTAAGAACAAAATAATATTATAACCAGCCCTACTCTTCCCCCTCCACCCACCGATCCCAACCCCACCCCTTGGCACAACCTAGCTCAGCAACCTAGCATCTCTCTCTCTCTCTCTCTCTCTCTCTCTCTCTCTCTCTGTTGACCTCTGAATCTATTCGGACACGTGGTTAATTATTTCATAATAGAATAATCAAGCGGTCCGAGCACACTTAGTAACAGAGACGTCCTTCTTAGTGTGTGTGTGGCGTGCCAGTACTACAATCACAAGTGATCGTGTGGCTACAAATGAGCAAATGAATGGTGCTCTGCGCTATGATCTTGACTTCTTCTTGGCCGAGATTGGAACAAATTATCGGCCACCGTTGGGCTTGATTTATTTGATTGGTTCTGGACCTTTGTTTCATGGAATTTTCTTGTATTTATAGACTTTGTATTTCTCCGGTCGAGACAAAAATCCTAGTTGTGCTCTGACCTCCGTCACATCAACCTCATAGTTTCTATCTTACACTTTCACTTATGATAGACCAATCTGGATGGTGGAAAGGTGACATTCAGCTGCTTTCTGATAGCTTGGGCGGTGCATCTCTAACCTCATGTTCGGTCTCAGACTCTTGCTCTCTCGGTGAGGCAAACAATTCCTCAGTCTACAAGAGCAAACAATCTCCTTTTGTTGTCGAGCTGGTTTCTTTCATAACACACGCACTGAGCAAACTTCCTTTTTGTTTGCTCCCTCGTTGAGGCAAACTTTCTTTTTTGTTTAGAAGAGCTCGGCTTCTTTTGTTGTTTAGGCCCTCGTGTGTGTGCTTGGACGTCCTCTTTAAGCGCATTAGTATTTGCCCTTTTTTCAATTGCCGCAATCTTGGAAGGCCCTTTTTTTAGGCCCATGACCGAAAACATACATGTCCAAACACTCTCCTCCTCCCCCCACCCACCCACTCTGCACTAGCAGCCACCCACCAGTCCACTAGTAGCCCCACCCTCTTCCCCTCGGAGAAGATGTTGATTGGCTTGATTAGGTTGATTAGGGATCTGTTTGAATTTGAAGCCCTCTGTTTCAAAGGGATATTGGGTTTCTTCACAAAAAAATATATATATATATATATAAATATCTTAGTTTTTAATAATAATAAAAACTCAAATATCTTAGTTTTGGATAGAAAAGTGGATGAAAGTAGAAATTTTGATAGTAAAAAATAAATTGACAATTTTAATTAATTCAGATGTTAAATTAAATAATTTTTTATTCGAAGAATTAAATTAAATTGGGTGATTATTTCAAAGGGTAAACCGCTGAAAATCTTTATTATGTTTACAAATGGGAACTTTTGTCTATGTTTATATACCTACTATTTGTTTTATTTTGTTAATGTAATTTATTTATTTATTTTTGAGTTAATCTAGCTTATTAGGCTACCACCTCCACAGCATATGTAACGTGTCAACCTCCAACACAGGTGTACACACATAGATCTAAGCAAAACCATCACCATGCATGGTCAAAATGGGCGACTCCGTATTAAAGAACAATGGGACCCGTTGTGTTTCATTAGTGGCGCTTTCGTAGTTCCAGTGCATAATCATGGGCAGTTTCCAAATGCGGTGTCCATAAAAGGAAACCATTCAGAGCAAAAGAAGAAGAAGGAGAAGAAAAATGTCGACGGTGAAGAAGATGGCGGTTGCTCTGTTGGTTCTGTGTGCGGTGTTTTCTTGTATGGAGAAGGTGGTAGATTCTGCTGGAGTTGACTGCTATGATGCTTGCAACACTGGCTGTGTTCAAAGCAACAGTATGTAATTTCTAATTTCTAATTTTTCAACAATTCCTAGCATGTTCATAGATTTGTTTGTTGATATCACTTACCGGTTTGGATGCCAGCGCATAGACTCGTTGTCCTGACCAATTGGCCTAACTCACATATATTATATTGAGTAGAGTGAAATTGAATTTTGGACATCTTGAATATTAGATTGGGGAGAGAGAGAGTGAGAAACTAGATTGTTTTTCATGTTAGATTTATCATTTAATTTAGGGAATTTAGATTGAAGGGAGAAACATAATGTTTTGGTTCATTTGTATTTGTATGTAATGTAGTGACTGATTTGTTTTGTTATTTATGTAAATATGCAGCGAGACTTTATCAACGCTGTGATCGCAAGTGCCGGATTAAGTGCGGTCCAGGTAAAATCCCAAGTCTTCCGTCGACCTTATCACCTTGGAACTTTAAGGCTTCTTTTGCCCAAGTGCCAGATTGAGTGCTTATTATTTTATTATGAATTTTTTTTGGTTTGGTATGAACAGAAAGCCTAATTCTGTGTTTTATTGTGTGTACAGATTCTGAAGTTGAGGGGAACTTACAGTAAAAGCCAAAGAAAATTGAGGAGCACATCAGAAAGATCATAGAAAACAATATGTAATTTATGCACCTTTTTCTCTTCCTTTTAAAAATCAAATAAAATAAAATAATGGAAGTGACTTATGCACTTAAAGAAAGTATGTCATTATTTTAAATTATGTCATTTATTGTAGTTATGAACTTCATCCATTTGGGCTTGGCCCAATTAGAACATCTCCAATAGTTAGTTAGCATTTTCTCGTTTAATATTCGTATTATATATATATATATTTTAATAATACTTTTATTTTCCATATATGTCTTAAAGATTCAGTAAAATATACAATTTTTTAAAAAGAAAATATACAATACACACGCACATATGTTTTTCACCTTTAATACACGTTTTTTTTACAAAATTTTGAATAATACAAATAAAATTCACTTATTTTTTTTTATTAAAAATAATATATATTAAAATTTTTAAATAAATTATATTAGAATATTATATAGTGACCGAACTTTTCAATTGTATTTTGCTAAAATTTTACCAAATAAAACACACTAGTCTCTAGACACATGCTCACGCATGTGCCAATTGGTTTTCTTTTTTTTAGTATTAAGAAAATAAAAGATAATATGGGTAGTTATGTTTCATAAACAAAATGACTTATTATTTGATTTTGTTTTTAATTTTAATTTTTTTAATATGAAAAATGTGAATTTACCATATTGTCCTCATTTAATTAATAATTTCAACTCCTAATATTTGTATTAACCAAGGGCATTTTCTGGTATTTTGAATGTTTCACCATTCTCTGCCTTTTGCTTTATATATATAGATACATATTTTATTCATACTTTTCCTGTTTTGTATTTTACTAACTAGCAAACTACATATATATTTTATTCGTACTTTTCCTGTTTTATATTTTACTAACTAGCAAACTAAACTCTTCAAATTAAAGTTTGTTGATCTATGTGACAATTTGAAAATGTTTATTTGCTACTGTATAATTTATGTCACAACTTACTCGCTAATTCAATTAATGTAATATTATGAATTCAATTAATGTAATATTATGAAAAGAATGAAAAATATAAAAACATGTGAAGAATGCCTATATATTTATGACCTAAAAAGTAAAAGTGTATGTTTTTAACATTTTCAATGTAGGTTTTGTGTTTGGAAAGTAAAATTAAATGTTTTGAAGAGTCAAGGTTAACTTATCACTCATGAATAATATGAAGTCTCACATCGAAAGCTTGACGGATAAAATATAAAATATAATAAATGGTATTACCATTAATAACATCAAGGTTTTTTGTATTAAGTTCACATATATCAGATCATGTAGGTTGGGAGTTTGTCTCTCTAAAATCTTTGCATGGTATCAGAGTTGGATAATTGACTATACTTGATTGAACCTGAATCAAATAAAAACTTTGAATTGAAGATGAATCAAACAAACACCAAATTTGAAACCATGAATTGAAAAAATAACAACAAATCTACCAATGTGGAATTGGTGCATTTGTGGCGCATTAAAGAATGGTCCACGTGACAGGGAATCTTGAAGAATATGAAGTTTCAAATCAAAAGTTGACAAATAAAATAAATACATAATGAATGATTCCATTACTAATATAATCAAGACCTTTTATATAAAATCTCATACCTGTCGAACTATGTATGTGATTAAATTTGGGACAATATTGATGTTTTTAGTAGTGAGCTGAGAGTTCATCTATTTGAAATCTTTGTATCTTCCTACAACAAAAAGACGACTCATAATGCATTGCCTTCTCCTTCAACTTTTCTTCATTTGAAGAGAGTATGGGTTTGCAATTAGAATGTGAACATTAAACCATGAGGTGAAGTGAAAAACTTTCACCATCAAACGTAGGCCGTAAAAGAAAATGTTGTTCGTTTACAGAGTATTAGAAAAATAATGGAAAATATCGTACCACAAATTGATTTTGACCTTTTTTTTTTTTTTTATTTTTCTTTTTTTTTGTGTTCGTTTGCGTTTGACATTTTTTCTGAAAAAACTTTTTAAAGTAGGCCCATGCGAAAAAAGAAAAAGAAAAAAAAAGGCACAAAGCAACACGACAAGACACAAAAGTAGTAGGCTTGGATTGATCGTTGGTTAAACAAATTTTATTTACATTCTTATACAAGCCAAACCAAACATGATTAAAGAAAAAAAATGGTATTTTCTAGTTACTTTTCCAGTAATACCAAACATTGAAAAGAAAATTTTCATTTCTCATAAATTAAAAAAAGACATGAAAATTATTTTTTTATCCAATCCTTTCAGCGTACTAAACGGGCCTTAATTTTAGATTTGGAAAGAAAGAATGAAAGATAAGGTCGTATGGGAGAATCTACTGAATATAGTTGGAAGCTAAGATGATGATGAATACAGAAGAACAAAACCAAACCTCTGCAGAACCTGTTCCCCTCGTCAGTCGTCAGTCAGTTTTGAAATAAAAGAAAAGGTCAAACTCCCATTTGGTCATCATCTTCTGTGAGTGGGAATATAAAATTCCACACCAAACGTATACAGGTAAGTACTAGTGAAAACACCATAAGTATTCATTCAAAATAAAATACACAGTAAAAGAAAAAAAGAAAAAGGAAAAGAAAAAAACCCGAAGACAAAACTCTGGAGGACATGTCTCCCTTTTCTTCTTCTGGTTCGTGAACTCAATTTAATGTGGGCTTGGAGTCCGTATATACGAGAGAGAGAGAGAGAGAGAGAACCCAAAAGGTGGAAAGAGTGATTATGATAATGAAGAAGGTTGGTTCTCTACTTTTCTGACCTGACCTGACCTCCTTTTTCTTCTTCTGCTCTGCTTGATCTCTTTTTATTTTGCGAACCCCAAAAAAAGAAGAAGAAAAAAAACCAGAAATGATTGTTTGATTGTTGGTTAGTTTGTCTTTGCTCAGCTGATGTTTGAGGTGCAGATCTATTATTTCTTTGGTTTTGTTGTTATTATAACAAGCTTTGTAAGGATTTTCCGAGCAATTTTTAGTTTTCCCACCTGGGTTTTCTTGAGAAAATGCCAGGAAAGTCGAGGGTTTAAGTTAGCTGCTCAAGTCTTAAGCTTTTTTAACATTAAGATGTTCTTGTTCTTTGCAGATCTTTGAATTGTTGTGATTAAGCCGCGGAGAAGTTTAAGCTCTGGGATAATTTGGGCTTTTTGGTTAACAGGTAAGTCCCAAGCTTTTGTCTTTGGTGGATGCGCAAGTTCACCTTCTTTTACCTCACCATTTGCTAAAATGAGTTCAACAAATTTGGAAAGAAGATAGCATGACAAAAATAAAAATTACAAATTATTTATGAACGTCAGGTCTAAATTTTGAGACTGCCCTTGTTATACTCTCACTATCATCATGTATCAATGATCTGTTATTTTTACTTGAGGATTTGTGTATAAGTTGCTATAAAAATAAGTTGTCCTAAATATGATTTTTCTTCTTATGAAATACGGGTTCTTTTGCTTTGTATTTCTTTCTCCTTGGAAAACTAGGGATTGGATTTCCAGTGGATGAAGTTAACCAATACTTTTGACACCAGTATGCCTTCTTAATCTGTCCTTTATGCAGTTAGATTATCATTTTATGGTCTATATTGATGGATGCCATGGACATTCTTTGCTTATATGGCATATAGATCGTAACTAGCCTTTTTTGAGTTTGAAAATGGTTTTAAAGTTTGGTTCTTTAGGTTACTTTGTAACCCATATGAATCTGCCTTTTCTACTTTTCTTTCAATTTTTTGTTGCCTCTCCTATATCATCTTATATCTTGTTCTCCATTAAGTATTTTTTTGGTGGCAATTGACATAGTGTCACTTTTTGTTTGTGGCCAGCCATATGCACAAGCTAAGTGGAAATCAGAAGATTTTAAAGAAGATAACACAATTTTTTGGGTACTCTTTTCCACCACAAGAATGTCATTCCGTAGTATAGTTCGTGATGTTAGGGATGGCTTTGGAAGCTTGTCCAGACGGGGTTTTGAAGTCAGGCTGATGGGCCATCATAGAGGAAAATCTCATGGATCATTAAATGATTTACATGACCAGCCTCTCATTGTTCAGAACAGTCGTTGGGCTAGCCTTCCCCCAGAACTATTGTATGATGTAATTAGGAGGCTGGAGGAGAGTGAGAGCACATGGCCTTCTCGAAAGCATGTTGTTGCATGTGCCTCAGTTTGTCGTTCTTGGAGGACCATGTGCAAAGAAATTGTTAAGAGTCCTGAGATCTGCGGGAAGCTCACTTTTCCTGTGTCGCTGAAGCAGGTTGAATCCTTTAATCCATTTAATCTGATGTACATCTTGATTTTGTGCTGATATGTTTTTTCTTTCCCAAGTTTGTATTGAAATCAAAGTTACTAAGATTCTGTATATGTTGCATTTTGTGGGAGATAATAATTTTTATTAAAGCAATTGGACATCCTATGATGTTGGGAAAAGCACTTACCAAATTTTCTTTTTTGTTTGGTTTTTCAGCCTGGTCCACGAGATGGACTCGTTCAATGCTTCATTAAAAGGGATAAATCTAATCTAACATACCACCTGTTTCTGTGTCTTAGCCCTGGTAAGCATCTTTTCTAACCATTTGATTTTATTTGATTTGTTGCTGGCTCTAGTAGCCTGTCGACCCATTTATCCATCGATCAAATATTTCTAAATGTGAGTTAGCATTTATTTATCAATTAATAGTCTCATTTTTCAGCGCCCCAAAATATCTCACTTTTAATGCTTGTCAATCATTGATTTCCATTCATATGCTGGTGTGTATCAGGTTAAAATGCCTCATCTTCTATATATATGAATGTTTACCAATTTTTGATTTCAAGTAGTCCGGTTATGAAATGTAGGAGTCCTTAATTTATTCAGGTTGACTTTTGAAAAGGGCTGAATATCTATTTTAGGTTGATATCTTTGATTTGAATGATGATCTGATCAAACACGGTCAACTGTAAGGTGAAACTTTGTGTGCATGTCATGTATTGATTGAGATAGCCTCTCTCCTCGAATGGAGGATGAATCCAATTAAATAGGTGTATGGTGAACATGAATATGGAATATTCATGAAGAGTCCCGGCATTTTGGATAAACCTAAATAGTGAGAATGAATGTTCATTTTGATCACACCTCTTCTCAAAGCCTATATAAACCCCCATTCACTTCCTCAGTTTTCAGTTGATTATTTCACCAGTTAATCATCAAAGTTTGAAAGAGAACCTCACTTTGATTGAGAAAAAAATAGTTAAAAATGCATAAACCCTCTCAAGAGAATCCAAGAGAGCGTTTCGTATACAAACTTTTGTAAGATTATTCGTTGAAATCCCATTATTTTGCAGTGGAAGATTTTGCCTACTGCCTGTCGACATTGGTTTAAACGCTGGACCAGTTATACTTTTTTGACTCTAAATAACTTGCATACTTACTTTATTTTAATTGCCTAATTTAATCACACAAGGGAGACTCAGAGGGGAAAGTTTGGTCCAGTGAATACCAAATTATTTATTAACTCGTATTAGGCGCTGTCTTTCCCAACTGACTTTTGGGTAGTAAAGTAAATCATAGCTATACTTGGCAGATTGATGCTGAACATGGGAAGCTCTGCAACTTTATGGTCCAACACTCAAGTTTCTGTAGTCCTTTAGAATTTCAATTAAGTTGTCTTTAATGTTATCATTAGCAAAAATTTAATGTTTCCATCCTTTTTCCTTGTGTTAAGTATCGTAATTTATGTCACAACTTTATCAGACTGAAGAACCTAATATGCCTTAATTTAAAGTAGGGTAGGTTATGTAATGGTGTGGTGTGATAAAAATAACTACTTAATTTGTCAGCCTGCAAGGTTTTTCCTAATAGGTTCTTTTATTTCATTTTAACATACTATTAGTGAACACGGGGGTGTCAAAGTAAGTGGGTAACTTCTAGACCAGGGATAAAGTTGGACGCATGCCTTGGTGAATTTACAATGCATCTCTATACATCTTTTGGTCTTTCCTAGCATGCATAATAACAATAGGTAGTAAAGCGTTAAACAAAAATAACTACTTTTTAAACTGCATGATAGTCCTTGAAAGTCTGCAAGATTAATAGATATGTTAACTATCAGCATACACATCTACCATTTTCATGTCAGACATGTTGGTTTTCTGTTAGAAATGCCCTAGAAATCATGAGTCATGTTCTGTCAACCTTTTTCTTAGATGTGTTTCCAAGATTTTTAAATTATGTTTACCATTTTGAATAATGGATTGTTATGCTGTCCTGATCAAGACCAGCCCATCTATAGCCCCCATGTTTCTCTGAACTTTACCTATGGCTTCCAAGTTAATTTTGTGTTTTATTGTCACTCCAATTTGGCAGCTTTGCTAGTGGAGAATGGGAAATTCCTTCTTTCTGCAAAGAGGACTCGACGAACTACTTGTACAGAATATGTCATTTCTATGGATGCTGACAACATTTCAAGATCAAGCAGTGCTTACATTGGAAAGTTAAGGTAATTAAGAACATGATTTAAAAAGACTGAAAATGTATTTTTTTTGGTTGGTCGCTTCAGAAGAATACACAATCAAAGTAACACATTGTTTTTGCATTTCTCAAACGAACAGTTGGTTTAATATCTATTGATTTTAATCCTGTTTTTGGTTAGTTTGTTATTTCTTATAAATTATAACATAAATTTCTTAAAAGAGCTCTCATTAATGTAATTTTCTTGGCATGTGTCAAAACAATTATGTAAAGCACGAATAGACGTGTCTTCTATTGTGTAGTACTAATAGGGATGGGTGTGACAAGATAGGCTTACAAGAATAGTTGATCTTGTAATGTTTAATCATTTATTTGTTTTACTGGCAGCTATAAGTTAGCTTGTATAACCTGTTAGAAATTTTGTTTTGAAGCATCCAACTTTGTTTCTTTTCCCAGGTCAAACTTTCTTGGCACAAAATTCATTGTATATGATACGCAGCCTGCATGCGCTTCTGAACATATTCCCCCACCAGGGCGGACAAGCCGTAGATTTAATTCCAAAAAAGTCTCCCCAAAAGTCCCGACTGGTAGCTATAACATTGCTCAGATAACATATGAGCTAAATGTGTTAGGCACTCGTGGCCCTAGAAGGATGCATTGCATCATGCATTCTATCCCGGTCTCATCTCTTGATGCAGGAGGTTCTGTCCCTGGCCAACCGGAACTCCTCACCCGCTCCCTGGAAGACTCCTTCCGAAGTGTATCTTTCTCCAAGTCTCTTGACCACTCAGTTGAATTCAGTAGTGCACGATTTTCTGAAATTGTTGGACCCCGAGATGATGAGGATGGCAAGACAAGACCCTTGGTTTTGAAAAACAAGCCTCCACGATGGCATGAACAACTACAGTGTTGGTGTCTGAACTTCCGAGGTCGGGTAACTGTTGCTTCTGTTAAGAACTTTCAGTTGATTGCTGCCACTCAGCCTGCTGCTGGTGCACCTACTCCATCTCAGCCAACGCCTCCCGAGCTTGATAAGATAATCTTGCAGTTTGGCAAGGTTGGTAAAGATATGTTCACAATGGATTATCGTTATCCTCTATCTGCATTTCAGGCTTTTGCCATCTGCTTGAGCAGCTTTGACACCAAATTGGCTTGTGAATAGAAAAGAGTAAATAGACGGTTTGGTAAGCAGAAAAGACCATTGACAATCATTCATTCTCTTTCTCACCTTTTATTTTCCTCTTCTGATATGAATTTATATTTCTTGTAACTTTATGGTAGGAAATTGTTTGTTAAATTTGTTCTGAACTCAGTTTCTACCCTGATAACAGGGTTTAACAGCATTTTAATATCAGAGCTTATTGTTACCCTGATTCTCGGTTCATGATTTGTATTGCCCCTTTGGTGTTGATTCGTATTGCATGGCTACCGAACGTTCGGTTATACTTTGATTTCCACAAACCAATTCCTTGTTTTTCGGGTGTTCGGAGGGGTTGGCCTTGACTCGCGCATTATTTTCTGGTGGTGCTGGATGGTCGTCATCCATTTGATGCTGGTGGATGTCACAATCGTGTTGTTGGCAGACATGGTGGTGATGGGAAATTCTTGTCTTAATTGGACTCTTGCAATGCCAATTTCTTTCTGAATTTATCAAACAAGTCAATTTTAACAGCTCTGTTTTTGGCATATGATTTGTGCGACCTCTTCTCCTTCTGATAAATTAGTAGCTGCTTCAGCTTTCACTCGAATTTTCACTTTCCTTTTCGAATTCACATTTTCCTGTTAGAATTGATCTCCAACCTCTTGTATAATTTGGGCAAAACTAATAAAAGAATTTGGCAAAAAAGTGCATTTTTTTGGTAGAAACAATTTTTTTTTTGAGCATCCCCTCAGCCCGACTGTTGGCGCGAGAGGAGGTTCAACCTGACTTCGGCCACTGGGAGGCTTTGATTTAATGCAACCGTTGGAGTCTTTGCTCATTCTTGTGAGTTTTTAATCTGTCGTTGAAAGTTCTCAACTCGGCCTCTGGAGTAAAATGGAGGAATTCTCAGAGCTATTCTCATGATTTTTCCTATCCAAGTTGATTGAAAGACAAGAATGTATTATTTGGTTCATGCAATATGGCCGATACATGTCCAAAATTTGCTAGTTTATGGACTGCCAGCCAAATTGCATCAAGCTGATGAGCAACTTATGATGCTCAAATAAAGTTGACTCCTTCATGAATAACGTATTGAAATGTGGGAGCATTTGGACCGGTGACGTCGTAGCCTTCTCATATTGTCACACACTAAAGCATGTTCGAAGAAAGTGTTGGTGACGGTCAATCAAATTGAATAAGTCCGATTGGAACTTCCATTGCTCCGATGAAGTTGACTCCTCCATGAGAGTTGTTCCAGCAGATGTGTAAAAGCTCCATGCTTGTGTGAGAGTTAACTTGAAAAGATAACCACTTTAAAGCTGGAGAGGTGGAGCTGAGTACAAGACTTGTGTTTCTCTTCTTCTTTTTTCTTTTTCTTTTTTGATTGGACACTGTGCTCGTCTCTTCCCTCTCTTTCCATGCCGCTTCCTTGCATTTTCCTGACCTTCAATCTTAGCCGTCCAGTAGATCGTGTAGTCAAAAAAAAAATTATCTTTTCACTGTTCTCCCCACATGGGAACTTTAGCTTTTGTCGACTGGACCAGTTTGGCATTGCTGTGCTGTGAAAATAATCGCTGTTAGATTTGCTGTGAGAGAAATCAACTGTGAGAGAAATCAGTTTGGCGTTTGGTAAAATTTTTGTTAAAAGTGTTGTTGGTATTGATTTTATGCATAATCAGAAAATGATTGCCGCATAATCATTAAACCCAGCGCCTCTTTGAAACTAATTCCTTCATAATCAGAAAATGAAAGTACCTCATTAGTTGCTTTCTCTTATAACTTTCTCTCACAATAATTTTTAACAATAAGTAATTTTCTTACAGTTTACCAAATGAGTTGGGCTTCTTAAAATTTTTTAAAATCACTTATCACCTCAAATAAGTAATGCCAAACTGACACTGAGACATTTGAGGACCTTGACTATGCATATTTCGAATTTATACATCTGAGCTGTAACACACAAACCACTGCCCAGAAAAAATAATTAATTACGAAATAACTTCTTCTGCTCAAATCGGATCGGAAGGCCAACTTGTGCATAATGTATAGCTGGTCTGATCTGAACCAGTATCAATTAATGGATGCCAGGAAAGCCTCATCTTCATCCTCACCATCCTCCTCATCAAAACGTTGGAAGTACGACGTGTTCTTGAGCTTCAGAGGTGAAGACACACGCAAGGGCTTCACAGGCCACCTCCACGCCGCATTATCTGATGCCGGAATCAGCGCCTTTCTTGACGACAACGAGCTAGAAAGAGCGGAATTTATAAAACCCCAACTGGAGCAGGCAATCGACGGGTCCATGATCTCCATAATTGTCTTCTCCGAGCGTTATGCCGATTCCAGTTGGTGTCTTGACGAGCTGGTTAAGATCATGGAGTGTAGAGAACGATTGGGGCAACAAGTTATTCCATTGTTCTATAATGTTGAGGCTTCAGATGTCCGGAAACAAACTGGTAGTTTTGCACAAGCTTTTGAGAAACATGAAGCGGGCAAACATGAGAAAGAAAAGGTACAGCGATGGAGAAATGCTCTCAGTCAAGCAGCAGATTTGTGTGGGGAAGATCTTAAAAATGCTGACAATGGGTAATTACTAATTTCTTGTTCCTTGGATTATCATCTCCATATGTTTTCTGCCCTTTTTTTTTCCAACTATGTTTTCTTTTTGACTTTGAACTTTGGTGTTTGTTGGTTTGGTTTGGTTTGGTTTGGTTTGGTTTTAAATAAGCATTCTTTCTTACTTGATAATGTAAGATCCATTTAACATTTGATGTTAAATCCCAATCTTAATTGTTAATTATATCTTAGTATAAAAAAGAAAATAATTTGGTCATTCTAAATTATTAAGTTAGGGATTTAATTTAACCTTGTAGTTTGTTCCACATCGAATGATTGGTAGTTCTGCTTCTTTGTTTAATTGCCAGGCGTGAAGCAAAGTTTATCAAGAAAATTCTTGGGGAGGTTAATAAGCAGTTGTACAGCAAATACCAATTAGACATCGAACACCTTGTTGGAATTACTTCTCGGCTGAACAATGTTGTTCGCATGATTGATATTGAAAATTCAGGTTCTAAGGATGTTGTTCGCATGATTGGTATTTGGGGGATGGGCGGCATTGGGAAAACAACGCTTGCCAAAGCCATTTATAACAAATTTGAAGGTAGCTTTGAAGGTAGGAGTTTCCTTGCAAACGTGAGGGAAGTAATTGCAAACCAACCCATTACTGGTCTGGTTGGTTTGCAAGAAAAACTTCTAAATGATATCTTGAGAAGCAAGGACCCCATAAAGGTTGATTATGTTGATGAAGGGATCACAGTGATACAAAAAAGACTTCACTGTAAAAGAGCACTTGTCATAATTGACGATGCAGATGATCTACAGCAACTAAAAGCAATAGCTAGAGCTCGTGATTGGTTTGGTCCTGGAAGTAGAATTGTTATAACAACAAGAAATAAACATTTGCTAGAGCAAGTTGGAGTGGATAGCACATATATGGCTCAAGAAATGGATGAGGAAGAAGCTCTAGAGCTGTTTAGTTGGCATGCCTTTGAAAGTGGTTATCCTGATCAAGAATATCTTGACCTCTCAAAACGTGTAATTCGTTACTGTCAAGGCTTGCCACTAGCACTTCGAGTTGTAGGGTCTTTTCTGATTAAAAGATCCATAGCTGAGTGGGAAAGCCATTTGGAGAAATTGGAAAGGAGTCCTCCTGATGGAGAAATTCAAAAAGTACTCAGAATAAGCTTTGACTTGCTACCTGATCAGGAAAAGAGAGAGATATTCCTTGATATATCTTGTTTCTTTATAGGAATGGACAAGGACTATGTTACACAAATATTAGATGGATGTGGCTTCTCTGCAGTGATAGGAATCCGTGTCCTCATTGAACGGTGCCTTGTAACTGTTAGTGAGCAAAAGGAGCTGATGATGCATGATTTGCTTCGAGACATGGGAAGAGAGATCGTTTATGAAAATGCCCGCGGTCAGCCTGAAAAATTTAGTAGATTGTGGAAACGTGAAGACGTAACATTTGTATTGGGAGACTCTGTAAGTACTTTCCAAGTAAAGTTTTAGAATGCATCATGAAAGAAAAGCATATGTATCCCGTGTCTATAATAAATTAAAGGGCTTGTCCAATATAGATCCCTACATTTTCTATTTCCTAGACATATACCTATCACTCTATAAATCTATGTGTAAAACCCAATTTCAAATTTAAATGACCAGTAGGATATAAGAGGTCGTAGTATTTCTATGTTTTTACATCGTTGCCACTAAACTTCATATTTTATTTATAATTTATTTCAAGCATTTCATTAACTACCATAATTGTAATTAATATACTCCCTATTAATAGCATATCAATCACCCCATTTCTTTTAGTTGTCATTCCCTCTCACATCTCGCTCCCTAAAATTGCAAAAAAAAAAAAATATCTGTAAATTACATATCCAGTAATGTACCTATGAAAAATATAATATAAATATATACATATAAAATATAGGTATATTATTTACCCAAAAAAAAAAAACAAAGTCAGTTACTTTGTAATTGCGTATATTTTTCATAATTAAAAATAAGTACACAATAATTTATATAAAATATAGGTACATTGTAAAACAAATAATAGGTACTTTATTCAGAGAAAAAAGGCTATATTATTTATAGAAAAAAATAGGTACATTATTTAGATAAATAATAGGTACTTTATTCGTAGTAGGTATATTATTCAAATGGTAGGTACATTGGATGACATATAATACCTACATCCTAATTGTAAGTACATTAAAATTAATGTAGGTATATTGGATGTCGTATAATGTAGGTATATTGGAATAGATAATTATGTACACTTTTCATACTAGGTAAATTATATTTTTCATAAAACAAACAAGTAATAGGTACATTATTTTTTCAACATAATTAGTATGTACAGTTTTATTCATAAACAATTATAAAGTGGATTATTAGTCATGTATAATTCATAAAAAGAAAATAACATAAACATTTTATTAAACAAACCGATTACCCAAATTTGAGTTTATTGTTAAATTTTTTTTAAAATGTTTCAAAATTAATTCCTACATCCATTACAACCATTTGGAGATCTTTCCAAATTCAACATCTGTCATTATATACAATCCAATTAAAAATTGTTTCCATATTGATTCCTACATTAATATACAAAATGCAATAATGGCTTAGTTAGGGGTATTTTTGGAATCTGAAAAGTACAATAAATCAAATTTTATGCTTAATTAGGTAACTTGCTGAGTTGGATTCTAGTCATGAGTTTTTACTTATACAAATTGGGTATTATTTATAGGAACAAAAAGTGAAGGGTTTTAAGTACGCAAATTGAATTTGAAGGGTGTAAGCCAAATTTACTATAAATTAAAATGCCCTTCTCCATTTCTTTAGTTTTTTTGTTTAGTACAAGCGCTAAATCAAAGTAAAAGAGGGGGTTCTCACACATCCACGCTACCAAGGTGCCATTTGAACATGAGACCTTAGTCTGCAAGTTTAGACCATTTTTCACTTCACTAGACCTATTTCTTATATTATATCCATTAATATCAAAGATCAATTAGGCATAACCAACAAAAAAATATGTGCTTTGATTGCAAACACAAACTATTAATTATGGTTAATACATACACGGATTTTCGTGTTTGTAAATTATTTTTCTAACTCGGTATCTTTTGTTAACAGGGAACTAAAAAAATTGAAGGAGTTGCTCTAGATATGCGAAATCCTGACAAGGCTAGATTCAGTGCACAAGCATTTACCAACATGAAAAAACTGAGGTTACTCCACCTCAGAGGAGTAGAGCTCACTGGAGAGTACAAATATTTTCCCAACAAGTTAATATGGTTGTGCTGGCATGGATTCCCTTTAGAGTCCATACCAGATGACTTTCCTATGCAACCAAAACTAGTTGCTTTAGACCTGCAGCATAGCAAACTCAAAATAGTTTGGAAGGATTGCAAGGTATAATAATCTCAACCAAAACTAGTTGTTGTTGATTCTTTCCTCCTGGTTCTATACATATATTATACTTCACCTTCTCTTCATTTTGGTTTAATTTCTGTATCAGAGACCTTCCTTTTGGATTTTAATTTCCATTCTAATTTTGTTTTTGTGTAACAGTTGCATGAGAATTTGAAAATCCTAAATCTCAGTGATTCCTATCAGCTAACAAAATCACCAGAGTTTTCAAAACTCCCAAATCTCGAGGAATTGATATTGGAATACTGTGAGAGTTTGTCTGAGGTTCACTCATCCATCGGGGATCTTGGAAGACTTTCTTTGGTAAATCTTAAAGGCTGCGAAATGCTAAGGGATCTCCCACTGAATTTCTATAAATCCAAGTCTATTGAAACTCTTATACTTGATGAATGTCCGAGTTTTGAAAAGTTGGCTGAGGGCTTAGGGGACATGGTATCATTGACAACTCTGAAAGCGGATTACTCAGCCTTAAGACAAATACCATCTTCCATATTAAAATTGAAGAAACTGAAAGTTGTATCTTTATGTTATGTGGAAGGGTCGCCATCAACAAATCTTTTTCCTCCTTCGTTGCAAAGTTTAAGCTCTTTAAGAGAATTAGCTCTTGCAGGCTGGAGGTTAACTGATGATGCATTCCCCAAGGATCTCGGTAGCCTAATTTCCTTAGAAAATTTAGATCTTGCAAGCAATGACTTTTGTAGCCTACCAAGCCTTGGTCGTCTTTCACAGCTTCAATATTTGTCTTTATATAAGTGCATAAATCTTCGTGCAATCCCAGATTTACCAACAAATTTGGAAGTCTTAAATGCAGGTGGCTGCATTTCGTTGGAAAAAATGCCAGATTTTTCAGAAATGTCAAATATAAGAGAATTGTATCTAAGTGATTCGGGCAAACTTACTGAGATTCCAGGCCTGGATAAGTCATTAAACTCCATGACAATAGTTCATATGGGAAATTGCACTAATCTCACTGCTGATTTTAGGAAGAACATCCTACAGGTTAATCCTTCTCTCCCTCTCTCTCTCTCTCTCTCTCTCTCTCTCTCTCATACATCTTTCTCTTTCTATCACATAGAGCGCACATGTACACATGCATGCATAAGAATGTATTTCTTATAGAAATTTGTCTCTACATGGTATAGGGATGGACTTCTTGCGGATATGGTGGCATTTTTCTGAGTGGAAATGATATTCCTGATTGGTTCGACTGTGTCCATGACGATGATATTGTGTATTTCACTGTGCCTCAAAGTGTTGGTCGTAATTTGAAAGGGTTAACTTTGTCCTTCGGTTACTCAGACTACTACCCTACCCGTTGTCGTATTCACATTAAAAACATGACCAAGGGTGCTGAGCTTGACGCCTGGATCATACCCAATTGTGAAACTGAGGAGGGTTGTCCAATTGAGGGTTATTATCTTTGGCAGGGACAATTATCAAATGACGAGCTCAAATTGCAAGAGGGTGATAAAGTCTGGATTGAAATAATAGTGGACGAATGGGTGAATGTGAAGAAAACAGGTGTTAGTCTGGTATGGGACAAATTTATGAACGAAAATATGATTGATTACCATCTTTGTGCGTATGAACGACGTCCATATCTGGTCAATGATGATGACATCATTCATGTCGAATATGATAATCACATAACAAAATCACCGGACTTTTCAAAATTCCCAAATCTCGAGAAGTTGATATTGAAAGGTTGTATGTGGTTGTATAAGGTTCACTCATCCATCGGGGATCTTGGAAGACTTTCTTTGGTAAATCTTGAACGCTGCAGAGCACTAGAGGATCTCCCACTGAATTTCTATAAATCCAAGTCTATTGAAACTCTTATATTGAATGGTTGTTATAGTTTTAAAAAGTTGGCTGAGGGCTTAGGGGACATGGTATCATTGACAATTTTGGAAGCAGATGACACAGAAATCAGAGAAATTCCATCTTCCATAGTAAAATTGAAGAAGTTGAGAATTTTATCTCTATCTGGTGAGAATTTTGAAATTCCATCTTTTACCCCTTTCGTTACATGGCTTAAAGTCTTTAATAGAGTTATTATGTCCTGCAGGCTGCCGCTTGTCAACTGAGGATGCAATCCCTAAGGATCTATGTAGCCTAATTTCCTTAGAACATCTGCTTCTCGGAGGCAATGATTTTTGTAGCCTTCCAAGTCTCGCTGGTCTTTCAAAACTCAAGGTCTTGTGTTTAAATCCATGCAGAAAACTTCGTGCAATCCCAGATTTACCAACCAATTTGTATGTTCTGAAAGCAAATGACTGCCCAGAATTGGAAACAATTCCAGATTTTTCAAAAATGTGGAATATGAGAGAATTGTATCTCAGTCATTCGTTCGAACTCACTGAGGTTCCAGGCTTGGATAAGTCATTAAACTCCATGACAAGGATTCATATGGAAGGCTGCACCAATCTGACTGCCGATTTTAGGAACAACATCCTACAGGTCTCTCTCTCTCTCTCTCTCTCTCTCTCTCTCTCTCTCTCTCTCTCTCTCTCTCACACACACACACACACACAGGCACTGCTGCAGATGCGGCCCATGTCATAATATATGCATGCAATATGGCCGATACATGTCCAAAATTTGCTAGTTTATGGACTGCCAGCCAAATTGCATCAATCTGATGAGCAACTTATGATGCTCAAATAAAGTTGACTCCTACATGAATAACGTATTGAAATGTGGGAGCATTTGGACCGGTGACGTCGTAGCCTTCTCATATTGTCACACACTAAAGCATGTTCGAAGAAAGTGTTGGTGATGGTCAATCAAATTGAATAAGTCCGATTGGAACTTCCATGGCTCCGATGAAGTTGACTCCTCCATGAGAGTTGTTCCAGCAGATGTGTACGCAGAATGCCTAAACTTCTCAGACTATAGGATATGTCTTTAAACCCCATGCTTGTGTGAGAGTTAAATTGAATAGATAACCACTTTAAAGCTGGAGAGGTGGACCTGACCTGAGTACAAGACTTGTGTTTTTCTTCGGCTTTTTCTTTTTTGATTGGACATTGTGCTCGTCTCTTCCCTCTCTTTCCATGCCGCTTCCTTGCATTTTCCCGACCTTCAATCTTAGCCGTCCAGTAGATCGTGTAGCCAAAAAAAATATTATCTTTTCACTGTTCTCCCCACATGGGAACTTTTGCTTTTGTCGACTGAGACGTTTGAGGACCTTGACTATGCGTATTTCGAATTTATACATCTGCGCTGTAACACACAAACCACTGCCCAGAAAAAATAATTAATTACGAAATAACTTCTTCTGCTCAAATCGGATCGGAAGGCCAACTTGTGCATAATTTGTAGCTGGTCTGACTCTGACCTTCAATCTTAGCCGTCCAACAGATCGTGTAGCCAGCAGCCACAGAAAGCGACCCCTGCCTCTCTCCGCGTCCATGACGTGTTGGCTGGAACGTAGGGACTTTTGCTTCTGTTGACTGAAACGTTCGAGGACCTTGACCTTGACTTTGGGTAGTTCAATAATATATTCATCTGCTGCTCAAGGCCAAACCACTGCCCCGTAAAAAACAATCAATTTGTAGTTGGTCTGATCTGAACCAGTATCAATTAATGGATGCCAGGAACGCTGCCTCCTCTTCATCCTCACCATCCTCCTCATCAAAACGTTGGGAGTACCAAGTGTTCTTGAGCTTCAGAGGTGAAGACACACGCAAGGGCTTCACAGGCCACCTCCACGCCGCCTTATCTGGTGACGGAATCCGCGCCTTTCTGGACGACAACGAGCTAAAAAGAGCGGAATTTATAAAAACCCAACTGGAGCAGGCAATCGACGGGTCCATGATCTCCATAATTGTCTTCTCCGAGCGTTATGCCGATTCCAGTTGGTGTCTTGACGAGCTGGTGAAGATCATGGAGTGTAGAGAACGATTGGGGCAACAGGTTATTCCATTGTTCTACAATGTTGATGCTTCAGATGTCCGGAACCAAAAAGGTAGTTTTGAACAAGCATTTGAGAAACATGAAAAGGGCAAACATGAGAAAGAAAAGGTAGAGCGATGGAAAAAGGCTCTCACTCAAGCTGCAAATTTGTGTGGGAAAGACTGCGCGTTTGTCTGAGGTTCACTCATCCATCGGGGATCTTGGAAGACTTTCTTTGGTAAATCTTGAAGGCTGCAAAAGCCTAATGGATCTCCCACTGAATTTCTATAAATCCAAGTCTATTGAAACTCTTCTACTTAATGGTTGTTCGAGTTTTAAAAAGTTGGCTGAGGGCTTAGAGGACATGGTAGCATTGACAACTCTGGAAGCGGATGAGACAGCCATAAGACAAATACTATCTTTCATATTACAATTGAAGAAACTGAAAGTTTTATCTATATGTTATGTGAAAGGGTCGCCATCAACAAATCTTTTGCCTCCTTCGTTGCAAAGTTTTAGCTCTTTAAGACAATTAGCTCTTGCAGACTGGAGTTTAACTGATGATGCATTCCCCAAGGATATCGGTGGCCTAATTTCCTTAGAAAGATTAGATCTTGCAAGCAATGACTTTTGTAGCCTACCAAGCCTCAGTCGTCTTTCACAGCTTCAAGATTTGTCTTTATATAAGTGCAAAAATCTTCGTGCGATCTCAGATTTACCAACAAATTTGAAAGTCTTACAAGCAGATGGCTGCATGGCATTGGAAAAAATGCCAGATTTTTCGGAAATGTCAAATATAAGAGAATTGTATATAAGTGATTCGGGCGAACTCACTGAGATTCCAGGCCTGGATAAGTCATTAAACTCCATGACAATGATTCATATGGGAAATTGCACTAATCTCACTGCCGATTTTAGGAAGAACATCCTACAGGTCAATCCTCTCTCTCATACATCTTTCTCTTTCTATCTGTTAGTTTAAGAGAGAAGAGGTTTAGAGAATGGTTGGTAGTGTTTAAGACAATAGCTTAATTTGGAATGGAAAACTTTTCAAAGACGAACAAGGTAGTTTTTATTCTATTGATTGAGGTAGGAAAGGTTCAAGGCTTTAATACTTGAGTTTGATGATTGCATTAATTGGACAGCTGTAGTTTTCCAGCTTACATTTTTGTATAGGCATCAAGCCTATATATAGGAGACTTAACCGACAGTAGCTTAGTCGGTGAGATTAGCTCTTTGAATATTTTATATTATAGCACACTTTGATCTCTCAGATTTTTTGTATTCACCGACTTTGTTAAGTCGGTTTGCACATTCATTAAAATTCTAGACTTTTCTATATCATTCAAGACTTTTGTATACTATTTAAGGTACAGGTGTGTATTACTTTTTAATATTGTCTCATACAACGCATATGTACACATGCATGCATAAGAATGTATTTCTTATAGAAATTTGGCTCTACATGGTATAGGGATGGACTTCTTGCGGATATGGTGGCATTTTTTTCAATGGAAATGATATTCCTGATTGGTTCGACTATGTCCATGACGATGATATTGTGTATTTCACTGTGCCTCAAAGTGATGGTCGTAATTTGAAAGGGTTAACTTTGTCCTTTGTTTGGTCTTCATCCATATACTACAGATGTTGCATTAGCATTAAAAACATGACCAAGGGTACTGAGCTTGAAGCCAGGATCATACCCGATTGTGAAATTACGTATTTTCGAATTGAGCCCGCCATTTGGCAGGGACAGTTATCAAATGACGAGCTCAAATTGCAAGACGGTGACAAAGTCTGGATTGAAATAATAGTGGACAAGTGGTTGAAGGTGAAGAAAGCAGGTGTTAGTCTGGTATGGGACAAATTTATGAACGAAAATATGATTGATTACCATCTTTGTGCATATGAACGACGCCCATTTCTGGTCAATGATGTTGACATCATTGATGTTGATTATGATAATCACATAACAAAATCACCAGACTTATCAAAATTCCCAAATCTCGAGAAGCTGATATTGAAAGGTTGTGAGTACTTGTATAAGGTTCACTCATTCATCGGGCATCTTGAAAGACTTTCTTTGGTAAATCTTGAAGACTGCGAAATGCTAGAGGATCTCCCACTGAATTTCTATAAATCCAAGTCTATTGAAACTCTTATACTGAATGGTTGTTCAGGATTTCAAATCTTGGCTGATGGCTTAGGGGACATGGCATCATTGACAATTTTGGAAGCAGATGACACAGCCATCAGACAAATTCCATCTTCCATAGTAAAATTGAAGAAGTTGAGAATTTTATCTCTATGTGGTGAGAATTTTGAAATTCCATCTTTTACCCCTTTCGTTACATGGCTTAAAGTCTTTAATAGAGTTATTATGTCTTGCAGGCTGCCGCTTGTCAACTGAGGATGCAATCCCTAAGGATCTATGTAGCCTAATTTCCTTAGAACATCTGCTTCTCGGAGGCAATGATTTTTGTAGCCTTCCAAGTCTCGCTGGTCTTTCAAAACTCAGGGTCTTGTGTTTAAATGCATGCAGAAAACTTCGTGCAATCCCAGATTTACCAACCAATTTGTATGTTCTGAAAGCAAATGACTGCCCAGAATTGGAAACAATTCCAGATTTTTCAAAAATGTGGAATATGAGAGAATTGTATCTCACTCATTCGTTCAAACTCACTGAGGTTCCAGGCTTGGATAAGTCATTAAACTCCATGACAAGGATTCATATGGAAGGCTGCACCAATCTGACTGCCGATTTTAGGAACAACATCCTACAGGTCTCTCTCTCTCTCTCTCTCTCTCTCTCTCTCACACACACACACACACACACACACACACACACAAACACAGAGGCACAGCTGCAGATGCTGCCCATGTAATGATATATGCAAGCATGTATAAGATTGTCTTGCTTCTGGTGTGCAGAGATGGACTTCTTGCGGATTTGGTGGAATTTATTTGAATGGAATTTATGATATTCCCAAGTGGTTCAAATTCGTCAATCATGTGGACAGTATCGTCTTCTTTGAAGTTCCTCAAAGAATCATGGGTCGTGATTTAAAAGGGTTGACTATATGCTTCGTTTACTCTGCAGACAGGCCAAAACTTGAAGATTCTCAAGTTCCTATTGACATTATCGTTAGAAATCTTACCAAACAAACTGCTTTGCACACCAAGATAGCATTTGCCTCCTTAAAAACTTACAGAACACCACTTGTTTTTTGGTGGAGACATGAGGACCATTACGAACCTGAAGACAAACCTGAAGATTCTCTTTGGCAGGGGCAGTTGTCAAACGATGTGCTCCATTTGGAAGACGGTGACCACGTATCGATTCTTGCAAGGCCTCAATATGTTGATTTTGTGAGAGTGAAAAAGACAGGGGTTCATCTAGAATGGGACAAAGTCATGAAGGAAAATATGGATAATCCGGATCCTCATTTGTATAATTTGGAAACAAATCCGGATTTTTGAGGGGGAGTTGATGAGTCCATTTCAAGAAATTGTTGTCACTGAGACGAATGGTAACCATACTGAGCAAGCCATCAATCTTGATGGAGGAAGAAGCCATGATGAAGTAGAGAGAAATTGCAATCTTGATTTCTGTATTTCTTAATCTTTTAAGCTACGACGCTTTATACAGCTGTCTAACTAATTCACATACACTATTAACAACTCACGTGCCTTGCACACCTACCTCACCCCTGAATTAGACCAACACGTCAATGTCGGTTAAAACAACAACACTTGCAAAAACTCCAGTGTGGAGAGACCTCCATCCCCTGTTTTGGGTTGTGGTTTGGTAAGATTACCCAAATCTATTACAAAGTTACAAATTTCAATAGGAAATCTACTTCAATTATTTGGTGATGAAATGACTCGAAAGAGAGAGCCACGCAGAGACCACCACCTGTCCCAAGGCCCCACATGTCACATTCTAGTGCACTCTTCACTTTTGTAGGTAGCAGACACGTGTCAACATAAGCAGCAACATGCTTCACACCTCCTTCACACAAAATAAAATACTCATGGATTGTAGAAAATAATTAGAGCAAAAGGTTGTGCCGATATTCTACGATGTGGAGGCTACGGATGTGAGGAATCTGACTGGTTGTTTTGCAAAGGCATTTCAGGAGCATAGATGAAAGAAAAAAGCTAAAGAGTAATCTGACTGGTCCTTTTCGTTCTTTTTCTTTTTCTTTTTGCCAACTCTGTTTTGGTAATATTTTATGTTCTTTATGTGAAAATATTTGGGAATTTCTGTGTTTGTATTCTTCTCCCCTTATGAGATATTTATATTATATTAGATAGCTCTTTACTAGGTCGAATAATACAGGGGAGCTTCACATTTAAGCCCAAACATAAATCCCAAAATATATAAAAACCCTATGCAATCCAAATTCTATAAAACAGCCCAATATTCATCGACTTACCCTCGAAAATTGTACCATTTAAAAAACTGCCATTGCCATGTAGGAATCCAAAAATCTTATCTAAAAATATTATCCAAATTAATTGTTTAGGTAAAAAAAATTGTGAAAAAAAACAAAAAAATGAATAGTATTTGCCATGGTAAAGGGCAACTGCTGGTAACACACATTGCTTTTTGCAAGGGCAGCTACTATTCACGTGAATAGTAGCTGGCAAGGGGCAAACTGCTGGAAGTGCTCTAAGAGTAGTTTATACCATTATTCATTACTATTACTAAATTACCCGAGTCTCTATTGTCCCCTTTTGAGTTTTTACTTTTCCAAAGTTATTACGCTATAAAGAATTTAGCATTTTGCCGTTTAGTACTCGTATTATACATGTACGTACATATTTTTCAATAACACCTATGTTTTCCATACACGTCTTAAAGACTGGGTAAAATACACGTTTTGTAAAAAAAGCAAACATACAATACACATATTGTGCACATACATATATTTTTTTTTTCATATACACGTGTTTTTTTACAAAATTTTCAATAATACACACAAAATTCACATACACGCGTAAATTCTTCATATACACGTATTACACACATAATTTTCACATATTATTGAATAAAAATAATATATATTAAAATATTATATAGTGGCGAAACTTTTCAGTTGTAACTTACCAAAATTTTGCCAAATAAAACACGTACGTATTTTATTCGTATTTTTTCCGTTCCGTATTTTACTAACTATGAAAGAAATTGAGAGGTTGATATTATTTCTTACTTGTTGTGAGAAAATTGCAAGATTGTGATTTTGCAATCCCTTTGCCAATGAGAACAACAATTTCAAACAAGGTTTTATGGGTATAGTAGTAAGAGAGGTGGTATTTATTCTTCATGTAAAGTGTTGTTTGAAAAGTGAAGCAATTACCAAGACCACTCCAACCCAGCATGCAATTCTCTACGAAAAATAATGTGTGCGGTAACATAATTTAGTAGCACTTGAGAGAACGATATAGATCGAAGGCAAACATTCTCACGAAAAAAAGAAAAAGAAAAAATTGAACTCTCAGATTGATTTACTGTGAAATTTCTCTCTTTTCAATATCTACTTTGGATATGTTGAAACTTGGAACCCCAACTCACTTTGGCAAACTCCGAAATCAGGGTACTTTTCAAGTGTTTTGACACGTGGCAAATGCCATTCAAGTGTTTTAGACCGCCTAGGCGTTTTGAAAATGCAGCAACAAGCTAGGCGTTACGAAACCTGACTTTCATAATAAAGCCCAGCATATAAAGAAGCGTAGAAGTAATCACTCCCTCGGCCTTTTGAAAATGCAGCAACAAGCTATGCATTAAGAACAATCACTTAAGTGTGAGGAAATTCTTGGTATTAATGCAACTAGACATGCCTCTATAAGAAACATAAAACTATTTGAAGACCATTCTGCACTGTAAAATGTACATCACAAAACATATACATGACTATTAACGCAAGATCAATGGTCTACCTGCTTTTTTTGCCTCCTTAGCTAGTTGCTCATCCATCCCAGAAGAGAAGTCTTTACGTTTTGCTAGTTACTTGGCCATACAAACTCTGTTCAACCTCCTATCTCCAACCGCTTTTGCTTCGAAGAGAAATCTTTCAGGTGTAGCACATAATATATGCATAGCCAATCAGTATTCTGGTTCTGTTTTTGCATTATTTGGGTGAGTTCACAGAAAATCATCTCTGATCTGTAAGATTACAAAGCATCTACTTGCATGTAGGGTTATTTTTTGTATTATATAGCAGGGGTTTATTTTTGATGCACAATATAGTGGGGTTAACATGAAAGAGTCAGATGATTGTAAATGACACATGATCTCCTTGTGAAAAGCATAGTGCAAAATCTGGAAGACCCCCACATAACATTGATTGATTGTGACTTGAAACAACTCTGTATGTAAAGATATACATATGTTGTCTGAAAAAATAAGGTAGTGAATGATAGGTAGGGCATGAACAAACATGTTATCGCAACCGTTAACCTCTGGACCTCAATGAATATGACTGAACAAGAGTAGGCTATGTCCACCCGACCTAAACATGGACGCTCACAAGCACATTCTTACCAACAATTCCAAGTTCAAAGTATTCAAGTCCAACTGGATTGAAGTAAAAGTTGCAATGTACTTTTAACATCTCGATAAATGGATGGAAAAGTTGTCCACGATATAATTTGAGATTCAAAAGGGTCGTTGGAGCATTTCAAAATTTTACAACTTGAATTTACTGTACAAGAGGTGAAGGAGGGTAAAGTAAAAACTTGTTGAGCTTTGTCATTGCTTGGGGCAGTACTTTGTATGTAGGTTATCAAGCTTCTCGGCATACTCAATCGGAGTTGCCTCCTTGTCAAACACTTCATCCCATATCTTAGCAAGATCTGTTTGCAAGGTTATTGGGTTAGTATAGGATATGAACTAATGGAAAATATGTATCATAAACCCTATAAAAATGGGCAAGATGACTAACAAATCAGAAAATATGGAATGATTCAATCAAGACACAGTGCAAGCAGTATCAGTCACTGAGACTGATATACCACATTGATGTGTGTATACTCTACTTAAAAAACATTTGAAATCCAGGAATTCAACTGTAAGCTTCTGAAAATCTCAAGGACTTTAAAACAGAAGCATGCATACCAGCGTTGTCTGAGGATGAAAGAAACATGATAAGTGTGTCAAATCTTGGAACCCTCGTTAATTTCTCCAAACAATTGATGGCCAAATCCATTTCTTCATTGCCAAAGAAATAAATCAAAGGTGGGGCCATAAGCATTTTATCAAGCTCAACAAGAAAACATACATATCAGACATAAACATTACTTACACGAAAAAGGTTGCCACATACTTGATAATGTCAAGAAGTATGGGAACAGTCAAAGCATTTTTGAATATCTGCGGCAATGCACTTGGAGATATAGCCTGTATAGAAATAACACAAAAAATAAAATGAAACAAAGTAACAGCATAAATGGAAAGTCAGAATGAGTGATGATTTCCTAAATAAATACCAACTGCATTCACAATCCTTTATGGACATTTGAAATTGTTCAAAAGGGACACAACAAATCGGGAACTTCTTGGTGGCCCCTAGTATGCAGAAGCCAGTTAGGCAGACTGACAATGCAATTAATGGTATACTTCTGGCAACCATCCAAAGAGGACAATAGACGAGACTAGTAGAATCTTTGCAGTGGTCAACCGCACGGATGACCATCATGCAAAAAGAAACACATTCATGGTCACCTACTTTGGTATGACAACGAACACATGAATCTTGCATTTTGGCAAACTATATTTTTTACAGTAAACCACATGAATACTTTTGCAGACATTCAACAGGCTAGTCTGTTGAGCATTATCTCCAGAGAGTCCTCGCTAAAAAGCCTCAAATTGATATGCCGAATTTGGTGGTGTGATCTTTTCATCAGCTACAGCCTTGACTCGGGAAGCAATTCGAGAATCAAGCTCTTGTATCGATGCCTTCACCTCTTGCTTCCTAGTTGTGCTATTTCTCTACAAAATTATCATAATATAGACTAGTTCAAGAGACTAAAAGACACAGATGCAAAAGAAATAAATAAAAGTTTAAAGCAAATAAGAAGATAAAGCCATTGAGTCTAGATAACATGGTAGGAGTACACAACATATAAGTCTGATAAGAAGCTATAAAGACAAAAGCAATTAATAAGGTTCATAAACAAGTCTATCTTACTTATTCACCTGTTACTAAGAAGAAACGAAAACTCAATGACAACAACAAAAAATCAAGTAAAAGGAGCAACAAAACACTTTTCCTTGACACCTTAGTGTGTGTGATCTTGAACTGCAGTCATCTCTGTTATTTGAGCACTGCTGGAGACAGGCTGGATGCTTTGTCCGTTCACTTTGGTATCCAACTTTCCCACTTTCTGCATTTCTTGTACAGTATTTTTCCGTGCTCCAGATGCTTTCTGAAGAATTGTCTGGGAATTAACAATTCAAACGAGTCAATTTAATATATAAATGAACTCGTAGATGAGCATGATATACACCATCAAACAAAACACAAGAAATGAATTATAGACTCCGAAAAATCAAAACTCGCCTTTCAAAAGCAAGCAGACCTGCATAGCTTGGACCTCTTCACCTTCCGACCCTTTCCTCAAAGCATTTCTGCTCTTCTTCTTCTCCTTCACTTCCGGAACGACAAACACCTCCTCAATCTCCTCCTGAATATGGACCAATTCTATGGCTCTGGAACTCGACCCTGTCTCCGCTATCTGATTTTTCTCCGTCAAAATCTGCAACAAGCCGGCGATGTTGGGCTAGGTGGGCGCTAGGAGGCTAGGCGGGTGCTAGGCGGCTAGGCGGGGGCTAGGCGGGTTGGGTCTTTTTTCGGTGCTGAACCCGGAGGACGAAGCCGCCGAAACCGTAGAAAACCAATCGAAGCTTGAGTTTGATAGAGAAGCGAAATGGCTGTGACAACGAGCGGAAGGTTGGTGGTAATATTTAAAGAGTATAGCCGCGTGGCTATACGCTTAAAAAAATATTAGAATATAATAATATTTAAAGAGTCTAGCCCTCCGGCTATACTTTTAAATTATGCGAATGTATTTAGAAAGTGTAGCCGGGCGGCTATACCTTTTAAATAGACATTTTTGTCATATCGTGGGTTTAGGGCTAAAATACTACTTCAGCCCATTGGGCTAGAGTTATTTCTTCAATTATTTTTTTTATACAAGCGATATTTAAATTCTTTCTGATACCTTCCATTCTAATGATTTCCAGCTATTAGCCCATTGGGCAAGAATAAAAAAATGAATTTTATGTATAACAAATAATATTGGTTAAACCTATAAATACAACAACAAAAAATAGGGATCCACCAACATTTTGTGGGTCAAAGAATGTTGAATTTCATAGTATAAAATTGCTTGTATGAAATTTACTTTTTAAAATGTATCTATCGTAATTATGAACTAAACCCAATTATAGCTTTTTTTCTCATTGCACTTGAGAACCCTTCTCTTCTGCTATGAGATATATCAGTCCGCGATGTATTCTATGCAGATGAAAAATTAGATACAAAACAGTCTAACGAGACAACGAAGAGAAGTTTACAACTCTATTTTGAAATAAATTGAAGGTAACATAAATCATATGACATTGATGTACGAACTTTTCTAAATGAGAATTCAAACAACAAGTGTTAGATGAGAATTAGCATCCTTGGGGGGATTGGGATTGCTTTTTTTTTTTTGTTTTTTGTTTTTTTTTTTTTTTTTTTTTTTGCTTAATTTAAAGTTAATTTAAAGTTTAAAGGTTTAAGGTTAGATAAATAAAAATATCCCAATTATTTTAAAAGCAGTGGTCTTTTAACAGCAGCTTTTAAAAGCAGACTCTGGATTGCTTTTCAAAACTGCTTTAAAGAAAAGCAGAGATGAATCTTTAATGAATTTTTTAAATTCCCAAAATATCATCATCCATTTTAAAAAATGACACCACCTCCACTTCCACATCCAACTCCACCACTTGCACCACTACATTCACTACCTCCACAACCAACGCCACCACCACTACCAACCACAACCACCAACTCCACCTTCATCACCACCTCCTCCACCTCCACCACCACCACCACTACCACCCTAAACCCTAAACCCTAAACCACCACCTCCTCCAAAACCTCCACATCCACCACCATCTCCACAACCAACACCACCACCTCCACAACCGCCATCCCCACCACCACCACCACTACAACATCCACCAACTCCGCCTTCATCACCACCACCAACTCCACTCCATCACTGCCACTACCACCATATTGCATTTATCAAACCCTATTTCGTTTTGGTTGTTTGTTCTTTCTTCAAATTCATTTAATGTTTGTTAAAGTTTATTAAACTTCAAGTTCAGATCGTGTTCCATTTCTTTGTTTTAGATTTTAATTTCTAAACTTCATTGTTGTAGCCAGATCTGTTCGATAATACCTTTCAATTCTAAGAGAGATGTTAACGAGGCCCAAACACTTTTGCAAAACCGATCCAACAAGCCCGACCTGAGCCCAGACCGGAACCCTAATCCTAAGCATTTCCTCAGCTTTACACAGCCTCCTCGTCGTTTCTCTCCACCCCTTATACACCATCCTTGCTTCTAGATGAAGATTTTACAAAAGGAAGACGATGAGCCCTTCCATATTGACACCCTTCACATACTTCTTTGTTGGGAAATATTATTAGTTTTGGAAAGCAAACAACCAGATTGTTTTGAACCATAATTTTCAATTTACCGATGTTCACATGCCCCAATCTGGCATGCGTAAGTATGCATTCTCATTGAAGCTAATCGTATTTTACTTTACTTTCTCGTCATTTGGTTTAATCGTATTTTTACTTCACTTGCATCATAATAAAGTCCCAAAAAACCCTAAAAAATACACTAACAAAGCCTAACCATCTTTAATTCCGAGGAAGTGAAAGAACCTAGGTCAAGAAGAGATTCTTTGCTTGGCCTATCAATCGGCTGATTAGAAGTCAAAAGCACGAACAAAACATTTTGACCTTTTCCGTACAAGCCAATAAGTGGCTTGATACGCAGTCCAAAAAAAGGACCAAAAATTCCTTCCGGCCACTTCGGTCGAAAAGATGGAAACACTTTGCTTTCCTTTTTTCGAAGTGTTTTTGTTTTTTGCATTTATATTTACTTATGTTATTTTATCTCTCAGATTCAAGTATTACTTTAGACACTGAGGAGTGCTGGACGATGGAGGGCTGCTTCCTAGATGAAGCATGGCGTATTTTTTATGATCTTCTTGTTGTTTTGCTTTCAGTTTGGTTTGGGGTTGTGTAGTTGTTGTGTTGTTTTCTAAGTTTCTTTTCCCGTATTTGTGTAGTTGTGTTGCTATGGTTTGTCTCAGGTAGACTTTTGCAGGTTGCTAGGTAATTTCTCCTGGTTCGTATTTGCTGCTCTCTTCTCCTTCCTTTTATTTTGTTCCAACTTTTTTGCTTCTTATTTATCTCTTTTTTAGCTTTTTGATTGGGCTTTGTATTGTGTCGGGTTGGCCCTACCTAGTTTTCTTTTCTTATTGTTTTTTTTTTTTCTAATTTCTTAGTGTTCAATTGTGTTTTTTAGTTTATTTGTTATTTTATTTTTTAGTTTCAGTTTTATTAGTTATTTTACTTTTTCTTGTTTTTTTTTTGATTTTGTGTTTTATTGTAGGCTGCAAGTTTCTGGTACTCCCAAGGTTTTGTTGTTGTGTAGATCCAAGGGATCTTCAGGCTCCTTTTTTTTTGTTTGGGTTATTGTTTTTCTTTGAGTTGTTCAAGCACTAGTCTTTTTTAAGATCACACATCTGTTCCAGTCTCTCATGCTTTGGTTTTGAATAGTAGTTGGCTATTTCAGTCATATCTTTGTATACTTTTATGGCGCTTACTATTTTTTAATAAAATATCTCTTCCAACAACAAAAAATATATCGGATAAAACATTTGGAAGCAAAAGGATAAAACACGTGCAAGCAAAAAATCACAGATGGCAAAGGCATTCCGCTACTGCCAGCGCGCCAGCCAAAGCGGCCTTTCGACGCGTGAAGAGAAAAGAAGGCAAAGCAAAACTCACTCATATTACATATAAAACTGCCTTCTGCTTTCAAATCGTCTTTTGTTTCCGTCGCTTCAAACACAAATATGATGAAGCGTCATGTATTCAAGTTTGCCCGCTCGCGTATGGGCTTTGCAGATTTCAATTGCTTCCTGGTATCTCTCTCTCTCTCTCTCGTATTATTTCTGATAATGAATCTGTTGGGTGTTTGATTAATTTGATAACGAGGCAGCCCACAACCCCTTCGTATGTTTGTATTTCTGTGACATTTTAGCTTTGTTCTATGTTTAACAGGCAGCCCAAAATACTGTGAAAATGCTATCTTTTTCTTTTGCAACTTTATTTGCTTATTAATGTATTTCCGGGTCAATTGATGAAACAACAAAGGAAAATTAATCTCCAACTCAACGATCTGATTCCAATGAATATTGGTTTTTATTTTTTGTTTTGAAAATTGTGCTCTATATTTCCTTGCAGCTTGGATGTTCTACTTGCTATTGTCAAATTGTAAATGATACTGCAAAGTTTCATGAATCAAATCCTAAACTTTCATATATGAAATGAAGTTGACCCTTTTATAGAACTTTACTTCTGTAAAGACTAGTCTTTGTTTCGAACCACATATTAGTTTCAAACTTTCAAGTTGATCATGTCTATTCTGTTCAATCATGGGGTGAGTTAGTACATCCACCGTCGCAGTGAAATATATTTGATTGGTACTGCTTTTACTTTCTAATAGGTGGACTTCGAAACTGGGTCTTGTTCCTCCTCCAGAAACTGTGATTCTAAGGGTTTACTTCGTCATCAAATGAATGCATCCGCACCAAGGATGTGCTCGACTTCTTGTGCTAAGGTACCAGAAGATCTTCCAAAAGACAACCCTGTTTCTGATATGTTGCTTGATTCATTTGGAAGGCTCCACACTTACTTGAGGATCTCCCTGACCGAACGTTGCAATCTGCGATGTCAATACTGTATGCCAGCTGAGGGTGTGGACCTCACTCCCAGCCCTAAAATTCTTTCACAGAATGAGATTGTTCGCTTGGCAAATCTGTTTGTAAGCTCAGGAGTGGATAAAATTCGTTTGACTGGAGGGGAGCCAACCGTAAGGAAAGATATCGAAGACATATGCTTACACTTGTCTAACTTGAATGGATTAAAAACACTGGCCATAACGACCAATGGAATTACTCTTGCAAGAAAACTTCCCAAGCTGAAAGAATGTGGGCTTACTTCTGTGAATATTAGTTTAGACACGTTGGTCCCTGCAAAGTTTGAATTTATGACCAGGCGTAAAGGGCATCAAAAGGTTATGGAATCAATTAATGCTGCCGTAGACCTTGGATATAATCCTGTTAAGGTATGTTCTTCCTCTCAATTTACACTCACATACTCTTTTCTTCGAATTTTTCTTATTGATTATTTGTTTACGCAATTTATTATGTTCCCTACTTTTTATTTATAGGTTTAGGATTGCTATTACCTATTATTTAAGGTTCTTGTTAATTAGAGGTTATGATGTACCCATATGAACATATGCATGCATACACTAACACATTCTCATGCACAAGTACCATTCATATTCTGTACATTTATATGTTTTCTATGCTTCTATTCAGGTAAATTGTGTGGTGATGCGTGGATTCAATGATGATGAGATTTGTGATTTTGTAGAGCTGACACGTGATAAACCGATTAATATTCGATTTATTGAATTCATGCCTTTTGATGGAAATGTTTGGAATGTTAAAAAACTGGTACCCTACTCGGAAATGTTGGATAGAGTGGTAAGGTAGAACTCTCACCGGTAATCCTACTAATTGATTTCTGAGTGCCCCTTAATACATACCTTAAGTCACTTATTTTTCTTGAACAGGTAAAACGGTTTCCAGGTCTAAAGAGACTTCAGGATCACCCAACAGATACAGCCAAGAATTTCAGGGTAGATGAGCATGCTGGTGCGGTTTCTTTTATCACGTCAATGACTGAGCATTTTTGTGCTGGATGCAATAGATTGCGACTCTTAGCTGATGGAAACTTCAAAGTCTGCTTATTTGGTCCTTCTGAGGTGAGTCATCTGCCTTTGAGCTTTGGCTCATTGCAGGAATTCATAAACTTGCGTCATCATTTCCAATAATGCTTAGCTGCCATGGGCTATTAAGGCATACTTTATGAGGATCTATGCATACCTTATCTTTGCTTAAATCATCCAAATTTTTTTTTTACAATTGGATGTCTATATTTCTGCAAGTGAAGGGCTAAGTTTGGATAGAGCACCAGTGATGCGGGACCAGACCAAAAAATTAAAAAGGAACGGCGAATAAAACTGTCCCAAAACACAGTAGAAACAGAATCCCAGCAATAAACAACACAGAGGATAGATGGATAAAGCAATAAAATAGAAGTTGGAACGAAGATAATGAGTTCTAGGGCAAAGATCCCAAAAGAAACTCTATAGACTGAATTCTGGATTTATATTCATAAAACCAAATACAAGAGTCTCTTAATAGCCTATTTATACTATAATACAGCACCCTAGTATTCCTATGCCTTGAGAAAACTAATCCTACTACGACTTTCCTAATAAATAAAAACATGATAAATAATAAAATAATCATGCTAGATAATCAATGGGACGCGAAAGTTATGGCTGGGATGAGTTGGGCTATGGCAGAACCAATGTTGCAAATGTCAGGGCTAAGCCTTGAATGTACAAATTTTATGACAATGATCCCCTGCATTAATATTGAATCCTTTTAGGTATATCTTTTTTTTTAAAAATTTTTAATTTTTATAATTTGGGTCAACAACTGTACATGTTGCTTTATGAAAGCCTAGAAGATAACAAGAGTCACGTAAAAAGTTGTGGACATGCATACTTATAGAGATTGCAATGGGCACAGTTGGCCTTTATTTCTAGTGGACTACCAACTGTAAGCACTAATATATCTTTACATGCACAATACAAACAGAATATATACATATATATATATATGTATATGTGTATATACACACATTCTCATCCGGATGTCCGCACGTTATTATCGTGCGCATGCCATTGTAAACAAGGAGGAAAGCAGGGAGGGGTAGTAGAAATTTCTCTCTATATATAATATAATAGGGGATGGATCCATGGCATCATATTTTTTACACAAGTTTTGACACAAATTTTCAGCCATTAGATTAAAGTACAATGAATGGCTAAGATTAAACAAACTAATTATTTTATTCTTTATATAAGTATTTATTGAGAATAGGTTTTAATTGACTTTTGTTTCATTTAATGATGTTTTGCACACATCCTTTAACACCATCCCCTTCTTCTTGCCTTTATTTTCCAGAAATGATAAAAGGAAAGCCCTGCTACATTTAAACAGCTTGTCTGAGAAAATGACTTTCGAGGACAAGTTTACTTAAGATATTACTCTGGTTGACTAGCTTAGAAGCCACGGCAGCAAGTGGGACCTTTCGAGAAACAAGAATAAAATGAAACACATGATTAAATAAATAAATTATAACCAGTAAACAAACCTTCGATTCATTAATATATATACACAGTGTTCAATTTGCAGCCAAGACAGTATTGAAGAACCCAACAGAATCGACAAAAGGTGACCTTAGAAAAGGTATTGTCATATAGACTAATATACCAAACTCCTATTCATGGTAAGCATGGATTGAGTAACTTTAAAATCAGAATTGAAAATTCTAAGCTAAAATTGAAAAAACGAACAATTCCCAAGTCAGTGATGAGTTGGATCTTCTCAACCAATTTCCTTTTTTTTTTCGCCAACTATAATTTAACTTGTAGTATACATTTACTTCATCATTATCTTTCATATTTCTACTTCCTTCTTTCTGTTGTTGATAATGCTGATAATTTAGATTTGTTAGAAAGGCAGGAAAAGTAGTAGTAGAAGAAGAAGAAGGGGTGATGTAATTGGATAAGCGTGCAAAAAGTAATTAAATGAAGAGAGATTTAAGAGAGGGCAAAGTCATTTTGTCAATTTTTTTTTTTTGGTGGTCTATTTATATTAGCTTTAGGTTATGCATGAGCATTATATGGGACATTTCAAGCTTCTTCCTCGTGGCTTCCCAAGCTCTACATATTATATTATGTAGTTTGCCTCATTGATTTGGTATTTGAAACAACACGTAGTACAGAATTTAGCTAACAACACAAATCCCATTTATGACCTGCCTTAACCTGCCCATTTGCTGCCCATATGCTTACATCTAGTTGGCCACTTATTCATGTGTGTGCTTATAAACGAAAGTGGGGAACTTTTATTTTGCAGTTCAATTGCTTGAACTCAAATATGCCAAAGAATTTAGAGGTGATTCATAGTTCTCTGTGGGGCCGATCATATACGTGTCCCTTGGACTTTTACCAACAATGTAATTTTGTAATGTGATGAAGCTAATGCAACAAGCTTCTATGTGGTAGGCTTGCCTTAACTAGACCAACTCCTTAAGTATCGAATGAGCTTTCCTGGAAGCCTTTTGCTTTAGATGTGCAATATAAATTTTTAGATAATGCTTTCCTGTAATTCATATTCAATGTTTTTTTGCAGGTGAGCTTAAGAGATCCCCTTCGTCAAGGTGCTAATGATCATGAACTCAGGGAAATAATCGGGTCAGCGGTATGTGCATGACAATTGTTTTAGTAGTGCTCTATACTTCAGTCATGGAACTGTTTTTTATTTGATTAAGTTCATATTCTCATGCAAATTCAGCTTTCAAATTTTCCTTGCATATATTTTGAAGACTTTTTTTATGTTTGCTTTAGGTGAAGAAGAAGAAAGCTTCACACGCTGGAATGTTTGACATTGCAAAGACATCAAATAGGCCTATGATACATATTGGTGGCTAATGCTTGGTATTACCTCCTTTTATGAACTTTTTTTGCCAATCTCTTCGGAGAAAACATCTATGGTTTGTTTGACAGAGTCTTGCAGTGATAAAAGTTTACCCCGCATTAATCTAGTGACACAATATAATATGTTTTTTCTGCGGGTTCTGTAGAATACTTGCAGGTGGAGAGGATAAATGTATCCGTTGCGTGGAGAGGATAAACGTATTTTGTAGTGCCAACCTTGCTATCTCAGTACAGAGGGGAAGAGAAGATTTTGTTACTGGGTTACTGGCTGTGTGTAAAAGCAAAGCAAGCAATGAGATATCAATCTTTCAGGGACCACATAAAAGATCTATACTGTTGTACTCTTATTAGTATAGTGGCGATCAACGTGTTGGCATTTATGCTGAAACGAACAACCTCCTTGTAACCTATCTATAATTGAAAGGACTAAATGACTAATTTTTATTTACTTGTATTGTATTTAGATCCATCATACATGCCAAATTGAATTCATTGTTTTCGAACTTTGCAGTGATCAGCGGAACTCATAGTAGGTTTTCTGATGTGCAACAATGCATGCAGTCTCTCATGTCCTGTTTCAGTATAACTTTTACATGAGAATTGTGATGTCAGTTGTGTTGTTCCACATGTAAAGAGATTTTATGTTGTTTTGATACATCTCTTAGAAGAGTGCCCGTCATCATGAACATAAGCATGTATGTGTGGAAATGGCACCATCTGTTAGTTTGATATATCGCCTATTTGCCTTACCATGGCAAAAGGGGCCTGGGCTGAAAAAACCTCACACACCAAGCAAATATAGCCCGGGCAAGAGTGGTCTCTATCAAAACCCGGCGAGACCAACTCGTGCTGCTGCCTGAAGGTGATGAAGTCAGTGAAGAAAAAAATTGTAAAAAATTCTGAAAAATTACTAAAGAATTCAATTTTTTAATTTATAAATACCTATCAATGTTCTTCACTTTCCACATCAAGGCTACATACAAATTCCTTTCCTCATATCATATTTTTATAATCTCATGTGAATAGAGATTGTCATGGTAATGGGTGGGGGAAAAAAAACAAGGGCATGCACTATTCACGTGACTAGTACATACCCATGCTCTTTTGCCATGACAAATGGGTAGAAGTGCTCTAAATCATGTTAAATGGTACCATCTTTTAAGTGGCTTTCAAGATGTAACCGTATGTAAAAGCACAAAAATAGATGTAACAAAGATAAAGCATAGTCTTGACTTGCAAACTAGTGGTCTCAAGTTTGAACCTACATGACACCTTGGTAGTACGTGTGAAGAAGCCCCTTACCCCTTATAATTGAGACTATCACTTGCTTTCAATAAAAAGGAAAAAAAGATAAAAGCTCCTACGTACAATAGTTTCTTAGTTGTCCTCACACAACTGTAATATATAGGCCCAATGGCAACCAACAAACTAGTGTCCTTTAGTCCTTCAAAAATAAGCATCCAAAATTCAATAATCAAGTGTTTCTGACCATCCATGTATCTGAATGCTTCAGTCTAAACTTTGGCTTACTATAAATACCTTGCAATTTGAAGTTCAAATGAATTGTGTATCTACAATTTCGTTATTTTGTTACAAGTGTTGAGGCCCAAAAAAGTCAACAGTTGGGCCCAAATAAGTTTTCAGTCCAATACGCTACTGTATTAAGAAAAATCACATATCTGAGTACACGAAGGCTCGTCATATACGAGTCAATGCATTATTTTTGATAATCCATGCTAATTATCCCGTCAAGCATAATAATTGAAAGCATGCCAAGAGATATGTCATGCCAAGTAGGAAATCATTATTACACACCCAACCACGCTACAAGCCTAAGTGGGCCCAAGCCTCTCAAATGCCCGGGGCTTGCTTGAGTGGGTTGTGGTATGGATGGTAATAAATCAACATGAGGCCCATTGATGGGCCGAGAAATGGAAAGTTTCGGGTTGCTTGGGAGCCTCGAGACTCAAGCCCATTTCTTAGGCCCAAACATGTGGGTGAGCACAAGAGAGAAAAGTAGCCCAATAGCCCAAGCAAAATAACCTAACCAAAAATAACCCAACCAAAAATAAGCCCAATCAAAATAGCCTATTGACTCAACTAAAAAGCCCAAACGTTTTAAATAGCCCACTTGCTTGATAAACCATCTTAGCCCATACAACTACCATAATAAGCTACAAAGGCACCAGCACCTAGCTGGAGGAACAAAAGCCACGAAAGGGAGGTCTGGAGGTTCATTAAACAATGCTGCTGGAGGTTCCAGCACATGGAGGGAGCAGATTCCAAGCAAGAAACATTCAAAGTACCAAAGAATATTAGCCTGCGAGCTGCCAGAAGCACCCTTTGAACCAACATGTATATTCAATTCCTTCCCTCATCAGACCTAGCCTTGGAAGAGGAGAGAAAAGAAGGAAGAAAGATGGCTGAAAATAGGAGTCTGAAACAGCTGCGAGAAAGGGGGCCTTGAGCTCCAAAAAATCCCTGATTTTGTGCAAATGGGCAGAGAAGATTTCACCAAAAAAGGATGATTGAAGGGATGAAGGGAGAAAGGAAGAGAAAGACTTGACAAAATGGGATGGAAACTATTAGGGTTTCTTGGAAAATGTCAGCTTCCAGCGGCTATAAATTGAGGCATTTTCTACCCAACGAAAGCAACCCACATCTAGAGAGCAAGCTTCATCTCTCACCATGAAATCTCTGCAATTTTGTGCCCTAATCCTCCATCTCCTCCCACTTTCCATTCTGCCATGCCATTCTAGAGTCTGACATAGCTTTTGTCAGGCTGCTGGAAACTTACCCAAACCACAAAATACTTCACCATTAGCCACAACTCAGACCCAGAGAGCAAGCTTTCTCTCTAACTTACAAAAACCCAACAATCTCGTGCACTGTTCATCTTCTTCTCCGTTTTGCTCTTCTGGCAGCTGCTGGAAGAACTCTGCTCTTCATTTTCCCTTTCCTAGCCAAATCTCTTACAAAACTTCTCCTTCCTTACCCTAACACTTCCTAAATTTTCTCTTAGTGCTAAACTCATGTTGATTTTGCTCCTATGCCATATGCCACTCACGCTGAGCTTGAGAGTTTATCTGTAAGCATGAAGAAATTACCTGTAAGCTGCCATTATTTTGGTTGGTGAAGATAACCAAAATACTTCCTAAGGCTCTACTGCCATTTCGAGGTATTTTGGGGCTTAATTTTCGAACTCAAGCAAAGGGGACAATTTCATTAGTCTGCCCTTTTACAGTAGCCCAGCCAATTTGCAGCTGCTGGAGGAAAAAGTCCCCTACAACAAGCAATGTTGGGGGAGGGAGATTTGCACTTTGAACCTCAAGCCTAAAAGTAATACTCAATCTGATCATTTATTGCCACTACAATTTCCCTACCATCTTTACACATATCAATTGATGATTGGGCATGCGCTAAGGTTAGACCTAGAGGTGTCAAATGAGTGGGTCAAATTGGCCCGACTCATTTAGAGCAGCCCAACCCATTTAAAGTTGGCTCATTAGAGTTTTGGTTCCATTCATGCTTTTGAATATTTTTCAATAACCATGTATTAAACGGTGTAAAAACTGGATAGTAATGGATGGTATTATTTCCCACATTTGGCTACGTTCAATCAAATTGGACAAATGGGCGCACAAGCGAATGCATTGCCCACGTTTGCATGTATCTGAATGCTTCAGTCTAGACTACAGCTTAACCTTTTAATTTGAAGCTCAAATGTATCGTGTAACTACAATTTTGTTATTTTGAAACAAGGGATGTTGGGAAGGGAGAACTGCACATTGAACCTCAGGACTAAGAATGAATAGTCAAGTTGATCTCCATTGCCACTACAATTTCCCTGCCGTGTTTACATGTATCTGTCTGTGGTTGGGTCACTCCGAAGGTTAGACCGCTGGCTAGAGGTGTAAAAACGATGGGGAAAGTGGGTACGTTCTAACAATTTCGTTAAAACTTTGTTAAATATACTACGACAAAGGAGGTGTTATTAAGACCCCAAAATATTCATCTTGCACTATTTTTTTTTATTGTTTTAAAGCATAATATGACTACTTTAGAGTGCCCAATAATAATTTACATAAGAGAATCATGTTAGTAAGTTATATAAACAATATAAAATGGCATCAACGGTGTCTAGTCCAGTAAAAAAAGGCTTTAACTTACAAACTAGTAGTTTCAGGTTCGAAACCCCATGATAGCTTAGTAGTGTGTATGAGAAATCTCATTCTTCTTATAGTTTAGACTACCACTTGTATTTTAGAAAACACAATATAAAATGTTGTATTAAACAAACAATATAAAATGTCTATTTTATGTTTTTAGTAATTTTTTTTTAGAACATGTTTTTAGTATTCAGAGAATGATAAAAAAAAGTCCTTCGCATAAAACAAAATGTTTAAATGGTCCAACATCTCCAAAATTGGACAAACCAATCTAGGTACTGTCTGACAATGACTTGAAATAACTCTTTAGTCAGTGTCTAACAATGACCCGAGAGTTGTTCAATTTTATGTCACTGTTCGACAGTAACTGGACCGATTTGTCTAATTTTTGAGAGACTGAACCATTTTGTCTTGGTGACCTCCTATTTGTCCTTATATGTTTATAGTATTAAGTTAAGTCAATAATAAATTAAAAGTTAGGGGTCATTTAGTAACAATATCTTTGCTCATACTTTTTCTCACTTCTTGTGAGTTTTACTTTCCATGATGTATGCATACGCAGATAGTTTTAACTTTAAATAAAGAAAAATATATCTCCGTGTCTTTCGCTCCTGGATTTGGGGTTCGATCGAAGCGAGAGCGCTGAGGTCCTTTGCCCCAAGTCTGAAGATCCACTGTTTGTATATATATTTTTCTGTCCGAGTCATTGACTCAGTACGCATATGTCTGCCTGTCTTCATTATTCTCAACAAAAACATTCCTGAGAGTTGAGCTGAAATACCCTTCCAAGAAAAGGTACTTCCTTTCTTCTACATTTCTTTTCATTTACTTCTTCTTTTTTGGCTGTTGGGTTCTCCTTGGATCCTTTGCTTCTTGGGCTTCTTTCATGGCAGCTGAGAATTTCTGGATCTGGGTTTTTAGTATTATTGCGTTTTAAAGGTATTGGTTGATGTATATACTCCAATTATGTTTAGGGTTTGAAATTCTTTGCATTCAGTTGTTCGTGTTGGTAATTTTGGTTCCAGTAAAGATTGGTTCTTTTTGTTTTCTTCCGTGGATTATTTTTTTATTGTGATTTCGAGGTTTAAAGCTTGATGGTTTGCTTAGTTAAGAATGAATGCTAAAATTTGTGAGTTTGGGGTGTTGAAAGTTTGTGCTTTTAAGTTTTGAGCTGATAAACCCTGAATGAACTGTAGGTGTACTTCGAAATGTTGGCAATGTTCATGGTTTTATGCATCAAATTTAGCTGAATCAGAGACGGGTTTCTATTGATTTTTTATTTTGAATTCTTTAGTTTTTGGAATATCCTGAGGCCTTTGTTGTTGGAATCTTGTGGGTTGTGACCATGCCTTCTACGCACAATCCGGGTTCTTCTTCACCTTTGACTTCATTTGGTCGCTCGATTTGGAGTCGGCGAGAACCGTTTCATTCCATTGAAGCTGATCATGAGTCCAGTGAACAGGAATTAGAGCTGCAATCATTTCAAAAACTTGTTGCAGATCTATTTCATGACTTGTCAGCTGTTAGTGCTGATGAATTGCTCTCTATTGCGTGGATTCAGAAACTTTTGGATGTTTTTGTTAGCTGCCTAGACGAATTCAGGGTTCTCTTGTTGAAAAACAAGGCACAGGTTTCTAAACCTCCCTTGGACCATTGGGCTGATGAATACTTAGATAGGAGCTTGAAGGCACTTGACATTTGCAATGCCACTCGTGATGGGATTGAGAAGATTCGTACATGGCATAAGCATTTAGATATCGTAATGTGTGCCTTAGAATCTCGAAAGAGGGCATTTTCTGAGGGCCAGTTCCGTCGAGCAAGAAAAGCTTTGATGGATTTGACACTTGAAATGCTTGATGAGAGAGACTCTGGGTCTGTGTTTTCTCACAGGAACTGGTCTTTTGGGCGAAATAACCCAAGAAAGGATGCTCGTCGTCGTCAACACTCATCTGGGAACTCATCTGGGCATTCCCGCTCTCACTCATGGAGCATATCCAATTCTTGGTCTGCAGCTAAGCAGCTCCAATCAATTGCAAACAACTTGATAGCACCTCGTGGGAATGAGATTATTGCAACCAATGGGCTTGCAGGCTCTGTTTACACAATGAGTTCTGTGCTCACTTTTGTTTTGTCGGCTCTTGTGGCTGCAATTCCTTGTCAGGATCGAGGTCTTAGTACGCATTTTTCAATCCCACAGCAGTACTCCTGGGGTATCCCATTAATCTCACTTCACGAACGGATAATAGAGGAATCAAAGAAGCGAGAGCGCCAGAACTCTAATGGATTGCTGAGGGAGATTTATCATGTTGAGAGATGTGCACGCCACATGACAGACTTGGTCGATGTGGTTCAGTTTCCATTGACAGAGGAACAGAAAGTGGAAGTTGAACAAGAACTGCAGGAGTTAGCATCGATTTGTGAAAAATTTAAGAATGGACTGGATCCTCTGGAACGACAAATCAGGGAAGTATTCCGTAGGATTATGAATTGCAGAACTGAGGGTCTCGAAATTTTGAGTAGGGCAAACAATCTGGAGTAACTCAAAGTAGATAAATTTCTACCGAGAGCAGTGTACAAATTTTCGAACATATTGTTGTTTTGCATATTTCCGAGTTTGCAAGGAGAGAGGAAGTAAGATGGTGATCAGCAACAATACAGAGGTTAAACAAGCATCTTGAAAGTATTTCTTTAATTTCTTGAACAAACATTGTAACTTCTTTTTCTGGGTCTTTTGGTAAAATTATTTCATCTTCTTTTTCTTCCCCCGGTCTGTATGTCACAGTTTGGTTTGTATATGTTATGTTTTAAAAGTCCTATTCAAATTTACTTACATTTTTGCTCTAACTCAGTATTCTCCGATATATACAGAACTCAATCGTATCTAGATGCATTTCGGGAGTGTTTTAGCTCCTTCTTCAGATGTGTTGTGTGTTCTGAAGTTCTTTGCTTTTGTTTATCATATTCATGGTCTGAGGTTCTTTGATTGTGTTAACGTTTGGATGTTAACCATAACCTTGATCTCAAGGAGTTTGAGATTTGTACAATATATTGTAGATTCATTGGCATCAAACTATCATATAAACAGCCACACTAATCTGCAAGAGATTTTTTTTAAACTCTGGCCCTCCCATTCCTAGTATCTCAACATTTTCTCCTATCAAAACCAAGTTTGTCAAATGGCCACTCCCCAGATTCCCTTATTATGTGAAATACATGTGACCCTGTGTTCATGTTTAATCTTTCAATAGGAATAGGATAATAATTGGCTGCTGAAAGAGGAGAGGATGAACTCCTCATGAAATGAAGATGTGGTCAATTGGAAATGGGGATTGGAAAAAAAAAAAAAAAAAAAAAATATATATATATAATTATTTTTAAAAAAATATTTATAAAAAATAAAAAAAAACCTTGAAACGTAACACCCAGAAACAAGAGCCCCACCCAACCACCCGACAACTCGGCCACCCAGAGGCAAAAACTTGGAAATCTTTATTCAGGTGAAAAGGAACACACAGGGCAATTTTAGCCCTAAAATAAACAGAAAAACTTGTATAAAACAGGGATTGCCTTGTTTTACTATCCCCAGCCAATCACAAAGTGCCAGGTAGAAAAGTTATCACATGTGGTATGCGGTGGTTGGCCGGGGACAACAAAACAGTGCTATTCCCATTTCACACAAGTGTTTCTCCAAAACAAGGGATCTATTTAAAACCAGTACTTATTAAACTTTCGTATATCATTCTCTTGTAAAATCGTAAAGGAAGTTTAGTACGATGTACCATACTGGAGTAAAGTAACATTAGTGTTATATATTAGTCCATGGTCTAGTTCTATCAGCTTGGCCTTCAATCAGCATCAAGGGCAACCAAGCTTTCTGTAAATGAGAAGGTTATTTTCATTTTCTACAATATTAACTACAAGAGCCGGCAGATGTTTGTCAAGGATCTCCCACAAGCCGTCGATTGAAGGGCATCCACCATTAGTTGTATTCAAATTAATTCAAATCCTCAGCTGTACCATGCTTCTCTTTACAAATCCACTTCGACTACTTAAAGATATTACCACCAACAGCTAATCAGCCCTCAGACTGTTTTTCCCTTCTCCCCCTTTCCCCCTTTCCCCCTTTTTTCAGTATTTATCTACTAAACCTTTGACCGTCTTCTTGTTCCGTGCAATTCCTTTATATAACTGACTCCAGACCACATAGTAGGTACTGCATCTACCAGTGCACTGAATGCACTCTCCGAAGAACACGTGGTGGTCTCCGCTGCTCTACAATAGGAATGAGGTTCTCCATGAGCTGCATGTGGAGAGAGAGAGAGAGAGAGAGAGAGAGAGAGTTAGATCGTTTACTAGCACTTTTAAGATTCAACCATGTATATAAGGAAGAAACGATATGAGCAAGTTCAGTGCCATTATGTGGTTGAATTTGATCTAAATCAAGGATCACATTGCATATTGGCGTGGAAAAAAAATCCAGATTATGAACAGTTTATCTTGTCTCGAATTGTATGCGGGTAACAGATAAATAAATAGTGTTAATACAATCAGACCACTTTATGAAAGGGTAACATACAATTTAGGTTCCAGATACAGGCCCAAAGTCAACTTAATCAACATGCTCAACGCTTCAGAGATTTTGTTGATATCATCTTTGAATTGCAATTAACTCAGTTATTGAAAGACTTTTTAGTTGAATGGCCTTGTAAACGGTCATGTTCACGCACTTCTGGGTTTCCCTCATACTAATTAACTCAAAATAACACAAATTATAATCTTCTTTTTTGGTAAAAACCACAATAACATCATGGAAAAGTACCAAAGACATTTGAACATAATGAGAAGTTAGCTGCCCTCTAATTTGAATCTACGGAGGCTGTCATGCCTATTACAGGAAGAGTATGAGCTCTCTCCCTTGTTTCTCTTGCATCAGAAAGGTTCAAGGAGGAAATGGAACCTTTTGGAACGGATTTCCATTCATCTACAACAGGTTACATCTTATAAAAAATAATCTGAATCTCGTGCACCTAAATGATTTCTACCCATCCCATTATTACTGGTAATTATTCTGACCCTCTTCTCTCCCCCCTTGGATTATCTTTCCTCTTTCCTAGTATTGTTTGGAATTTGACCCAGTGACCTCAATATGGGTTGTAAACAGAGAGCCAAGGATCACATGAGTGGTAAATCATGTTACAATTTGTAGTAAATTCCACTGTTTTTTTAAGCTGATAGTTTCAGAAGAATATTTATCTTAGTTTGCACTTAAACTTTGTAAGACCTCATTTGTTCATATCTAGTTATCACCAAATAAAAAGGAAACACCCAGCTTTAGGGTTTAGTTACATACTACAGACAGCATGCAGAGCCTAAGAACACTATGGTTAATATTTATTCAGTCCAAATAACACAGAAACATATTGACAGCAACAAGCCCTTCATGCAGTGTTTAACGTTTAGTTACATACTACATTCAATGTGAACATTTTGAACTACACCAACATTGTGAAATAGTTGTTAAACTAGGGTTCATTTGGACTGGGACATCACAATGGACAGCAAAGCATCAGAATAAAAGAAAAGGCCTGTCATTGTATACTCCAAAGCATTAACAGTTTGAAGATTATTGAACAATGATTATCTATTTGGAAACCAAATTGCCACAAGAACCATAAAAGAGCAAGATAAGTTCAACAATCAAAAGTAAATAGCAGAACCAAAAGTTGTCACATGAATTTGCATGTTACATGGATAGGCTTGAGCAATAAATATTTAGATATTTGTAACTACAGTAAGCATAAAAATGGTTGCTCCAGTGTATCCCCCATCAGGTAATTTATTTTTCAAATATTCAAACTACCAGTCTTTCATTGTTTACGGTATAAACAGCGTAGCCGACTTAAGACTTCCACATTAAAAATCACATGAAAAATATCTCATAATTTGTTCTTAAATTTCTTTATTGCAACTTCGTTTCTGCATAGATCTTCTAATTTGTTTTAAAATAGCATTATATTGTCAAGTAGAATACCCTGCTTGCTTGGGTATAAAGAACAACCCCCTATAATAAACACACAAAGAAAGTTCACAATTCACCAGATACATACAAATTATCATGCATTCACCCACGTATTCAGCCAGATAAATATAATTATATGATTTCTCTAACTCTCTCAGCGCTTGTATCGAACATTTTATTTCATTTAGTTTGAGAAAGTAGTCATGAGACAACAAAGTACATACCCGCTTAAACCTCTCCTTCTTTTGCTCGGCCTGCATTCAGAATTCCAATATCTCAGAAAATTCAGAATGGACTATGATCTAGGCATAAACTAAAAAAAGTTAAAATGTAAGAAATCATCATGCTGTGCAGGGAGCAATCAATTTGCGGTCATCACTTATAAATCATCAACATTTACAGAACCCAGTTCCTTGCGCAAAACTTACGGGTCAAAAGAAACGAAGCTTTAGCCAAGGAGCTTAAAAAATGTCTCAATGTGAGAAATCAGTAACTGGTTTTGAATAGACTACAATGCTGTTCACATAATTAGAACCAAAACTGTCTTTTAAACTGAATGGTACATGCTTATGACCAAATTTTGCAGCAGAAGAAGATGATGTTGATGAAGAATTATACCTCTTCTCTCACTAGCCGCGCATTTTCCTCCTCTAGCTGCGTTACCAGAGATTCTAGCTCAACCGTGTAAGCCTAAAATTTCGAACAAATTAAGTTTTTCAGCATGAAATTTGGCATTTCATTTCCAATAAATTCCCAACATACAAAACCAAATTGAATTTAAGAATTTTCAATAGCCAAAAGAGAATCAAACCTGCTTGCGTTCCCTGGACCTGGCAGCGGACTCTCTGTTCTTGATCATCCTCCTCTGCTTCTGCTGCGTGGCCTTATCAAGCGGAGCTTCCTGCACAGCTCTCCTCTTCCCAGCTCTCCCTCCTCCACCTCCACCTCCTCCCCCGCCGCCTCCACTCGTACTCGTCGTCGTCCCGTTTCCGTACACCACCTGCCCTTGAGCAGGAGCCGGCGGCGGCTGCACCTGGAACTGCCCGTACCCAATCGGAACCCCACCGGCGCCAACGGTGACGTCATCTTCCCTCACCGCCCCAGCCCTGGTGAGAAAGTCCTCCAACGTCATCTCCTCCGGTGCAGCTGCCCGCACCTGATCCCCGCCGCCCTCGCCCTCCGCGGCCGCCTCCTCCACTCCCACTCCGCCGGCGACGATCTCCTTCCAGACCTCGTCCACGGTCCTGGGCTCCGCATGATGATGATTGTTGTCGTCCATGTCGTTTGTGGTGGTGGTGGTGGTGGTGGTGGTGGCGGTGGTGTAGATGTTCTTGAGGATGTCGTCCATGGTCATGGATTGCTGCTCGTCGTTTTGGTCGTCGTCGTCGGCCATGAGAGTGGAGAGCGAACATATAGACGACTCTCTGTGCGGCAGATCCGAATTCGTCGTTGACACCACCATCTTCGAAGACGCCATCATCCTCGGAACCCAACCGGATTTCCAGGCTCTACCCGCTCTGATTTGATTTGATTTCTTCTTCTTCTTCTTCAGATTCTTTTTTCTTTTTTATTTTAATTAATTAGTTTCTAGGCTCTTTACGGTTTTCTAGATTTCCAAACCAAACCAAACCAACAAACAAAACAACCAAACTCTCTGTGGACTCTTCTGTTCTGTCCGCCTGCCACACCTCACCTCACCTCACTCTAGGCGTGTGTTACTTATTAGTACTAATATCACTAACTTATCATCATTCTTAGATTTAAATTAATCATTATCCAATCATTAACAGTCGTAAATCGTGATTAATAATATGCTTGCCGATACAATTATTTTTCTTTTAGCCGACCTAGAGCATCTCTTTAACGCCTCTGTTTTTAAAATAAAATAAAATAAAATAAAATAAAATATTATAGCCACACGGCTATACACGGTTTCTTGCCCGGTTTTTATTTTTCTGTTTGAAATAGTATAGCCGGTCGGATATACTCCCTTTTTTATTTTTATAAAAAATTGTATAGCCGAACGGCTGTACTCGGTTTTATTATTATTTTTTTTAAAACAGTATAGCCGGCCGGCTATACCCAGTTTTTTAAAACAAATTTGTTTAAGATAGTATAGCCAGACGGATGTACTCGGTTTTTTTTTGTTCAAAATAGTATACTCGGTTTTTTGATTTTGTTTATTATAAAAATCGTATAGCCGCCCGACTATACTCGGTTTTCCATTTTTTTGTTTAATATTCACTAAGTAAATAATAACTAAGACGTAATTACTAATCCAAGTGATTAAAAAAGAGAAATCCATATCATGCTACATAAATGGTATATCCACTTGGCTATACAATTAAAATATTATAGGCTCTTGGGCTCTATAAAAATTGAAATAAGACACCCAAATGAAAATAAGTAATTTACTAGGATTCTTTATTTTTTATTTTTATATAAATATTTTTTCAACAAAAGTTTCAATAAGGCACACAAAATTCAAGTGCCACCCCACACAAAAAAAAAAAAAAAAAAAAAAAAAAAAAAAAAAAAAAAAATCATATCATATATAATTATAATATAAATAATAAAATATTATATAACTTACTGAACTTTTAAGCTGTAAAGAAGCTGTCCTCTTTTTTAAAAATAAAATAGTATAGGCGCACGGCGATACTTAGTTTTTTGATTTTTTGTTTAAAATAGTAGAGCCGCACGGCTATACTCCGTTTTTTATTTTTTGTTTAAAATAGTATAGCCGAACGGCTGTACCAGGTTTTTTTTTTTTGGCTGTACTCGGTTATTTATTTTTTTTGTTTAGTTTTTTTATTTTTGTTATTTAAAATAGTAGAGTCGACCGGCTGTACTCGGTTTTTCTATTTTTTTAAAAAAATTAAAAACCTCTCCCGACGAAATTTCTTCAGGGACGTTCTAATACGACACATTTCGTTGGGATAGACTTGTGCCGATGAACTTTCTTCGGAAGAGATATTTTTTTTTCCCAAATAAATATAAATTTTATATGTTTAAGGTTAATTAATTTAAAAAAAAATTATTTTTAGTAAATAAATAATATATTTTCTTGATTTTAATCAGTTAAATTAGTAATTATATTTTAATTATTATTTCTTTAATGAATAATTAGTATTAAATATTTTAATTAACTTCGTGAATTATATATATTAATTCAAATTTTCTTTTCTTTTCCTTTAATATTCAGATTCAAATAGTTATGTTTTTTTAATTAATATTTAAATAGTTTTTAAATTTTTGTAATTTAATGGTATGGACAACATTGATTAATGGTACTAAACACAGGACCGAAGTGGTGAAATTGAAAACACGGGACTAAATTAGCCAATGTGGTAAAACACAGGAACACTTTTCTATTTAAGCCAAAAAGAAATAAACATAAAATTGGCTCCGCCACTGCGGCACACTAAGTCTCAGGCTTTACACCTCACAGTGGAGAATTGCAATGGAGGTTGAGTCTGAGAGGACGAAACCTGTTGCTGTGTTCATGGCCTTCGGTACCAAAGGCGATGTCTACCCAATTGCTGTAAGTCATCCTTTTCTTCCATTCATCTCTCTACCTGTTTCCGTTTGGGTCCCGGGAAAATGCAAGAAATTTAATGTTGCAAAATGATTTGACAGTTTTTTGGTGGACTTTTTTATTCTCCGTTTTGTTTTGTTGTGTTATCACTTTGCAGGCCATTGCTGTGGCTTTTGCTTGTGACCAGAGACAATACGACGTCGTTCTAATCACGCATTCAGCTCATGAGGTTTGCTTTAACTTGCTTTACAGGCTTTGAGTCGTCTGCTGATTGATGTTAGATTTTAAGAACTCCAAATAGTGTAAATGAAATGAAGCCTATTTAGAGAATCTAAATCTAACACCATTAAAAATGGTACACTAAAGATACCCCTTGTTCTTGAATGGTTACCAGATAGGGTAAATTACCGAGCAATCAGAGTTATGCCACTAGAAAACTCATTCAAACATGATATCTAGTGTTAATAGAGATACCACATTTCTCTCTCAGTAAAGCCCACAATTTTGCATTGTCCACTGTTCGGAACTCCGGTGGAGTTGCATAAAAAAACAATCATGTTTAATTGACAAATTATGCTATGTCAAATTGAGTCTATTTTATTTTTCTTTTAATTTTTTTTTTGTCAACGCATCCTTAACCTTGTTAAATAAGCTCTTTAGTATTCTTGTGTTAGGGGATTGTATTTTTCTGTATGGCTCAAATGCAGGTTGATGTTTGAGTTACAGAATTTACATTTTTGTCCCATACTATTGAAGGCCTTAACACTTCTTAGACGTCGCTTTTTGTTTTTGTTTTTTAGGTTTACTGGCATAGTCAGCAATCAATTTACTAAATAAGTTTGTACCAGTTAAGGCTGATTTTAGTCTACAAAACTGGAATGTTGGTTTCTATAATAGAGTTTCCAAGTACACACATTACGAAAGTCAATGACGTGCTTGTGTCCACATACACACATGCACACACACAAACACAAACACAAACACAAACAGAAACACACACCCACACTCAGTCACCCAACAAAGAAACAAGTAGCTGAAAAAAATAATAAATAGTTGAAAATATTTCTATGTTTGGGACCAAAACACTTGAGTGAGTGTTGTGTGATCGTGGATCTCTCTCAGGGTTCAGGGTTGAGTACTTGTTTACTTATATATGTATGGGTATGGTATGTCTTTATGCATGTATCATATAGGCTGTTTCACCTTCATTATGCAGATGCGAAACTCCCTCCTCATCACTATTGATATGTTGATTTCACAGTACGGTCAACACAAATCAATGACTCACAATGACCCTAAATTATTAATCATCCTAAATTGACATGGTGCAAGTCAACTTCTTATTGGCATTTTAGCTATCCACAGAATAACCAAAAGAAAAGAAACAGTTGTATGAGCATTTCCTTCTACTTTTTTTTTTGTTCTTGTTTCAGCTCCAATTCCCTATCAAACCATGAAGAATTGATGTTAATATATTTATAAAACTTATCATACTTTTGGAAAGGTTCATCATTGCTTCCTCTTTGTTTGATGTGTATTTAGCAATTTTGTTGAGTATTTTAAATTTGTTGGTTTTCACTTGTCGTGCAGAACTTAAGGTGTCACTTGTCTGAAAAACATGTTTCATATCGTCCAATTTCATCACCACCTGTTCTCTCTATCCATCAGAAACATGATCCTACCGGTTCAAATTACTGAATTCTCTCTCATTTTTCTCTCAATATAGCGGAGCTTATTTGCTCTGGCTTGTTTAAAGAACAATCTAATAACTATGTAACGTTTCTTTGGATCTTTTATCATACCAGGCTCTGTGGAGTTGCCATTTTCACTGCAGAAAAGGATGTTTTCTAGCGAACACAGACAAGAATGTTATTTGGTAGTTGAATCCATATTTGGATCTGGCCCAAGCATGGAGGGTGATTTTATTGTGATAAATTTCTTTGCTTTGGTACTTCCCATTTAAGCTTTTTCTTTGTTTTGTTTTGTTTTTTGTTTTTATGGAAAAACTTAAGTCAAAGTATCTCTTATATAGATTAATACATTTTTGGCATAAAAGAATCAAATATAAAGCAAAATGTTTTCTGAAAGTAAAGGGTGTTAAATATAAAAACTAGAAATCCTGTATGGATATGTGACTTTCCATTCAAATTCTTCTCTGTCATGTATAGTACACATACATGGGATTTAATGCCTGCTTAAACATCTTAAACGTCTACACATCAACTTAGGATTATGCATGGAGAGGCCTGATTTATAAGATGCCAGGCATAGAATACATGTGTGGGACTTTTATATTCTGAATACGTCCCCCCATTAGTTGGCAAATTGAGCGAAACACATAGATCAATTGTAGTAGGGGACATCGAGCACATGTGGAAAATTGGGCATAACACATAGATGAAGAGGCTGATGATTTGAAACATTGAGATGAAAAGCTTAGAATATTCAATGTTAGATTTTTGTATTGTCAACAACTTATATACCTCAATTAGTATTAGACTCAATTAGAATTTTAGACAGTGGGTATAATGATGTACTACCTAAATTGGTTTCACTGCGTGATGATCCAGGAAGGCTGGAGTTTTGCGGAACTTTTTCGTGTCCGTTGCATGGTTGCTGCACCTTATGTCGTTCCATACAGGTAATACATCTTCTATTTATGTTAGGGGCCACATGGAAATGTTACTGGATAACGAGTTCCACTTATCATATGCAAAGGAAAATCTGTATTTGAACATAATTGTATGAAGATACCCGAAAGCGGTATTTGACTTTACCTACATATAATATTATATAAAGTGAGAAAGAGGTTATTCATTATCCTTATATTATCAATATTGGGGATAGCATTCTTTTGTTGAGGTATATACAGGGAATGAAAAAAGTGAATTACTTTGTAAGAACTTTGAAGTAGGTACTAGTTTATAATGTTTTGGAGTTCTGGTTTGATCATTTGAAGTTAATTTTTGTTTAGTTTCTTCCAGTGCACCTTCATCATTTGAGCGCCACTTTAAAAAGGAACTTCCACTTTTGTATAAATACCTTAAGGAAGCTGACATCAGCAAGGTACTTTAGTTTTTTTAGATTTACTATTTGGAAATAATGCTCGTATTTGTGGTTTTTGATCTTTCTGGTATGTGTCTCATAAATTGATGGTGTACGCATCACTTACAAGTGAATTTAATTTTAGTCCTTTCTCCTCTTTATATTAATATGAGTTTGTGATCTGCAGAAATAACATTCTTCTTTTCATCTTTGTATGCACATAGGTTTGTTGGAAAGATGTGATTCACTGGATGTGGCCACTTTTCACTGAATATTGGGGATCCTGGAGGTGTGACAATTTGAATATGAGTCCTTGCCCTTTTACAGTTAATATCTTTGACACAAAATCTCTTTATGCGTTCAGTATATGTAACAGTTAGTCTTTACAGACCAAAATTGACAGATTCGGTTTATTTCGGCAATGAGTTCTTGACTCATTAAATATACTTTCATATCACCTGAGCTGACAATTTTCATAATCACGTAGCTTCTCTGGTTATCTTGGAACTTATGCATTTGCTTCTTTGTTAATGCAGGATCCAGTAACAGGTCTACCCACTTGGCACGATAGGCCTCCATCTCCCCTTCTTTTGTGAGTTCTGAGTTTCCAACTTATGCATGTGAGAGTGTGTGTTGGTTATCTTTCTGCACCTATCTGCTAACTAAAACTTTTTACTCCCCGGTACTTTTGCATTTCATGACTGTTCTGGTATCCATATGGTTTTAAAGTTCCATGTATTAGTGGGCTGTATTTCATGTAAAATTCGCCAATTCCATTTCGGTCTAGCAGCAACTAGTCTCCACTTTGTTGGAGGAGGTCATGAGTTCAAATCTCATGGACGAGATAAGCCTTGCGATGGCTACAAGTGAAGATCCGAGAGGCACCACCAATAGAATGCTAGAAATCACAACTTAAAGTCAAAACTGTTTCATAATGACTAGTTGCATCAAGCTATTCAACTAAACAAATGAAATTTTATTTTTCATACAATATCTTTATGAATGGAGAATTGTTATTCTTTATACTTATTTTCTTTTCTTTTCAAGTATTCTGAATTTTTTCCTGTTATGTGACAGGTATGGATTTAGCAAAGAAGTTGTTGAGTGCCCTGGTAGCATGTTTATACAATTTTCAATATTGTACAACTTTCTTTCATGTTTGTGTTTGCTATCCCCCACAAAACAAAAGACAAAAGCAAAAAAAAATTATACACACATCAAAAATAAAGTACATCTGTTTTGGGGTGGGGATGCAGGTTGTTTAATACTACCAAATTCATAGGTTGATATAAGATAATTGCAAAGGTGATGGTTTTGCATATGATGCCACTAGGTAGATAATCATTCTCTGACTAACAATTTTCTCAAATCTTGTTTTATTTACTGCTCTTGCCTTAGTTTTCATTGTTGGAGCCTAGCGTTCTCAAGGAAAAGCCTATGAAATGACAGAATAATTGGTATAATTTGATAAACAGTGAAAATGATTCTTAAAAAGTTTCTGTTACAGCAGAATAGCTTAGATGACATAGTTATTATAACCAGAAATGGTTAGTGGTCTACTCCAAGAATCTTTTCTAGTAACAGTCCATGAGCAGTAGTAGTTCCATGAGTTCTGTGGGAGTATTAGTATACTGCATAAGTGCCAGGTCATTTTAAGTATGGTGATTTTTACTATAATCGATGCATGTGACTTCATTCAAAAAGTGATTTTCCATAATTGCTATAGCATATCCTGTCTCTTTTATTAAACAAGGTTGATCTGTTCAGTCACGTTTTGTTCCTGCTATGTCGATCATCTCAGTGGTTTTAGGATTCTAACAGGTTATTGGCCATCAAAAGTTCGGGTTTGTGGCTTTTGGTTTCTCCCCAATGAATGGCAGTTTTCATGTAAGCAGTGCTGTGAAATTTCAAGGATTGTTTCTTCAGGGCATCTTTACACAAAAGATGAACTGTGTTCAGCCCATGTTCACTTAGATTATTTTCTGAAGACTCCGATGCCTATGCCACCTGTTTTCATTGGCCTAAGCTCTATTTGTAGGCAAGTTCTCTCTCGAATTAATTCATTAGCAACTGCTTTAATGCATTCTTAGAAATTACAATACAAGAGTATCAGGTTATACTCTGTGATTTAGTTGAGTTATTATATGCTCTGGTCTTGCAGCTGAGTGTGTAAATACGTAAATAGCTTTCTTCTAGTTGGACAGTTTATTCCTTACATGTTAATGCACGACAATTGTAATGTTGTACCCAAATACTGATATTGAGTGGCCCATTGTATGTGCAGCATGGGATTTTTAAAAAACCCTCAAGCTTTTCTTCGACTTCTCCAAACGGTCATGGAGATAACAGGTTACCGCTTTATCCTCTTTACAGCGGGCTACATGCCTTTAGATACAGCAATCCGAGCGATTGTTGCTGAATCATCATCATATGCGATGCACAAACAGTTTAATGATGAGTGCCTTTCTCTCTTCAAGGATCGACTCTTCTGCTTTTCTGGGTGAGCATTCCTAGCTAATTTCTGCAGAATGTGTTGTGATAGGCAAATGACATTTCTATCTTAACATTTTTCGAATGTTATACAGGGCTCTTATATTGAATAATTATATAGTTATTTCTCATTATATATATATATATATATATCATATGCTATTGTCTACATGGATTGCACCCTCTTGGTGCCTTTTTGTGACTTCTTACTACCATATTTCTTCAAAAGGTAGTTTGCATGGCATTTGTTGGTTTTTATGTATTAGACTCTTGTGCACGAACCTTAAATGACAAGTGCAGGAACCTCTTGAAAGTTGTGCATCACTGGTTCTTATTTGGAGCTTTCTAAGATATTGGATTTTTATTTGTTGAAAGAATAAGAGGATCATATGTTTCTATTCATCAATTGAACAAAAACCAAACCCTTATAAATCCTCCATACCAAAAATTTAATCAAATAATTCGGCAAACCATAGAAGTCACCCCAATCAAATAAACTAATTTGCTCAATCCCCTAAATTGGCCAAACCAAATTAGCTAGATTAGATCCATCATTTCTAAACCACAATGCTGTTTTTATCCTACATCAGAAACAATATTGACATCATCAGAAGCCTGTAAGGACAATGGAACTTGCAATGTTTAGTTATTCAACCAACTGTAGCTAACATTATATGCTCTATGTCTTTCTTTAGTGGATATATTATCTACATGTCTTAAACTGTGAATTATACTGTGCGCCTTTCCACTTTTATCCTAGAACCTGGCAACCTTTTTCCAGAACCTGAAAATATTTTCCCAATATCGTACATAAGATTTGATTACTTTAAAATTACAACTGCAGTTCTAGAACATAGAATAGCTATCATGCTTTTCACCCGTTTAATTTCAAACGATTTCTAGATCAGTTATGTCCAATCGGTTGGTCTTTGGCTACTCTTTTCCTCTCCGAATAACATTTTCTTACCTTGTTGAATAGTACCATACCATACAAGTGGCTGTTTACTCGATGTGCGGCTGCAATTCATCATGGGGGAAGGTGAGAGTAGTCCAACTTTATACGTTGGCTTAAATACCGTTTTGGTCCCTTAATGTGTATGGAATTTCAATTTTGTCTATGTTGCTCTAATCGAATATATTAATTTTTTCTGCTTTCAAGTTACTTCAATGTAATATCAGTCATGGATGATGTAATTCTGTAAACCAAGGCAAATGGAAGTTAATGGGATGTCAAGATTTTGGGCTGATGTGGCTAGACATACTGTTAACATTTTAGACTTTTCGATATAAGAAACATAGATTTTATGTTTCAGAACTTTAGAACGTAGTTTATGTTCCGAGGGGGAACCACTTGGACTCCAGCCGTCCATCAACAGCTCCAGCATCTACAGCATCACCATTACACCATACAGAGTTGTCTGCTTGAAACCTCAGCTCCACTATAGCACCAGCATACCTGAATCATGCTCAGCTATTCCATACTGATTCCTTTTCACTGGGGCGTTTATCATATTATTGAAAAACTTTCAGTTACATAGTACCCAACTCCAATATTTGAATCTCTTCAAGAGACCCATATGTGGATTTTCCTTGGCATTGTGGGTTTTTGGGGTTTTCAGAGTCTAGTGGTTTCTGGTTTTTGAGTTCAAAAGAGAAGAGAGGGGAGGGGGAGAAAATAAAAGAGACAATTCTGGCAGCAGCAATGACAGAAAAAAGAGGATTTCTAATTATAGTGCAAGAGGAGAGAGTGAGGGAACACAGTGAAAAGGTTCCAGTCTGTCAACATTGTCTACTGTGTCCCCAAACCCATCCGTAAGTTATTTATTGTTGTTGTATATTAGCAGCATATTTGGCCATCTTAGCATGTGAAACTTGACACCAAAAGCTTCCGTCTGCCCTTAGTCTCTGCCTCCATGGTCGGGACTACATTGAAATAGTAGAAAATTAATGTATGTGATTGGATTAATTAAGATAACATGAATGAAATTGAAATTCCTTACAACTTGAAAGACCAGGGGATTTCAGCCTCTTTTTTTTTCTGACATAACATTTTAGGAAACACGTAACGAGCAATGTATTTACTATTCGTTTTCTGTAAATGTGGAAGTAGTGGCACTACTGCTGCAGCACTACTTGCAGGAATCCCACAGGTTAGTTCTGGTAGTACCGTATTTTTGCTTCTTTATATATATTCGACCTTTAACATATATTGTATTTCTCTTGATCAAGTATATCAGTTGTAACAATGAAGGGGCTCTCTCTCTCTCTCTCTCTCTCTCCTGTAACATACATGATGCAGAAAAGTAATTTATCTCAGATGGCAGGTAGTATGCCCATTTCTGCTAGATCAGTTTTATTGGGCTGAAAGAATGTTCTGGCTTGGAGTAGCACCAGAACCATTGAAAAGAAGCCACTTACTTCCAGAAGAAAGTGATGAAAAAATAATCCAAGGAGCAGCGAATTTGCTATCCAGGGTCATACATGATGCATTATCTCCCGAAATTAGAGAACACGCTGTAGAAATTTCTAAGAGAATATCTCTTGAGGTAATACTTACTTTTGAATTATGAACGTAATAATTGTTGGTAGTTTCACAGCACCATGTTTGTTTAAGTTTTTCGATGTTCGATGTGGTATGTGTAACATGTGATGCCATTCGATGTTATACAAATTTTAATGGTATAGGTTACCCTTTTCCTTCGAGAAGGCACTGAACTCTTATGAGGGGATGCAGCTTTCTCTGCTAGAGATTAATTGATGGTGGCCTGTCAAAAGTCAATCTACACTGCATGGGAACGTATAACATGTACCTTCTTTGCATATCTATTAGGTTGGATCTTCCTAGTTTCGTAAGTGTTGATAATTTGGAGATTTGGGGACCCTTTATTTTGTTTTAATCTAGTTCTACAATTAGAGTTGAAATTTCAAATATAGTCCTAGTACCCCATTCTAATAAGAATGAAAAGTAGAAGGAACTATTGGCATCCCAAAACTATTTGTGTTTATTCTCTGAAAATTGAAAATATGAATAGAAGGTGCTACAAGTCTAATTTACAAAATGATGTTTTAATTTTCAGGATGGAGTCTCAAATGCTGTTAAATATATCAAGGAAGAGATTGGTTGTTCAAGCTGATTATTTGGAATCTGTTTCATTGACATTCGACATGGTTTTCGGCAATGCAGACAGTCCAGATTCTGAAAATGGCTGTTTGGAGGGCAGCATGTGCACGATTGGGACAGTCTGCTTTAGAGAATTTTTCTTTTGTAAAAAGACTATTCTAATCTAAATGGGATGGATTAGATGCAAAATATTACTAACAATGTCTGCAATAAGTTGCTTATGCAGAAAGAAAGCTTTTCCTATTTAGTAATCGAGCATGTGACAAGAAAAATCATTGATTTAGAGAACCTTCTTTGTCAACTTAAAAGAGCCCGCGAGGTGAAATGGACATTTCAAACATACTTTTGACTCCTTATGCCAATATGTCGTTTCAGTAACTTTTTGGGGTGCCTTCATTTGCATGTGCAAGGATCAGCGCTTATGATAGTTCTTAATAATCTTGTATTTATATAATATAGTTATCAATCATGTCTTTCTTCACCAGAAGAGCTTGTATGTTGCGGGGATAGTACTGTTTCAGCCTTATCACGTGTGGTGGGATGTGGAAGAGCGAAACCATGAATTTTTCAATGGGAAGGCTAGCTTAAATTTTTAGCTTAAATTTTTTTTTAAAAAACTTACAGCTTCCATAATTTTTTATATAAATAAAAGTATATATTAAATCATATAAATAAAAAATTAAATACATTTAACATAAAACAAATAAATATTAAATACAACTAAAAAATTCATATTATCAAAATGAATATATGTTCAACAACATAATTGAAAGTGTAACCTATTCAAGAACAAGAGCAATAGAATTAAGTTAACATACTGTTTCGTTTTTGAAAACAAGCCTCTTCCCACTTGTGAGTTTCAATTAATTAATGAGTCTGTAATTGTGGGTTGAATTGAAGTACTTGTGAGGGTTTTTATTGGACTGTTAGAGAAGCTTTCCCTTTATTATTTGGGTCAGAAAAGGATATTTTATTAAACAACAGCCAAAGGCAGTAGAGAATACAAACAGACTTTAGAAAAATAATATTTTCCTAATCTGTTTATGGTGGGCCATATAGGTTTTTTCATTTGTTCTTTAAACCCTTTCATTCAACAACCGCCGGCCTTCATATTTCCCTAATGTGTTGTATTTGTTGGTGGGCTATATAGGTTTTTTCTTTTGTTCTTCAAAGCCATTTATTAAACAACTTCGTGACTTCATTTCCCTAATTAATGTGTTGTATTTGCTGGTGGTCCATATATGTAGGTTTTTTCTTTCTTTAAAAAGCTACCACCATAACAGTGTGTGTGGTTCCGCCATTGGAGATGTGATTCGTTGGAAATAGTAAAACAATGCTCTCTCGCGATATGAAAGAATTTCTCATTTGTTCATGATTTGTCAACTTCCATGTGTGTTAAACACTTGAGGGCTCGTTTGTTACACATGACTGTCTAGGCATGGACTATGCTTAAGGACTGTCTTGGCTTGGCTTGGCTTGGTCTAAGTTGGATGACGCTTATCCTGCATTTGGTGTATAATTGGACTAGAGATTTTTTTTTTTTTTTTTTTTTTTTTTTTTTTTTTTTCTATCAGTAAAAGAAAATAGTATAGCCGCCGGCTATACTCGTTTTTTTTTTTTTTTTTTTTTTTTTTTTTTTTTTATTTAATAGTATAGCCGGCCGGCTATATTCAGTTTTTAAATTTTATTTAAAATAAAGAGTATGGCCGGGCGGCTATAGTCGGTTTTTAAATTTTTTGTAAAAGAAATAGTATAGCCGGTCGGCTATACTCGTTTTCAATTTATTTAAAAAGAAATTGTACAGCCGCGCGGCTATACTCGGTTATTCTAAATTTTTTTTATTAAAAAAACCAAGTATCGGTGCTATACTATTTCTTTTTTTGTCAAAGGAAAACACAATTTATTTGAAATAAATTTGAAAACCCGAGTATGGCCGCACGGCTATACTATTTATTTAAAAAAAAAATAGAAAAACCGATTCTAAAGCTTAATTTCACTCCAAGTGCACCCATAATCAGCTTTATAATTTCATTTCATGGTTCTTAGGGCATTCATTTGAGTTATCATGCTTTTGTTGTGATGTGTGACCAAAGCAAACCTAACAGATCGAACTTGACTACATTGCTAGTGATGTCTGCATAAAGATTCAGATAGATTCATTCAGTAACAAAATTCAAAGCAATAGTGTGCGTCCCCTGCAAATGCAGAGGAATTAGAAAGATCGAACTTGATTACATTTCTAGTGATGATCTTATCTTTTGAAAAGCTTATTTAGTTATACAGAATTACATAGTAAAATAACTTACCTTAACAATGTGAACAATAAGAAAAGCCACTGAGACATACACAAGCATCGATAACTCCTTCAAGTAAATGTTGTGTGATATAGGTACCTGGACAGAGTTGTTCACAAATTCAATAAGACAAAATCTGAAACAACTTCAAAATTACGGCTAACCAAGAACTTGGAACTGACCTGCTCATCTTGCAATGAAACCATCCGCAACAAAGGTGATGTGCGCTTTAGAGTTTTCTTTTAGTTCATATTAGTGCATAATCTCTAAACTTGGTCTGTATATACACTCACCACCACATTTGGACTCCAATTCCAACTGCTTTTCTGCTTCCTGAAAGTCATGTGAAACCTCAAATTCCTTGTTAGTACGTTGGTAGCAGACCCTTCTCATTGATAGCCCAGGGGATCAGAGAGTTGTGTGAAAATCTTACCTTCATCATCGTCTCTTTCTTCCATGTTTATATGCCTTTCATTAAAGTTTTTGTTGCTGTACTAGCCAGAACTCAGAAGAATATCTAATAAGATTATTGGGAGTGTATATTCTGTAGACACTACAGAGAATTTTTTTTAGTTGGATAATGGTTGGTTATTCTATAAAATTTTCCTACATTTTTCCAAATAATTCAAGAAATAGTGACTTTCAGAAGGAACAAAGAAAGTTAATAAACAATCCAGTAGAAGCTTTGAAATTATAACAAAATAGTTCAAATGTTTGGTATTGAAAGCATTTTTATGCCAAGTTTTGAAGTTTCTAGAGAACGATTAAGCCCAATATATATAAAGATTTGATGTGCTTTTCTTTTAGTTGTGTTCATATTCCATGTTATCAGTTCAGTTCTCATAGTAAAAAACTAGTTAGGAAATTCTTGTCAAAATGTTATTACCTAAGAAGAGAATAATAAGTAGAACTGTGACTATCCAGTCGGCGAACTTGACGTTGAAGGCAACTCCTATGCTGATGCCCAGCATGAACATTGGCTGAAAGAGAAATGCCAGATCATAATCTATAAGGGGCATGTCCAGTGTTAGGTGCCTAAGTCTCAAATTGAAGTGTACAGTTGAAACTGAAGCACCCATTATCTCACCTGCATGACCAATAGGATGGCATATAGTTCTTCAATTATGTCTAAACTGAATACATTAAGATTAAATTAACAAGTTAAAAGAAAAGATTAATAAGAAAGAACTAACAGTTGGAAATGGACGTGGAAGACTTGGGATCAAAACCAATGATCAAGGAATTTTGAATCCAAACCTCTTCCGTGATTTTTCCTTGCCAAGGATTTCTTGACAAGATTTTCTGACTGACAAAAAGAATAGAGTGAATTTTGTCTTGCGTTGAACTATACCTAAGGAGGAATTCCCAATTCAAGAAAAAGGGGTTCCAAGATGAAACCGCCTCCCAGCCCAAGTAGGCTACCCACCATACCAGCTACTATCCCACAGCTGCAGTAAGGAAAAATCTCATGCAACTTCCAGTTTGTGATTTCCTTTCCTTTGGATGCAATCACCCTGGTGCCTTTGCACAAGAATTGGCTTCAAAGAGTGTAACGGAGACTGCAATTTGGTACCTACGAAATGATAATATTTATGTTCAACTGGACATCATTCTTTTTATGTACGCTTGAGTGTATATAGTTAAGTGTAACTATAGTGTCCCTGAAAGAAATCTTACTACTCTGGTTGTTAACCTTACCTGCAAGGAGTTCAGGACCCAATAATTCAGTAACAAAAGTTAAAATCATGGTGCTTGGGAAGCAAATGCAGAGGTATTAGAAAGATGGAACTTGATTGCATTGCTAGTGATGATCATATCTTTTGGAGAGCATTTTAAGGTCCGGTATGCGAATAGATGAGTTCCTAGAAAAGCTTCTTTAGTTGTACAGAACTACAGAGTAAGATAACTTACCTTAACAATCTGAGCAAGAAGAAAAGCCACCCAGACATACACAAGCATCAATAACTCCTTCCCAGTAAACGTTGCGTGATATAGGCGCCTGGATAGAGTTGTTCAGCATATCAATAAAACAAAAACTGAAACCACTTAAAAATTGCAGATAACAAGGAAGTTGCAAAAGAATACAGGCTTAGAATGTTCTGATATTCTTGGAACTTACCTGCTCATCTCGCAATGACGCTGGACCACTAGGTGGCAATTTATAGTCTTCTCCAGAACCATCTGCAACTAAGGAGATGCGCACTTCAGAGTTTTCTTTTAGTTGATATTAGTATACTCTAAACTTGGTCTATATATAAGAATGTTTGCTCTTGAAGACCCAGTTGAGCCAGTGTTCTCCTTTGGCAGAGAGACTAGCCTTTTTCAACTCTTTAAGCTCTGTTCTGATCTGGGTTTTTGCTAAAATGGAGGTGGGTCTTGGGTTGCTCAGAACACCTTGGATTGCGGCGATACTGCCTATACTCATAGCTTATGTACCTTCTTCTAGGTTGCTTAACATGATTGATTGTGCTTGATTTTTTTGGTTTAGTCTCGCGGCTGTACTATTTCTTTATAATAATAAAAAAATTAGAAAAACCAAGTATAGCCGTGCGGCTATACTGTTTCTTTCTAAATAAAAGTTAAAACCCGAGTCTAGCCGATCGGCTATACTATTTCTTAAAAAATAGAAAAACCCAAAAAACCGAGTATAGCCGTTCGGCTATACTATTTCTCTAAAACCCGGGTATACTATTTCTGAATTTAGCCGCTCGGCTATACTATTTCTTTAATTTTTTTAAACCGTGTATAGCCGTGCGGCTAGGCTATTTATCTAAAAGAATTAAAAGCCCAGTACCGCCGCACGGCTATACGATTTCCTTTTTAAAAAACCGAGTTTAACCGCACGGCTATACCTTTTATAAATGTATTGGTAGCTCAAGTGCAAAAAACAAATTCTCAACTTGCTGCATACTTAACTCATTTTCTAGAATACCAAACCATCTTAAAGCTCAACATGCTACAAAACTTCAAATTTCAATAACTAATATAACCCGATTCAAGTATTCATATATAATTATTACTTAATTAGAGTATTACAATTTACACATGAGTATTACAATTAAATATGGCCAATGAGTAACAGATCGTTATCCTAAACAACTTGAATAAGTGGATGCATTGGGTATGCTCGGCCTCGGAAATCAAGATTGTGGGGATAATAATTCCTCATATATTATAGTCTCGTGGCTTTACTATTTAAATATATGATTTGAAGATGTATAGTTGCGCGATTAATGTAACAGGTGGGCAGATTTCTGTTGTTCAAGGTCTTTTGGAAGAGTTGCCATATATATATATATATATATATGGCAACCAAGTTGCAATTGCAGAGACGAGGAAACTTCTTATAAGCTGCAAAGTAATTGGTACATTTTTCTTCTTCTTTTTCTTCCTCTCTTTATTTTGCATGTAATTTTACACAAACCCAAGTCAGACCAAATGTTGGCGAGAGTAAAGACACACACAAACATTAAAAGGGAAGATTAATATCCTTATTCACAGGTCAAACTAGTTTTAAAAAGGGACACGACCCGCACTGGCTCCCCCCGCCTAGGCTCCGCCTAGATCCTCCCAGACCGCCTAGAGCCGCCCAGACCGCCTAGGCGCCTCCTAGATCCGCCTAGACCGCCCAGATTCGCCATGGCCGCCTAACTACGAATTCGAGTCTCTATCCGTGGCTAACATGGCGTCCAATTTACGTTTTTTTTGTTTTTTGCAATCAATCAATTTTTTTTTTTTTTTTTTTTTTTTTTTTTTTTTTTTTTGTGTTTACAAACGATTACCAGAGAGTTTCTTCTAAGGATTTTAAGATTTTATAGCATCAGAGTTGTTGTCTTAGAGGAGATTTCAATGGCTGAATGAAATCTGATGGTTTTCATAGACAGAGTCCAATCCAATCTAATCAACGCAGCAGCCGAAACGAAAGAAAAAAAAAAAGGAAGCTTGAGTTGAGAGAGAGAGAGAGAGACAGAGAGAGAGAGAGAGGAGAGACCGAGTCTTTGAAGCTTGGAAAGGCCTATAGAGAAGCGATATGGCTGTGACTGCGGGTGCAAGCTTATATATTTAAAACGTATAGCCGGGTGGCTATACCTTTAAAATATTATATTTTTCGAGTATAGCCGAGCTGCTACGTTTAAAATATTCAAATATATTTAAATTGTATAGCCGAGTGGCTGTACCTTTAAAATATTCGAATATATTTAACAAGTTAACGAGTACAACCGTACCGCTATACTCGTTAAATACATTAATATATTTAGGCCTGCTCTTTTGCCTTGAGATACATCAATATACTCTCTGCATATGAAAAATTGGATACAAAACATTCTAATGAGACAACGAAGAGAAGAATTTTGAAATAAATTGAAGTTATCAGAGGTCATATGGCATTGATATATATGCGAACTATTCTAAATGAGATTCAAACAATGTGTTAAATGAGAAGTAGCATCTCATTCTTACATATACCATACCCACGCGCACTTTAAATTCCCCATGTTAAGAGGGGAGAAAAGTGCAATACCTCTCTTGTATCTCGCAAGCGTAGGAGATCCAAACTCTCATGAGGACGCCAGTTTGATAAAGAAGCCAGTTGCATCCAATCATACATTAATACCGGCAATCACAGCCCACAATATACTCAATTTTAATAAAGAGAAATATAAAGTTACCCAGAAGCTGAAACGCTCATGATCTTTTAGTGAAGGCATTAGCGCTTCCACGCCAAGAAGTCTATCAAGTCGTCTTCGATCTGTAAAGAGATACTATCATACATCAAAAGGGCACATAGGTATACTGAACACAAGAATAGGGGAAGAAACCATTCTAATGTACACTGGCATTACATATAGACTAAAAATTTTAATGTCTTGAATAAAGACAAATTGTCACAAGTAAATAAGATATGTTGATCTAGAGATAAAGATCCTCCCCAAATGTTCCAAGCAAAAGCTTCCTGAAGATGAAATCTGAATATGACAGACATTTCAGTGGAATAAAAGGTTTAACCTAATAAAACTAATCTTTCATTTCCAGCCATTACAACTGACCACCAAATTGAAACATGCAATCTCAGTCAGGTAGTAATATTCACCCAAAATAATGGAAAATCTTATTCAGGATATTCTTAATGGTCATCCAAATACCTATTATAGAGGACTAAGAGATTTAACTTATGGAGATAACCTTTAAAAAAGAAAAAAAGAAAGAAAAAAAGAAGGTAAATTCCGAGTTCATTCAATTCATGTCGTTCCCGAGCACTTTACCTTGATGTGCTGCTCTTTTACCTCGCCCTGTCCATAACCGAGCATACTCTGCTGCATTATTTGTCAATTCCTGCAACTGGACAGATATAGAAGTTAAACCATGTAGGCGCAAGCGCAACCAATATGAGGGTGAAAAACATGGAAGAACTTTGTCTTGCATCTTCCTATACTGATGCATGTTACACTTTACAGGGCCTTTTAGCAATGACATTACTAGACTTAAGTCAGTGACAACTATAATACATTTAATGTATCTCAAGCTTTGCCAATTGAAGTTGAAATCTACGCAATTTTGCATCTAGAAAAATGTGTGACCAATTTATTAATAAATAAAATTTTAAAAAAAAAACTCAAAAGCATTGTTAAGCACCAGATCAAGTTTAACTCAAGCTTCTTACTATTCTCTACAACAAAAAATTTAAATATAAAATATAAAAGAAAAGAGCACACTCCAATAGAGAGATTACAGCAAACCAAATTGTCATGAACTTATGTCTGCTCTCTCTCTAGACCCTTCTGGTGGATATATGCCCTGGACCCATACGGTACCTAAAGCTGAAGAGCACATCAAAAGACAAAAATATTGAACAAGAGCAGCAACTAAAGATCAAATGAATGGCTAGACATCTCATAAGACAACTCACCCAACTTGGTCCCAAGATCGAATTATACGAAACCGTCGGCGACTTTCAATCTGCATGAAATGGTATTATTATAAGTACATGAATGGATTATTAAAAAAAACATCATAACTTCAAACAAAAATGCGTTTTGACATGGAAATACTTATCATAGATAAGCCTAATAGTTAATTTGCAACCTTGGGTGTATAAATAAAGACTAAAAATGAAGGATAAGTGTTCATTAAATGAAAAGCAGATCGGTTTTAGCATTCATAATGCATTAAAACAATGTAAACAGAGAGCAAAAGTACAAATTGAAGTAAAAGGCACTAGTATATCTAACCTATAAACAGAAACGTCCATCTGGAAGTGGTTCACAAATGACATTCTGGGTCTAACTTTATATACCTTAAGAAAGTTAAAAGGGATTGAAAAGGACCAGTGACACTTATATACCATTCCCATCCGACGGTTGCCTTCCATTATCCTCCTTACCCGTTGCTTACTGAGGTAAAACAGAAATGCCTGAATCTTGTTGTTTGCAAAAAGCTCCTCAACCAGAGATCTATCTTTGTCATTCAGACCGGCATGGTGTAATCCAATGCCAGACTGCAAGGTGTGCCTCAGGTTAAAGAACCATCTGCTGGGCTTCTTCTGGCATACTAAGAAACTGCCTAAAGCACAAAAAAAATCGAATCAACACAGCAGCCGAAACCGAAGAAAAAAAAATCCAAGCTTGAGTTGAGAGAGAGGATCAAGACCGAGTATTTGAATTTTGAAGATTGGACTGCGAGTGCAAGCTTCATGTTCGTTTCAATGTCTCTTCATTTCACTCGCACACCACATTCCTTTGCGAGTGCAAGCTTCGTCTGTCTTCATTTGGAAAAAAAAAAAAAAAGAACACAAAAGGACGCCGCCCAGACCGCCCAGACCGCCTAGAACCGCCTAGGCGCCGCCTAGACCCTCCTAGATCCGCCTAGGCGCTGCCTAACTCCCTTATAGCATCAGAGTTGTTATCTTAGTGGAGATTTCAATAGCTGAATGACATTTGATGGTTTTCATAGAGGGTGTCTAATCCAATCGAATCAATGCAGCAGCAGAAACCGAAGAGAAAAAATCGAAGGTTGAGTTGAGAGAGAGGCTCAAGACCGAGTCTTTGAAGCTTGGAAGCGCTTATAGAGAAGCGAAATGCAAATGGCTGTGATTGCGAGCGCAAGCATCTTGTTCATTTCTCTGTCCTTTCATTTCACTCACTGACCACATTCCTCTTCGAATGCAAGCTTCGTGTTTTTTTAAAATATAATTAAAGAGTATAGCCGCGCGGCTGTACGTTGAAAATATTAGAATATATTTGAAAAATTATAGCCGAACGGCTATACTGGTTTTTATTTTTTTATTTTTATCGAGTATGACCGCGCGGCTATACGCCTTAAATATACAATTCTATCATATTATTTTAGTAAATATACAATTCAGTCATATTATTATTTTAGGGTTTTGGGCTAAAACACTACTTTAGCCCATTGAACTATAGTTATTTCTTCAATAATTTTATTTATACAAGCAATATTGGGGAATGAGAATTTAAATTCTTTCTGATGCCTCCCATTCTAATGATTTCCAGCTATTGGCCCATTGGGCAAGAATAAAAAATTGATTTTATTTCTAAGAAATAATACGTATTAAACGCATAAATACAACAACAACAAAATAGGGATGCCCCAACAAAAAATATATAAGCGTACATAAAATGAATAAAATAGCTAGAGAGAGAGACCTGGAAAGAAATGGGGTTAACCTTGGGGTTAATCTGGGTGATCTTCTCGGGGATTTTATCAGGGTCTTCAGATTGGAGAAGATGCATGCCAATGCCATAATTGAATAGCCTATGATTCCAATGTCACAGAATTAACCAAAAACCAAATTAATACTCAATATTTATAATGTTTCAAAAACAGAGTAAACCAATTCAATAAAAATGAAGGGTGGTTGTTGTTGGTTTTCCAAGTTTTTAAGAATTATACCATGCACCATTAAAGTCAAAGGAGCCAGGCCTCCTAACTGGGAAGAACCCAAGAACACTCTGGTAGAAATCAAGGGATTTCTCAACTGATCTGCACACCAATGAGATGTGATTCAAGGACTTAAAATGCAGCACGCTTTCTTTCATCATTTCATAACACTATTTCTCAACTTGGAAAATATTACGTGCAATAAGCAAATATAGAGAGCTGGATTGAAGGCTACATATTCGGGTTTAAAATAAATAGAGTTGAGAGGAGAAAATGGTGGAATGTTGCATATATATATATATATATATATATTCTTCTTTTTCTTTCTCTCTTTCTTCCTCTCTTTATTTTGCATGTAAATTTTACACAAACCCAGTTCAGACCAAATATTGGCTAGAGTAAACACACACACACACACACTAATTAAAAGGGAAGATTAATATCCTTATTCACAGGTCAAACTAGTTTTAAGAAGGAAGAATCTAGAGCGACTGATAGACAATAAGCCCATCTCTGATTCTGAAGTATCGTAGAGAATACAAGGCAGAGACCAAGTCACGGCCCAGTCTCCCGCTGTCTTCATTTGGAAAAAAAAAGACACGACCCGCCCTGGCTCCCAGACCCGCCTAGACCCGACCAGGCCGCCTAGGCTCCTCCTAGATCCGCCCAGACCGCCTATGCGCCGCCTAGATCCGCCCAGACCGCCTAGGGGCCGCCCAGATCCTCCCAGACCGCCTAGGCGCCGCCTAGATCCTCCCAGACCGCCTCGGCGCCGCCTAGATCCTCCCAGACCGCCCAGATCCGCCCAGGCCGTCTAACTACGAATTCGAGTCTCTATCTGCGGCTACCATGGCGTCCAATTTACGTATGTTTCTGATTTTGCAACTTTTTTTTGTTTGTTTACATGGAAAACAATTGTCAGAGAGTTTCTTCTAAGGATTTTAAGATTTTATAGCATCAAAGTTGTTATCTTAGTGGAGATTTCAATAGCTGAATGACATTTGATGATTTTCATAGAGAGAGTCCAATCCAATCCAATCAACGCAGCAGCCGAAACGAAAGAAAACAAAAATTAAAGCTTGAGTTGAGAGAGAGGTTGTTGGCAATAAGCGTATAGCCGCTCGGCTATACCTTTAAAAGATTCGAATATATTCCAAACGTATAGCCGCCCGGCTTTACCGTTAAAATAATATATTCAAAGCGTATAGCAGCGCGGCGATACTTCTAAAAATATATATTCAAATAGTATAGCCGAGCGGCTAATTGTATAGCCGGTCGGCTATACGCTTTAAATATACAATTTTGTCATATTATTTTAAGGTTTAGGGCTAAAATGCCACTTTAGCCCATTGGGCTAGAGTTATTTCTTCAATTATTTTATGTATACAAGCAATATTGGAGAATGAGAATTTAAATTCTTTCAAATACCTCCAATTATAATGATTTCTAGGTATTAGCCCTTTGAGTAAGAATGAAAAATGAATTTTATTTATGATAAATAATCGGGTTAAACCCATAAATACAACAACAAAAATAAGGATGCATCAACATTTTTTTATATATACGAGATGCACCAACATTTTGTGGATCAAAGAATGTTGAATTTCAGAATATAAAATTGCTTGTTCCAAGCAGAAGCTTCCTAAATATAAAATATGCAATCTCATTTCCAACCATTACAGTTGTCCATCAAATTGAAACATGCAATCTCAGTCAGGCAGTAATATTCACCCAATATAATGGAAAATCTGAGTCAGGATATATTTGTAATGGTCATCCAAATACCTATTATAGAGATAACCCATTAAAAAAACCAAAAATAATACTGACTTCAGGCTATTAATACGTTAGCTACAGGGCCTTTTGGCAATGACATTACCTCCAATGAACCATGCATCACCAATTGTATAAAACCAATGCCAATTAGCTTCACAGAATCCAAGAAAACATCCACTTAAGGGCTTCTAAAACATGTATTAGCCTACATTGTTTCCTCAAATTGAATGGGTTTGAGCCTCAGTTTATATTACGCCTAAACAGATGGAATGAATGTGGGCAATTTTGAACCCAGATAACAAATTCACACTAACTAATGACTGGTTTTCAACATTTAAAGTTTTACCTTTCATAATAAAAAAGTGTTTCTATTTAGGAATTGGAACTAAAGAAAATGTATATCTCCATAAAATGGTAAAACTTTAAACACACCCAGAATGTTGAAGGCATGTTCAAATCCTATAAAAGGTCTAGAATTCAAAATGGGCCAAGCTAGAGGCAGTGCAATTGTTGCCACAATGTTATTGTTGTGCATAATGCTGCCTTGTTGTGAGATTAGTGATGCGACCAACTACACCGTTGGAGATGATGATGGTTGGAACTTTAAGGTCCATGACTGGCCTACTGGCAAGAAATTATTCCACTCTCACGTTACATTGGGGCAAGTCTTAAATTGGCCAACTTTTATGTTGAATTATGTCTAACTTTGAAGTATAAAGTTGTTAAATTATGTTAATTTTTATTGACCCTTTGTTTTCTGAAATATTTTTATATTCATGAGTTCTGATAGATCTTAACGAATGTTTTCCGAAATAACACATTGCAGAAAAAGGAAAAAAGAAAAAAAAAACTTTGTAGGATGAAAGTTATGATTCCTCAAAATTTAGAAATGAAAATTTGAGGATTGAGAAAACTATGACAAGGCATTGCCATATTTTGGTAGGAGGGTGAAATTTTTTTTAACTCGTACGATTTTTAATTGGAGTCTAATATGTCAATTCGTTTAGTAACACTTATAATCCACTTTGGAGGAGGTCATGAATTCAAATATCTTCGGTTGTTCAATCAAATAATTAATCATTAGCTTGAATTTTCTTTTTTCTACTGGAAGATCTATGAAGATCTCTGATTATTAAAAAGCTAAGAGAAAGAGACCCCATGCCAACACATCTTAGCATTATTTTGGAGTGCATGATCTCCAAATTTTAAAAGGAATGTCCTGTTTTTTTTTTGGTTGGTTTTTTTGGTTAAACGACGGGCTAAAAGGGAAAGATATCCATCTTTGTATTAATCCTTCATAAGAATTTGGTCTTTGTGTCTAATTATTGAATACAATTATCATTAATTTTCAAAAAAGTGAAAGATATCTTGTTTAGTACTCAAGAGCTAAAACACATTAATGATCTTGTTATAATGACATTTTATTTGCAGTGTTCAAATACAATAATGGACAGCACAATGTGGCGGTGGTAGATGAAAATGGCTACACAACATGCACAATAGGCGACCAAGTTTTCTCATCAGGAAATGATGAAATCAAACTTCAACATGGACAAAACTACTTCATCTGTGGCTTTCCTGGTCACTGTGCTGCTGGGATGAAGATGGCAGTAACTGCCACATAATCAAATTGACCTACCTTGGTGTTTACTTGCAGTAATTTTTATATAATAAAGTGACAATAATATCAGCTTTTGAACTTTATTATTGCCAAACCTCTCTCTCTCTCTCTACTTAGAACATGGTTATTGGTTAATTATTCTGTAGAGACAATGCGTCTTTTCCTTTAGAAATCTCTTTCTATCAGAGATAATTTTTTAGGTTTCTGTAAACCTAATGGAATAAAATTTGTTTAGTTCATGCAATATCATATGCATTTTGCAAGACCTAAACTTTAAACTAGAGATTAAATGACTATACCTCAATATTATTTTCCTACAACTGTTCACTTAGGAATTCTTCTAGTGTGTTCTTATGAGAAAACTTTTAATCGTACATACCACTTTCTTTCTTTTCCCTTTTCATTCGTACTTTATTTATGACATTACTTATATGGGCCACCAAAGAGACTTTTTTCCCCTTTGAGTGAGTGTCAAACTTTTTTTCTTTTTTTTTTTTTTTTTTTTTTTTTTTTCAGTTAAAAAGAAGGAGAGGATATTCTCACACACGGTGTCATAGGGATCAAACTATAGACCACTAGTTTGCATGCCAACAGCAATACCACTGACCTATTATTTCTTCATCACAAAGTAGTAGTGAAACTTACAATACATCCAGCTATATAGAAGTATACTGGATATATATATATATGAGATAAGCCTAGGCTGCAGTGATGGCAATTTTCATGCCAGATTGGCAGTGGCCTGGGAAACTGCAAATGAAGAAGTTCTGTCCTTTAGCAAGCTTGATCTGATCTTTTCCAGTCTGAAAGACTTTGGCAGCTCTTGGAGTGCTACATGTCTGATACCCAGCCTTGTTCACAGCAACCACATTGTGAGCAGAAGGCGCGTAGTTGAAAACTATAATCAAATATGCAAGAGGTCAGGGTACTAAGATTAATCAAGATTATATGCTAAAGTACAAGCTAATTCAAAGGTTTAGTTAAAAAGTTTATTTGACTTTAGACAATTAAGAAAATCCAAGTCCTCTCAAACTCATGCGAGTTTTTACGATCTACTTTGTATCTTGTGAAACATTTTGGTCCTTTCCTTTATTTTTTAAAAAGGGAGGAAGAAACAGAGTCTGGTTGCAGCATAAAAACCTCTTAACCACTCTTTTTTAACCGCTTGAGTTACAAATTATTTTTATACTTTTAACCACTCGAGCTGTAAATCACTCTTATACTTTCAATCACTTGAGTTACCGATGATTAGCCAAACATGGGCTCACTAGGCCCCTGCCTTAGAAGTACTTTTCCTGGTGAACAGAATTCAGTCTCTAAATCAGTCCAAATTAAAAGGAAAAATGACTAATTATCACCCGAGTTACAACTTCATGAATTTTCCTATACTAATTATCAATCAAATAATCTTTCTTCAAAGTTTTATATAATTTACTAAGCAGAAGAAGAAAATAATATATATGCTTTGAGTTTGTATATACTAACCAAGCACGTCACCGGCTCTAAATGACTTCCCCTTAGGCCACCCAGCAACGTTAGGCGACCAACCACCTGCATCCCCAACAGTGTAGCTTCTGGCTTCAGCCCATTCACAATGGAGCAGCAGCAAACTCAGGCACATCACCATAACCACACCAACCCCTGCACTGCCTCTTCCCTGACCCATGATCTCAAACGGCACCGTTTAGTAAACTTGAAGTCCAAAACCAACAACAACAACTCACAGAGAGAGAGAGAGAGAGAGAGAGAGAGAGAGAGAGGTTAAGTTGTGACCGATAAAGATGAGGGGTGTGGCCTTTTTAATGAGGGTGGTAGTGGGAGTCGTAGGACCCAGTTTTTGACATATAGATCCATTATAACTTTATATTTTAGAGAAAAACCCTTCAAATCAGTGGCGGTTCTATGCATGGGGCAGGCTTAGCTAGCCGCTGCCCCAACTCAAATTTTTACAAAAAAATACTACATATGATATCACTCAGCCAAAAATTAAAAAATAAATAAATCAAAGGAAGCCTATACACTTGCTCTGCACACCCAAGTTCCATTTCTTGTCTAGTATGTAAGTTTTGTCCAGTCGATTTTTAAATTATGGATCCGTTATTGCTTCAAGTCCAATATTTTAGAAGAAAAAAAAACCATAGCGTGTTTTTAAGTATAAAAATAGTAACACATTAAGAACCAATCAATTAGAAAATAACAAGTGACTAAGTGAGAGTTTTTTTTCTCTCCAATCCCTCTATGTGTTTCTATATAAAATATGCAGTTGTCAACGTGTTTTTCCTAATTTTCTCTTTATGTCCACGCACAACCACCAAAAGGCATGGGATGGGGGTGTGGGGGTGTGTCAGGATGTGGTTGCAAAAGTCATGATGCGGTTCGACCTATAACGCCACAGAAGTTGTCGATGCAGCCAAGCCCTGCCCCTTGACATCCACACACACTTGGCCTCTTGAGACGGGTCTTTAAGTCATCACCCACGCCAAAAATAATTAAGATGAGCCTGTTTGGGCAGAAAAGAAACAAACAACACAGCTTGGCTCTTTTCATTTTCCTACATAAAAGTTAACCATTTTTGCAGTCTCTTCTAGGTAGAAATGACTAATTCCAGCATAAACAATACGAAGTCTTGTCTGGGTAGAAATATTATTGTTTATACCCTCAAAATATCGCAGCCTCTTAAATAGACAGAGCATTGTGTTCATTGCAAGCTTGCCACTAGAGCATCTTCAGGGGAAAAGGTAAAAGAGTAGGCAAACCTCATTTGTCTTCCCCTGTTAACATTTTCATGCTCGAAGGAAAGAGGTAAATAGTTATGCAAAATATACATACTCTCCCCAATAAGATAATATTGCCTACTTCAAAGTAAAGAGGTATATTGGACCCCATATATTTTTATTATTATAAAATACAAATTTTTTTTTTCTTTTTTGCTTTTTGTGGTGGGTGAAATGAGGTAAATGTAAAAGATGAAAATAGATAATATAATATTGCATTGCCTAATTCATTTGCCTAGTCCATTGGAGTGAACAATTTTTTTCCAAGAGGCAATTGAATAGGCAACATGCTACATCAGTCTATGTAGTACACTTTTGCTTACTTTGTTTGCCTATGCCCTTGGAGATGCTGGTGTAAACCCTAAAAGACCGAATATAAATGAAAAGGGTTTACACCATAAAATGTTGATAGATCTCATCCAAAAGAAAAGAAAACCAACATATTTTAATAAATCTTATAAATCCAGAACTCGACGTTAAAAAATCATATAAATTTATGATGCAATAAAACAATGGAGTTACGTACTATATTTCTAGATTAGCTTTATACCTAGGTCTCGCACTTTCATTCTTTCGTGAAATAAGTAGCTTTCTGTCTAATCGCGAATGCACTTTCACATTTGTTTAATTAGTATATTACCTTTCGGAGTGTTAGTTCTAGTCTTCAAAGTAGCACATTACCACTTGAAGAACAAAACTTTGAGTCTGGTATACTACCACTCCGGACATCGACACTATCTCTCGAAGCGCACACACACTACCATACTAAGCGTATACCTTGGCACTTAAGAGTAATGATAGCACATAACCCATGCCTTTTTGTTTTGGGATCGAATACCTATGGTCTTTTGAAAGCAATCCCAATTGTATTATATACACATCTTTCTGTTCTCAAAATTCAAGTTTACGTTATTGTGCTATCAAACCCACCATGACCAAACTGTCAACTTTTTGGACTTTTTTTACACAAATTCAGCAAATTTTCCGCCATCATATATCCTATGGCCCCCGCACTTGAAGGAAAATTTGCCTCTTCTTTTTTTTGTTTATCTATTCTTGGTCCGATGATGGAGTTGGTGGGAGAAGAAGAGGGAGGATATGCGTGTAGGCTAAACTTGTTCTTCCTTAAACAAAGGAAAGATTATTAAAGAATAAAATATGAATATTTAATAGCTGGCCATCTTATCAGACATACAAACATAAACCATCACATAACTACTCAATTAGGTAGTCGTCATTGTCAACGGGTCTAGTCCAGTTAAAAAGAGCCTTAACTTACAAACCAGAGATCTTAAATTCAAATATGCACGACATCATAGTGTGTGTGTATACAGGGACTGAGGTAGTTTAGGCCTGAGGTGGCCTTGGCCCCAACAATTTGTTCTCAACAAAGTAAAGCTTGGGCTTTAGTTCATATATTTAACAATGCGAACCATATAACCATTCTAATGGCCCCATTGCAATCCATAATAACTTCATTTATTAATATGTAAAATGTTTGTGGGCCCATTACACAACTGACATAAAAAATAAAAAATAAAGGAAAATATTAATCCTCTAATAAACATACCGATGAGCTAAGGGAATAGAAAATAAATAGTTTAAAGAGAAACTAGATTTTATCAAAAGAATTTTCTGTTTTGACACATGAAATTAAGTACAAAGTTCTAAAAAAATGTCCATTTCCCCTTATATATATATATATATATTATTGATGTAAGATTGATTTTTTTCCCCTACTTGTATTACGGTTCGGTCCCCACACACATACTATCCAGGCTCCACCCTTGTGTGTGTGAAATCCCCTACTTGGCTCTCCCTCTTAACCCCTATTCGTCAACTAACAAAATATGAAGAAAAAAAAATTAGAAAGTTCAAATTGGCCAAAAATCTAGCTAGTGGATCAACTAAGAGTATTTTTTGTCTACTTGTGTCTATCTCTCGCATCATGTGAAAAATCACATGATAAGAGAGTTAGGAACATATATTTTATAAACAAATCTAAACGGAAAATTTTCTTTAAGGTCAGGTGGTATTTTTTTTTTTTTTTGTTTTTTTTTTTTTTTTGTGTCATTCAAAAAAAAACATCACTGTACAAAATCTTACTATACTTAGCCCCAAGTTACTCAATTTCATTCAATATTACTCTTCACACCAACAATTGATACAACTATTAGTAAGGTGCATAAGAATATTTATTAATCATATAAACCAAAATTTATGATACCTCAAAATTTAGAAATGAAAATTGGAGGATTGGGAAAATTATGACGAAGGAATTGCCTTAATTTGGTAGGAGGATGAAATTTTTCTTAACTCGTACGATGTTTTAATTAGAGGTGTCAAACGGGCCATGCCGTGCCGGCCCATCCCATTTAAACTCGTGCTTTTAACGTTTTCGTGTGGGGCCGGGCCGGCCCATTTAATTTATCGGGCCGTGCTATGCCGGCCCATTTAGTAAAATTATTGATCCCGGCCCGGCCCAAAGCCCATGTCCATATTGAAACGGGCCAAGCCGGGCTCGTGCCGTGCCTGCGCTCGTGCTCATGCCATACTCGGGCCCAAGAACCAATCCATTTAATTTGAATTTTTTTCACTTCATTTTTTTTTTCACTAGATAATTCAAATTATAAACATTAAAAATATAATTAGAGGCAAGAAATGATGAACTATTTGAAAACATTAATCAATCAAACATCCAAACAATATGAAAATGGCAGAGGGCAAAAAATGTCAAACTCTACAAAGGACACTTCAACTTTTCATCTTTAAACAACTTATTATTTTATATGTGAAATAATGTCTTGCTTTGATTATAAGAGAAGCATATATGTCATATGTACTGATTAGATATCAAGTCCAATATTGTTTAATTAATTTGTAGTTGATATGTTTAATTAATTAAGGACCCAAGTAATTTCCCTAAAATGAAAGACATCAATTATATATTTATGATTAAAAAAACATATAAATAATGACATTAGATGTCAAATTATTGCATTTTGACTTTTGAGAAAGAAAAAAATGTTAAGTGAGCCGTGCTTGAAGCGTGCTCGGGCCAAGTCCGGCCCATGTCGGGTCATGGGCCGGCCCGGTCCATTGAACCTCATTTTTTTATCCCGGCCTGGCCCAAGTTTTCGTGCCGTGCTGGGCCGGCCCATCCCGTTTGACACCTCTATGTTTAATTGGACTCTAATATGTCAATGATCAATCTAGAAAACTATTGTTTAGTACTTAAGAGCTAATTCAATAATGATCTTGTTATAATGACATTTTATTTGCAGTGTTCAAATACAACATAATGGACACCACAATAATGTAGAGGTGGTAGATGAAAATGGTTATACACCACATGCACAATAGGCGACCTAGTTTTCTCATCAGGAAATGATGAAATCGAACTTCAACACGGACAAAACTACTTCATCTGTGGCTTTCATGGCCTTTGTGCTGCGATATGTCAGTTTCTTTTTTCTTCATTATTGCCCTACTTCTCTCTCTCTCTCTCTCTCTCTCTCTCTCTCTCTCTCTCTCTCTCTCTCTCTCTCTCTCTCTCATTTTCTTTTTCTAAGTAATTGGTTAATTGTTGGTTAGAGACAAGAATGTGTTTTTCCTTGAGAAGAAGATTTGTTTAACTCATGTGAAATGTGCCATATTTTCAGGGGGAAGAACTCTAACCGCCGTCTAATAACGACTTTGCAGTTGATTTGATGACTATTAAGGACCTCCTCATTATAACCCTCGTTACAATCTCTCTATTATTGGAGACCATATGGGCAACGTGGGCTATGAAGCCTTCATTTATGCATTTTGGCAAGCCAGGGCCTACTCTCCTTTAGCTGACTTGTTTATTTTGGGCTTCAGCTCTGCCTCAGCACCAAAAGAAATAAATATAAATAAACAAAAAGCTTACGAGCACTGCTCCAATGACCTCTTATCTCTCCAACAACAACATAGTTATTCTCAGAATTATTAACAAACGCAAGTCATATATACTAAAACCAAAATCTCTAGATAGTTTGAAAAATTAATGACACGACTTAATATCCATATGCATCACATATGTTGCGGTCGTTATTGTCTCTGCCCACCACACAAGCAAGTAGCTTCGTGAGACTTCCCAATGCTGCATACTGAACCCAATTACTTATTTACTGTCTCCTTGTCACTGTAAATAAGAATTTAAGAAATAAACTTTTTATTAGCCGGAAAATAAAACAGATTTACAGGAAAATAAAACAATTCTAGAAATTTGAATATATATCCCACTAATTTATTTTCTTTTTCCTGAATTTCAAGTGCACTAGTCATAGAGAGAATAAATATTGAAGAAGTATCTATTATATCTTACAAGAAAATAAACCATCTGAGTGGAAAAAGAAATACAAGCACCCTTTTCCTTTTGAGTTATTTGAATCCCGGCAGCCAGTATAGTTATAAAATTTGGAACAACTCCTTAACTTTCTTACTTGAAGTTAAGTCCTTTATCTAATTTTTAATCAAGTTAAAACAGAAAAGTAAGCAATAACTACAGATCACTTATTTTTTAGAAAGTACTGTATGATATAGGGTATGTACGGTCACATTATCCGTTCACAGGTATGAGTGAATGATATGGTTAATATTTATCACTTTTAGGGTATATTAATAAATATCTATTATAATACGTGAACGAGTTATATATATAGCGGTAGTCTAATACCACACTACAATTACTCCTTATTTAGTACCAAATAGAGTCTAGAGGCTTTCAACTGCTAAAGTCATACAAGTTCACATCCCACAAATCTTGGTCTTACATTAATCATATGGATAAGACCATGGTAGTTTTTTGTGGTTTTTTTTGTTAAATTTTGAGAAATCCTGACAAATAAGAAAATAAATGATATGCTAATTAAAATGCCAATAACCAAAGCCAACGGGGTCTAGTTAGTGGAAAAGAATTTTGGCTTGCAGACCAATGATCTCAGGTTAGAACCACATGACATCTTTGATAGTGTGTGTAAGAAACCACACCCTCCCCCTATATCGTTTGTATAAAAAAAAATATATGATAACCAAAAACTTTAATACAAGAAGGTAAACTAGAACAACTAACAACATGTTAAAATTAAAATAAAAAAATAAAAACGAAACACTGTCACATGCTAATAATGATCATGTGCTCTAGTAATATCTAGTCTCCACTATATTAAAGGAGATCTTGAGTTCGAATCTCATTGAATACGGTTCTTAATAGAGAAAACAACATAATTCCTAAAAGAAAAACGTTTGACATGCACTAGAGCATGTGCCAATCCAATTTAATATCTTTGTATTTGTTGAGGCCCAAAAAATCCAAGGTTGGGCCCAAATATATTTCTAGCCCAGTATGACACCTAACTTGGGAAGAAACCTAACTTTGGTACGCAAGAGTTCATCATATGCGCTTGCACACGTGCCACGCCAAGCAAATAAGCAACACGCCACGCTATAAGCTTAAGTGGGCCCAAGCCACGAGAATGCCTGGGGCTTGTTGAGCGGGTTGTGGTATGGATGGTTACGAGTTTTCATGAGGTCTATTGATGAGCCGAGAAATGGAAGTTTTGGGCTGCTTAGGAGCCCCGAAACTCAAGCCCATTTCTTGAGCCCAAATATGTGGGTAAGCATAAAGGAGAGAAAATAGCCCATTACCTTAGAAAAAATAGCCCATCACTTTGGGAAGTTGGCCCATCCCTTTAGTGAACTAGCCCATTATCTTAAAGAATGGCCCAAGTGACCAACAAAATATCTGAAAGTCTCCAGCACATGGCTGGATATAAAACCCTGACAAAAGCCAAAAGCCACTCACATTTGCAAGCTGCTAGGAATCTCCAGCACATGGCCAAAGACAAACCCAATGCAAGCCATCAGAAAAACCAAGGGATACTTGAGCAAAACATCCTTCAAACCAATGTACATACCCATTTCTTCTCCCCCCCCTTCCCCTTCCTTATCAGATCTAGCCATAAAAGATGGGAGAAAAGAAGGAAGAAAGATGGCTGAAAATGGGAGTTCTCCACTGAGGCAGCTGTGAGAAGAGCATTGAGCTCCTAAAAATCCCTGATTTTGTGCAAATGGGTAGAGAGAATTTCACGAAATAGGGTAAACCAAAGGAAGGGAGGAGAAAGGAAGGAAAAAGCTTGACCAAATTGGATAGAAACCATTACTGTTTCTTGGAAAAGTGTAGCTTCCAGCGCCTATAAAAAGATGCATTTCCTACCCATCATCTCAACCCACATCTAGAGAGCAAGCTTCATCTCTCATCTCTGACACTCTGCAATTTCGTGCCCTATTCCTCCATTTCCTTTCATTTTCTCTTCTGGCAAGCCATTCCAGAGTCTGACATAGCTTTTGTCAGGCTGCTGGAAAATTACCCAAAACACCCAATACTTCACCACTAACCACAACCACATCCAAATAGCAAGCTTCCCCTCTCATCTTCAAAACTTAGCAAATCTGTGCTCTGTTCATCCTTCTCCCTCCATTTTTCTCTCATGGCAGACTGTTCCAGCACTTGACATCACCTTTGTCGAGCTGCCGGAAAATCACTTCAGCCACCCATTGCCCTCATCTCTCTCCCCCTCTCTCTCCTCAACGAATCCTCTTAGAATCCCTTCTCCCATGCCTTAACTATGTTTCTCATAGGAAATCACAGCCATTTCTCTTTCTCATGATAAACTCATGAATGCTCATGTCAAGCCAAGAATTTATCTGTAAGCTGTTGTTATTTTTGTTGGTGAAAGTAACCAATGTGTTTCCTAAGGCTTCACTATCCTTTCGAAGCATTCTTGGGGCTTGATCTTTGAACTCAGACACAAGGGATAATTTCATCAATTCGCTCCTTATAGCAGCCCAGCCCATTTGTAGTTGCCGAAAGAAAAAAAGCCCCTACAATATTACATCTATATAGAAAGAGAGAAACACAATATTGTCAACGCATGTGTTTTTTTTATTTATTTTTCATATGCTTTTATTTGTCTCTTCTCATCACAATATATCATTGCAGTTCAAATCCAGAATAAAAGAACAAGAGAAGAAGGAAAAAACTGAAAGAGAAAAAAGGTGCTGTTGTAGTTTACCTAGATGAGTTTCTTGCAGCAGCTTCCTGATCAGGAGCCTTGTCCACTGGCTCTGATGTCTGCAGGAGAAGTTGGTGGTTTGAGAAGAATGGCTCCAAGCCCTATTTCATGAACAGATATAGATGGATGGTTGTTTGCATTATTATAGATGAGCACATCCTCTGCCGATTCAGATGGGTTGGAAAACTCCACAGAGTTCAGCACATTCAAGAGGTCCCTCCTAAGGCTTTCAATAACCAAAGCCAACGGGGTCTAGTTAGTGGAAAAGAATTTTGGCTTGCAGACCAATGATCTCAGGTTAGAACCACATGACATCTTTGATAGTGTGTGTAAGAAACCACACCCTCCCCCTATATCGTTTGTATAAAAAAAAATATATGATAACCAAAAACTTTAATACAAGAAGGTAAACTAGAACAACTAACAACATGTTAAAATTAAAATAAAAAAATAAAAACGAAACACTGTCACATGCTAATAATGATCATGTGCTCTAGTAATATCTAGTCTCCACTATATTAAAGGAGATCTTGAGTTCGAATCTCATTGAATACGGTTCTTAATAGAGAAAACAACATAATTCCTAAAAGAAAAACGTTTGACATGCACTAGAGCATGTGCCAATCCAATTTAATATCTTTGTATTTGTTGAGGCCCAAAAAATCCAAGGTTGGGCCCAAATATATTTCTAGCCCAGTATGACACCTAACTTGGGAAGAAACCTAACTTTGGTACGCAAGAGTTCATCATATGCGCTTGCACACGTGCCACGCCAAGCAAATAAGCAACACGCCACGCTATAAGCTTAAGTGGGCCCAAGCCACGAGAATGCCTGGGGCTTGTTGAGCGGGTTGTGGTATGGATGGTTATTAGTTTTCATGAGGTCTATTGATGAGCCGAGAAATGGAAGTTTTGGGCTGCTTAGGAGCCCCGAAACTCAAGCCCATTTCTTGAGCCCAAATATGTGGGTAAGCATAAAGGAGAGAAAATAGCCCATTACCTTAGAAAAAATAGCCCATCACTTTGGGAAGTTGGCCCATCCCTTTAGTGAACTAGCCCATTATCTTAAAGAATGGCCCAAGTGACCAACAAAATATCTGAAAGTCTCCAGCACATGGCTGGATATAAAACCCTGACAAAAGCCAAAAGCCACTCACATTTGCAAGCTGCTAGGAATCTCCAGCACATGGCCAAAGACAAACCCAATGCAAGCCATCAGAAAAAACCAAGGGATACTTGAGCAAAACATCCTTCAAACCAATGTACATACCCATTTCTTCTCCCCCCCTTCCCCTTCCTTATCAGATCTAGCCATAAAAGATGGGAGAAAAGAAGGAAGAAAGATGGCTGAAAATGGGAGTTCTCCACTGAGGCAGCTGTGAGAAGAGCATTGAGCTCCTAAAAATCCCTGATTTTGTGCAAATGGGTAGAGAGAATTTCACGAAATAGGGTAAACCAAAGGAAGGGAGGAGAAAGGAAGGAAAAAGCTTGACCAAATTGGATAGAAACCATTACTGTTTCTTGGAAAAGTGTAGCTTCCAGCGCCTATAAAAAGATGCATTTCCTACCCATCATCTCAACCCACATCTAGAGAGCAAGCTTCATCTCTCATCTCTGACACTCTGCAATTTCGTGCCCTATTCCTCCATTTCCTTTCATTTTCTCTTCTGGCAAGCCATTCCAGAGTCTGACATAGCTTTTGTCAGGCTGCTGGAAAATTACCCAAAACACCCAATACTTCACCACTAACCACAACCACATCCAAATAGCAAGCTTCCCCTCTCATCTTCAAAACTTAGCAAATCTGTGCTCTGTTCATCCTTCTCCCTCCATTTTTCTCTCATGGCAGACTGTTCCAGCACTTGACATCACCTTTGTCGAGCTGCCGGAAAATCACTTCAGCCACCCATTGCCCTCATCTCTCTCCCCCTCTCTCTCCTCAACGAATCCTCTTAGAATCCCTTCTCCCATGCCTTAACTATGTTTCTCATAGGAAATCACAGCCATTTCTCTTTCTCATGATAAACTCATGAATGCTCATGTCAAGCCAAGAATTTATCTGTAAGCTGTTGTTATTTTTGTTGGTGAAAGTAACCAATGTGTTTCCTAAGGCTTCACTATCCTTTCGAAGCATTCTTGGGGCTTGATCTTTGAACTCAGACACAAGGGATAATTTCATCAATTCGCTCCTTATAGCAGCCCAGCCCATTTGTAGTTGCCGAAAGAAAAAAAGCCCCTACAATATTACATCTATATAGAAAGAGAGAAACACAATATTGTCAACGCATGTGTTTTTTTTATTTATTTTTCATATGCTTTTATTTGTCTCTTCTCATCACAATATATCATTGCAGTTCAAATCCAGAATAAAAGAACAAGAGAAGAAGGAAAAAACTGAAAGAGAAAAAAGGTGCTGTTGTAGTTTACCTAGATGAGTTTCTTGCAGCAGCTTCCTGATCAGGAGCCTTGTCCACTGGCTCTGATGTCTGCAGGAGAAGTTGGTGGTTTGAGAAGAATGGCTCCAAGCCCTATTTCATGAACAGATATAGATGGATGGTTGTTTGCATTATTATAGATGAGCACATCCTCTGCCGATTCAGATGGGTTGGAAAACTCCACAGAGTTCAGCACATTCAAGAGGTCCCTCCTAAGGCTTTCAATGGCTGATATAGGCACTTCTGACCTCTTCTTTGATGGAATATGAGATTTGAAGATGTGTGGTTCTGCATCATCACCTGCATACTCATCTGCATAATATTTTCATTTCAGAATAAGAGAGTCAAGAAGAATCTTCATCCATAAAATACCTATTTTATTTATATGGAAACCTTCTCTAGCAAATTTGGACCGTAAATTTGAGACTATAGTTCACCTAACCAATGGCCCAAATTCAAGGTCTTAATTACATTATAATATGCTAAACTGTTTGATGAGATATATGTAATACTTTCATTTTTCAGCCACAACATAACATTTCCCATGTACATATAAACTTCAAGACCAACAAAAACTTTGCTATTATATTTTGTAAGGACCCCATCCTTTACTTAGATTTTCTCTGTTAAGATTTACTTGAGTTTTAATATAGTGGTGCTAGCTAAAGTCGCGTGACAGTTTTTTTTGTCTTTTTATCTACTTTGCACTAGTATACACGTGTTAATGTCTTAACTTTTTTGTTGTATTTTAATGATCTCGCAGTTTTTTTTGCGCATAGGATTGGATTACATTGGATAGCTTCAAGGTATGTTGAAGTAAGAAATGAAGGTATAGTGGAAGAATTTTTTATTTGTTGAGATTAGAAAGGATAAGTTGTAAGGTATTGACATCCTACCATTTTGGTAGGGAAAATATACAAATTAAAAAAGTTGAAGCTTATATAATTTCCAAAAAGTTGAGAGGGTGATGGGTAACCTTGAATTTGATTTTCTATATCGGCATTGTGCTTTGAAGAGCTGCCATCATCATCTTCAACATTGGTCAAATCGATCACATCATCTTCGATTGTCAAATTATTCTCAGTAGAAACTGCAACATGATGTACATCGTTTGGCCTACTCCTATTCCTTTGAAGGTAGTGCACATGCTTGGGAGTATAGTTTTCCAGAGTTCCCCTCATCCTGTACCTTGATCCACAAGCATTACACAGAACTGGTTTTTCATGCGGTCCATTTCGCCAAAGCGGGGTATCTGTTCATAAGAAATATGAGAGAGAGAGAGAGAGAGAGAGAGAGAGAGAGAGAGAGAGAGAGAGAGAGAGAGAGAGAGAGATTATTATATATTGTACTCACTATTCATGAGAGGAACCATGAGTGGTAAGAATCCGAGAGAGAGAGAGAGAGAGAGAGAGAGAGAGAGAGAGATTATTATATATTGTACTCACTATTCATAAGAGGAACCATGAGTGGTAAGAATCCAAGCATGACTATTAGTTAATCATGATTAATTAGTATGACCATAAGTCAAATAATTAATACAATTAATACTTAATCTAGTTCTACAAATGTCGAAATTAGATGGATGACTCAATTTTTGAATTTCACAATATCAAACACATGTGATAAGTAATGTAATATCTAGAACTAGTGGATAGATATACATTTGTAAAATCTCAAAGGCAATGAATTGTGGAGGTTAGAAGGCTACCTAGGATTTTTTACAATGATGTATATGAGTCCATTTTTAGGCCTAGTAGCAACTTGCCCCTCCCTCCCCTTGTCATCCACTTAGAGAGAATCTCTATTTTCATCCCTTCTCTTCGCGTGAAGAAAGAAGTTTTGTGTATGAAAGTCTCCCATCTCTCATTTCCTCATTTTCTTTCAATTTTAGAGTGAGAGAGTAAACTTTTTTGAGCAACCCTAAAGAAAAATCCCTAGCTGCCGCCCTTTAGCGGCAACCCTTCCTACTCCATCCCCTTTCCTCTTCTTCCCTTCCTTTTCCCTCTAGATTCTTTGTTTTTTGTTTTGTTTTGTTTTGTTTTGTGATGTAGAAGCAGTCGCTGTGAAACTTTGTCATCGCCATAATATAGTTGCCTCTTTTGACCCACGCATGTAAGGACTTGGCTACAGCTGTTAGCCTTAAATATAATTTTGGAGCTACGAAGCGGGGATGATGTCGAGTTGCGTTGGGTTTAGGTTTAGCCAGTGCAACACTACGGGTTTAGCAGGTATGGCGTTATGGCTCTCTTCGGGTTGCCTGAGAGGATGTGGAGCAGTGGCCTTGTTTCTTAGTTTGTTTTATTATAATAATTCTCATGAACTCTTTATGAGTTTGATGTGGTTTGTTTTTTGTTTGGGATATTTTATTTCATTTTGGCTTTTGGCTTTCTATACGGTTTTGTCATTCTTCCATTGCACGATAAATCTTTATTACAGGTTTTAGTATATGTGCTTCTGGTTGCTGATTTGAGGATTTTAATCATTTTTTTAGGTTGTGCGTATTTTCTCCAAATCAATTCAACTTATTGTTGCGTTTGGTCATCCATATTCGGCACCTTAGTGGCTTGGTACTTGTTTTTGTTTATCTTATCAATAAAATACTACCCTTCTTTTATAAATAATTAAAAATTAAAAATTAAGAGAGAGTGAGCTAACACTTTACCATCTCACTCCGTTCCTTTTTTCTTCTCATGGAATCTTTCTATGTGCATATGATTTTGAAGGTCCAACATTTGGGAAATTTTCAATAGGAGATGCAGAAATATATTGGAGGTAGATTTTCTATTCTAGCTATAGCTAGGAAGGGGACTAGCTCCTGATCCCAGGTCAAAGTACCACTTGACTTGGCACAACAACCACAATACCCCAAGTTAGGGTAAATTAGCCAGTCTTCTTAACAAGAGGAGTTTAAGTTGAGGCTCATTCCAAAAACAAACATATATAGGCAAGGGTTAGTTCCAAACATGAGTTGAGTGAAGCTTTGCCTAGAATCATTCGAGTATCTAGCTTGAGCATGCCTCTTCGAGCTTGGTTCGATCTTGGGAGTTGATCTTGTGTCATTGAAGATTTCTTAAACATAAAATGTCCACGTGTCTTGCTACGATCTTAAGACCATTTAGTATTGGATATGTGTTTGTTAAATATTAAATATCAATTTTTATGATTTATGTATTATTATCTTTTGCATATTTCTTTTAATTTTTTTTTACTGGAAGTCAAGCTTAAGCTCATATTCATATCCACAAATGAGACAAGTCCAACCAAGCTTATGCTTAAGCATCTTCTTCCATATACACAACTCAAGCCCAAGCTGAGTTCAAGCTTAGAAGGAACCATTGGAGCTGAGCTTAATCATCCATACTTTTTGTATGAACATGTACATCTTAATCTTTCCTATGACAATAGTCAAACAATAAGTTCATGTTAACTCAGAGGTAGCTTCTTTTGGGTGTGAAGCAGTGTCAAACCAAAATACCCAACAAGCATTAGCTCTCTCCCTTAACCACGAGAGGGGGGGATGCCGAAGGCAGGGCTAGTGATTGGAGTGAAGTCATAACAAGGTAGGTGCGCGCGGCTGGATCACTAGGGCTTTTTCTTGTTTTATTTTTTGGGGGTTACAGGCATTATTTTCTAATCACTCTTTCCATAGCTACATTTTCTTATTTCAAAAAGAGAGGCACAAACACATTTTGAATGAGACAAAAATCAGAGAACATAGATGAAAAAAAATTCACCCAAAGAACTAAAACACAACAAGTACTTAAGCTCCTCAGGAGAGAACTTACATTTAACTCCACAGTGGCAACAAGGTCCTCGTTTTGCCATTTGAAGTTTACTCCAAGTATGCCTCAATTGCAAGAAAATCTTCACTGAAAAAAAAACAAAGAGAAATGTGGTTAAAAGTAAACAATGGAAGGGAAAGGAACCTGCAAAAAACAATCCTTCACATCCTCGAAAAAATGGGGGAGAACCAGCAAGGGTTGGAATCTCTACCTTTTGGTCTCCAATTTTACTACTCTATATGTATTTATGTTTTGGATGGATTACTCTATCTAAACAATATAAGTAATGGGGTTTAAAGGAAGTTGCTTAGTCTAATGAACCAAGTGGTTAAATGTGCATTTTCTTGTTATGGCAAGTGTCACAAATGACATGCAATGTCCTTATCAGAAAACCACGCCACGTCATCTTACCTGTAGAAATTAATTGCAGTATTATAAGTTAGGAGAAATGTTATTCACACTCTCATTTGTCCATTTTGCACTCTTTCGGTGTAGTATCTTATTCTTAAAGTTATTCAACATTAATTTTGGAGTGCAAAGTAACATTCTGAGAAAGCAATTAGTAACTTCCTAATGTACCCTCTCTAGAATTGTTTTTTTTCTTTCTCCTATGTGTCTTGAATTTTATCTTTTTATAGAACAAAGACTACAACTAAGTTACCTTTTTGTGATATGATTAATACTATACATGATTTAGTATTAATCATATCATAATTTGTTTGATGGTAGAGAAATGGTTTTCAAAATTGGGGTGGTGGTTCATCACCAATCGCCTACTCAAAATCTTAATTTGGCTTCCAAATTTGGCAAAATTTGGCAAATTTTGAATTAAGAATACATGGAAGGAAATTTATCAGCATACATACCTACCTGTTTTTCTTTCAAATTTGCAAATTAAGATACAAGTTGTAATAAGATGAGGAAGGATTTCATTTCCAGCTGATTCTTAGATGTCCTTATTCAAATCAGTAATGCTACGAGCACCAACTACTTTACCAACATTTTAATACCAACTGATGTGGCACATGATATGGCAATCCATGTCACTTGCCACCTCAACTTAATTTTCTAATTTAGGCTGAGTCCCACAACACCTTCTTTCATCACTGTAGCAATGCCGTCGCCGCTGCTATTATACAATGTCACCATCACCCATAGAGAGAGAGAGAGAGAGAGAGGAGAGAGAGAGAGAGAGAAGGGAAACACCCCAGTTTTCCAGCTGAGAAAAGAAGAAAAAAGCACCCCATGACAAGAAGAAAACTGGCGGGGAGAAAGAAAGAAGAGAGAATGAAAGGAAATAAAAAAGAAAGAGGAAAGAAAAAAAGAGAGGAGTGAAATCGGGGAGAGGAAGAAAGAAGAAGAATAGATATCCAATTCGAAGCGTTGAAATCATCCCATGGTCAAAAATAGAATTCCGTAACCGATTTGCATTGATGGACTCCGTACCCTATAAAGAATTTTTGATCGAAATGAAACTTGGGCATAAGTTCAATGACCATTTCAATCAAAAATCCATTACTTAATTAATATTTTAGTCAAAATTGACGGAATTTAACGAAGAGACCAATTTGATATGAAGGCGAGAGTTGAAGAATTATTTCAGTTAATTGAATGACCAAAATGAAACCCCAACTCAGAATCATTACAATCAAAAACCCAAAATAAATTTGAAAAAATAAACTCAAAATAAAAAATAAACTTAAAAAAAACATTTTAGCCGAATTTCCGTGGTGACGCGCCAATACTGCCCGTAAATCTACCTCCAGGCTAACCGACAGCAGTAGTATCGAGTGAGCGACAGTGACATTGCTTGTTTCTCACTCATAACCCACCCACTCCTATCTCTCTAAACCTCGCCGGATCTCTCCCTCTCCCTCTCTGTTTCTCTATTTCCCTGTTTTAGGCTCTCAAAAACCAGAACCCAATAAGTCAGTCTAACGAAACTCCATAGAGTATGGATTTCACAATCCAAATGAGAGCAACAAGAACAAGAAGAAGATACAACGGCATTTTCCTAACGCTCTCTCTGCTTCTCCTTTTATCACTCTTTGCGAATCCCACAAATGCCTCGATCCACATCTACGACAACCAGACCTTCAGAGAAGTCGGCAATGCTTACCTTCTCTCCGGCGGCAGCGAAGGGATCGCCGCTTCTCTCTCTACCGGCTCTTATATTCGGTAACGCTTTCGGACTCGCTTATTGTTAGATCTGAGGCCTTTCCTCAATATACAATTGCTTCATTTAGTTTTCGGGTTATATACGAATATGAATTAGTTTTTGGGTATTCTACGATTTAGATTTTTGAATTTTCAAGTGGGTTTTGTGTTTGACCGATTTGGGGCTTTATATTTTTGTTTGGGTAGCCAAGAAAATGTGTGAAAAAGGGTCAACCTCATTTCAGTTTATCTGAATGGCAGGTGGACGATAATTGGGGAAATTTAGTACAATATAGTGATGATACCAATGAACAGGAGAGAGAATAGCAAGCACTCTCCCTCAGACAAGTTTCTTGGTGGTTTGTGGTAAACTGCATTACCATTGTTTCTGGAAGAGGAAATAGGTTTGAAAAATAAGGAGTAAAGGAATGGGCTTGCTACTTGTATTGTAAGGACTTCAAGAGTACAACAGGGTGGGTTTGTATGAGGGAATAAGGAGTGGTTCCAATTATTAGCACTATCGAGATTTAAGATTAAGTTTGCAACGTATTTGGATTTTAATTAGTATCATCCTACTACATTTTTTGTGCAAATTAATTATCAAATAACAACCATAGTGCACACCAAAATGTAGTTTATTTTAGTAGATAAGTTTATGATGACTGTCATAGATGGTGAAGATGTAATATGGGGGAACTATGATCTTGTGGAATCCAGGAACATGGAATAAAAAGAGAAAAGCATTTCTGGGAATAGTTTCTGTGCGTACAATGTATGTAAAACTTAATCCCATAAAATTCATTTTGAAGTAGCCAAAGTCGATGTATTCATATGACCAATGCACCCCTTTGCTAGTTTTATTTATTGTGAGCATCATTTCTTGGTCTCTAAGTCCCACCTCTCTATTCACCCAGTGCCGAAACATTTTTGTTAGCAGGAATCTGTATAAGTCTTAGAGACACTCCTCCAATTCTATGTTGCAGAAAATTGAACTAAATCCAAGCCCCTTTAAATTTGCATGAAATGATTTATTGGAAAGCATACGCTCTTGTTGTATATGTGGATTATTCCTTTATTTCATGCTTCTCCTCACTAATTGAATATTTTATCATCACTTTTGTCTCTGACATTTCCGAGTGAAACAGATTTGAAAAAATCACCTTCTGGAGGAGCAAGGATGCTGCTGACAAGCATTCTGACATGGAGCATAGTACTGGGTTGATACAAGTTATAATTTTTGAGGCAGCTGATCGTAATAATATTGGTGGTTCTGCTTATGGAGGACAAAGAGCTATATGTTGCACCCCTGATCTTGCTAAGATGGAAGGTTGTAAGCAAGGTGAAGTCATCAGGAGACCTTCTGCAATAGATATTAACTGGCCTATTGTTTTAAATGTCCAGTTCCGTGCGAACTATCTATATGCAAATATGGACTATAAAGAGGTTTTCATCCCAAAAACTGGGATGTATAACTTATTTTTTGTAGCATGTGATCCAAAACTGAAGGGACTAGTTATGAGTGGGAAAACTTTGTGGAAAAATCCTGATGGTTATCTACCTGGTCGAATGGCTCCTCTGATGAAGTTTTATGTGTTTATGTCACTTGCTTACGTGGTTCTTGGTATAATTTGGTTCACTCAGTATGTGAGGTTTTGGAAGGATGTTCTGCAACTTCAGCATTGCATCACGGCTGTTATTGCTCTTGGATTGTTTGAGATGATTCTTTGGTATGTTGATTACGTAAATTTTAATAATACGGGGATGAGACCGGTTGTTGTTACAACATTGGTTGTGACAGTTGGAGCTGTGAGAAAAACAGTTTCACGTCTTCTTATCCTCATTGTTTCAATGGGTTATGGTGTAGTGCGGCCCACTCTTGGGGGTCTTACCTCAAAGGTGCTTCTTCTTGGAACAACATTTTTTCTGGCAACAGAGTTGCTTAATATTACTGAGTATGTGGGAACAATTAATGATGTATCAGGAAGAGCCAGATTATTTCTGGTTCTTCCTGATGCTTTCTTGGACGCATTCTTGATATTGTGGATTTTTACCTCTCTCTCAAGAACACTGGAGCAGCTACAGGTATATAATTTTCATTAAAGATCTGTAGTTTCTCCTTTGGTATTTAAATTCCTCCAATTAAGTTGCAATCGCATCATTGCTTCTTGGTTTCTTGCTTCACTTTGAATTTTCTTTTCACCCTACCATTGAGTGTTAAACTATATATTGTTCTCAGGCAAAGAGAAGCTCTGTCAAGTTGGATATGTATAGGAAGTTCTCAAATGCATTAGCAGTGACAGTCATTGCCTCAGTCGCATGGATAGTTTATGAGGTATGGTTTTCTTGGACGGTATATAAATATTTGTGCAAATTAATAGTCATTAACTTAATGGACTGAATTCATCTTTACTAAGGATCTGAATAAACTTATATGCTTGGGTGTTGTATTAGTGCACTCTGGAAGATGAATACACATTTTTGTTTATTTATTTATTTCGTAATTTTGCACTCTCTCTCTCTCTCTCTCTCTGTGTCTGCACACAATAAGTAGATGGGACATGAAGAAATAAATTTCATTCACCCGAAGAAAGTAAATCTTGTCACATTTACCTTTGTACTAATGACTAGCTCATTTTTTTATACATATTTTGAGTTGTACTTTCTTGTTTTTACTGGTTTCTTTCCCAGAATGTGGATTTCTTATCCACTCTTTGTAATTAGCTTTTCTTAGTTTCTTTAAATAAATAAAAAAAGATTAAGGACTAGGTTTACAGGGAAACTCTGGAATACAATACTTTTCTTTTATTTATCTTTACTAGGCCCAGGGAAACAGTTACTACATCCTTGTACAGAACCTGACAATAGAAATGGTTGTTCAGTGTTTCATATCTTCAACTTGCATAAAAATTGTCGTTCAAACACTGAGGATTCTGAATGTGTTTTGTGTAATGTGGCGGGACTTACTCTTATCAAGAATTTAATTGAAGCCAAATTGGAATGCTCGCAGTTCATTATGGGAAATTATGTAGGATTGCATATGCACTCCACACTGCCCCTTCATGGCTTCTGATTTCATGTCCAGAGCCCCTTCATCATAGAGTAAGAGTCATTGGCGTTAAAAGATAGCATTCCTTTGGGGAACAGTCCTACTTGTGTTATGTTTCAGTTTGATGAGCTAACAGTGATCATGGTGTAGAATTTCAGCCTGTAATGGTTGTAGCACTTCCGATGTTGTGTCTCACTCAAGCTTGATATTACTCTTGGTTTAAATTGTACGTCAAAAGAATTTTCAGTTTTTTGGACCGTAATGGTCTTTTACTTATGATTTTCAATGTTTTTCATGTGTTTTTCTCTTGACTTCAGTTGAAGGAACGTCTAACCTTGACATATACATTTAACAGACACAAAGTTCTGAGTTTATTTGTTGGTGTGATCAACATAGCATCCTCCAACCATTTAACCACCCATTGTTCTTTTTCAAACTTGATGTGGTTTGCAGAATTATCTTGTAGCAAGGTTATAACAATAGAAGGAACATGTAAAACTTATCTATTTTTTTGAATTTAAGTTTCATATAATTTTCCACTTTTTAGAAAAAGATGAGGTTTTGCTTACCTATTCGTAAACTTGAATAGATCTTTACAACCTTGTCTGAGGTCTTTTCCTTAATTTTTTTTCTTTTATACATTTTTTAGTATCATTCTCTTGTACACACGTATTCTTTTTTCTTTCCAAATAACACATTATAAGAAAGGCTGTTATTGGACCCAAAAAAAAAGGCTGTTATTAAAACTTTAAACTAGTTGCATGGTTTTGTTTACCTTACTGTATGATCTATTGGTTCGTGGATGCATAGCTGGCTTCTCTACTCAGGTGTGTTGGTAAACTGTTACTTACCTTAAAGTTATGGGGCATTAGGTCATTCGAGAAATTTTCAGTCATACTTTTCATTTTTTACCTCACCATGAATCAATCAATTAGTTGGTACTAAGTCTTTTTCCCCAAAAACTTAAGGTTGGCTTTCTCATCTCAAAAGGTCGTGTTTCTGAACGAAAGTGATGTGGAGCAAAAGAAAAATAGAACAGATACAACTAAAGCAACTTTATTCAAATCTATTCTTGTATTCCCAGATTATCAAATCAATACGCAAAACACTAAGGTTCAGTTACAAGAGAAAAGAAGAATAAATATAACTAAAGCAACTTTATGTATGCTTGTGATTCATTCTTTCAATTTTTCTTCTTTTTCTTTGGGTTTGCAGGTGTACTTTAAAGCAACTGATCCGTTCAATGAAAAGTGGCAGAGTGCTTGGATCATCACTGCTTTCTGGGATATTCTTGCATTTGCGTTGCTCTGTGTTATCTGTTATCTTTGGGCACCATCTCAGAGTTCTCAACGGTGCGTTGTAATCTTTAATTCTTATGCAATCAATATGATGTTTTTGTTCCTTTTCTTCCCTTGTTTACTGAATTTTCTAAATGAAAAGGCTCCTGAAACTGTGGTTGGCTAGATTGAGCTCAGTATACAGTACTTTTCATAGTCAGTCAAAATTACCATACTTTGAGCTATCAGTACTTTCAAAGAGGCTCTACTTGGGAAATGTCTTGCAAGATGCGCAGTTGAGAGATCTAATCTATTTAGAAAATGGTGGAGAGGAAATATGGCAGTGTTACACAGTAAAGGGCATGTCACATGGCGTGGGTATATATGGAGCATGAATGGGATGTTGGGATGAATTCACCAAGTATTTTAGATTTAGGATTGGGAGGGAGGGCCATAGTTTCATGATAATAGGAGTACATGTTTGCAAAGATCAGGGCAATACACAGTACTTTGGAATGTTTCCTTTATTAGAATTTTTGATCACTGGGATGGAGCCATGATTTTCTGGTGAGGATTTTTTCAATCCCACAAAATCCAGTCAAATGATTTGTGCCAGGAAATATACTTATCTATAACGTACTTTTGTATAAACTGAATAATTATACATTCAATTAAGAAATTTTTTTACTTGACAATAAACTGAATAAAGCACTTGTTTCAGTATAAATTTCTTGTTATAATCTAAAATTTTCATATTTCATATTTGATAACATAATTTTAATTTTAAATATGTTTCTATTTTATGTGTAGTGTACTTCTGAAAGGTATTTGAGAATTTTCTTTTAACTCTATATTTCACGTGTAGGAAAGTTGTGTAAACAGTAGTTACCAATTATCATTTGGTAACTAATTTTCATCGAACTTCTTTCTAAAAAAGTTTACATTTGGACAAAAATGCAAAGAAAGTTACATATTTCACTGTCTGTCTTTGTTATCTATAATTTGTGCAAAGCACGTGTTAATGTGTTAGTACTAATCAAACAGAAAAGTAAAATAGAATAAAAGGAAACAGAGGAACTTGACTCCTCTTTCTAGGTCAACAAGGCAACCTTTATGGAGAGCATGATACTGTCCTTCTTTTGCATCCGCCTGCATCTGTTCTAATGTATTGTCATTCAATGATAGTTTAAAGCATCATCTAAAATTGAAAAGCATCTGCATGCTTTTTAGGTTCATTTTTGTTCTTTTTTGGTTCAATTTTCCCTCATTCTTGACATAGGCTCTCCATCTGTAACTGACATTGTGGCTTGTTAGAAACATTTCATCTCATGCAAGTCTTGTACCCCTACTAGCTGATTTGTACTGCCAAATGTCCATAGGTATGCTTACTCAGAGGAAGTGGGAGAAGAATCTGATGATGAAGAATCTCAATCTCTTACTAGAGGCAAGCCAGAGGGTGACATTGGCTTAGTCAAGCAAGAGAACAGTGGAAGCACCGAAGATCTTGATGAAGATGATTCAGAAGAAGACAAGAGGGAATGATCATTCAACGACAACCTTATTTGGTTGCTTAATACCTTGCTCTTGGTACAAGCTCATACGGCACTTGGCTTAATGCCCCGCAACTAACTTAAGCAATGGTCCTTTGGCCCCTTCAACTTGGCATGCAAAGAGGTGTTGTAGAATGTTTGCTACTTCCAACTAGAATCAAAAGGCTCCAGATTTCTTGCCCTTCTCCCCAGAGCTAATTTCATTTTGTTGTGTATGTAAAACCTAGGTTGTCCACTAAGTTTTCCATGAGTAGATGAAATCATGAGAGGAAAATAAAAATTAACTAAGGTTTGTTTTTGTGTGAAATGAAAAGAAAAAAAAAAAGAAAACACAAAAAAAAAAAAAAAAAAAAAAAAAAAAAAAAAGAAATCTTGTAATTTAATCCTGTACCATGTATTAAATGCCTTGTATTTTCTCAAATGATGAATTGAATTTTGTTTTTCCCTACTCGTTAAAGATGATATTTTTTTTAAAATTTATTTCAGGGTGGTTTAATGTTTTTAATTTTATTTTCTTTTACAAACTTTCTGCTAGGCTGTATTTGGATGGAATGACTCGAAATGTATGAATTTATATGAGATTATAAGGTTAAATTGTTTATTTAGACTATCACGATCTATGTCAAGATTTAAACAATATTAAAAGGAAGAACACAAATGGATTTCAAATTATTTTTTGCATATAGTCATTTGAAATCCATTTTAAATGTACATCTAGTTATTAGCCTTGTTCTGAAATCAAATATCTTCATCCAAACGAAGCATTATATTACAATTCCACGGGGTCTCCATCATAACCCTTTGACTGGGGGGAATGTCAGGATTTTCATGTGAAAGGAGAAATTTTTGTTTGATATTGGACTACATGTTGGAATGGCCAACCCGGTGTGTGGGGGGCGGCCTAATAGAATGAAAGCCAAATTATGAATTGCAACAATTAGTAACACAAGTAATTTACTAATGGTTGCAATTCAAGAACAGAACAATGGTTTTTCTTGTAATAAACCTGCACATGAGGCTGTTGCCTTTGCATCAAGAGGTAAGTAATTTGTTCCTGGGACGATCCTCTTCCATACTGGTTGATGGCTGTGCTCGAGCATGTGGATGTAATAATGTAATTTTTATTTTTTGGTGCAAAGAAGCCTAACTGAAGAAAGTTTTAACAAATCCCCACATGATAGAGAGTGAGCTGTACACGTATACAAACGAAATGCAAGAAAGACCAACCTTCAAAATAAGTTGAATTTGCTCCATTATAAGATTTTTACAGAATGGGGATTAGGAACAGTACAACCAATCGCATTCAACGTCAGGGAGCTTCAAATGGTACAAACCAAGATGAGCCGAGGTCTGATGTCAAAATTGAGGTTCAGAGTTTGGCTGACTTGTTCCCCTTAACCAAGCAACAACTACAAAAAGTGCTTTCACAAACTTGCTGCCCATTCTACCTAATCTAAAGCAGAAACATATTAAGATGTAAATCCAAGGAAATGGACCTCATTACCAATACATTGGTTCAAAGGAGTTTCTTTTCTTTATCCACCAAGTTAGAGTGTTTCAGCAACATCCATTGCTTCGCATTAGTGTACAAAGTTACAAAAACAAACTGGGAGAAGCAAAGGAGCATAATCAAAGCTTCAAAAAGGAAAGGATATCTAGCCGGGGCATGCATGCTTAAATAAACAACATGAAGAATGACTGAGCACAAAAGAAAGACTCTTGTCACAAAGGATCTGAAGGAGCTTGTGTCCTTTGTGTCCCGTCTTCCACTCGACAAATGGTTTTAAAAGTATAAAAAGAGCAGATAGTGACAGATAAGGTAGAACCAGTTTGTCACGGTGTAGAAGAGGAAACATTGAGAACAAGGCGTAAAGTGTCATCCAGGTAAAAAGAAAAGGTTCTTCCGTTGCCAAAAGACTTGCTGGCAGGAGAGGCAGCAAAATTGACTTCTCGTGCACTGAAAGTTAAGAGCAATAAGCATTTATGTACACTATGAATCAATTATGGAAACAAGTTGTTATGCAGGAAAAGCTTCACTTACCTTGGAATGAGAACAAATAAAATGAGAATGCGCTATTCAGCAAACCATAAAGGAAACCTTGCTTGCTTGGAGACCATATCTGCTGAATCATTGAAGGCAGGCAACTAGAAATAGTTGCACCAAAGCTGAGAAGCTTCAGGGTTTGTGTTGGAAACAATCTCTTCCACTTTACAAGAACCGAAGTGGTGCACCAAAAGTTAGCCACATAATCCTCAAATATCCCTCTCTCAAAAGGAGCAAGACGAGAGAGAACCTGTACCATTCACCAAAGCATAAGTAAATTAACTCCTGTCATATGTGTGTGTGTGTGTGTGTGTGCACGTGTGTAAACGAAAGCAGAGAACAATATCTTCTTTTTTTGTAAACATCCTGATTACTTTATAAACACCAGTATCCCATAAAATGTTCTTTCTTTACAAAACAAGAACTAAACAAATAAATCAAGTACTATTAACTTTTTAACTTATATTTACTGCGCCTAATGTGTACTATGTTTCCTAAAGTTGTGCTTGCTGTTTGCTTTAAATTAAACCCACAGAACAATAACATCAATAATTTGGTGACTGAAGTAGCAAATTAACAGATGAGTCACACGTTGCAATGTTTGAGACATGTGATCCACATTCAACTGTGTCACATCCAGCACCAGATATAATCCCCATAACTGTGTCAAATCCAGCACACTGTACAACACCAGATGTGTCCTAGATCCTTTTCTATATTCTAATAGTTAACAAATGCGTGAGTATTTGCCTACATAAATTTGTCATGCATTAAAGGGACCTCAAAAATAGAAGTGTGAGTTTAAGTTATAGCAGAAGAAGACATTCAAGCAAACCAACAAAATGAACTCTGTGCTTTTATTTTCCTTAATAAATTTGTAATGGTGCTTACCCCTAAAAAGGCTTCCATTGAATGAACATATGGCCACCAGACAATAAGAAATGTTCCTAAGACAACAAGGCCGAGTTTTAACACTTGAAGAAATGGATATTGACGCCTTAGGCATTTACCCAGTAGGTGGCTGAAAAATGCAGGAGCAAAATATGCACTCATCTGCAAAAGAACATATCACATTCAGCAAGTAGAAAACCCCAAGCAGAGACAACGTTGAGGTGACTAACAAAGGTCAGAGCATATTAAATTGGTTAGTAAACGACTAACTAGCAACCTATTTGTTTTGCTCTACTCCGGCTGTATAGAAAGGTTATTTGATAATGTACCTCCAGTGTAAGTTGAACAAAAAACCTTGGGCCAATCAATTGAATATTAAGCCAGGCCATTCTGGACCGAGTGTACTTATAAAACGTATTCATTCATGAATAGTCTTAAAAGTGAAACCTTCAAAAAGCAGTAAACATATCCTATGCAACTAGGCAAACATATTTATTTCCAGAAATTGTTAATTTAATACCCCTTTTTTTGGTTTGCATGCTCCATAACATTTCTTTCTCACCCTTCCAAGTCAATAACCTAGCCTTTTCACTGGTTTTATTATTTTACCAATTTTTATTTCAATTTTATTTTTACTTAACAAATCAGCTTGAACACCCAATGGCCCACACCCCCGTGGTAATTGGGATACAAATCACATACAAAGGCCAATGGCTGGCCATTGGAATTTGTTGGTTAAGAGCTGCTGAAGACAATTCACATAGTCTCAGCTAAGTTCACATAAGATTTCTTCAATAACTTATACTATTAAATGCTAGTGATATAATGAAATAAAAAAATTTGAGGGCTGTTTTGGTTGGTTGAATCTTTTGAGAAAAGTTTATGCTCTCAAAGTGTTGAAAACATACCACCAAACAAGCTTATATTCTGCAAACTAAATTGTTGTTTTCAATTTCCATTTTCTGATTTCAGATAAAAGAAATAAACTAAAACCAAACAACAGAAACATGTTTTCTTTTTTCTCCATGAACAGATTATATAAACACTTTCTGAAAGCAACAGCTAAATAACCTGTAACTCACCACTAATAGCTTAAACCTAGAGTAACATATTGTCTGCAAGATACAACTTATTAAATCCTGCATGCATGGTTGAACTTGCGGTAGCTGGGCTCTTCATAACCATATCATAAAAAAGAAATGAACAAATTGGAACTGTCCATTTGGAATGACTTCAGAATGTGGATCAGCTCTTTTGAAATGAAATCTACACATTGTTAGGTTTTGGAGCATCTTTAGCCTCGAAACTAAATCAAAATGGTCTAAAAATGAGGATTCCACATCCTCATAAATAAGCATGCTTTGGTGTTGTAGAATTCATTTGGGTGAATAAGTGGAAGCAAATTCATTTGGCCCTCCCCCTCCACAGGCTTGGGCCTCTATTGAAACCAAAAACAAGGAACCACAGTTGTCATTTAGGACAACTGAAAGAAAATTTCCAAAGCACTTACAAGAAAATTTGTCAAGATAATTATGACTACAACATTACCAATCATAATAAAGACATCTTGTATATTTTGTTTTTTAATTACCCCATCACTTTTCATGTTTAGAAATCTAGCTGTCAATAATACACCCTAACCTGCTCCAAGGTTTTCCTTTTATTTGAGGTAAAGTTCAAATGTCTGGTAAAAATTTCAAAAGAAAATTTTTAATGCCATAGATAAGCAAGGAAATAATAATCCCTAAGAATAAAGAATGAAACGTAAACAATCATGATATGGATGTTAAACTGAATCGAAAGATACCTGCTTGTGATTGAGAGCAAGACTGTACAGGACACAGGCTACAAGATCTTTGTCTGAGAGAAGAGAGGCAATAGCTCCCACAGTTAGACCCAAGCTGATGCAGTTGTACTGACAAAAATCAATAAAGACAAAGGTTTAAACACTAAGATGGTTCGGAATAAAAACTGTATGGGAGCAAACGAAAATGGAGAATGCAATTGGAAATGTAATTGTAAACCTGGAAATGGCCATGGTCAATTAGGATGAGACATGGATTAAGCAAAATAATTGCCATATGCCATGCTATGCCACTCATACTGCGACTCGGGTTTCGACCAGCATAGTAAACTACAACAAAGTAGAAAACAGCAGGAAAGAACACCAAGACATCAGAGGATAACACTGTCCACCTCATGAGAAGTTTTCCCAAATAGGACTCATGGCCCCGGGAAGTGAAGAGAGCAACTGAGTCAGGACTGAAAAATCTGAGGAAAAGACCATGTACATAACTCTGATAAGCAGTCAGAGGAGGGTAGTCAAGACCCCAGTATCTGAGATCATTGACTGTACTGTTACGATACCATTCCTTGAGTGGCAGATTGAGAGTGATTTCCATCCAGTGCCTCTGTGCTTCAAAGTCGCCATACTTGGGAGGACTTCCAGCACCAGAGTAAGGATGGAGTGAGACAGCCACTCGAACCAACAACGAAAACAATGCAATGGACAAGAATGAAGCTGTGATTCCCTTGTGGACCAACCACCACCAGGCGTCAGATTCATCATCACATTCAACAATGAGCTTTTCTTCCTTTCCCTTTTTATTATTAACTTTCCTTTTTGTGCCCTTCTCCATCTCTCTACTTCTTTCTTTGGAAACAAAATGCACAACACTGCACCTGAAACCCAAGAGAGAAAGGAAAGGAACACAAAAGACAACGAAAAAAATATCAACTACACGAATCCTGATACCAACTATAAATTGGGGAACCAATAACGCTTCATCATTTCCGCTGTATAAAAATAAAAAATCACGATTATATATCAAAAAATTTAAGCCAACAATTGAGACTTGAGAGTAGTGAGTGCTTACAATTTCGGCGAAAGAGAAGTGAATAGATTGAAACTAGAGGAATACGGATTGGAGAAGGAGGTGTCTGAAAATCTGCGGAGTAATTACAAGAAGGAAGACAAAAGATCGAAACTTTGGAATTAGATAGTGAAGAAATCTATTTCCAAGCCTTTGCTTGTTTAGTTAACCTTTCAGAAACTGCGAAGAGAAGTCGTGAAGTTGGCTCTCTCGAGTGCTTCATTTTACTCTTTTTTTTTTCTTTTTCTTTTTTTTCTTCTTTTTTATAATTTCCAGTTTATGGTTTCACCCTTATCATATCAGATTGCATTCTCTTTGAGGAATTTTTTTAGAAAACTTTTAGTTTTTCTCCTTTTGTTTTCTAATGCTTTTTCAGTTTTTAATTTCTAAAACATTTAAAAATATATATTGTTTAATCCATGTGCCGTTTCGTATCAACAATTTAACATAAATTTTTACGAACCTCGCGGCATAACCATTTTGATGTTCTTGGTGTAAAATAAAGGATCATGTACTGGATTTTCAACGTTCTTTTATTTAGTATTACTGAGATTCAAAACTTGAGATACTGGATGATCTAGGAAAGTCTCTTAGCAAACATGAAGAGAATAAATTTTTTAAATAAATAAAAAGGCAAAGAATTAGAGGTCAACCGGATCTGGGTTACCCGCAAATTTTTAATGGGTCGAGTTTGGGAGTCTGTACTCTTCTCATTTGCCTCGCTGGAATTTTGATTTAAGTACACAAGTAGCAGCCAACTAGCCAAGATAAGAGCATTTACAATAAGAAGGTGTATAATGAGGTGTATGTTAAATATATACTCTTTGTAATCAGAATCACCTACAATGGAGATATGTAAACAAGTGTAAATTTTCATCACCACCATAAGATGCAAATTTAGATGCACATGTACATCTTTTTTTACATTTTTTGTAGGTGAGACCTACATGAGAAAATGTTAGAAAAAGTGAACAAAAGTGGGATCTATAGTAGAAAAGGTTAAAGAAATCAATTATACATCTTTACATTTACACCTTCTCAATTGAGTAAAAATCATATTTACAACCCCTAAGGTGTAAAGGGATGTAAGTACCAGCTGCAGCCGAAAAAAAAACCAAAAAAGAAAAAAAAAATCAAAACAGAACCCCTACCCATTATATCTTTCACTGATTTGATTGGGTGATCAGACATGGCGAGCAGTAACAATGGAGGCGGAGGAGGAGGAGAAGATCAGCCGCCAACGGAAATCGCGGAGCTTAGCAAAACCCTAAAAGACGGAGAGAGAATTCTGGCGCCAACCCGACGACCTGATGGTACGCTTCGCAAACCCATCCGTATTCGGGCTGGGTATGTCCCCCAAGAGGAAGTCGCCATTTACCAATCCAAAGGTGCTTTGGTATGATATCATTCTCTTTACCCTTTTCCCTTCTGCTCACAAAACTCTCAGGAATTCTTTGTGGTTGGGTTAATGGTTATACTTCTAAATAACGTTTGTGCAATGTTTGGCTGCTCAGATATCAAAGGAAAATAGAAAAAGGTCAGAAGTTGGTTATTGGAATCCAGTAACGTTGGGTTTTAGAAGCTCAGTTTTTTCTTTTTCATTTTTGTAATGCAGTGGAAAAAGGAGATGTCCTCTCAGACTGGACCTCCAGGTTTTGATGATACTTCAGTGGATACAACCAAACCTAAGACTAAGTCTGTAAAGAGGAATGAAAGAAAAAAGGAGAAGCGGATACAGGTATCTCCATTATTGAGCCATTGCCTAAAATTTATTTATTGCTCTTCTGATTGAGTTTCGTTCTGTAATCATCATTCTTTGTTGTAAAGTGGATTTTAGCTAAAATTCTTTGTGCTTCAGTTTGTCATGCAAAGTTCGTGAAACTCCTAATGAGGTGTTGATGGGCATCATGCTCGCCCAAAGGCTAGAACTTTTATGTGACTTGGGAGGAATTTAGATTACAACAAAACAACCTTAATGTATTTGTGGTCCACAGGTTTGATCAGGATGAAAAATAATATTGGCACCAAAATGAACTGAAATAAAATACAAAATTAATGAAAGATAGAAATAAGGAAAAAGTTATAAGACTCTCTCGTTTATGTATACCAAGCCGATACAAACCCTTTAAATATTTCATTATTCTTTCTCCCTTAAACTGGTTAATTTTTCAGCTATCTGCCCTTGACAACATTGGATGAACTGAAACTGGCAATGACAAAAACCAAGGCTAAGCATCTGAAGTGTAATGCCTTACGGATGAACGGATGCTCTCTTGGATTAGTCTTACAAGTAGCACATCCATTAGAATTGATGCATTCTAAAGATAAGCTTGTCCATTGTTCGCATCCAAATGAATGGAGATTGATTTAGACGGGAGTGACTGTTGATTTCTATTTATACGGCTTTGTTGAGGTGTATCTGTCCTTTTCCCTTAACGCAGTTTGGTGCACCTAGGAACCTCCCCCATGTGGTCTGTTTGGATTGGAAAAGATCTTAACTGTAGATAATTTGGTCAAGAGAGGAGATGTGGTTGGTGTTGTGTAAAAGGAGACTCGCAGACTGAACTACCTCTTTGCTGCAGCTTCTTTCTACTTGGTGCTTGTTGGGGTTTTTTTGTCTTCTCTCGTGCGAAATCAATATGAATAGGTAAACAAATTGGGCTTACATCTTTCTTCTGCCAAGGCATTCTTGATAGCTCTCCAAAGGATATGCAATGGAGGCCATGTATGTCAAATATCCTAAATAGCAGTTTCAAATGTTGGAGCTTTTTCTTTTTCTTCAATTGAACTTCTTGGGGGATTTCTTGGTTTATCCTAATGCTCAGGAAGAATTCTTTTACATATATTTAGAAAGAAACTTCCTTTTTTTTTTCGCTTTTTTATATAAGCTTTATGGTGGTAGGTTATATTCCTTGTGTATACTTATTATAATATTAATTAAATAAGAAGTAATAGAATATGTGCTTGTTGTGATTGTTTGAGGAGTGCTACTACTTGTTTCACTAATGATTGGGTGATACAAGGTCTCCATTGCAGCAGTGTATAGGATATTGATGCAAGCTTTAGGGATGTAAGTTGAAATTAGAATGAAGTACTAGTGGTGGCAAATAGGGTGCTGATCTCGTTGAAACTGATTGCAGGATTTCCCTTAATGCAGTGTGGTGCACCTAGGAACCTCCCCTGTGTGGTCTGTTTGGACAGCTTTGGGAAAGATCTTAACTTTAGATAGTTTGGTCAAAAGAGACAAATAGGGTGCTAATCTTGTTGAAATTGGTTGCAGGATTTCCTTAGTAACAGTGAAGTCTGCTTTTTAAAGGCTTCTAGAGCTAGCTATTGTAGAAAGCTGTGGTTTTAGGCTTTAGCTTGGTAGAAAAGTATCCTATCATTGGGTTTTCTTTGGTTTTCGTTCTCTGATTTTGTTCGGGTGTGATGCAGTAGTCTCTTCTCTCTCTAAACGAATGGATATGTCTGTTTCCTTTGGTTTTTTCTTGTGTATCATGTGTACTGGGTTTGATTGCTGGGTTTCTCTCTCCACTTTTACTACCAGACCATGGAGAATGAACAGGCCGCCAGGACAGTGAAGATTACGACAGAAACATGAAGCTGTGTTCTAATATATGGTTATAAACAGATCCAATGCCTCATAGGACATCTAGTTTGAGCAAAGTTTGAGATGGCAGCACCCCACATGACCATGTTATGATCTAGAGACCTTCTGAAGATTCCAAGATCAGCTTTGCTATCACCATATTCAAAATCTACGCCCATTGGAGCTGCTTTAACTCTTACATCACTGTTCAATTGAATGCTAAAACGTATTTTATGGACTTGCTTTTTAAATAAGAAATAAAACTATAACAGCCACCATTTTGGAAGGACAGAAAAGAAGACCGGCGGGGGGGGTGGTGGGGGGGGGGAGGAGGAGAGAGAGAGAGAGAATGTGTGTGTGTGTGTGTGACGTGCACACGACACATTTCAACTTTAACAGAAAGTTGGATGGAATTCATGGCAAGCTTATCATAGTTTAGGGGCATTGGAGTCAAAAAGGGGTTCCTTTTTAAAATTGACCCCTTTTATGATTTTATTAGGCCAGTTTAAAGAACTCTGAACTTTCAAACACTTTTAAAAATATTTGAGGTGTCCTATTAAGTTTCAAAATATGTGGCAACTGTGTGATAGATTCCTCCCACTCTAGATCCACCTGTGCTGCTCAAAATGCCATCTCGCATCCTCGACTTATTGCCCTTCCAATTTTGCCCTCCAAGGGTGAAATTATAATGTAATGATGTTTAAAAGGAGCAAAAATAATAGGTAATAGTCCCTTTTTTTGTCCCTGTGTTGACTGTTGGGGTTTTCCATGTCTTGACTAGCTTATTTAATAATGAGGATTCATCTTTGTTCTTTTTTACTAACAACACAGAGGAAGCACAAAGCACAGATAAGGGGATACTTGATTTTAGACTAAAAGCTTTGCTTCTAAATTAAGCAAGAGGCAGTTTTCAATTTGGACACGCCTTTTCTGTTCTTTACTCGGGCATTTCTGTGATTACAGTTATTTATCACTGCACTTTTTGTTTTTTTGAATCAGTGTAAGTAAAAGCAAATCAGTCAATTCATTGTGGTTTGTAAAGTTACTAGTTTCATTCAAGCTGCTTGTTTACCTTTGTTTATCTCTGTTCTGCAGGCTGCTCTTGAAAAGGAGAAAACCTCGGAAAGTGGGGAAACTAAGGAAGAGGAGGCACCTGTTGAAAATCTAGGCCATGCATCAGAATCTGTCAAGTCATTGACATCTCAGATGAACGAGTTAGGTGTTTCTTCTAGTCCTGCTTTAGTTACACCTCCCTCTGACTCAACAGAGGATTCGAATCCAGGGGGCCCAGTTCAAGATATTGATAAAAAAATTCGAGCTCTTAAAAAGAAGGTATAATTTGTTATCCTTTTAGCCTTGCCTTGACATGATATAAACTATGTGTTCCATGTTGGAGTATAACTATGAAACCCATTTGGCAACTTAGGAAATATGTAGCCTCTTCCCTTTGGCCAGCCCTTATTATGTCAAAATAGTTTTCTTCTTTTTACGTGAAATTGTTAATTAAAAGCTATGTACCAGTTTCGATTGAGAATCTTTGGGGTACTTATTATTCTTTCGTGTTGTGTAAATAGTTTTATCCAGTAGAATAATTATTGCAACCAAGACTGGTAAGAACCTTAGATCATAAGGTTTCTTCAAAATCTTTTGTTTTGTTAAAGACTTGAAAGAAAAGAAGCAAACCATCATGATGTAAGATATTGAGCATAACATACTTCTCCTTGCATTCACCCATGCACATGAGTCTAAGTCGATGCCTTTCTTTTGCTTTAAATACCGTCCAAAACCCAGGTTTTGTAAATAAAGATGAGCAAGAAGAAATATGCAATGATGATAAATAATGATCAGAGTTGTCAGCTAGTTTTCCTTTGACTAAAGGAATTATTCTTGGGTTGAAAACAATGCTTGACCAGTTTTCATCCCATTTTTTCCCCTCTTCATGTTAGATGTCTGCTTCATTGTTAGTTATATAATTTGCCCTTGCACTGCAAATTGGTTAAAGTTTTTTTCCCCTCCTTTGGTAAGTCTACAATTTGGTGTAGAGAACCATCAGAAGCCACACAACAATCTTGACATGATTTAAAAAGCTGTCAATTAAGTTTTCACTTACATGAAGATTCACTTTTGCAGATTCGACTTGCCGAAGCTCAACAACAGAAAACTCATCAGCAAGATAATAAGTTAGAGCAGCTGGACAAGTTGACAAAACTGGAAGGTTGGCATAAGGAGCTAAAGCTTCTGGAGGATAAAAAGAAGGCTGAGTTGACTGCATCGTGAATGAGGGTTGGTGTTAGCATCAAGGAACCATGTTTTCCCTTTTCTTTCATCCATTTATGTTTTTCTGATAAAGACATGAATGCTGAATTGTAGAAAAAGGTTCATCTATTCACATTTGGTTCAAATTAGTTTATATTATATGTGCTTTATACTAGGGTTTTGGTTCAAATATAGCACCTGATCCACCACTCAGGGTATATACCGTACCGTGTCTGTTCCTCTATATTGTGTTCATTAGTTGGCTTATTCATTTTTTTGGCATGCCTCATTTGATTACATGTAATCACATCCATCTTTCTCAGTTGTTTTTCTGGTATAGATTGTAAACTGATGAATTCAGATATTTAGATGAGTATGGTCTTTTATTCCTAACCAGTAAGATATATCATATCTAAAGTAAGATTCATATTTTGCTGATGGGTCTGGTCGGTGATAAGATGCATATTAATCTAAAGGCCATAAACTCTCTATTATTCTTATATTGTATGTATCTTTTTTTTTTTTGGTTCTCGACAGAATCATATATGTATAGGCTTTGCATTCATTTGTATATTAGAACATGACTAAATTGACAATTCATTTTTAGACTCTGGGTCCCTTTTGAGTTTCAAGGTTGACCTCATTCTTTCTTTTCGTTCAGCTAAAAATGGTATTGGCATGGCATTATTATTAATCAAAGTTGGCAGTACTGTCCAATGAACAATATAAGCCAAATAGAATCTTAACGTTGTAAGAGGCATCAAGAAACCAAGCCCCAAGGAAACCAAAGCTACCATCCACCCTCTCACCCTGAGGGCCAATTTGGATGCAAGTCACAAACAAGCAGAGCCTCTCGGGTTTGACAAGACATGAAAAGTTTCACTTCCCCGAAAAGTTTCACTTCCAAGTGGCTCCTTCTCCAAGACCCTTCCTGGTCTGGATGCATAAGGATCAACCGGTTAAAGAGAAGGGGATCCATAAAAACATATGCTATACCCCTCAAGCCGTTGATCAACCAAATTTTACACCAACGTAAGTCTAGATTCATAGCAGCATAGCCCTCTCCTCCCTTTGAGGCCCTAAACCTGATAAAAGAATTTCTAATAAGGGCCCTTGTGGAACTGCTTGTATAGAAAGTATGTACAAGCACTTTTTGCTCAAACGCTTTTGTTTAAAGCACTTTTATTAGAAGAATGTTGGAACTTTTGTTAAAATTCCAAGTGCTTCCTGGAAAAACATTTGGAAGCAGTTCTCCATAAAGCACTTTTATGAATCTCACCCTTTAGGAGGTCTGGAATTTTGAGACTTAATAAAAAACGGTAACGTTTCTTACGGTAACTAGAGGTTTTACATAAACCAGATAATACAACAGGGTCAAAACATATGCACCAAAAGTTAAAGTGCAGTAAGTTACAAACCGGCCAAAAACCAAAACAATAAACCTAACTCAAAAATGGCCCGAAGGTCTGCAAGAGTACAAACACATCATGATTTCCCCCCAACCTACCCCTTAGTGTTGTATTCAAATGCCATTGGATCTCATATCAGCACTTATGAGGATTCAACACCTGAATCATCTGGTCCTGGACCATAGAGTTCAAATTCACCAGGGCTCCATCTGCTTATTAAGTGAAGTCGGAAGGTAGCCATCTTGATTCCCAACAAACGCTGTATATAAATTAGGTCATGCACATATTAGTATCTCTACAAATTTATTTTAACAAATTTCAAAAACAAAAGAAAATACATAACAATAGCAGCTGCAATATCAGCAATAAGGGCACAGAAATGGTGCATAAAAACTATATTCGGGAGTGGCATGCACCGAAAAAAAAAAATTTGCGAAGATCAAATTAATAAAATCAACTAAGAATACATGCACCTACTATACAGACAGGATCAGGTGTGGACTTGATCAGTACTGGCTGACATTTTTTGGAGTGGCCGATCAATCAGCAAGCCATGGTCGCATGATCGGCCAATACAAAAAATTTCAGTCCACAACATTTTCAGCTCAACAATAGGATTCAACAAAAATATCAAACAGAGTTTACAAACACAATATGCACATGATTGAACAAAACTAAAAGTAAACCAACAAAAGGATCCCCAGGTTTATAAAAGGAAAAGAATTGGGGTTAAGAGTGCATTTTGCGCTAATCCACAATCGGATTCTACACAGTATACGAAATAGGATTGATGGAAGCAATACGCACATGATCAAACGAAGCACAAATAACCAACAAAAGGATTCCCAAGTTTATAGAAGGAAAAATAAATGGGGTTTAAGACTGCTTAGAACATCTATAACCATAAAGGAAAAAAGTTATCCCATTCCAATAAGAACAACAAAGTAACTTCCTAGACAATAATTTGAGCATGAAACAAACCAGTATCCGAGCTGACTCAGGTGACAGAGGCTTTCCTTCATCACAAACAAGGAAGTCTGAAACAAGCTCCACAACACCTGCAAGCATGGAAACCACATTTAGTCTTCTCTTGAGTGCATACAAAGACTAGAAAACAAAGAAAACAAGTAGGTACCTTTGTTCAAACGAACAGGCATCCCTTGTTTACGTAGAAAGGGTTCCATCTCATGAGTGAACTGCTCCAAAGGACCCTCCTGAAGCTCCACCTAACACATTTGAAATAATATTCAATACTTCATGGTAGAATAATTGAACACTATCAACAAGACAAAAAAATATAACCTCAGAAGACAAATCTAGGGTACAAATGATACATTCTAGCTAGTCAACTAGTTCAAAGCAAGGCAGCAGATCACATTTATATGACCTCTCAAATTCCACATAAAATTTCCATATAAAACTAATTACAACCAAAAATCTCAAAAAGAACCTTCTCTGTAGCTATGCTTCCTGTCCTTGCGAAATCATATTCCTTGTATTCGTTAAATAGCCTGCAAAAAAAAAATTTGAAATTATTTTTTACAACTTTAGATATAAGTACTTAACTCATGCGGTACCCTACAAGATCAGATCTCCACCAGAACATTCAATTAACTATTTTTCTAGGTGGCCTTGGTTTTATACACTTGGCTTCATATCAGCCAATCTTCTGCAAGTAATAATCCAAAATTCTGAAAAAGTATTTCCCAAGCTTGTAAACATGAGAAAATGTGAACTTTTACCTTTCCACCTCTTCCTTCGGCAAATTGGTGAAACATAGTCCAGCATTTCCATGCAGAACCTAAGAAAAGTCAACAAAGGCCTAAGACAAGAGATTCAACTAAAACAAAAAAAAGGACACCAGAAATTTTGCACAAAAGGCTTACCTTAGAAATTTTGTGGAGATCTGGTCTGATCTCATCGGAATCAGAACGACCTAGAGAAATTTGCATGACTTTGTTTGAACCAAGGAAAAATCTGAGAAAAATAACTTTGCATGATACACATACTCATATTGTAGAATCCATGACTTATAAATTTTAGAGAATTTGTCCATTAAATAATTACATAGCTGCATTAGTGCAAATAAGTTAAACTAACAATATGAGAACAGTTAGTTTACTCAGAAAAGATGACCATTGAGAAAAACTAAATCTTTCCACAAAATACCTGTTGCATAGAATAATCATACCGCCAAAAGCTAATCACACATCCAAAAGAATCTTTTGGGTAAAAAAATTTGGGTCAAAGATCAGTCCTCAGCCAACTCACTTTTAAGTGTGGTTGGATATCAATAGGAAAGGTGATTTCCAATAGTTTTAGGGCCTTATTATTAGATTTTGGAAAAGCTACAATGGCTGGTTTTTCCAAAGATGCTTTTGCACACCTTCATAAATCTTCCGGCTACTACAGTGGTTGCACTATTCAATATTACAAAATTACCCCTACCCAAACAAACTCTCATTAGCTTCCAAAGACAACCCAACAAAGCACAAGGAAGTTGAAACTCTCTTCTCTACTTCTATAAGTTGTATCTCTCCTCACATACTTTAATTTCCAAACAAATTGTAAGTGAAGGTTGGTAGGAGGAAAATAAATTGAAAATAAAGAAAATAAAACATCGAACAGAGGTATTCTATGTACTCAACCCAATTAAGTACCTAAAACTGCAGTCAACTGGAATTCTTAATTCTTCTGAGGGTCCCAAAGATTGAACGCATAGCACCTAACTTTAGCATGCAAGTTTCTCTCATTTTCATTGCATGTTCTGAGTTACCACTACAACAAATGGGGCATCTTGAAATGAACTTACCTGCTGGTTGATTTGAGCTGGTCTCTGAACTCCTTGAATTTGAGATTTCGCATGTTCTCAAAAGAGAACACATAAACGGAACTGTAATCTTCCGCTGCCTGCCTTATTGAATTCACAATGGTTTCTTTGTGTACCCTTCCTTTCTTCTTTGTCTTGGAAAGTGTAACTGCAGCCACAACCCCAACCAATCATGAAATGGACCATAACATTATTCATACCATCCTCCAATTAATCAGACCAATCACTCAATCGCTTGCGAGAAGTAAAAGCAGAAAGAAAAATCAAAACTGCCATCATATCAATCAAGTCTTAGTTTCTAAACTTTTAAAATTTTCAGTTTCTAACACTTTACCAATTTCGAGCAGCCAAAAGCTTGTTACAAACGAAAATAATAATAATAATAAAACACTGAAAAAATCCCAAAGTCTTCCCTTTCCTTCAATGAAGGTCAACTACAGCAGTAGATACACAGTAAGCTAATTCTCCTGAAATTGGGTATATCCCATAGCATTTCATTTCACTTTCATATTCGAAACTGGTAGAAACAAATTTCAACATTTCAAACCCACAATCTGCTACATGGAAAACAAAAGGATACAATATGTAATAGCAAACAGATAAAATCACACTCTTCTAGTTCTCTTAGTTTTTTTCAATTTTTTTTATAAGAGTTTTTTTTGCAATTTTTAACAATGAACATAAAACCCAAGTGTTGATTGTTATCTGTGCTTCTTCTTGTACTTTAGTCCAAGACAAACGTATGGAAAAACTAAGTTACAGAAAGTTTCAGCTGACAGTTCGCAACGTCAAAAAATACGATTAATAACAAAAGGAAAAGGATTAGAGTTTTTGTTTTTCCTTTAAGTTTTCTCGGGAACCAAACAAGAAGAAGAGAGAAGGCAGACCTGGTCGATCGCGCTTAGACTTGGGCATCTTTTAGGGTGTGGGCGGCTTCTCGTTGGCTCTATGCTTTGCTTCTGCAACTTAAGAAACCCAACGAGCGGAAAAGAGTTTTATCGTACCTTGTTTCTAGGGTTTTAAGTTGGCAGTAGAAGACGGGTCGGTTAGGCCCCGTTAGGAGGATGGGTTATAATAGGTGGCTGATTGGTTGGCTAGTAGGGTCACAGAGTACAGCCGCGCGGCTATACCTTTAGTATAGCCGCACGGCTATACTTTTATCCGCACGGCTATACTTTTTGAATATATACTATTTAGCCTTCAGAGCTAAAATAACACTTTAGCCCATTGGATTAGAGTTATTTCTTCAATTATTTTATTTATACAAGTGATATTGAGGAATGAAATCTTAAATTCTTTCTGATACCTCCAATTCTAATGATTTCTATAAATAAGCCTATTGGGCATGAATAAAAAATGAATTTTATTTATAAGAAATAATACGAGTTAAACCCATAAATACAACAAAAAATAGGAATCCACCAACATTTTGTGGATCAAAGAATGTTGAATTTCTAATCATAAAATTGCTTGAATGCCTTTTGAATCTAATTTTTCGTGTCCTAAAAAAAGTCTTGCTGGTATTTAATCTTGTTAAGACCTAACAAAAACATAACTCTCGTCCCTAGTTTGTTCTAGAGTTAGAGTCTGAGAAATATATATGGGAGAGAGAAAGAGACTTAACTCACAACAACTATTAATCACACTCAAATACATAAAGAAGGAAATATATATATACACATATATATATATATTTAAACAGTCAACACTTTTTTTCATTTACTATTCCTTTTCCTCTTGGTGTTCATGCAAATAACTATGCATGCCAGGCTCTTTTAAAAAAACAAACGAAAATGGGTTCTATTTATCCTTGGAAAAGTCGGTGCTTATTACTTCCTCGTTGGTTGAAATGTGTGATGGTATGTCCATGATAAGCTTTACAATTAAAATGAGAACATACATACTTATTCTCCAAGGAATACTAAATTTAATGATTAAGTACTTGCATGTGTGTGTTGTCATATAATTTAGTATTCCTCGGATGGTTTTGTGTTTGTTATAGTCTCAGCGAAAAGATGAGTAAAAAGATTTGGAAATAATGTAAAATTAGCATTAAAGTTTATAGGGCCATTTAAAATCTTAGAGAGAATAAGTGAAGTAGTTTACAAGTTAGCATTACCAACTTAACTTTCGAATGTACATAATGTTTTTTTTCACGTTTTCATTCTTTGAAATTATAAACTTGATCCGACACATCCTAGATTGGGGAAAGCCCAATTTAGATGAAGAACTGTCATTTGAGGAAAGATCAATACAGATTTTAGATCATAAGGAACAAGTGTTACTTACGAAAACAATACAATTTGTCAAAGTTCTTTGGTTGCATGGGAATACAGCGGAAGCTACATGGGAGTAAGAGACTGAAATGCATAAGAAGTATCCAAATAAATTTCTCTAATTCCAGTAAGTTTTTCTTTTATTTTAATTTTGAGGACGAAATTTCTTTTAGGAGAGTAGATTGTGAGAACCCGTATATTTAAATATATATATATATCTAAATGTAATTACCTTGCTAAGTAGGGTATGTATATTATATAGCTGTTTAAATGTTTATAATACTATTCTAATAATTATATGTATTATATGTTTATAATATTTAAATTCCTTTGATTCACATAGTTCTTGTACGTTCCTTGTATTCAAATGGTTTTAATGATTTCCTTAAGATTTTCTTTTAATTTGAGTAGTGGTGAATTGTTCATGCATATGGCTATCTAAATGGTGTAGAGTTTTTGACGTGGGCTTTTATCCTGTGGGATTGGTACGTAATAACTGGAGTCAGTCTTTTGAGTTGGAGGTATTAAAAACTTAGTGTTTAAGCAAGTGAGAAGTCGGTGTAGAGTTGGTGTTGGCAAAAGCTTTACATCCAAACGAGCAGGAGGTGGCAGTTTTTCCCTGCCTTGAGTTTGACGTGTAAGTCAGTTGTGCTAAAACTTTTCTATTTGAGATTGATTACTCGACAAGTGTCGTTCCACTTGATGACTAATCCTTTTTCAATATGAGCTGGTGGTGCTGAGGAATTAATAATTACTAAAACTTGGAGCAAAGGCTATCAGTTGAAGTGCATCTTCCACCAATTATAACCCATTGGTTCCCGCCTTAGTATTTACTATAAATAGGGGTCATTTCCTTCGATTTTGAAAACACACGACATTGCATAGAGGGCATGCAAAGAGGAGGAGAAAAATAAAAGAGAGAGAGACAAAAAAGAAGAAAGAAAACAAGAGAAAGTAAGTGGTGATAAATTCTCACGAGAAGTTACAGCTCGTAGTTTGTGTGTTTTCTTAACATGGGGTTAGTTTTGGAAACGAGGTAGGAGGTTTTTTGGAGGCTTTTATAAAGATTGATTTAATTAAATTTTGTGAGCACTATATTATGCGTGAATAGATAAAGAGTATTCATGCAGTATTTTTGTTAATATAATATTTGACTGAGTGGTTGCATGTCACTTAATTTAGTTATATCAATTTAGTGTAGCAAGATTTATGTCTCTACTGAGTTGTAGTTTCATTCACTCTAACAAATTTAACAGGTACTAAACCAAAACTCTAGGATTTGATATGAACTTGGTATGTCTGTAGAGTGTGTTGTGGTTGAATAATGAGATACTTTTTTAGTGAACGCTTGAGTGGTTGTAATGATGTAAGATTTAATGTTTTTTCCACTTGGAAATTCTATGTGAGATGTTTATTTATTTATTTAGTGTTCTTCACATTTGAGTTATAGTTTTTTTATTTATTAAATTATATAATTTGTGAATCACGTCTTAATTCAAGTTTACATAAATCTGTGAGTTGGGACGTGACAAGTTGGTATCAAAGCCTAGTGTTATGGTTTGATTAAATAATTTTGTTATCTATTGACATGTTAAGTACTTTTTAGGATGCAACCTGCTCACAGTAACGACACAATAGAAGGATTCTAGGTGGGACCCAATGGCCTCTTTCCACTAGAGGAAGTGTATCATAGCTATCTTCACTACCAGGCCTATTAAGAAACAGTTGCTGGAGTTGTCGACACAAGATATAAGGGAATGTTCTATGCCCCATAAATGCAACGAATGGTGGTGAGACATCGTTTGCAAGCAAATAATGTTGAGTCAATATCAAGTGCATATTTAAGCAAATTCATACGATCAAGTGCTACATGATGTTGATATAGTGGCTGATGCCATTCGTTGCATTTTTGGGATATAGAACATTCTCTTATATCCTGTGTCGATAACTTCAGTAACTGTTTCTAAATAGGCATGATGGCGAAGACGGCTATGGTACACTTTCTCTAGCGGAATGAGGCTATTGAGTCCCATCTACAACCCTCCCCATGTGTCGTTATTGTGAGCAGGTTGCATCCTAAAAAGTACTTAAACATGTCAATACATAACAACATTATTTAATCAAACCGTAACACTAGGCTCTGATACCAACTTGTCACGTCCCAACTCACAGATTTATGTAAACTTGGATTAAGACGTGATTCACACCTTAATTATATAATTTAATATATATATATATATATATAATTATAACTAAAATGTGAAGATCACTAAATAAATAAATGAACATTTCACATTGAATTTCGGAGCGGAAACAACATTATTTGAAATCTTACATCATTACAATACTCAAGAGTTCACTAAAGACATGCCAAGTTTATGCCCACTACACATTCTACAGACATGCCAAGTTCATCTCAAGTCCTAGACTTCTAGTTTAGTATCTGCAAAATATGTTAAGGAGTGAGCAAAACCAAAACTTAAACCCCAAACCAAACTGCCATTAGGATATAGCTCATTTGGATGAGCTCTTCTTACCTCCATCTATGTGCATCCAAAGAATATGTCTAAAACCCTCTCTCCTAATTGCTTGTACTAAAAATTTGAATTTTAAAATATTTATAAAAAAAATTTAAAACACCAACCAAACCATACAAAAACAGATAGCTACTTCAATTATTGTTTATCTCAAAAAATTTACTCATCTGATTTTTAAATAATCACCAGGCAATACATTGATGTTTTTCGTCGGGTTTAACTCAAGGTGGGGTGAGAGGGGTAGGAAAATAAGCTAGGATTAAGACACATCAAGGGTTCAATCTATTCTTATGTAACAAAAAGAAAACATAACTATTTAAATTCCATATATATTCTATAAATTATTATGTAACAAAAGGAAAACATAAGTATTTAAATTCCATATCATAAAAACCAATAAAATAGGGTAAAGACTTTCTACAAGTTACTGCATCTGATGTAGCAGTGGAAACTGTTGAATTAACAATGATCATTTCTCTATCAGTGGTCTAATAGTTTTACAATACAACAAATGGCACTAAGAAAGAAAAACTATATACAGTTTCCATTATCCATTTACACTGCACATTTAACCTGCATTCCCAGACTATGCTAAAAGTGGCAGAAAAAAAAGGCCACATTACATGGAATAAAATGTGGGAAACTTCAGGAACTTAGTGAACATCAACATGTGTATTAGACCACATGTTGGTTCTTGCTAGAACACGGACCAAAGGTTTCCAACAATTGGTTTGCCAAAATTGGACACTAGAAACTTAAAAACCAAAATTGATGAACTTGGAGAGCATGCCACATTTCCACATGATGGTGCTACAAATCTTTTTTCCTTATGCCTGTTGGAACACCATAACATACTGGTGATGCTCCAGTCAAGAAAGGAAGACTGCAAGCTTCGCGAGCTTGACTCATGAATGATCCAATCTTCGGCTTATGATCACAAGAAATCTTAATTGGGGGATTGCTGCTCTCGCAAGCTTCAGGCAATTTCTTCTTTGATACTTTCTTCTTGGCATTACCTTTACGGCCCCTAATGCTCATGGCTTCAAATTCTTCTGCTACTTTGCATTCGACACAGCCCTCAGAGGGACTCCATCGTTCTTTT